CTATAAACGTATGCTGGTTTGTGGACGAGTATGTAGATTATACATCTGTCCGATATTCAAAAAAGACTTACAACTAAAAAACCGAATTATTTTTTTCTTAAATTGGTGGTTACGCATGTTTGAGATATTTTCGAATATGCGCCTTTAAGATTGGCCTCGAGACAACTTTGAATTTTAAACGAAATAGTAAAATTGTTCATTAAACGAATATATTTTAAAAAAATAAATTTAAAGCTTTCTTTTGGATTTATCAAATCTTGATTATGAGAGCAAAAGACCGACACGCCCATAATGAACATTTGATAAATTCAAGAAAAAAACGAGGTGTTTTCAAAATATGTGGCAATTTTGGAAATATTTGATTTAAAATGATCGCTGCAAAATTAAAAAAAAACATGATTCACATGTAATTATACCAAAAGTAAGACGAATTTTTTTTAAACAATTGATTTGTTTAAATGCGAAATATAATCTATAATTATGCCAAACATACTGGCAACGAGGATTGAGAATTTTACCGACTAGCCCAGACCCAAAAACATGTTTGAAGCATTTAAATTTAAATGTATTTATTTTAGAAAATTGAAAAAAATGTTGACCACAACGGGTCGACACATAAAAATTCACGTTATGAATAGTGAATAATTTTTGCACCAAATTGGTCAATAATTGATTTGATTTAATGTAACAGCTGTCGAAATCTCAAACAGGTGCGCTATACCAAAATAAAACAAAATAAAAGGAAATATTTTCAGGAATCTGACGAGAGAAAAATTCTTTATTTTAACATTCATCGAACATCTCTATCAACGATTTCTCAGAGTTGGGCCGTTTTTCCACTAGCGGTAATGATAATGAGTTCTCTTAATATTTCTTCCATAAAAATGGCTTAGATGTTTGACGGAGATCAATTTGACGTTGCTAATTTCTAAATTGTATGTTTAAAATTGGTGACGGCTGATTTATGATGTGTTTGCTCGCAAAATTCGCGGATTGGGGGGGGGGTTGACGGGCTAATTCGCATCGAGTTAGAGGCAAATTCGCGGTTTTACCACCGAGGTGATGTCGATCGTTAGACATCAGGAAAGTGAGTAAGAAAATTGTCGAAGACAGACGGAGAAATAGTGGAATTCATATGTAGAAATGAAGCGGAACGTAATAATTTTCAAACAAAGTTTGAGATGGTACTTGCGTCTGACCGTTCAAATTTGACAAAACTTTATGTCTTCAAAAGTATGTACGTGGATATCGAAAAATAAACGATCATCATTGAACATGTGGTTGTCTACTATTTAGTCCACTGATTTGAAAGCATATCGAAATAAACTGATGTCTCTTTTGGGCCATTGATTATCATATCGTTTCCCAATGTGTCTTTAAGCGGCACTCCGTGATTGACAGTACCTCGTTTCTGAAATAATTAAAATTTAAAAAAGAGATTCTTGCCGATAGAATCACTATTTCTTAAAGAGGATCACATAGTTGTTTTGAATTCGAAAACAAAAGTGAATATAACCTACAAAAATTGCGTGCGCCTTCTTCTTCCACGATTCTGTCTTGCAGTATGTCAGACAATCGTGCCATATCTGAACACTCAATTCAATTGTACCTTATCGAGGAAAAACTCACATAATGACCGAATAATCAAAAACAATACAACAAATATTTTTGAATTGAATTGAAATATTATAATTGGGCAAAACAAGGCAAATCATTATGATTATATTAAAAATTCCAATTGATAGAACAACTTGAGTAAACATCTGAAATAAAAAAGAAAAAGAATGTGAGAGAAATGCGATTCTACAAATGTTTCAATCGAATTCCGTTAAATTTTGAACCAACTTTTGAATTTTCAATCAGTTTTTTTAATCGACAACTCCAAGCAAAATGGAAATTTTCATTCAAATAATGATCTCGACCTGAATTGTTCGGATATTCTCAGTTATTTGGAATCTTTCCGAAAGCGAGTAGGCAACCTTTTTATCGTCTCGGTAATACTTCAAATTGATGTATTCAATTAGTTTGTTCACCTGAAAATTGTCAATGAAATGAGCCGCAAAGACGTCAAAATAATTGTACCAATACAGCAATGATGTTAACAACCATTGCGAAGACGAGTAGTGGAACGTTATTTGACACTGAAATCCATCTTTAGATATACATGTATAGTATAGTCGGCGTCCGGCGACTGCTGTACGCGGGTAGATTTACGCGCATGCGCCTTGAAAAGGTCTCGCCACGCGTGAATGCTTATTTTGCTGTTTTCACGTGAACTGCTTCATTTTTCTTGATGAGTTTCGCATTTCCTTGAATTTCCAACCTCATTCGATTAAAAAATAATCGAATCGATTCATTAAAATTGAAATAAGCTGTTAGTCTTTGCGAGACCATTTCGATAGACGCATTCCCGTAAATCTACCCGCGTACAGCAATCGCCGGACGCCGACTATAGAACAGCATCAACAAAAATGGAGTAGGTCCAAAAAAGGTAGAAATCCGATAAAAAGAATTCTCTTTAAAAATTGATTTTTCAAATTTTTACCAAGAACAAAAAATAAATTGAGTTGCGATGTTTTCCCTTTTAGTTGAGAATTAATAATTTTTGATAGTTTAGAATTCAAAAGAAAATTTAAAATTAATCACAATCACTTTAGTATTACGAAGAAGAGGTTTTGATTTCTTTCAAATTTTGTCAATTTCGAATATATGTACATATACCATAATTAAATGTGACACCAAGGCAAAATGCGATCACTGCTTCGACAAATACTATCGAATTGCCAATAATCGAACAATCTCTTTTTTCGTAATTCGAAACGAAGAATGTAGCAAAACAGCGTTCAGCAATCATTGAAGGAATTATGAAGATTGCTGAAAATGATTTTAGCAAATTTTAATATTGAATCCTTCCACTTTCTAATCTGCCCATTAATATTAATCGTTTAAATATTCGCAAAACTAAAAATAATTTAAAATTACCATAACAGAGTCCGACGGTTCGAAGTGTGCTACAAATTGAATAAAATGTGTAATATTCTGAAATTCAGAATAATTATAGATAATTTGGTCGAATATGAAACCTTCGATTACATCAAAAATAGCGAAAAATATTTGAACAATCATAATAACTAATTGAATTACATATTGGCCATAGAAAATATTAATAATAAATCGAATATTACGATGCGGAAATGTTACCGAACTATTCAAATATATTAAGAATAACATGTAGAGTAAATTGAGCAAAACGATGAGAATCTCGAAGTAGAGAAAAGGTTTGAAAATTCGCCATGTGCTGGTTGAAATGCAATCAGTTTTGTTGAAATATCCGAGCATCGTTCTAAAAATTAAAAGAAAATTAGAAATGTTTTCGAGAGGAACGGAATTGAAAAGAAAACAGCAATACAGGCGTGTTGCTTCGAAGGCGAGCCAGACAAAAAAAAACGAATATTCAAATGCGAGAGCTTGGATGTGAGGTAAATGTGTTGAACGCTGCCAAACACGACGAGCCTGATAATAATCAAACCAATTGAAAATAATCTGACGTAATTGGCATATTCAGTTGATGAATAAAAGGTAACGATAGAAATTTAAAAATCCAACGATTTCACCTTTTTAGATTTCACCCCTACTTTTTCACTGCACTTCAAGATTTCACCTTTTTAGATTTCACCCCTACTTTTTCACTGCACTTCAAAATTTGAAGTTTCTAACAGTAATGTTTAACAGTAAAATTTTTTAATATTTTTAATAATTCAAGTTATCAATAGGAGATTCGCAGGACTGATGTCTAAATTAGATTTTTCAGAAACTATTGTCGAAGTCAAACGACTTGACGAAATTTAAAAAATAATTGGCTATGTGCCAATGCGTCTCGAGGCAGCGAAATTGCGTCCATTGCATTATAGCGTACGCGCATTGAATATTCAGTCAACGATTAATTTAAATCTACATTAATTTCGCGAATTTAAAGGCTCCGCCTCCCTTCAGTCGTTTGACGCCGGCAACATGTAGTGTTCTTATGAAAGGTTGACAATTTTAACAAGAAATTAACTATTCTCGGAAAACCCTGTTCAGAAAAATTTCGTCTTTTGTCAAAACGTCAACCTTTCATAAGAACGCTACATAGTTTCTGAAAAATCTAATTTAGACATCAGTCCTGCGAATCTCCTCTTGATAACTTAAATTATTGAAAATATTAAAAACAGTAAAATTTTACTGTTAAACATTACTGTTAGAAACTTCAAATTTTGAGTGTGAAAAAGTAGGGGTGAAATGAAAAAGTAGGGGTGAAATCTAAAAATTGGGGGTGAAAAAGTGGGGGTGGTATCATAAATAAAAGTCGGGGTTAAAAAGTCGGGGTGGAATAGCAGGGGTGGGGGTTAAAAAGTAGGGGTGGTTTCTAATAGACCAATATTTTCTCTTATATGTACTACAAAACTTATTGTATTCGGCTACATTTTTGGTTTCATTAAAACAAATTTATTTGAATTATCATGGCGGAAAAATTTTATAGCTCTCTTTGTCTGACTTTTCAAATCATCTTCTGTTGTTGGGTTCAATTTAGAAGGAATTCAACTTGACTCCGACTGTCTCTTACTCAGCATCATTGAATATCCACTTCATTTTCAACAAGACACGTTGTTTCATTACTCCCAGATGTAGCCCTATGACCCTACGTACTAATGAGTATATGGTGATAATCCTCACAAAAAAGGCAAACCTGCATTTTTATGAAGCCAGAGATTCTCGATTGACGATTAGATTAGCCAGATTAGCCAAAGGATGTCAGTTTTCCAGTATCAAATGTGTTTTATTGATGAAATTCAGGTTCAATAGGCATTTTTTTGTTCTTTGTTTTAAAATTTCGAATTTCTATTCTTCGGCCATTTCCTTGGTGACAGAATCATTTCTCTGCATACATATATAATTTGTTTTACTCAGTAACTATTTGAGCAGTTTTTAACTGGAAAATAGAAAACAATGGCTAAATTCATTTACGATTTATTCCATTGATTTTTCAGCATATTAAAATAAGTCAAAGTCTCTTTATCCTTATTATCATTCATCATCATATCTACTCCAAATATATTCTTCAAATGTGCTTCTCGGACTTGCGACTTTTTTCTCTAAAACCATATTATGTATTATACCTTTTTTTACAAACTTACAAACAATGATTGGACTTTTTTCCTCCAAGAATCTTTTTTAAAATATGTCAAAATTGGAATCGCATAACCATAAATCAAACAGCAATAATCCGCAACAACAACTGCTAAATTTTTGTATTTCATGGGAATTTCGTAGTTGTCAATTATATAGCAAATATTCATTATAACATTAAATATTCCAATAGTGAATATGATTGTTGCAAACATCTAGAAAAATGTTTGAATGTTTGGGGAAAAACATCCGTATCTTACCTTTGAGGATAAAATGTTCTCAGCGATTTGGTACCTTTCAGAAAGTGAATAAATGGTGGCAGATAGATTCGTATGGTACTTCATATTCAAATCATGAATTAGTTTATTGATCGAAAATGAGAAAATATTGCGATTCAAAAAAATATATCACTTACAATAACCGCAATGATATTGACGATTATTGAAGACAATAGAATCGGAATTGTACTTGAGACTGAAAATTCAGATTCCGATTCCAAATGGGAAAACTGCGTTACTTCTATTAAACACTAATCCAATAGAGAATGCCACTAGAATTTGAAATGTGGTAATAGCATTTCCGACACTTGCACATTCACGTTTTTCATATCTTGAAACAAAAAATGTTGCGTAACAACGCTCTAAAATGAGCGCTGGAATTATGAAAAATGCTGAAATGCCGGTTATGAATTTGTTATAGTTTTTAAGCCACTACCATAGCTGAGCCCAATTGCACGAACTGTACTGCAAACCACATAAACCGTGGTATATTCTGAAAATCGCGCGATTGGCGAATTCAATTTCTTGAAATACATTGAGTTTTACCTTCCGCAAGACCACATATTGTCAAAATGATCTGTGTAGCCATAAATCCCAACTGGATTCCATATTGGGAATAAAAAACAAAGTTGATAAGACGAACATTTCGATGAGTCTTCTTCACCGAAACCATTATCCATGTCCAAAAAATGACGTAAGGAATACTCAATACTACCAAAACGGCATCAATAGCCAATGCAAATTTGTAAAATCTCCATGAATTTTCGCGAATTGAGTCGGTTCGGTTAAAATATCCAAGCATTCCTTCGAAGCAAAGCTGAATTTCATATGGATTTCTTTTTTTGAAAGCGGATTAATATCACGCTGTATCACGTTGAACGGCAAAATAGAAACACAACTTCGCAATTTTTCGTCATTTGAGAAAAAAAAGACAATACTTGTTTCTTTTATATTTAATTATGAAAAATGCCTATTTCATGATGTTCCCTCTTCAATATATGTTTCTATTCGTACTTTTTTGTCGCGAAACTAGTGTAGATTTAAATTAATCGTTGACTGAGTATTAAATTCGCGTACGCTATAATGCAATGTACGCAGTCTCGCGAGCTTCTCGTTTCTTCGAGACGCATAGCCAATTTTTTTTTAAATTTCGTCTAGTCGTTTGACTCCGACAATATAAGCAGTTTAACGGAACAACGAGTTTGTAGGCAAGGGCAAAGTTGTCAAAAAACAGGGCCCCTGGCCCGGCCCTGATCCCCCGCAGGGCCTTTAGTTGAATTGCCGCCGACGTATATTTACACTAAACAAAGGGCACCGCAAATGCGGAGGGTCGTCAGAAGTCGGTTTTTTTCTGTAATTCTTGGCAATTTTTTGTTATATTTAATTTCTTATGAAATTAGAAATTAAATGTGAAATAAATATAATAATATTCATGTGAATATACAGACGACTGAGAAATCAAGAAATTCTAATCTTAAAGCCAAGAGATTCAAGATATTTTGTAAATACATATTTCTCAAATAAAATTTTGTATTACCATCGCAAAAAAAAACGATCGTCTACATAATTGTGGAACATCGCACTTTTTCGAGGCGGTAATTCAAATTCGAATTGAAACACTGGGAATTCGGATACCGTCGAATCTGGATAACCTGTGAATCAAACTCAAGTAAATCGGCACAGTTTTTTTGCCGATGTAATATATCATATAATATTTCAAGGAATAATTCTATTTTACAAATTTTTTATTCGAAAATCGAATGCAGTAATAAATTCTGTGAATCAAGCAGCAAGACGGAAAATGTCCGCAGATATTTATAATGAAATGTACCTTGCTACGATTTAAAAAGTAGGACCCACGGAACTTAGTGCCGGGTCGGGCCCCCGTGTTGACATCTCTGGGCAAGGGGGTTCTCTAAACAGGCAATGCCCTTATGAGGAAGGGATTATTTATAACATGAGAGAGACCAAATCGTGATGTTCAGATAAATATGAGCCGCTTTTCGGAAGTCATCTCTATTCGACATAATAAACACAAAAATAACGCGTTTCGTTTTTAAAGAATATAAAAAAAAATATTGTTTGTGTGCACAAAAGGCGATAGGAAACCGAATAATAACATTGAATAATAAATAGCATAGAGATCTCTTACAATTTGTGTTAATTGTGCGTCTAATGTTAATAAACAAAAATTACTTGAAATTCAAAAAAAAAAACCAGAGAGCATCGCATTCGAAAGCTTCTTCTCGCGCAGAAATGAATGCCAATAATGATGAAAAAATATAAAAAATGAAAAGTTCCACTAATGCATAATTGAGATGCCTTAATTTCATCTATTGTTAGGGAACGATAATTGACTTCTAAAGCTGAAATTTATTGAACAACTTCTTCTTTATTATACCGCATTCAAATCCATTCAACTCAATTTCAATTCCGATTTGTTCGCAGAAAATGCGAACAATCGTCTGATGTCATTAATAAGCCCGTTTCAATTACATTATTATAAGATATTAGAGAACGAAGTACGTGACGACGCGGTTCTGAAATACTATAATTAATTGATAAGAATTCACATTTCTTCATACAATTCCGAGATTGTTAAATATTTCAAGCTTTTCGTTTCACTTATAACAAATTCCTCAAATTGGAAAGCTTTCACATTTTTCAAATTCCCAACGACTTTCTCAATTTCCGGATTAACTATATCATTTCGGATAACGTATTCGCATGATGGTTTCACTTTTGCTAATGTCCCATATCAGCAGTACACATTTTTTCAAAAAAAAATCAAAAAAACACATCTCATTTGAATTATTTTTCGATTCTTTAGCAATATGCTCACATAACGGAAAAATAATGTCAAGGAATAATGAAGAGAGTAAAACAAATGATGATAATGCTGGACATGAAGTTGATCGTTGTACTCAATTTCTCGTCTATGGTATCGAATCGAGAAAGGACTTCTGAAATAATACAGAATTTCTCATTTAATGAAAATTTATTAATACTTTCTTTTAAATTCTTTAAAAGACGCCACAACTATATATTTATCTGGTTTTATAATAGAGTTTTCACGGAGGTGGCTCTATAAATGTGAAACGGTTGCAAGTGACCAATTTTCAGTGTTTTCAATGTCACTCGGTCAATTTTTTAGATATCATTATGAAAATTAGTAGATATACGTATTTTTTAGTACTGAATTCAATTTTGAAAACAGAATTTAAAAATTTTCAAAACTGACAAAGTTATACCCAAAAACAGGGGGTGGCTTTTATAAATGTGAAACGCACTGTATTATAATGATCCCCAATTCTTACCGCATTCAAATCCATTCAACTTGATCGCAGTATCGGTTAGTCGATCGCGGAATTCGGGACAAGTGTCAGATTTCATTGCGAGACCCATATTCTCCTCATATTCAATGTGATATTTTCCGAAACTAAAAGCTCTCTGCAATTATATTTATTCGTCATTAATCAACAACCATTGTTGAATTTTACTTTCAAATTCTTAAATGTCATATCCTCAATCACACTGTTATGGGACACAATTACAGCTGGACGAGAATCTGAAAATTGTCAAATTCTCAATAGCATTCCATTTTTTTCAAAATTAGGATACCATTTAGAAGAGCAACAAACTCCAAATTTTTGAGAAATTCGAGACTCTTCAATTTGGTGTCATTAATCGTGATTTGTCCGAAAATCATTTTCACATTTTTGAGAACTTCGACATCATCCTCATTTTCAGAATTGATTAGAATATTGCCGATGAGGTGTGAGCATGACGATTTAAAAGTTTTCATTGATTCGTACACGCAGATATTAATATTATCTGAAAAATTTGGCTGCTTTCCAAAAAAAATCAATTGAATTCGCACCGATTCTTGAATCATTTATGCATGGTTTCGCTTCGACATTGTTGAATTTCACACCACTTGAGAGGAATGTTTCCATTTCTCCGACTGTCAGACAAAACTCACTATGGACCGTAGAAATGGAGATTGAAGCTCGACGGTTTTCGCTGAATGGAACAAACTCCTGAATCCAAATTATTGTTACGACTTCCGGAGGAGCGGCGCGAAATTTTCTTTTTTTGAAAATTTGACCGAAGCAATCGGGTCTCACACTAATTTATGTGTAATGTTACAGTATACCCTCTCAATGATATAAACTTACAACTAGTGGTACCAATCCAAGAGATGTCATATTTCTACATTCAGATATAATAAGGTCTCCAGCTGCAAAAATTAGAATATCATAATTACATACATTTGCTAAGTTCAATACATCGAATTCGTTTCAAGTTATTGAGGAATCCCAAATTTGGAACATCTGTTGAGAAAACCTCCAATGAACCAGTTAGATTTTCAAGTTGCGAAAATGCTGACATATCAGTTCCACTCCAATAAAAGACATCTCTCAAGTAGATTCCCAATGTTCCAGTTGTGCAATTCTCCGGTTTCCGAATAGAATCAATATTGATCGAACCTAATGCGCATTCTAGAATATTGATATTCAATGCAATTGCTCTCATCGACGACCTTTGCAATTTTCCAAGTTCCCGTCGGCAGCACCTCCACTTGCTGAAATGAGATCGCATGGTAGATCAGTCAGATGTTGATTCTCATAAATTGTGATCATGCAGGTCACCATTTTCAATTTATCGAGCTGCAAATAATAGACTTTAAGAAATGCTCGTGTTTAATTTTCTAATTCCCATACGCCGAGATGTTGTAAATGCTCGTTATTCGTAATGGAAAATATTCCGTATAGCTGCTCGCAATGGACTTCTTCCAAATTCGCAAGAAACTCAAAACTTTTGTACAATGTTCTATCAAACAATAAAGCTCCATTGAGTCGGGTTAAATTCTTGAAATAGGGAGTCGCCTCGTATATCGAGACATCGGACTCGCTAGTGAACATCATTTTCCCACAAACGGTTGCACATTCGACGGGAAATTTGTTCAACGTTTTTGTGGTTACCACCGACTCATTAAACCAACACTGAGGATCTGAAAGCGTCGAGAATTCCCAAAAATTTCATCATTTTCGTACCACACTCAAATTGAAGTCCAATGTAGTAGAAATCGGAGATGTATTCTTGTCCTTCAATGAATAAGCCAAACAGAGAAATCAGCAGAGCGCGAAGCAGTAGCATTTCAAAATGAGCGCGAATCAATATTCGAATTTTTGCCGTTTTCTTTCTTTCATAATTATAATGTTGGCGGATTTGTTTTTTTGGTTGGAAAATGCCATGAAAAGTTCATATCAGCACATTTGATAAACCATTTTTTTACTCATAAGAATTATTGAATGAAACATCAGAATGAGACATTTTTGAGGTAATATTTATTACAGTGCGTTTCACATTTATAAAGCCACCCCTGTTTTTGGGTGTAACTTTGTCAATTGTAAAAAATTTTGAATTCTGTTTTCAAAATTGAATTCAGGGCTAAAAAATACGTATATCTACCACTTTTCATAATGATATCTGAAAAATTGGCCGAGTGGCATTGAAAAAACTGAAAATTGGTCACTTGCAACCGTTTCACATTTATAAAGCCACCCCCTTGAAAGGTCTGAAAATGTGGAGACCTGAAGAAGAATAAGAAGTGTAGTTATAAATAGAGTACTGTAAAATATATTATCAAAGTCATCACAAATTTTTATATTAAAAATCGAGGAATACATCATTCGATTTAAAAAAAAAATATAGATATTCCTTACAAGGGAGGTCCTTTTGCAAACCAATGGCGATTTTGAAACGTCCAAACATTTATGTACATATGTCCCATCTTCTGCAGAAATTTCATTCATACTCATTTTTAATAAACGTTTTCATATCCAGAGTTTATGCCCTTGTTTAAGTGAAAATGAGTAGAATGAATTTATGTTTCGGCACTGTTTTGTAAATTTTTTTAAATTTTTTTAACGCAAAAAAATTGGAAATAAATATAACCGACGCATATTTTCAGACTTCCAGGTAATTGTGGGGTATTTTCACACTTGATGATGATTTTTTTCGTTGTTTTCATGAGCAAATTTTGAGAAAAAATCGGCAATGTTTTGCAAAAAAACGACCTCCTTTGTTATCCATTTCCATCGATCATTGAACAATTTGATCGAGGAAATAAACATCAATGAAAAAGATCAAATATCTCGGAACATTCAGAGAATCGAAAGTTTCATCAAAACAATAAGCTGATGTCTATCCATCATCTCATCCATTTGATTGACACTTAATTCGTTTATATTTCATTTTAAAATAATCAGACCAGTTCGCCTTCACTCATTTTCCAGTAAACGTTTGCATGAGAATGTGATTTCTGACAATCTGTTCGAAAGAGAGAAAGAGCGGCAGACCAGAAGACCTACGTGATTGCAAGTTTGTGAACTATGCCGATTCCTTCCAATTTCATGTGACGCCGAACTAAGGCAACTGATAACAAGTGTCGATCACCTTCCATTTAGTTTATTCGTCATTGTTTTGTTGGGTGACATACGTGCGAATCGGTAAGTTTGCCGACCTAGCCAATCCATTCGCGTATCACACGTTTGCGTTGTCTTGCGTCCGTCTCGTTTCCTCGCCACTCTCCATACGGTATTCCGGGGGAAATTCATTTTTGATCCGAAAAACATTAAGTGAACTGTATTCAGAGAATGTTCAAGGATCGCAAATTGTGCTCAGTCTGCAATCAGTTAGGCGATTGCTTTCATTTTGGGGTCGTCACTTGCAAGTATATTTTTCTCGAAATTTTCTCGCGATTAATCTCGGACATTGCAGAGCATGTGCTGCATTTTTTCGGAGGTCAATTCGAATGAAATTGGATAAAACCTATACGTGTAAATTTGATGATTCGTGTGTTGTCAAATCAGGTTCGTCGGAATTGGCACCCATCGAAATTTGCATCATTTTCCAGGCAATCGCGATAAATGCAAGAGATGTCGATTCTTGAAATGTGTCAAAGTCGGAATGCTTCGCAATTGTAAGTGGGAACTATCGAATTTTCGAAAAATCTATTTTTTGGCCCAATTTGGATTTTGAAAAAAAAACTTATAAAAAACTTTTTTTCGGCTAAAAGTTGCTTTTTCTGCAATTCTGCAAATGAATTTTAATTTTTTTTTTAATTTACACTGTCTCATTGTGTTTTTTTTTTTCAGTAGTTTCAAAGGCAAGTCAGGTTGAAGTGCCGACGACATTAAGCGACAAATTAGTTCCAGTTGGCAAGAAGATGTTCGATGTGGATTCAAGCAGCTATGAGCGAATCGCTCCAACGTTGTTCTCAATTTTTGAAGCTTATCGAGGATTATTCCAAAAAAGGACATTCTTCCATGATTGTGTTAAGGTAACATCGGCGCCTTTTTGGCTTGAGCAAACACAAATCCTGTCTTTAAAAGTGGTCTCGCCGCGATCTTTGCATTCTTTCGTTTGAACTTTTAGAGTGTTGACTCTTTTTTTTACAAGTTTCTATTAGAAAACATACGCTATATTGACTGACCAAAATAGAATTGAATAAAAAGTCAATGAAAATCTGCGTTTTTATTTTATTATATTTTTGCTTCTTTTGCCTTTGTTCAGTGTTATGAAAAAAAAGTATTTTTAGAGACTTGTTGAACAAAGAAGCTTGAACTGAAACCTAGGTAAAATAAAGATTTTTGAACGGTAAAATTATTTGAAGTTTTATGTGATCAACTCATTTCATATTCAGTAATTAATTAATTGTGTTCACAATGATTAATTGCTTTTGACTCTGTCGTTTTTCGTGCCCAAGGTCGTTCTCTCCGCTCTGCTTTTTTTCTAAACTAGACTCTATTCTTTGGTGTCGCATGATACGAGAGACATTTGCCGATCATTTTTACGATCGAAAAGATAGGATTATTTGTTTTGAAATAATTGATAATTTGCAGGATCGAGAACCAAAAGCAACTTGTTTTCAAGAATTCGTTCAAGTTTATACAAAGGATGTTTATTTGCAAAATGAGTTTTTGGAAGCAAGTTTTCCGGAATATGACACGATGAGTACTGCTGCAAAGGTTGATTGAAGGTTTTCGGGAAATATTTGTTGACACTTGAATTGCAGAAGAAGATATTCAAATATTTCTTTGTTTCTTTTCTTATCCTCGAGATGGGATATCGATCATATCTTGAAGCAAAACCTCATGAAGTCATTATCGCCAATGGCGATTTTATAAATATTCGACAGACCGACAAATTCTATCTTGATCCACATCAAAAGCAAAACTGCAAGTCCCAAGATGCTGTAGAGTAAGAATATAAGAAGCCTCGTATGAAAATAATTTTGAATTTTAGAATGTATCAGCCAGTATTCGACCAAATGCAGAGAAATGTGTTTCAGCCTTTGGTTGAGAAACGCTTAGATATTTTGGAATTTCTTGCACTGGCGGCTCTTTCTTTGTGGAATTATGGTATTTGGGAGGCGATTTTCAAAATAAGTATGTCTCAATTATTCAGATATCGAAGATCAGCCGGATTGTTTCTATGAAATATGTGCTCCACTGAAACAGCGGATCATCCACGAATTGATGTCATTTTATGAGAAACGCGGAAATATCACTGATCCACTTTATAGGCTATCTAATCTTCTATTACTACTTCCTTCTTTAGAAGTAAGATAATTCAATAATTCGCAGTTGTAATCGAATTTCAGCGCGCTATTCAAGTATTTGTTGATTATGTTGAAGTGAGCAACGTGTTTCAATGTTTCTCATTTCATGAGAAATTGTATGATATTATTCACGGGATTTGATGGCCCATTAATTGATGTAATTATGTATGTGAATATGTATATTGCATGGATTGTTGTTACAAATATGTTTTTCTATTCGCTATTCCATATCAGGTCATTCGAGAATCAACATTGAAAAATTCTGGTTGAACATATAAATGAATATATTCTATCATGAACAAATGCATAAAAATAATAAATGAAACATAATAGAAAAGTAAATTTTGAGTCAACATCCAAAGTTTTGCGGGGGCGGAAAAAGGCGAGAGAACTCCGAACTCGGATAAGATCATTCAACGATTATTCGGATCCGATATAAACGATCGATTCAATTTCATTCGCAGTGTTTTGATAGTTTATGCTTCATATTCAGCAGGTGAAAGTAAACTTGGACGATAAAAATCTCAAGCATGATTTAAGAAATGTGTTTCTAAATACAATGTACTCAACCAACGCTGCTCCTCAAACTCGTCTTAGTATAGCGAAAACAAAGCTAGGCATGTTTTTGAGTAGATATCCTAGAAATTCGAGTATTTGATTTCGCTTGCAGCTGGTGTTTGCTAAGTCAAAGATCGTGTTTTATTTTGTCAAACTCCATATAAAGCATTGCATTTGGGATGATGAATTTCTGTCGCTGAAACGCGAGAATTACTAAAAAAAAAACCATATATTTTTAGCTAAAAAGCGAAATGCTGTTTTGTCTTTTTTACTGCATAATAAGCTATGGAAACTCGCAGAATTTGACGCGAGATCAAGGTAATTGTTGAATGCTTGTAAAGACATGAATACATATTTGTCGACATCTTCAGAATCTCAATTGGATCAATTCATTGCAACACATACGAGGTTGTATAAAAAGCTGTTTGAAAATTATGAGACGGGAGTAGCTCCAATGATTTTAACGCGTAGTTGCTTTTAGTCTATTCTATTTTGAGCAAATATTTTGAAGAAAACACTGACGGAACTCAGAACGAGTCACTATTTCCAAGATTTAATGTCGATGTCGCGTTGGCAATGCTAAAATTAGTTCAAGTGGTAATTTTTTGTAAGTTAACCATTTTTTTAATTGATTTTTTTCAGGTGGAGCCTGAGGAAAAAGTCACATTTCTTTTCGACTATATTGTTGTAAGATTCGAAATCGGAAGTTCTATAAAAATTTGGATTTTTTAAGACTTGGAGTGACAGAAGACTCATGTGGAATCCTGATGAGTATGATGGCATCAATCATATTTACATTCCAAGATCGAAAATGTGGATCCCTGAAATATCAATAGTCGATGCGTAGGTCAAATAGATTCCACGCAAAACTTATACAATTTTTCAGGACAGATAGAGATGAATATACTCCAGAACAGCAAAGAATTGGATGGGTAAATTTGTTGTTAATGAAAAAAAAACATTCGATTAAATTTAATTAGAAATAATTTTTTTAATTCAATTCATACTTTCAATAACCTATTTGTTGTTTTTTTTCAGGTGAGTTCTAATGGATCCGCTGGTTATTATATTTCGACAATAACCTCTGTTATATGTAATATGAATGTAACCTTAGAAAATACTTTTTGTTAAAAAAAAAACATTTAAAAACAGGTATTTCGGTTTCCATTGGATGAACACACTTGCAGTGTGAATCTACTATTCTATACATATTATCCGAACGAATATCAAATTTCGATAAGAATGGGAGTCCTTCCACGGCCGGTACCCGAACTTGTATGATTTTGAAAATAAGTTATTACAATCGCAAAAAAGAAACGAGCGCCTTATGATAAGTTTGATTCTTGCCCAAATACCCAAATTCTCACTGTTTAAATTTAAATTACCGCCTTGAGATCCTGCGATGGTCAACAATTATTCAAGGCGCTTATTTTTTGCGATGGTTAATTAATAAGTATTCATTTAAACCAGGGAAATGGTGAATGGCAAATGTTGAAAATCGCAATAGGAGGAGAGCTTCTCCAAGAACAGGAAATTAATATCGTAATAATAATTATTTATTTATTTTCTTTATTTTTCAATATTCTTTATTTTAGCACAGTTTCGAGGCCACTTTTCGAAGAAATCCTGGTTTTTATATCGCATTGGTCATGATTCCTGCATATGTCATCAATGTCCTATCAATTCTAGCATTATTCATAAATATCGATGATCGATCTGAAAAATTCACAATTGGAATGACGAATATCATGTCGATGACGTTCATTTTATCTATTTTATCGGCTGATCTTCCTAAAACTCAAAATCTTCCACTTTTGGGTTCGTTTTATTTTTTCTGCTAGATCGAAAATTTGAAAAATTCAGCGATTTATGTTTTAACGAATTTATCTATTATGCTTACATCGTTAGCTGCCGTTCTGTTTCTTCCAAATTTTCGGAAATTTTTTGGCCTCAAAAAGAGAAAGGAAGTTGATACAAATGGACTTTCGGTGCCTAGAAAGTGGTTAGTTTTCAAATTTTACAAAAAATAAATGTACTATTTAGGTGGACTAAAATACTTACTATCGAGTTTGGATTAATGCTTTTTTTTTTAAATTTGTAATTTTATTAACTTTATTATTCTTTTCGCTTTGTGACACAAATCTGTTGTCATGACAGCAAGAAATAGTTTCTTCTAGTTCGATCTGCAATTAATTGTTCGACGAGTACACACTCGCTTTTCATTTGACGAAATAAAATTTCGTGTCGTACTTTTGTTATTATATTTATTTCAAATCTTTTAAAATTATTTTTTTCAAATGCTAATTCTCATGATTCTTTTCTGTATTGAACTCGGCTAACCATTCGTTTCATATTTTCCCAATGATTTTATAAATTAGTTAATTTGTGAAATATTTTATATTTTCATCAGCATTAGCTATGCATCTATAGAACATTCTCCATTTCATCATGTTTTATTAAATCATTGCACGTGACGAATTAATCCAGAAAATCAGCTCAATTTGCAGCGGAAAAATAGTATTATAGCGAGGAGAGTCGAGAGCATAACGAAATTTCGTTGGAGCAAACTTGCCTCTCATAAAATTGTGATTCAGTTCCAAAAGAAAAAGTTCATTCGGTTTATCATTTTATTACGTTGTCACCGTTTACTTTCAGAGATGGACGGTTTGATCCAACTCCTTTGTGGTTGTTGCCGACCACAGGATGGCGAATCAGACATACCTTATAGACGAATGGAAACGAACAATGAGGTGATGCCTGTTAGGGACCCCCCAATTACTAATCCAAACCTACACTCACCCGGATTCGAAAATGGGTAACGCACCAGAAAATTTTTATTGGTAGCAATTTATTTTTAGCGGTTTGGATTCCACAGATGGAGCTAGGTTGATATCTCCACAATCCGATTCGACATTGGAAAAGACGGAACAGGATTTAGAGCGCGATTTGATGGACGATATTCTGGAAAAAACTCAACACGTAAGGCCACGCAGTTAGAAATTACTCAAAATTGATTTAGAGCATCATTACTGTTGGAAATACTGATCAAAATGTGGTTTCAAGAGTCGAAATCCATACTAGAGAGAGGAAGTACGAGGCTCTCATGAAAAACCATCTTGAAAAGATGCCAAGAACAGTGGAGCAGCCAAGTTCAAGTGAATATGGTAAATTGTAAAGTGAAAAATAAACTAAAATGGTATTTATATTGACAGATATCAGCTTCGAATTCGATGCAACTCAACAACCAATTGAATTGCCGACGACTTATGAAGCCTTATTGGCAGCTACTCGTCCTGCAAGTGATAAATCGGCGCATCCGCATCCTCCTACCGTTTTAAGAGCTAGACCAACTGGTTTAACTCATTTAATATTTATTAAGTATTTAATGAAATTCAGGCCGCCAATACAATACGCTTTTGTTGGAACATCCCGATGTCAAACATGCGGGAAGGATGAACAAAGTAGCGAAACCATTGAAGGAAAAGGTAGTTTAATTTTGTAAAAATAGAAACTGATGTTACAACGATGGTATTTCGAAATTTATTTTTTTTTTTTGACAAAATTGATTATTTATATGTTTATATGTATTACCATTACAAAAACAAAACCAGCACCCTCGTTACTGTAGCTTATAAATTCCCGGTGTTTCGAAACGAAACGTGGTCGTTTTTGAAACTCGGATCCGGAAACATTTAAATGAAAAAAGAAACAGGACCCCTATGTTTCAACAAAATTCGCCCTGAGCCGGAACTGTAAATTAAGGGCGAAATGTTAATGGAGTGTCGTACTGGTACTGTTAAAAACTTTTTTAACAACCAATGACAGCTCGAGGCAATGCGGTTTGTCATTGTTTTGTCTTATTAAAAAATCCGCTTTGGTTTTCCTTAAACGAATTCTCAGTTACAATGAGTTCGATCCGCAGTTTATCCATTTTTTCGTGTACTAATTCCAACTGTTCAACCTCAAATTGGAATTACAGCGCTGAAAACATGCTATATGATCTGCAAACAACCTGGGTGTTTGTTTTTTTTCAATGTTTTTCTTTTCAAATACTTTTTCGACGAGTCATCCGTGGAAATAATTGTCAAATTACATCCAAATGTCAAGAATTATTTCAATTGAACTCAAATAGCTCTAATATGTCATTCTTTTCAGCTCATGAACTCGGTTAAAACTATTCACAACGACGTCTTGAAATGCGAAATCGTTCACAGGGGCCAATTGGTTGTTTTCATGGACCCATAATTGCCAAAGTTTAGAAGTTGATTGGATCTAGTTGATTCATAGTCCTCCTCACTAGCAAAACTCGTTATTCTTGTCCATATTCGTGTGTTTTGTTTCACTTCAATTTCTAAATTCTATCGAATTTATTTAGTTATCATGTCTATTCGGTCCAATATCCCTCTAATTTTCTGTTCATTATGATTCGTTTTTTTCTTTTTCCTTCGTCGCCTTTTCCACCGCTGCCTTCTCCGGTTTCTTCTTTTTTTCTATTTTGTGTTATATCCAACATTTGTATGTAAATGATCATATTTTTCTTCTATATAAACCATATTATCAAAACGTGTGATAAGAGCGAATTTATCGTACCCATGCGATAATTAGATATGTCAAAGAATTGGCAAAAATGATTGAAGACACCAGGAAAACGAATTTGGATCACATGAATGGGAGCAAGTCTAATGAAGAGCTAGAGCAACACATAAGCAAATTAATATCGGAAAAATTGGCGAATAACTGCGGGTTGAGATGGCGGTAGTTGAGTCGCTGTTGCATAGATGGCCGGTACAAGCACAATGCATGTCCTCGTATTCCTCTGATATCCATTTACGTGAACATCCTAATTGAACCTGAAATTTCGATGAATCGGCCCAAATATCTATCGATATATGATTTTATTGCAATTCATTTCAACTTCTACGAATTGAATTCGCCATCCTTATCATTTACTGATAATCATTTTAGATAGTGATTATTTTGCAAACGGTTCGCTTCATTTTTATGAACTGTTGGGACTTACATGAGTGCTATCGGAGACATTCATGCAACCTTGAAGCTCGCTGACTGATCGAATTGTGTTCATTCTGCCGCCATTATTATTGAAATGCCTCTGAGCTGCATATGTGCAATAGTGGCCTAAATATATTGAATTGGTTTGGGAAACTGAAGTGGGATTTTCACGAAATCGTACCCATGCACCGATTGCTTCGACAGGATGATGTCATTGAGACTGCTGTTGGATCCATCGTGTTCACCTCGCAATTATAGCAAGTTTGGAGAGGAAGTGTAAAGTCAGGATTACTGAAATATTTAATAATATTTCTTTAAATTATAATCCATTATAATAAAATATTTCTTTAACATAGCATTGTCGACTACAGTCAACTATCGGGAATTTAAATTATATGTATCAAATTCAATTTTAGCGCGAAAATAACTGATTTATGTATGCGCTTTTTATACGTTCCTTAGTTTGCATATGTTTGATACGTAGTCAAAAGCTCGAGGCGTGAGATATCAACAATATAAGGATTTTTTAAGAATTGTTCTTTAGAAACGACCAATTGGAATTATTATTTTCGTTACAGGCTATTCCAAAATCAGACCTCATAATTAATGATCTTGACCGCAAACTCGACTCCTTCTCTCTGTCGCGATCCCTCATCATAATCAGATTTTTCATATTGTAAACTGTATTACACATGTGCGTGTTGCAAATGCAATGTCTTCTCGGTTTGCCAGCCCCCCTGAAATCGCATTAATTTTGTGTTGAATCTTGGCTCGTCGCGCACCTCGACAGTGTTACACAAACTTTGCTGCGATAATAGAAGATTTCTGGTCCGCGGTAGTAAAATGGGAGTGCTGGCGGTCCGTAACCGCAGCCAGACGCGCCGGTTGTAATATCCTCATGGCACCTGAATGTTCAAGAATTGAGCGACGCGAATGACGCAACAATTCGTACCAATGGCCGATGCAAGTGTCCGCGCAGTCGGGATTCTTTTCGGTGCACTGCCGACACGAAATATTGCGGAACGAGACCTTCGAGTCCATCACAACGTGGCTGTTGCAGAATTTTCCTGCAACCCAGCGATCAAGTTTTTCTTTGAGAAAACCCAACGTTTCATCATACCGTGACAAACGCAAAGAATATGATCGGAAAAATGATCATGCTGACATCCGGAATGCATTCGAGATGTTCGACGTAGACACCCTAAAATTGTCCAATATTTCACAATTCGTCATTTGGTTGTCAATCAGCAAATTCTCATTTCGACGCTTCAAGGGGTTTCTGCCACATTAACAAGGCAAATGTGTATGTGTCGAATTGGTGAGGCAAAATTAAAAAACGACATGCTAACATTTTAAATATCCCGCGACATTCTTGAATTTCGAAAGCCAAATAATTCTAGTCATCATATTGAAAGTATTCGAATGACATCCTAGTGACAATCAAAAAGTTTTGAATTGAATTCATCTCGAATTCGAAAGAATCGACATCATCAAACCTTTAGTGATTTTCATAATTCCTGGAATTTCGGTGGGTTTCTTCTCGATGAAACACTGATTGGCTTGGCATGAGCCCATCTGAAATATTTTCGATTTCAATTCACATCTCAGATATTCATACATAAATGCGTAAAAATGGAATAGTAAACGCGTTTTGACGTCGTTTGAAGCCACCCCCGGCAGAAGCCAAGCTCATTGCGTTTTATGTGTTTCCCCCTTATGTTGCTTCTTTTTCAACTGACCTGACAATTGCATGGCTCACTGTGGCATGTGCCCGAACACGAGTAGCACAATTCGGAAGTGATTCGAAGCGGCAATATGCCGAAAATCAGCGCAATTGTCACGAAAGCGATAGCGGTCATTTAAGGAAAAGCCCTTGTCGTTTTCCATTAAATCATCAAACAATTCTGAAATGAGAAAAACAAATGATAGAAACGCAAAATAAAGCAAAGGACAATTTAAGGAGAAGTTTGAAGTGCAAATGTCATTAATTTTCAAAAAAAAAAAACAAAGATGTGGACAATTTTTTTGAATTTTAGAACCATGAAAAAGACGCTTTCAACAGTAGATAACAAATAACAATTCGAGTTTATTGATTGAAAGTTTTTAATGAAATCGGTAGGTGAATCATTGGAATTAATTCGTGGCTTTGTGCGGCTCCTGGTTCTCTCATTCTCGATGGTGCTGCGCTGCTCATACTGGCGCACTTCCTGTACAACTCCGCCCATTCTCTGCGCTTCTCCTCCTCAATGCGATGCCTCGATGTCGCATTCCATTATGACTCCATCGGCATATCGGTGAAGCGGAAAACGAGCGCGAATCACAAAGCCGAAATCCAGTGAAGAATCAAAACAATTGCAAGAGTTCCATTAGAGCAGGAAAATGTGGAATGCGATTAGCAATTAAAAAAAACTTCAAATCTGGGGGATCTCTTAAATTCCATGTGGCATCCTTCCAGCTAAACGAAAATGCATAGTTTCAAAATGCTCAACAATTTTGCTCAATTATGAACAGTTGACAAAAAATTTATCGAAAATGATTAGCAAGTAAACGTGGTTTCGCATCATACAATATTTTGGAAGCCCATTCACATATTGCAAATCACTCAATTATTCATAAATGTCACCTCATTCGTTTAGGCCTTCACGCTTATTGTTTATCGGCGAAATTGGTGGCCAACATAACGCAACGAGGAGGGCGCCAATAAACGCCAATTTTTTTCTCGAGTCGAAGAGAAAATTGAAATTTCGCATTCACTCATTTACGCATCCTTTTGTTCGATGAAAAATTAATTGAGGCGCATTTATGACAAATACGAATAATTTTCCAATTAATTTTTATAATGTGAAATGAGGAAAAAGAAAAACGAAGCTCACGCCAAAAAATTTGAAACCAACAAATTTTGCGAACAAATGTTTAATCGGAAAAATGACCTCTGGCAGAGTACAAGACAACGTGTGATTTGTGAAGGGATGGGAAATTGATGCGAACATTCTCAGCTTTTTTATGAAGAAAGCAAAAATAATAGGGAAAATATGTCAAAAATATATTGTTATGATCGGCAATATTTATTTAGTTTGACACAAATCGAATTTTTCAGTCGAATCACAAATATCTATTTATTAGTTATTAGTATTCATTTAGAAGTAAACAAATTGATCAACAAACAACTGAAATTGTAACATTTGTGTGATATTACGATTCGAATATTTTCACACACATATTCATCCAGAAAGAGTTTAAAGCTCATTCGGCACATCGTGAATCTCATTGAAAAATGTGCATTATTTTGAAACAATGGGACGCCGAAAACGAAGGTTTTATTTTTGAAATCTATCACACCAAAAACATTCGTCTTCAAAAAAGACGAATAAATCAAATTTGTGACAATTTGCATGAAACAATTTCCCCACGAAAATTTTTCACACGTGTAGGTTTCGAAAATTTGTCGAATCATAGAAATGTCGTATTTCTTGTTGAAAAATCTTGACTCAATAAATTGCAAACAAATTGATTGGCTTTAAAAATATTAAACCACTTATATGTATGTGGTTCAATTGAGACACTGAACTGAAAATATCTAAAACTGAATTTTGCTGTATTCCCACTAAAGTATTCGGAAATGCGTTGTTTCATTCTCAACTGATTTACCCAAAACGGCTAATGGACCCTCTAGTTCAGTTTGCAGCATTTTATTAAAACTTATTGGATTATAAATTGGCAACTAGATAATGAGTTGTCAATTTTGTGATACAATTAAGAAAGGCATATTCCGCCATTCCACACGCAGGCCAGTGACATTACAATAAACGAAGAGGAGAAAAACAAGTTGGCGAGTTGGGATGAGAGCAGCTGCCGATCGGCCCCTCTGCAGAATCATGATAAAAGGAAGAAAAAAAGCGATAGGTAACATCAAGGAACGCGTTAGAAGAAAGTTTGGAAACAATTCGATGCATGCAATTCATCATCTCACAGCGACGTCTGTCACAACCCGCTAAACAATATTTGATGATTTTGAACGTTTTTTGAGATTGCTCACTCGCACACTAGTATTGAAATAGAGCGAAAATAGTTATCAGGGCAAATGAGAGAAATGTAGGACAGGTGAAATTGCAGAATATAGCAGTGGCCAGAGTGTGCTGGGACCCGAAAGTACATATTTCAGAGCAAATTGATATCGAGAATTGCAAAATGTACAGTGAGACAATCAAACGCGCATGACCTACTTGTCTCAAAATGACATACACTTTGGGAGTTAGGTTAAGAAAATTTTGATTTACACGAAAAACTGCTTAGCACGATTTTCCTCTAAATGATTAGACTTTTTGATATCTCGGAAAAACGGCATAGCATAATAGGGAATTTCACAAACTACTTGTGCGCGAAATCAGAAAAAATTCCAAACCACTAGATAAAAACACTTCCCTTGTAAGAAGGTACTACCTTACTTACCTTGAACCTTATTCGCAATCTTTCAGCTCAATCGAAGAAATAACTTTTCGGTGCCCAAACAAAAAAACCTAATTTAATTTTTTGTCTAGCTTATAGATATACAGCTTTATTCATTACATTACATATTAGTTGAATTGAATCAGCGACTTGATGCCTATGCTATATGTGCATATTATTTTATTAAATTACTAGACTGATACACAATTGTTAACTAATTTTCAGAATGCTAATGAAGTTGTCAGCATGATATTGGTTTATTATTATAGATGTTTGTTTATTTATTAAAAATTTAATATAATAGGCTTTAATTGATGAACTTTCCGAAGCAATCTAAACAAAATTCGAACAAACATATGGCAAAAATCTCAAACAAATCACTAAATGTGGGTGGAATGCGACGAGAAATGACAAAAAGAGCAATGTCTGGTTTGTTTCAGAAAAATATTAAAAATAGGGAAACGAAAAAGAAAAACTCAAACAACTTTCTACGTACTTCTTGACACCCGCTGAATAAAATTTGATTGCGGAAAACTTTGAAACGAATTCAAGATTAATGAGGTGCTACTTTGCAAACAAATCAAAAATTTATGATACGAAGTGATTTGCTGGTTCAATTTTTCCAAAAATTGAAGTAATGATGTTTTGAGAAAAGAAAAACAATGAAAAATATGAAACTCTTTTACGTAATGTATATTTCTCGAAAATTATATTAATCTACGAATTCAATAAAATTTAAAACCTAAGAATACTCATATTAAATAATACATATTATGTTATAGTTACTGGAAAAAGGCTTCACAAGATGCACAAATAAAATTTGCTTTTACAACATCAGAAGCCGGATTTGATGTTTTATAAATTGATGATAATAAAGTTTCAACGACGGCTATGCATGTTTGTCCTATTTCAGCATCAAACAAACATTACAATTAGATCTAATTAACTTTGGCAACATTTTTCTCAAAATATATAGTCATAAATCAAAGAAAAATAAGTAGCTGCTATAAACGGAAGCAATGGAAACGTTTGCTCTTCGTTGGATCATCATCGATCATCCAGAGAAGCAAAAAAACTTTGTTTTTTTTTGTCTACACGAGAAGCAAAAACGATCATAAGACGTTATAAGGACATTCGTAAATTAATTGGCAAATTTGTCGGGTGTTAGGCTCGACAAAAATTGTGGGGAAGGCCCATAAATGCGTGTATCATCATCATTTGTGGAGGACGACGGGCGCACACTCCAAATGTCATGAATCGCGTTTAAATTGCGCGCGAACATCACACGATGAGCATCGTCGGAAGCGCTTTGTGACCAAACAATCTCGCGTGCTCGACCAATTCGCCCCAATATTATAATTTAGGCATGCATCGAAATGATTTATAAGATTCAGTTGAATTTGAGATCCGACAGTATAAGTGAATTGGGTAGAATATTAATAGAAAAATAGTAATGTTTGACTCTACATATTTACAGTGGACGTTAATTTCGGAATCCTCTTGATGAGACTGGCAGCACGCGTTTGACGGGCGCGCTCACTTTCTTCTCACTTCGTCGTTCGACTTGAACACCAACATTTCTTTTCGGTGACGGGGGACACGATGATTTATCTGCAAAAAATGGAGAATTAGTTGAAGAGTTGTATAGATTGATATATGGCCGAAATAATGCCTTTTAAAAAATCAAAAATTATCTTCCAAGTTTAATACTTCATATTGATATGGACAAATATCAATAAATGAAAATATTTTTCCAGATTAAAAAAAAAAAACCATGACCCATCTATTCATGCCATAAACAAGTGTTAGAAAATACACATTTTACCAACGCAGGAAAGTAAAAGAAAATGCATTATTAAATTTAATTTTTTTTTTTCATTTTTTGAATCGGTCTATTTCAACTCACAGGACATTCTTGAAAATTATTGGTTCCATTTTTTGAACGAAATCTAACCAATTTTCCAAGCATATTATTAACATGTCTCGCATGCAGGTGCTTAGAACAATAGTCTTCGGTGTTCCAATTGGCAGGATCATAGAAAAATGAAAAATGAGGAAGGGATTCTTAGAGGTTTAAAAAAAGAAGCACTATAATCTTGAATCGTTTTGGAAAATATTTAACAGTCTCATATGATATTTAAAAATATAGCAAATCATGAAAACAATTGTTATAGCTTACCACTCAATGGTCGTTTTTTATTCTCTTTATTCCTTTCCAATTCATTTGCTAAATCCAATAATGGGTCGCCAAATGACGATGATGGAGGAGTGGGAATGTGTGTTTTTTCTAAATACCAAATTACAATTTGAAACACGTCTTTTTTTTTCAAATTTCCTACGAACCATCAGAAATTACATCCAGCATTTCACGATAATTATTCGCTATATTTCTCTTCAATTTTCCTTTGATCTGACATTCAAGCATTTCGAAATGTTTTTCGTATTTTTCAACCTAAATTTGAAATAAATATAGTTTAAAACAAAAATACATATAGTCGGCGAACAGTAACTGCTATATTCGGGTAGATTTACGGGTGCGTCATGGTCTCGAAACGCGTCAATGCTTATTTCGTCGTTTCTGGTGAAATAAGCTGTAAATTCAAAATTGGCAGGTTCATCCGCGCGATTCCATAGAGTAAGGCGTATGACCGTAAATCTACCCGCGGTTGCCGAATTTATTAAAAATATCGTAACCTCTGCTCTGTATTTATTCAAATCCGCTACCAATGCCTTATTTTTGCTTTCGAGTGACATTTCACGTTCGCTGAACTTTCGTGTGAGTCGCGCGATCTCCGAATTGTTCTCACGCAGGGCTTCGTCTAGTCGTTTCTGAACATCCTCTCGATATGTGTTCTGCAAAAAATGCAACTAAACTCGGGCTGAAAATTATGAATTGAATACCATTTGTTGTACAAGCTCAAGTTCATTTCTTCTCGCCTTTTCCCGATTTTTCTCGTCTTCCTGAAGCATCGCAGTTTGCAATCGTTGCACTTCTTTAGTTCGCTCGATCATCTAAAACAACACCATTAGAATAAATTGAAAAGAACGAATCACACCTGCTCTCGAGAATCGATGAGTTCCTCGTTTAATTGCGTTTTCTTCTCTTCAAGTACAAAAATTTCGTCTGTTAACCGTTCATTCTTTTCTAAAATGAAAATCAAATGAACATATAAACGTCGATAAAATAGCTCACTTTTCACAATTGCAAGCTCAGTTTCTAAATCGGCATTGTGTTTGCTTATCCTATCATTTTCCTAAAAAAATTTGTTTGTACTTAATTAAAGATTTGATGAATCTGATAGAAAAAATATGGAAAATGTTTATCGACCTTATTTAACGCGTCGATTTTTTCTTCTTGCGATTCAATCCTATTCATAGCCGATGTTAAAGTAAAATCGAGCTCCTCATTTCTTTTCGAAACAGATTCATTCTTCTTAAATTCAATTATTATGGATTTTCATTATTTTTTCTTTAAATACCTTCTCAACTTCTTCGAGTTTTTCGACCAATTCGATTTCTCGCTTTTCGAAATCATCAAGTATTGTTTTAAAAGCGGAATCCATCTAAAAAAAAATTAAAAATTGTTTTTTTTTGTAATTTTCAAATAACAAAATACCTTATCAAAAACTCGAAGTTGAGAGTCCATAATTCTAGTCTCGCATATTTTCAACTTCAATGCTAAATCTTGTTTGTGTTTCGAGAGAAGCTGTATTTCCTGTTCCATAGTTTGAATACTCATTAGTTTAACTCTCATTATATCTGTTGAGACAAATAATTGAAATGTTTTTTTTTTGTTTTCCAAACCAATAAGTTCGTCCTTATTCATCATCTTCATCCCTTCCAATTTCTTATCAATATCATATCCTTTCAATAGTTCATCCAATTTCATATTTTTGTCGATTGTCACAATTTCATTCCAACTTTCCACGAGATCTTTGAATATTCGAGTAACGAATTCTTCAGCTCTTAAATAAAAATTGAAAATGACTGATTTTCTTTGGAAGAATTCTCGTTACTTTTGGGACACTGGCGCCTTTTCCGTCAAAGTATGATTGAATTGGCTCTCAGTTTCCACATTTCGTTGCTCACTCGAAGGATCGCGATTGCTACTAAAATGCATCTAACGTTTTTTTTTTTCTTTCATTTCATTGTATGCAATATGTTTAAATTTTATATTAGCCCGAGAAACATTTTTCAAATTATTTATTCTTACATTATGGATTTTCTCGGTGAAGGTTGAGGTCTTCGTACTAACTGAGACGCGCTAGCACCTGCTGGAAGCGATTCATCAATTTTCGACTCATCCATCTAATATTCAAAACTTCCTTATATAATTTCTGAGAATTTCGAAATATATTAAATAATGACTCTACAATTGAATTTTTTTCCAACAAAAAATTAATTTAAAAATCTTCATTTAACAAAAAAAACACAGAGCAGCAGAGAACAGGAAAAATAAAGGAAATATCACAAGGCAATCGATAAAATTATCACATAAGTGAAGTACAGAATGTAAACCAGAAAAAAAAGAATACTTAAGCTGCGCATTAAAATTGGCTAATTTTGAATGGGATTGAATATGCTAAAAAAAAATAGTTTAAGACTCACACAACCAGACTAGTTTCAATAAGCTATTCGATATGGAACTGTTCAATTTGAGGGGCCTGGGTTAAACGATGACATTCCACTACCCATCGGAAACATCAGCATAGAAGATTGGAGATATTCAAGATCGGGCAGTTGTTCAAGCAACTTCCGCGCATCCAATGAGAGAACCTGCACGTCCTTATAAGGACTTTTTCGGCTCTCGTTCGTTTTTTGGAGAATCGAGTCAAGAATCGAACTAAAATAAATGAATTTCGCACATTTTCAAATTCCGAAAATCTTACGATTTCGAATGATTTTGCAGCTCATTCGAGGAATTCAATCCAAATTCGGCGAGATCCTTTTGCAACGGATTAGTAAAACTGTTAACAACACCATTTGAAGAGAGAAAATCCACATCGATTATCGCAGAAGTTTGACCTAACTAATCAAAATTAGAAAATGCCCGTGTTGGAGGATATCAGGTACCTGCTCCTTTCAGTGGATTAGTAAGTCCCGAAGCATCCCAATCAAAATCAACAACCGGAATTGTAGGAGAATCTCCGTTGCTTGTGCTACTCGGTGTATCTTTACTTTCTTCAGTAGGCGACAATTTATTTGATGAAGACGGAACCGAAGACGATACAGGCGTCGGAAGAAGCATCGAAGAATCGAATATCGGCTTTTCCCTCCTTTCAACTTTATTCTAAAATAATGTTTCACAATCGAGGAAAATTTTTTTTGAAGAAATAATTATTGAGAAAATGAGTTCTTTGAATCCTCACTAATTTATAAGTTTGACAGTTTTTGAAATTAAAGGACTTACCGGATCAATTCTTAACGAGTTGAAGTGATTTTTTCTCAGACTAGATGACTTCCATTCGAATTTCAGCGATCTTGCGTCTTCGACTATTCGTAACGATAACCATAAATATGCGCTAAAATCAAAAATGATATTAATAGAAAAGATACAAGAAACTTACGAAGCATCGTTTTCGTTTAAATTTACATCATTGAATTTTTGAATAATATCAGAACATTCCGAGTTGCATTCTTCATCTTCCTCTGGTGTATACACGTTTTCAGAATCGAATCCATCATTCCAGAACTCCTCGTTATCCATTAAACTCTCAAGTTTTAGAAAACTTTCCGCCTCCACACTAGTAGATGGTCCAACTGCCGCGCTAGCAAATTCGGCCTGCCAATCGTCTGAACAATTTCTATTCATATTAAAAAACAGTTGTTATAAATTTTTAATACCGTTTGCACCTTTGATTTCTTCACCTTCAAATGCACCCCAATCTTCCAAAGAATCATTTTTCGTGAACTAAAAACATATAATGATTTTCCAAATTAGAACCATTTTCTTACCGTTGGCTTAATTGCTTCAATTTTTGATGGTCTTGCTTGATCAAAATCTCCCCAATCATCATCGTCACCATTTGCAGAAACTTCAACAATGGTCTGAAAAACTTACATTTTCATATTGCTTTTATTCTACACAATTACATCACTGATCGGCGCGGCAGCACCAAAGTCTCCCCATTCATCGTCTTCATCATCTTTACTAACTGATTCTTCTACTTTTGTCGACATATCGGAAGTCTGAAGTTTGAGAAATTGTAAATAAAACACTGAAAATGAAGCCAACCCCAATCTCGTTAGCTGTTTTGAAATAGGAAAAATCGCTAATTCGCGAGTTCGCCGTTTCAACATCACTTTCGGATACCTGAAAGGAAAAAAATAAATGTAAAAAAAAGGAACCTTAATTGACTTATTCATAAAATGTATGTTTTTACAAAAAAATTATATAATTCTGCTTTGGAAAACATGTTTTTTTTTAACTTTTTTATTACATGAATAAGTCCATAAAGCTTATAAATTGAATTTTTCAAGTATAAAACATTTTACATCTATTCGGGTACCGATTAGCAAAATTAAATTTTAAAAAAGTGTACGAACCTGGTTTTCATTTAAACAAACTCCGGAAAAACTTTGCGCTGTTTTCATCTCATCAACTTCCTTCTGCAATTCGCTTTGTCCTTTTCCCACAAATTCATTTTCGTGTTCTTCAGCATCCTCGTCAATTGAATTGACCCGGTTTGAAAATGATTCATTCGTCTCATCAATAACTCCCGAAAATGGAGGTGGACCATCCACCTCCATCTGGAACACCTTCAAATTCTAAAGCAAAAATATAAAAAAATTTATACATAAATAATGAAAAAGAGTAAATTTCGGTTGCGAAAACGCTTGAAAACAGAGTGAGGACAAAAACAAGAAAGGTTGAAAGAATGCCGAGGTGAATAGTTGGCGGCGACCGGTTTTCAATGCCTCTCAATTTTTTGCCGCAAAAATTAGTTAGAACGACTTCATGAAACCTGAGAATCAATCATTTTTGTGGAAGCTCATATAGAAAATTATGTGTTACTATGACAACCGTGGAGTAAAATGATGTGAAAAAGGAAAAACCAAAAATTGCGATTTCTCATCAATATCAATCTAATCTAATTCTAAAAATGGAATTAAAATGGTGATAAGAGGTTGAAACAGTGTATTTCTAATTCAATTTGTCATTCGATGATTATAAATAAATGAACTAAAAGGTTACGCATGCAGGCGACAAAGTAATATTGGCCATGGAGCGCACATGCCGTTTCAATTGTTTGTTTGTTTTTGGGCAAATGCGTTGACCACCCTTTATCTGATTGGTATTCGGTTTCAAAATTGATTATAACTAACAAATTTGCACCCTCCATTTATGCATTATTTATGAGTTGAATGCATATTAAATAATGGTTTATACAACAATGTACTTTTCAATCGAATGAAAAATTTCAATTAAAATATTACAATTGCAAAAAATAATCGAGCGACCTGTGAGGACTTTTTTCTCGTTTATTGAATGTACTCGTTTTCTGCGATATTATTAAATAGTAAATTTCGTTTCCCACACATTTATTATTGTCATTATTATAACAATTTTCTCCCTTTCAAATAATTACATATGGAACGAGCGTGAAATCAATTATAAAACTGATGTGAAGATAATAATAATTATGTATTGCATAAAAACTATGCTTTGTTGTGAAGGAGAGGGTTAAGGTGAATAAAAATACATTAATTAATGAAACTGGACATCAATCAGCTGAAAACAAAAATAAAATCGGTTTCTTTCCGGCTGAAAATGTTTTATTTTACAAGGTGAGTTGCTTATCAATGATAGCGAAAGAGAGAAAAATGAAGAGAAGCAAACATAAATATTTTTTTTGAAATAGTTACAATAATTAGGGTCCCAAAAAAACTGAAGGGAAAAGAAACAAAAAGATGAATCACATGCGATTCTTTTCAAGTATTGAATTGAATGTGAAAATGAGAAATTTCTGAGATTAAAATAACATTTTGATTTAAAAATAAATAAAAACGAGGAGAGATGAATGAAAAGTTTAAATTGGGCCTAAAAGGTTGGGAGCTCGCCGGGCAGCGCGATGAAGCAATGGAGTAGCTGGCGAGGTCGATACCGGACCCAAAATGCTCCGATCAAAAACTGCGGCATTCGTTTCTGCATATCTTGGGGTCTCAATCACATCGGTTTGGTTATTCAAAAACCGTTGCCAATAAATCTTTAAAAAATCAAATTCATAAAATAGCTAAGAAAATTAATAAAAGCCTTTCTTACGTCATCAAATGAGAATAGAGCAATCATGGTACGCTCGCAATTGGCAACATCGTGAGCCGCTGTTTTATCAATTTTCTGTGGCATTCCCATTACGGCGGGAGCAAGACAAGTCGCCATTGGCTTCTCATCCATCTTATTGAATTCAGAATGAGCGATGACCTAAATTCGATTCTAATCTATCGCTTTAATTAAAAAGGAACAAACCTTTTTCCAGTGCAAAAATAGATAAGCCATAGTATCACGATTGGCTTGTGGGAGCTCACAAATCACACGATTGAGGGCTAGACGACCTTTAGCTTGATCAGCAGCATACAGTGCACCAGCAGAAAGGATCTCCGCACGCGAAGTTTTTGGAACAAGTGGATCCTACATATTGCATATAGTTTTTATACGTAATTGTTAAAATTACCCTCAAATCCCTCAAAAATCTTTTCAATGTTTCCGTGATCACATCAGAATCTTGAATGTCGAGGTTCGGAACAGTTTTCGACGTTCTCAATTCGGTCAACAATTTGCCAACAACTCGAACATCTCCTGGTACACGGTAAAGCCCAATGTGATTCAAACGATTCTTCTCAAGTGCGACAACGCAGTGCACAATTGGATAGGGAATCATTGGTTTCGCGCTTGTGCAGAAGTCTTGAAGGCGGTATTCGCGACGTTGAGTTCGATTTACGCTTTTTGGAGTCGAAATGGTCTTCTGGCGTGGAACACATGGCGGATGAAGGAGTCTGGCGCACATTTTATGAACACTCTGATGACAATCCTTGCACTTAAGGGACTTGCTAGCAAAAATCGAACTCTGGCATCCATCGCATTTTTGGACTTTCTAAAGCTTCACGAAATATACAATCGATGAAATGCCAAAACTTACAAAATTTATTCCGACTTCTTCAAAAGTATGCTCTCTAGCAGCTATATCTTTGCTGCTTCCGGTTGTCCATGAAGGAGCATTTACGCATCGCTTAAGAGTTCTAATGTCCAACGTGCTTTTGGTTATGGCTGCATTTCCGCCCACCATTCCAGTAGTTTGCCCAGGAGTCTTAAATCATTAGTATTATAGAAGGCGTTCCACACACGGGCGAACCCCAACAGATGGCACACTCCCACAACTCAGGCTTCGACGAGTCACAGTTCGGTGAACGCTGCTTCTCCCTGGTCTACCATCTTTTCCGGTAATAGTCAAAGTAGTCGTCGTGGTTGTTGTTGTGGTCACTTCAGGAGCATTTGAGCTTCCATCACGGCATCGCTTGGGTGGAGTTCCTCCTTCAGACTGCAAAAATTATTATTTGATACATTAAATACTTTGAAACAGGTTTACAGGTTCTTCTTCTATTGTTGCGGTCATAACACGGCTACGGCTTCTTTTGGAATTAATGGCTGGAGCAGTTGGAGCAACATTGGGTTGCGCTGATGAGGATCGTCGGTTACGTGCTACCGAAGAGCGACGAACCTCTCTACCATTTCTCAGAACAATAACTTCGTCGAGACTGTCTCCGGTAACGTCGTAATCGACTTCACTATCGTCTCCGTCATCTTGTGTCTCCTTAAACAGAAGGAATATAGAGTTATGTACAAATCAGCTGTTTAACGAACATGTAATATTTGTGGGTATTTTGCCTGAACTCTTGTGGAATGTGTGCGCATCAAAGGCTCTCTCAAGAAGGCAAACTGATCCCGATCTTCTTTAGTCAAACTATCAAATAATCCACTTTTCATTGCTTCCTTAAGTTGTTTCTCTCGTGTTTCATACACATTCAAGTCAAGTTTGAGAGCGCGATTTTCTTCCATAACAACACTCATATGCTTTCTGGTATCAGCTAAGTCACTCTTTTGAACTTCCACAGTCTTCCGAGTTTCTCTGAAAATTACATTTTTTTTTCAAATACAAAGTAAGAACTAACATTAATTGGCGTTCTGTTTGTCGTGCTTCTTCTAAAATTTTCTTTTTTGATTCTTCTGATGCTTTCCACAACTTTCGTAAACGATCGATCTCATTTACTAAGTGAATCATGCCTAAATTGTTTTCATGAGCTAATCATTCCAACCAATTATTATAATTATTACCAAGGTCAGCAACATCTAAACCTGATTTTTGTGTATTTATTATTAAATTCAGCAGCTTTCTCGAGTTTTCGCTGCATATTTTGTCGTGTTTCGACATCATGCCTGAAATAAACCTTAAAATATAATTTCAGCTTATCATATTATAAATTCTTTCACGTATAACAACTTGTTTGACTGAAGAGCGCACTGAAAATGACAATCAATTTCAACAAAACGAGCGTGAAACATGGAAACACATTTGAAAATCGTGGCTTTCCGCTTTTCTTGAAACCACGCCATTCGCAATAGAGCGCGCTTGCACTTAGTTCACACGGCCACGGTCGCCGGCCACGTCGAGTTTTCAATCGATAATTATATAACTGCTCAATGGCCCAATATTGCAAACTATATCCATTTCACCGTCTAATTATGCCTTATTGATATAATACTGATTAAATCATTTACTTTGATTTCTAACAAAAATCTTGCGATTAAATTTTGCAATCTTGAAAAATTGAATCCATGCGCATAAGTTATTATTCAGCAATTAAGAAATATATTTCTTAATTGTCAATACACTAAAAAGAAACATGAGATAAATTTCAATGCAGCAAAAAAGAGAAAAAAAGTATTTTCATTTTCCCTTATTCCTTTTTTTGCATAGAAAATTTCTACATTTTTCCAAACTGTTTCCACTTTGCCCTATTATTGATAACTCATTCTTCGTGAACACGTTACTTACTTTAAATACTTTTGAAATTTAATTAAATTGTAGAATGACACAAGAAGTTCCACCAGAAATTGCTTCATTAACAAATTTGTTCATATTGGGTTTTGCATTAACTTCAATAGCTGTTAGCAGTTTATTTACGTAAGATTCGTTAAAAAGTTGGTTAATTATTTGTAATTTGAAGACTTTCGTATCTAACGCCATGGATTCGACGAAAAAGAAGCGACTATATGGCGCCAGTTACAATTTATCGTTCGACGCCGGAGAAACAGTGATATTTTTATATGATATAGTCCTGAATGTGTTGATATTAGGTTCTACAAGCTTTTGAATGAAGATCCGAAGGACCATCGGCGATTCACGCCAGGCACACTTTACCTATCTGTAATTATACCAGCGATGAACGAAAAAGTATGCACAATGCAAAAAGTTAGCAAATATGATTTGTTTTACAGGAAAGGCTCCCAACAATGCTTGAAGAATGCTGTGAATATTTGAAAAAACGACAATCTGAAAACAAAGAATTCACTTCAGAGGTTTCATTATTTTTTAGTTTTTTTTTTAATTAATTATTCAAATACTGAAGGTAATAATAGTTGATGACGGTAGCATCGACGATACCGCTGATGTTGGAGTTATGTTTGGTGTTAAATACCCAAATTTAATTAAAGTTTTAAAGCTTGATACAAATAGAGGAAAAGGTAGTATTGAATTCATCCAAATTCCTTATTTTTCGTTTAGGCGGTGCTGTGAAAGAGGGTGTCCTAAATTGCGCTGGAAAGCTTATTCTCTTCGCAGACGCGGATGGAGCTACTAAATTTGAAGACTTCGAGCTTCTCGAAAAAGAAATCGTTCGCATGACTGGTGACTCTCCGCTTGACGAGTCATTCCCAGCAGTTGCTGTTGGTTCAAGGTAAGAGTTTAAACTAATAATTTTTCAATAACCATGAACAGAGCTCATTTGGAAGCCCAAGCAACCGCAGAAAGATCGTTATTTCGCACAATTTTAATGCACGGGTTCCATTTATTAGTCTATACATTTGCTGTAAAAAGTGTACGGGACACTCAATGTGGATTCAAGTTATTTACAAGAGCTCTAGCAGCAAGAGTAATACCAGAATTTGAGATTTTTGAAAATAATTTAAAATTGTTCAGCTATTCCCAGTTCTTCATGTCGAGCGTTGGGCTTTTGACGTTGAACTTCTTTATCTATGCGAAAAGTGGGATATTCCTGTTAGCGAGGTAATTATTAGTTTTACTGTTCTGTTTTCTGTATCACGGTACATTAGAAAATGGATTTGCAGCAGAATTTTTTTTAATCCACTGTTGATCCATGCTTCATCAATTTTTCATCGGTTTTGTCGTCCAATTTTCAAAAATGTACTAAAAACATGAAAATTTTATGAAACATGGATCAATGTGGAAAAAACAGTCATGAAGCGATGTTAATTGTGTTTGTTTTTAGGTTTGTGTCCGCTGGAAAGAAATCGAAGGTTCGAAAATAACTCCAATATGGTCTTGGCTCCAAATGGGGAGAGATCTAGTCCTGATTTGGTTCAGATACACGGTATTATATCAGTTTTTGTGAAAAAAAAATCGAATCTTTAATTTTTCAGCTTGGAATTTGGAAAGATGAACCACCACAGTAATGGCGGAAAATTTTTCTAAGATTTCAAATCCCCACCATGCATTTATTCGTGTAAATATTGGTTTTCTCCTGCTGTCTTTCGGTTTTTATTTATATTTTCTTCCAAATAATTGTAAACGGTTTTCCAAATATGTATTTTTTGTTGGTGTTCTCGTTTTTTGGTATCTATCTAATTTATTTGATAAAGGGTTTTTAATTTGAAACATATTACGGCTTAATGTTCGTTATTTATCGATGAAATATTTATTGTATTTGTAAAAGTTGTTTAAAGCAAGTTTTATTATATTCAGAAAATGGGCCGAAAGTCGACAAAATCAGTTAGCGAGGAGGTTTGTCCGAGCAATGAAATTGTAATGAAAGAAGAAGTTGTTTATAACGTTAGTTTTTTTAAATTCTTATTCTGAATTGATTTTTGCAGTGATGTTTGATTTTAATAGAATTTTACAGACTTATGATGAATGCACGGACTATATTGACTATGACGATGCGGCTGATTTTGATGTGAAAAAGTATTGTGAAAATATTCAGGTGTGTCCTTTAAGAATTATTCATTTTAAGAACTTTTTTAAAATTTAAGATTTTCATTGTGAATGAGAGTAACGATGGTATGACATTGGAATTCGATCTAACTCGAATCGAGGCTCCGATTGCAAATGCTCTTCGCCGAGTTTTGATTGCTGAAGTTCCAACGATGGCCCTGGAGAAAATTTATCTTTATCAGAATACTAGCGTTATTCAGGTATTTTTAAATCGTTTTTTGACAAGTATTTAGTTGTCGTTTGATTAGGATGAGGTTTTGTGTCACCGACTTGGTCTTTTGCCGCTGAACGTTGATCCACGGAAATTCTGTTTCCCGACCACAAAAGTTGTTGGTGTTAATGAAGAAGGTGTGGATTGTGAAGAAGAACCGGCGGGAGATCCAAAGCGCAATTTGATCTTCAAAATCAATGTGACGTGCACGAAAAACCGCAACGCGCTGCCAACAGCCACAGATCCAAAACAATTGTACCATAATAGTTCGGTATATGCGCGAGCTTTCAAATGGGAACCAATTGGCAACCAAGCGAAGGAATTTGCTGCCAAAAAACCAAAAATTGTTAATGATAACATTTTGGTTGCGAAATTGCGGCCAGGACAGGAAATTGAGGCGAGTTGTCACGCAGTGAAGGGAATTGGACGAGATCACGCGAAGTTTTCGCCTGTTGCCACCGCTTCCTACAGGTTTGAACACCTTTATATAATAGCGTCTGGCAAACAAATATTTTAGACTTCTTCCAACTATTCGCTTGCACGCTGAAATTAGTGGTGAAGCTGCTCAACGTCTTAAAAGCAGCTTCAGCGAGGGAGTTATCGATATTGTTAAGAAAGGAGGTATCAAAATAATAAAAATTAATGAAATGGCCACGATAAGAAATTTTCAGGAAAGCAAGTTGCTGTTGTTAAAGATGCGCGTAAAGACACCTGCAGTCGAAATGTTTTCCGCCACGAGGATCTTGCAAAAGTTGTGCAGCTTGGAAAAAATAAACAACATTTCATTTGTAAGCAAAACAGTGCATTTAAAAAACATTTTTTTTAATTTTAGTCAGCGTAGAATCTACTGGAGCCTTGAAGTCTCACGAACTTGTGGTTGAAGCTTGTAAAGTTATGGAAACAAAATGCAGCTATCTTAGAAAGCAAGTTGAAGAACTCCTTGGATCAGCCAATTTTTAATTTGTTGTTAAATTTTGTTTTGTTGATTTTTTGTTGTTGACGTCTGAATTTGCACTGTTGATAAATTCTTTTTCTATCGAATAACTGTGTGTGTCTGCGATTTCTGCCAAATGGTTTGTAACCACTTGTTTTATTTATTATTTTAGAGAGGAGGAAATTTTCTATTATGTTATGGATTCAAAATAAATCGCCGAAAATTTTTAGTATTAATAATTTTAAATAATCGAGTAATAAAAAATTTTAAAAAATTAACAATTCAACTTCATTTTCTTTTAGATTATATGCCGTACCAAGGAAACCAATATATTTAAATATGGGATTTCCTATGATTCAAGTTTTTATGATCGCTGCTCGGCAGGTTAGTCTATAAGATCCAATTTATTATTATTAATTTCTTTTCTAGATTTCGAAGCCGATTGCCGACGCAGTGATCAAATATGGGAAAGAGCATCCCCTGTTTAGAAATAAGTTGCTTATTCCTATTGGTAAAGGTAAGTGAAACTAGAATTTTAATAATAATTGATTTTAATTTAAATCCATTAAATACTAAAATTCTGTAACTGGGATGAACTGGGTTTGTTCCAGTTTTCATTCACTTTTAAAAACATTTTTTGTCCCATTTGCAGTGAAAAACCATGTTTATTGTAGGGCTCGTCCGATTCACCGCAAGATTGCGAATGAAACGCTTGGGTCTTGGCGAACCCGTTGCTCATGCACCAATTTCAGAAGCTGCTGCTCTCGAGCAGGTTCACATTTGATGCTCATAGATGTCATCTGTTTTTATAGGCTTCTGATTTTGTTCAACAAATCGTCCTATTTTCGTACTCTGTTAGTGTGTTTGCCGGTTATTATTTCTACACAAAATATACGACACCGGAGACATTGAAGGCAGAAGAGTTCGAAAAGTACAAAGAGCAACAGGAGCAGGTAATCGATCTTTCAAAGACTTTATTTGAATAAAATATTTTTTTAGATTATAAAGGGATTGAGATTTCAACTGGAAACTCTGGAGCAACGACTCAATGCTCAATCCAAGGTTTTTCAACGAAATTGTTGTTATCATATGTTACCTTTATTTTCAGCGGTCCTTCCTTGCGCAAATAGGAGTTGTGAAGGACAGCGAGAAGACGAGTCCAGCATCAGCAACTCCTCCAACTCCTCCAACTGCTCCATCGAATTCAGCTTCTGCGCCTTCAGAAGAGAAATCTGAAAACAAGTCGAGTTGGAGAAGCCGATTCCAGCGGGTGTCCTCACTGCCGATTGATTCAGCGGCGAGTCTGATTCTTGATGGTGGGTCCGATGATTGAAATTGTCCGCATCCCGTTGTACACATTTGTCCTCGACCTTCTGCTCACCGTTGTCAACATTTGATATCTATTATTTTTCTGTTCGAATGTGCGCTTCTGTATTCTTTTTTCGTTTTACTGGTACGTTTCGGTTATTAACAAAGCATAAGTATTGCATTTACTAATTAATACTTACATATATATTATATAAAATGAGCACCCGCAGGTTTAATATTTTTTACGAAGAAAATTGAGACGGTGCTGGTTTCCGGCTCATAAATCACAAAACCCCTAATTTGAGGCAATCAACGTTAGGTGCTTTAGTAGGATTTATGTGGCTTTCGATAGAAAACAGCAATGGATGTAATATTGGCTTGCTTAAAATTTTTGATCAAGCAACTTTTGGCATGGAACTGAAAATTTCGAATCTAATCTTGCGTCGATTTTTGAAACTGTTAATTAAAATCAGAATAAATACACTGGGTAATGTCACGATTTGCTTTTGTTGCATGAATAATACACAAGGTTGCCGCTCTTGATAATTTGATATACAGATGAGGAGTATCTGATAGTTCGACGCGGCTCGTCCATTGGAATTGAGCTCTCATCGAAATGGGCGGAGCGTGGAGAAAAGCTTCGTTATCGATTGCCGGAGGGAAAACCGAGAATATCGAGAATCGATGGATTTATTGATGAGGCCGCCTATCGTATCACTGGTGGCGGTGTTTTGTAGAATTGCTGTTTCTTTTTCTTTTCACATGTATCAGATTTCTAGTCGATTCAAATACAGGGTGTCATTTAAGTTCCCGCACAAAAGTTTGACACCATGAAGAGCTTGGCTGGCGCACTTTTCGTGCACCAATACAATTTATTTTTATTAAATAAGGTATATTTTACTTACTTTCCAAGTTTCACCTCATTCGGATGTGTTTCCGAGAAATGGCGAAGGCTAACATCCATCGCGCTTCCATTATCGAACTTCATAAGCAAAATGTGAGCCCGAGAGACATCATTCAACGCCTCGGTGTGCCTCGTAGAACGGTTTGCGACATCATCAAACGTTTCAAGGAGCTAAATACGACCAGTGACCGTCCCAGACAAGGAAGACTCGTCTCAGTAACCACTCCTCAGAAGATCAACGCCGCTAAATCGAGGATCAGGCGAAACCCACACAGGAGCATGAGAAAGATGGCGTCAGATATGGGAATGAGCATCTTTGCTATGGAACAAATCGTCAAAACAAAGCTTGTACTGACCCCATATCGTGTCCAAAAAGCGGCAATTCTATCGGCCGTCAACAAACAGAAACGCTTTGAAAAAGCAAAACGACTTCTTGCTCGCACGCGGTCTGGAGAACACCTCGTCACTGTCTTCTCCGACGAGAAGCTATTCACTGTGGAGGCGGCATTCAACTCACAAAACCATCGAGTACTTGCCCAGACATCCCAGCAAGCTTCTGAGAAAGAAAGATCATATCATCCAGCCTCACATCCTGCCAGTGTGATGGTTTTCGGTGCCATCTGCTCAACCGTGATGTGCCCCTGGATTTCGTGGATCAGGGGGTGAAAATGAACAGAGAAGTCTACGTTCGGGACATTTTGGAGAAGCATGTGATACCCTGGACCCAAACGCATTTCGGTGGGCAGAAATGGGTCTTTCAACAGGACGGAGCACCCGCCCCTACTGCCAAAACTACTCAGGAGTGGTGCCAGACCCATTTTCCCGACTTCATCAAGTCATCCGAATGGCCTGATTGCTCCCCAGATCTGAACCCGCTTGACTTTCCCGTGATGGGGTCTTGCAGGAGAAGGTCAACGCAAAACCCCATTCAAGTATAGAGGCTCTGAAGAAGACATTACTGGCGGAATGGGACAATCTTTCCATCGAATACCTGCGTACCACAGTCGAATCCAACCCGAAGCGTCTCCGTGAAGTCATAGCTGCGAAAGGAGGCCGAATCAAAAAGAGTTAATAGATAATTATTTGTTGTACTATAGATAAATAATATTTTGAGTCTCGTTTGATTTGGACTTTTAGTTTCAGAAATATACGTCTTCAAAGTTGTGCGGGAACTTAAATGACACCCTGTAGTTGTACCAAAATCAAATGGACGAAGGCGGTTTTCTTTAATTTAGCTGAAAATTTCAAGAAAAATTAATATATTATTTCGAATTTGTTAACGTATAAAAATAATTTGTGAATTATCAAATATTGCCTCATAAAGGAATTTAAACGTTAAATTATTAATACCATTAATAGAGTACTTAGGTAGGGAGATCAAACGAATAGATTCGCGTCTAGACAAATTCTCTAAACTAGAAAGTTTTTTATAAAATATTCTTCGAATATAATTTTCTGGGTTAAAAAATGTAGAAAGCTCACGTTTTATTCGTTATTAAATAATTATTTGCGAACGACTTATGCACTTCAGTAATCTGTAGAACGATTTTTCACGTGTAGGTCTCCACCGTCAGAGACCAAAATGAATCAGGACTTTCTGGAAATCATTGTTATGAATTTCTGAAACCGTCTTCTCCGATTACTTTCGTATAGTTTTTTGCCTTCGGTGAGCAGTTGTGTCCTCTGTTGTTTTTTTTTTTTCAATTCATATTTTACACATTATCATCGGTGTCGCGCGATTTCAGAAAATTGGCCAAAATGCCAAGCACCTATGGCGGCGGTCTTAGCGCAAAACTAAATATCTAGTTTTAAAGGCACACACGTCTACGCCCCGCGCTAAGACCTCTTCCTCAAGAAAAATTGGAATTTAGGCCATTTTCCGCAGTTGCGCATCTCCAATAATACAATTATTCAATGTTTGACCACACTCATTATTTGTAAATCAAAAAATGTTGATATTCTCAGGTCGTCATGAGTTTCGATAGCAATGGATCAACGCATTTCGATTTCATGTATATATATATAAATAGATAGATAGGCATTTACTACCAATTGTGCTCAATTTTTGTCGGCTTTATATTCTGTGTTTTTTTCTCTCTTTTGTTTCTAATTTCGTATTCAAGTAAAGGTTCACTTGACTTGTTCCCAATTCTCTTCTCCGCCTCCTCGTAAAAAGGTAGGCCCGCTTAGTACAAGAAGCAGTAGTCGAAGACGTCACAAATTTGCATGCAAAATTCGCCTGTTCGAAAAAATATATAATTTTTTCCGGCGTTCTTTAATTCAATTCCCGTTGTGGTTCTATTATATGTGATTCCCAACAAGCGTTTTTGCTTCTCATAATGTCATTTCTATATTTTTTCATAAAAAATGTGTATAGTCGGCTTCCGGCGGAGATTTACGGCATGCTTAGGCAGTAATCACTAATTATATCGAATAAAGGGACCCATTGAAGATACCAATTCCGTAAATCTAGTCGCATCCAATAGTCATATTTAAAAAAAAAGTAATTTTAGTCAACAATAGAAGAAAAATACAGTTTTTAATGTCCAAGGATAACTATTCATGTTTTTTTGTCAGTCGTGACGTTTTATGATAGTCCAAAAAAGAATATCACGTCGAATTGATAGACCGAGCCGCAAATTTAATTTCAACGACTTTAGGATTTTTTTTTCGACAAGTATTTCTCAAGTATTGTCCCTTTGCAAAAAAAACCAAATTTCGTCATCAAAGGGATGTGCTTTGGACATATTCAAATTCAAATTCACGCAAAAAAAATCAAATTCGAGATTTTTCTGCAGAATGCGCATTTTTGTGAGCATTATTCAAAGCTGCCATCGCTGATTATTTGTGTTCTGAAATGTCATATGTCACAACATTATTACTCATTTTGAATATATTAAAAGCTTATTAATAAATGTTTTCAATATCTGTCAAATTCGTGTCAATTTTTCTCGTCATTTCGAAATAGTTTTTTTGTCTCGAAAATAGTTTGCAAGACCCGTACGCCGTTAAACTGTTTTGCTTGTCGCGACGAAAATAGAATGATTTTATTTTATTTCTTTTTTTTTTGAAGGAAAGAAACGCCTAATTGCGTCTTTCGGCCAATGTTTTTTCCGATGATCCGCGAAAATTTTTAAGGCTTCAATTGAAACACACGCAGTTTTTTTTCGTTCAATTCAGTAATTTTTGTTGTAATAAGAGTTTTAGCACGGAACTGTTCAGAATTATGGTAAGATGATTAAAATATTGTTATACCCATGTTTGTACACAAAAATAATGCTTATTTTGGGAAATATAATATATTGTAATCGTATAAACGACGTAATCCATCAGATTTATGTGAATATTCTGATTAAATGAGTATACTGTAAATTTATAGACTCAATATAAATGATTTTGAATAGTTTAATTTGATGTATCCGACAAAATTATGTATATTTTCAGGCACTCTTTGACAAAAAATTCTAAAATTTGTCATGTCTTTTAATAAGACAGGTTGCTTATGGTATTTGGCGGGTTTTGAAAAAATACTCCAAGAAACTTCCAAAATATAGTTTTGTTCATGTAATTTTTCTATCAGTTTTTTAAAATATTTTTTTTCCAAAATCTGCAAATATCGCAATAAATTTGAAAAAAAAAAACAAATAGAATTTAGATTTGGTAAAGCATATGATTTTCTTGAAAAGATACAATACTAAATAAAAAAATTTAAAGAAAGTTTTGTTTCTTTTTTTTTAATTTAGAATTTCAATTTTCACAACAAAAAAACATTTCTTCGATTAACATTGGTCATCTTATCCCGACGATGCTTCTTCTGTGAGAAAATTGAGTTTCAACGTGCTCAGCGGCATCATCGACTCCGTTTAGTTCATCTATTCATGGTGTGCTCAAAAATTAGATTGTTTTCTTGTCGGCACGGCGCAGGAGAAGCTCAATTTGTACTAAAACTTGCGGTGGATTTTGTAGTGTTTTCGCTTCCTAGAAACACGAAAAAGCTGCCAAACCAATCCTTTTGACGAGAGAAACGACTTTTGTCGATTCGCTCTTTCCCCGAGAGAGGGCTTTTCTGATTTTTTTTCTTTCGCCGTATTCCCCGTTCGTTTTTATCCAATATCTGCCAATTCTTTCATTTTTTTCCCTCACAGTTTCGTATTTTGCGAGTGACGCCATTTTTGATGCGTCAACAGATTACTGTAGTAGAAAATTGGTTTTTGAACAATTCGTGCCGCGCCTCAAAAATCTGATTTTCTAGCTAAATACACACACAGCATGGACAGCTCGATTACAAAATAGATTCTTTTTTTTCGATTACATTCGGAGAGCAGAAAAAAATTCGATTAAAATTTTCTCAGCGATTTCTGAAACATTGCCAAAACCGAAAAACATGGCCTTTTTAAAGACTTTAGTAGGCTGACAATAGCCAATTTTTTTGCAACTTCATTTCAACATTTTTTTTATGTTTCTCACTGGCATACAAAGCGTTCAAAGTGTTCCGGCTTCAGAATTTTAAAGCACTGACAGAGGATATTCGATTCCTTAACCGAGCTTTCGTCGGCGAAATAGGCGGAGTCACACACGTTTCTAGGATGGCCCAAAAAACGCCCTCTTTTTCGTGAAGAAGAAGAAAAAGAAGAAGTTGGTTTCGAGAAAATCGAATGCCTTCATTTTTCGTTTCAACGTTTCGAGATAAGAAAATTTCATAATTCGATATTTCCTCTTATTTATATCCGTTTGAAAGACGTGCCCCCGGAAAAATGGAAATTTGATATACGACGGAATAGATAGATTTTTTGTGTGTGGTCGAGCCCTATTGAAATTCGTCATGCATCAATTCAATTATTCTAATTCTGGTGTCGTCCTTCTAAAACTTCTTCACTACTCAATCTTGACTTATTAAAATGTTGAATTTTTAAATTTAATTTTTCAAAAACTGAAAATGTTTTCGATTTTTCTGTACAAGACCCGAATTCCAGAAAAATCGACATGCAATTTAAGGAAAAATCGTAGTTTTTACATAAAACACAAATCATGTGATGATGTTTTGTCATTCTCGACATCGTCATCATCATGATCGCTGTAGGCGCTATTTGTATGGAAGCAGTAACGTGCGCCTTCGGAATCCCTCGAGGGACCGTGCTTCGGCCGGACGAAGAAGCCTATTTCTACCCTTTAACTTCTCATTTTTCATGTTAGATAAGAAGCGAGTCCGTCAATTCGCACATTTTCTCGCGTTTGCCTTTTTGTTTCTTCCCCATTTCCCGAAATCGGTGAATTTGTTTCATTTCCAATATTTTTTTATTTTTTCCAGAGAGCAGCATGGATACATTTCAAATAAAAATCGTCGCGTTTTTATTAATACTCCTACAATTCGGTATGTCGAAAATCATGGCAATTTGTTCGAATACATCTGATTGTGATCGAAAATCATTCCGCGCAAATTGTGCAATTTGCATAAAACGATACATCTTGAAACTCGTTGGAATCGAGTGACATCACGAATCGGCGCATACTCGAAATGTAATACAATTAGCGGTTTTCAGGAGCTGTTGCCGGATCAGCATTCACCGCCGAAAACGAACAACAAGCATTTAATGACGAGTGAGTTGCACCGATAATTGTTCTGTTTGTCGGCTTAAAATTAGAACTGCTTGAATAATCTATCAACCAATTATTTCAACATCTTATCCCTATTCTCTTTAATCTCAAAATTGCTCTTACATTCAGTAATTCGATGTAAAACGGATCGGATTCTGCTTATAAAAGCTATTTTTCGATCAAAGATCTTTTTCTCACTGTTTTGAAATAGCTTGTAAAATTTTGCAGTCGAACAATTGTGAAACGCGGAGGTGCCCGAGCTTTCTATGGGTTCTACAATTCGGCCAATTCAAAAAGGGACGGCATTCCCTCGTTACCGTACTATTTGTACGAGAAACGAGGAGGTGGCCGAGCATTCAACCACAACACTAATCTCTTCAACGGGTAATACCATTCGTGTTCAGAATATTTCATTCGCCACTGGTTTTCAGATTCGACAAACGTGGCGGAGGTCGCGCTTTCTCGGGCTCATGGTCTCCATATTTTGAGCGATTCTACGACAACAAACGATCAGCCTTCCCGCTATTCTACGAAAGTCAATATTATTAATTGTCTGATTGTTTTGCGATTTTTATTTTTTGCTATTTGAAATTTTGCCGAAGAACAACTCCCGATATCCATTTGAAGACGATCTCTTTAATTATCTCAAGCAATAAACTGGACTTTGTTAGAATGTTTTTTTTTATAAAATCGAGACACGAAAAACTCATCGCATAAATTACTTTGAATAATTTAAATTTCTCAGGATTAGTTACGTAAAAAGCTATTCGTATATCAAACCTTTGTAGTATGTATATTCTTAGTATGTATAGTATTTTGAAAGAAAAACATGTATTATGAAGAAAATGACACGGAATACATTCTGGAGGAGCCAGAACCAGCTTTTGTCATTTGAATAGGCCAAATAAAAATAACAAAATTTGCAGGTCAAAATAATTATCCTTTTTTTTATTTAACATATTTCAGATAGCGTTTCTATTATATCGTTCTTGTTTTCTTCATTCCGATAAAATTTTTAAGATCGAAAAATTCGTTAATTATGGCCTCAACAAACTCAAATGATGAACAAACATTTAGCGCCGATTAAAAATTATTAACGTATAATTTTAAAAATTAATTTTTTCGTGTGCTTAGAAACTATTCTCTACTGTTGAAAAATTACAAATGTATCCAGGTGTCGTAGGATCCTGCGTTTTGTACGCAATGCTAAGAGACAGTTACCGTAATCCTCGCAGCGATTTACGGGGACATTTTTTTTATTTTTCGTTCAATTTTTTAATTTTCTTTCGAAATTTTTTAAATTAAATTTTTAAATTTTGCAGAAACCGAGTTTAATAATGTATTTAGCAGAATAAGCACTTTTAAACGATATTTTTTTGGTAAAAACAGCAGAGATTAAAAAGAAATCATTTTTGTCGTTAATAAAATTATTTAATCGTGTTTTGCTTTTTGTATGCGTTTCTATTATCTTGTTTTTGTATTCTTCATTTTCAAAATAATTTTTAGAGCCTCAAAATCTTCACAATAATTCCCAACTCAACTAGACAAATGGAAAAGTGCATATTCTGAAAAATAAATAATTAAACTCGGTTTCTACATGTTTTAAATATAAGATTTCTAAAGAAAATTAGAAAATTCAGCAAAAAAATTGAAAGAAAATTAAAAAAAAAAATCTCCGTAAATCGCTGCGAGGATTACGGTAACTGTCTCTTAGCATTGCGTACAAAACGCAGGATCCCACGACACCTAGATACATTTGTCATTTCTCAAAGATATGTATGTTCCATATTGCAAATCATTATTTTGTGCATGCTTTCAGATTTCTTCGAAACGGCCCACATTGATCTGAATGAAAATAGACAGAAAAATTGGGAATACAATACAATTGTGAAGCCGATAGCGAAACGTTCTGAAGCTTGAATTTGCGAGCCAAGCTAAAAAAAACCTCGATTTTTAAGAACTTTTTTTTGAGACCATCAAATAAGCTCTTTAGTTTCTTATTGTTCTTTCGGAGAAAAGTGTCATTTTGTCCAGTAGATGTGGATAATATGTAGAATAAAGAGAAGCCCCTTTTGGTTGACCCTTTGTAGAAGACATTGAACCCCTTGGTCCGTCATGATTTGTTGCTCATAAGATTCCTGCTCGAAGGTGTAAATCTATACGCTACCTTAAAAATAGAAAGATTTTTTGATCTCAATAATTGTAAGTAAATATATTTCGTATATCCTTCGAATAACATATTTATTTATATTATAATATTTAGGTAAATAAACTAATTCGTCAAGGCAAATACTCCCACTCGATTTTGTTGAAGATACTAGTCAATTTCAGAACGGTCTGATTAATTCAGTGTTCAATGTGCTTTGTTTAAAATACATATAGTCGGCTCCGGGCGACTTCTGTACGCGGATAGATTTACGAGGATGCTTCTTTTTCGCATTAAAAAATTGAACAACTTTAGAATATCGAATAAATGCCAAACTCATCAAAAATAAAATCAATCGTTCACGTGAAAACAGCAAATGAAGTTTTCAGACGTGGCGAGACCTTTTCAAGGCGCATGCGCAAAAAAAAATCTACCCCTACAGCAGTCGCCGGACGCCGACTATATATCATTAAAAAAGATGTTTTAGTTTTAATTGTTATTTTCAAATAATATTTGCCTATTATGACATCATCTAGTGACACCAAATTTGGGTAAAATCTCGCAAATGAATATTGTCTTACGAAATGTAAATAATGAAAAAAGACAAATCAGTCGGTAATACAGTCGAAGATAGATAATTGTCATGGCTATTTGAATTATTTATTTCACATTCAGTTTTAATGATTGACATACGATGAAACAACTTATGCATGACCATTTTTACTGTAACTTTGCATATCTTTGGCACATGGCGACTGGTGTACGTGGGTAGATTTCCGAGTGCGCCTTTTGAAATGGTCTCGCCACATGTGTGTAATTTCGTTGTTTTCATGCGGTCTGCTCTTTTCCATTAAAATTCGAACCGACCCATAAAATGCAAAATAACATGAGCGATAAAACGATAGCGAAAGGTGTGTCAAATTCTGTACGATTCGAGGGCGCAGGCTCCTACGGGCTGCCGACGCGACGGGAGTGAACCGGTGGGAAAGTGGGGGATGGGGGACTAAAAAGATGAGTCCGTTTCTATATTTATATTTTATAAATTTATATTGGCGTTGGGCGTTTATATTGGCTTACAGTAGAATTAGAAAGGGTTAAAATTGTGAATTTTGTTGAAAAATCCAAAATATTTCTTTTTGAATATAAGGTTAATTATGAGGATCCCACCCCTCTTGGACGGACGATGAAGGGGGGTGGGGGACCCAGGTAACTCCTTACATTAGCCGCCTACAATACAAATTTTATGGGTATCTCTAGCTAATCTCACAACATTTTAGACAGAAATTTTCGAATTTCTACTTTTTCATGGATTATATGAGCCAATGAAAAAAATCGCCGTTGTAGTGTAATACGACCGAACTTGTTAGTCATTTCGCGTAAATTCGTTGTTCTTACCACCACTTCTCATTGGACAGTCGCTTCTTTTTCATTTTAAAGAAAAAATATTAGGGCTCGCGTTTTTTTTTATTTTATTTTTTCATTTCTCAGCAGCACGGGGCGGTCTGTTTTCGCCCATGTGCAAACCCTATTTTTCACTTTCTCCATTTTAAACGTTATTAAAAGTTGGAAAAATTATTGAAATGAACCTTAGAATCCGAAAAGACTCAGTGATTCCGACAGTATCTACTATATATTAGCAGCTGAACACCGACCTATAAGCAGTTTGATATGTTAGAATAATTAGATATGTTTTCATTCAGCGACGAATTAATTTCACATCAAAAAGTATTTTCGTTTCGAATAGCAAAAATAATACACAATATTCGTTTAAATGAGATATTGAAATTTAATTACCACCATCGAAAAAAATGAGCACCTTGGGTGTTTACTGACTATCGTGTTTTTTTTTTTGCGGAGCTCTAATTCAAATTTGAATTCAAACGGTTCGAATTAGTGTAATCAAACTCAACAAAATTCACAGGAGTGTTCTGCGATTGCAATACATTCATTTTTGACCAAGTCTAACGATATTTTCGAGGCGACTACTATTTTCGAATTGAATTATTTATCAATTTCGCTTCGAAGATAATATGCAATTTTTCATTCTAAATCTATTCGAACCTTTGTACATAAAATATCTGGCATTTATTATTCGAAAAACCCGCACAATTCAATTCTGTTTGACTTCTTGATGTCCTAATATTCAAATCTAATGTTTTGAATTTCAAATGCCAACCCCTTGGGTTTTTTTGTGATTTCCATTACTCAAAAAAACTTGCGAGATTTTGCAGTCAAATATGCTCATTAAATTAATGAGATTCATTGCTTTCCATTAGTAAATGGGTTACTGTAATTAGGCATCTCTTGACGCAAATCTCGTTTCCGCCCTAAAAAATAATTAACAAACTACTATTCTACTAGGAAAATATGAATCCAAAAGACAGTTTTATAGAAGATTTGAAAAAATTATCTAAAATTTAAACCTTGATATTTACCGATTTTTGGGAAAAAAAAAACGCTGGTTTTAAATAATTCACTCGTAAAATGATACTTTTTCTCTTTAGTGATGCCTTCGTCGGAATAAGGAAATATCGAAGGTTTTCAGTGCCAACAGACAACATAAACTTATGTCGTTTTGCTGTGCTCACAATGAGCATCAACTTCTGTATGAATAGAAAAGAAATTTCGCAAAGTGGTTTTTTTTTTAATAAGCGCTTCAAAATTCTTTCGATTTGTTTTACTTCTCATATTATTCAATTTTTGCATTTAAATGTGATTATCTCGCGATTTCCAGAAACTGCGAGAATTTTTTTTGAACTTCGCTTTTATCCAGAGTTTTAAAAAATTAAGCGGCAAATATGCAAATAAATTTCGAAATTCAGAATTTCCTTTTGAATAGTGGCTTTGGACAAGCCTGACAGCTCGAAATTTTGTGCACAACCATTAAAAAATGAATGAAAATTCTGGATCATCGAGAATGCACAAATAATCCGTAGTAGTGCCTCATTTCCAACCGTTTTTTTTTTTGTTGCAAAGCGAATTTTATCCACAAGACTACAAAATTATGATCTTGCCTTTGTTCCCCGCAAAATTTTTTGAGTCGTTTGTATATACTCTTCTTTTTCGTTGTCGTTCGCTCTTCCCCCGAAAGTGTCAAGGAATATTTCCAAGAATTTTCCATTTGTCTTCGCCGGTTTATGTGTAAGACGTTTTGAAAAATGAGAGCAAAATTTTAACGAAATTAAACATGTGTCCCAAAAATTGAATTACCGTCTCGAAATTGAAAGGTGCGTTTATTTTTTCGGGCGGGCTCGCTTTTAATTTTCCATAAATGAGGTCAGTCGGTTGTTTTTGTTTTTGTTCGGGTGGTCCCTCAATAAGCTTCCATTACTTTTGCAATTCGTCCTGGTTTCCACTTAGTCGAAATCGGCGCTCGAATTTCAAAAGCCTATTTTCAGTCATTGTCCGATTCAATTACAAGAACACATTAGAACACCACACCTCATATTACGAAAGGCCTACAAAAAATAGAGAGGATTATAGCAAAATTCTGCACTCAAGTTCGGTAGAATATTCAGGATTTGTGGCTTCCATTGTTGTCGGATTACTCGAGCCCTTTTTATTATATTTATACGTTACGGATTTTCAGAAAAAATCTATCTTTTGTATCATGACTACTATTATGATTTTTTTTCCAATAGGCACCATGTAGAACGGTAGCAACTTTCGTTGTAATAACAAGAGAGGTCATTTTGCTGTCCGTCTTAATTTTTTTTTATTTTTTGCATACAGATTCTTTAGGAAATTTCCAATTGAATGAACTAGGTCCCTACCCGCGCAAACTTCTAGTTATCGAGATATGGATTGTAAAGTCTGATATATTTTCACGTTAAATTAAATGCGAAAACGCATAAATTCTTAATGTTGGATTAATTAGAAAAAAATTCGTGGAAGTCTCGATTTCATTTAACAGATTTTCCGATTATGGCGATTTTCCCGAATATTCTTGCAAAAGAGTCCAAACGTGATGGGCGTTTTCGGCTTAGGAAAATATTCATAGCGCTTCTAGTTTGAACGTCACAATTTGTCGCGTTGGAAACCGTTTAGTCTGATTGTCAGCCATTCTGTTGTTGTTTTCTCTGAATTGAATTGAAGTTCGTGGTCTCGAATCACCTGCTCAAAACCTTCAAAAATTCCGCACTTGCTTTGCAATATGATAATTTAATGTCTGAGCGAAAAAAATGCCATAAATGATTATTTTAAGACTCAACCTAATCATGATAATTTTAGCTTGGCCATTCAAGCGACGCATTAGAGTTTAACATTGTACAGGAAACTAATAAAAAACTTGTCATATTTGTTTAAGTGCCACTAAAAGCAGTAAAAATAATAGATATTTTGCAATGTGCCTTTAAAAAATGATGGTATAGCCCATTTCGACTAATTCCAATAATTAGAAATACACTCATGTGAAATTGAGAATTTCGAATGTATTTGAAGTATCGAGACAGGTGGGTTTGAGCTTCTGCATGTTTTGAACTCGCGTGGTTTTGAGATGATGTGTTGTTAATTCAATTCCGAAAATTCCGGACAAATTTAATTCATGAGATTAATTTCGAAACACAAATTGCGTTTGTTTGGTAAGGTCACGGTAATGTCTTTACGAGTCATTTATCCCGTAGTCTCGCCGACATCCGACCAGTTTGAGGCTTCATGAAATATGTATTTTGAAATTGCTCAAAATCGCGTTGTTGATAGCTTAAAATGTAAGAAAAAACTTCAAAACGTTGCCAAATATACTATACATAAATCTTATTTTCTTGATTTTTGGTATAAAGAAAATTAAGAAAATTTTCCGTGATTTTACCCGACTAAATTGAATTTTTTCGTTTGCTATTAATACCAATTTTATTTATTTTGTTTGATTATTCATCATAATATTCGTACAATTTCGAGCAACGTTCATATATTTATCTTGAACATAAAAACGAATTGTTGCTTTAAACAATTATTAATCCTTTTAAACATTTAGTTAATCTTATGCCCTGCTTAGTTAGAGTTGGGGGAGTCATCAAAAATTATGATTAACATATATTCTGCGTCAAATAATTGCGTATGAGAGGATTAAAACTCTGTCCGGACATTCGGAATTGTCTCGAAACTAGCAATTTGCGATTCTCGCTTGGTTCATTCGTGAACTTTTCTTCACATCGTCAGCTTTTATTCAATTTCATTTATTGTTATTCAGATGTCATAGGACACGATTTTCTTCTCATATTCCAATAATTTTCATCGGAAATACTATTAATAATGCATATAATAGGGAAGTAGTCGAAATGTGCAAAATAAAATTCTGGTTTAATTCAACTTATTGAGAAGCTTATCATTCTATCAACCAATTTAGAACGCAACCTTCTTCTGAATGTGAGTTTTTCGCCATTATGACATCACATTCAAGTTTCGAGATTCTTTTTGGCACCAATTCCCAAAAGGCCAATCCCTGAATAATCCCAACAAATTGTCCACCCCGCGTGGGAGATTTTTGCGTTCGCACCTTGACAGCTCACAAAAGATTTGCTCCGCTCAATTCTCCCAAGACTTCAACATCAAAACGTCTCGTTATACGTTATTTCTTATTCGAATCCGAATATCTGCACATTTTTTGGATTAACTCCTATTATTCTTGATGTTCTCGTCTCAAAACGAACCCGTCTTCCGTTTTGATCGATGACACTTTATACATCAAAACCTTTCACATTTTTCATTCTAACCAATCGTCTAAAATAGATGAATGGCTCGTTTCAAAACGAACGAATTGTGATTTTCGTTTTTTTTTTTCGCTTAGCTCCGCCCACTTTTGGTCCCACCCCATTCATCCAGCCACTCCAATCCGTCACCAGCTCATTTATTTTTGTCGCGTTTCGCCAAACACGTTTTGAGATTTATATTTTTTTTTTCGTTTTCAGGGTTACATAAATGAATCGATTAGTATCGATTTTGTGCCTCTTGGCCATCATTTCAGCAGTGATCTGTCAACGTAAGTATTTTCCGTTGCAAATACCATTAAAAAGAAAAGAGAACAGAACATTTTGATTGATCAGTGTTCTTTTTCGACGCGGTAATTTAAATTTTGAATTGAAGTGTGGGAATTAATGTGCGATAATGCATAAAACATGTAAATCAAACTGTAATTATCCCGATTTGAATTTTGCGTTATCGAAACTTGAATTGGCAAATGGGTTGGTCCGTACACATACAGGACACTCGTAATTTCTTCGTTCGTTAATTTGGAAACCATCCTGGATTTAAGAATAGTTTTCTCAATCAAATCAGACATAATTTTGTTTTTCAGTGCCCAGAGACGATACCATCAAACGGAACGACTATTCGCGAGACATAATGTCGTTCGGCAAACGATCTGCTCCAGCGGAGATGTATGAGCGCAACATCATGTCGTTTGGAAAACGGCAACCCAACGTTAGAATTATTTTTTTTTTCAAACAATTATTTCAATTGCCTTTTTTATTTTCAGTACAATCGTGACATTATGTCATTCGGCAAGCGATCCAGCGGTGATTATCTCAAAGATTTCGTTGAGAAGCGGATGCCATCGGTTCGATTCTTATTAGTCTATCATGCAAAAAAAATAATACAATTTGTTTTTAGTATGAGCGAGATATTATGTCGTTCGGAAAACGGTCCGGTTCCAACTATGAGCGCCCAATCATGGCGTTCGGCAAGCGCAGAGAAGACTACGAGCGCAACATTATGTCGTTCGGACGACGAAAATAAATTATTGTATTGTATATCCTGTAACCAAATAATTTCCATGATGAATTGGTACCCAATAGATAGATTTTGACGCAGTCACTCAACTATCTCGCCCGTTTTGTTGAAATCTTCCTTCCTTCCTTCCGACCACCCCACGCATGTCTGTCTTCGATTACACTCCTCAATATTCGTTCACGGAATAAACCAATTGTTCGCGTTAGCATAAATTTTTCAGAAAAAAGTGAAAAGATAGTGGTTTTGTGATTGAAAAAAAATAAGAAGCCAAAGACTAAAAGGTTAGTTTTTGAAACAAAATTAGATTCAGCTGGAAATTGCATATTACATCGAGACAAAAATATATATTTTTGTGGTCATGTTAATGAAACAATTGGATTAGACAATTTGTGCGTTTTGATAATCAATTCGGTACAATACTATATCCATTTCGTCGAAAATTAGATTCCACGCGAATTGAAGAAAAAATACAGTAGAATAATATGGTCACCGCTTGAATTTGGTCGCTAAGCGATAATTTCGACATTTTGAGATCAACTTGTGCTAAAATCCTATTCTGCGTGTAAAGTTATTATAGTATCAAAAAACAAGAACCTTAAACAATTGTGGACCATCGAATTGTTTCGAGCGGCAATTCAAATTTGAATTTGAGCAGTGGGGCAATTCGGAAACCGTACTAATGACAATCAGCGAAGCTAACTCACCGTAAATCGGCATTAAACAAGTAATCAAAATCTGCTGAGAATCAACCAACTTTATGCAATTATTAGTGTATTTCTAGAGATTCTAATGCGAATTTGCAAAACCGGTTAATTTTTAATTCAAAAAGCTACTTCGGAAATCGTTACGTCAAATTAGAGCATGTGAATATTAGGACAATTTCCACACAAAGTAGATTAAGATTTCAGAATTATACTGAAAAAAATGAATCATTTTATATGAGTAACTTTTCGAGTGGAATTCGATAAATAAACGTTCAAATATTAAATCGAATAAAACCAATAATTGCGTGTCGAATATCCGATCGAATAATTTATTTGTAATTTTAAACATTTGCATGACTAGTCAAGAAGTGTCGTGTTGAAACGGTAAATTGAATTATCGAATTAAAAAATGTTGAAGTTCAGGACTATGTTACTTTTGTTCTTATTCTTAATTTTAACATTTATTTCGCTTTCGATGTGTTCATCGGGCGGTGGAAGCAGCGGAGATGAGGAGACTGGAACCGAATCCGGTCGAAACGCAAAATCCACCGACAAAACGAAAAAGAAGAAAAAGAAGAAGAATGATGACGAGAAGTTTCGAGATGACAAATCAATAGAAAAAAACGAGACAAAAACGTGCAAATTTAATTAATTTTTCAAGAGAGACAGTTTAAAAAATTGTAGTGCAAGTATGGAGCAGCCCGTTGCAAAAACACAAGCAGCTAGTGATCAACCACATGATGGTGGATCACAACAATCGAAGTCGAACGTCGCGTCACCGAAATTTTGCAAATCTACTGAAGCAACAAAGTCTGAAGAATTACGTATGTTTTCTTATATTCTTGACTTTTATGGATTTTTTTGATTTAGCATTACCAAAAAAGAAATTTATTAACAAGAGCTCGGTCTATATTAAAACAACGGATCAAAGAGAGGAAAAGGTAGAAATAAATTTCGGTGGAAAATGGCGGGTACTGATGAGAATGTGTGGTTATGCCAGATCGGCTTAAAATTATAAACATTGGCACACCGTGTGCCAACACTCTATACGGCACCCTGTGGGGCCTATCAGTGGGGAGGGGCACAGAGGGTTTTTCAATAATCAAACGCTGGACGTCCAGTTTTCATCGGAAATATGAGAGGAAATAGGTCATGAAGATGATTGAAAGGTCCCACTTGAATACAGTTTGTACGTTGCTAATTCCCACCGTAAAATGTACATAATGTATGTATGTATGCTCAAATGATATTTTTAGAAGTTAGTTGCTAAAAGTAAACCAGCTAAAATAGTGAAATCACCGAAAATAACAGAAGAAAGAACACAGAAGACGTACGAGGTTTCAGCGAGTTTTAATAGATTTCGATTAAAAACATGAATGATTCTCAGAGTCGCGAGATGGTCGATGAAGATGATGACACGATTCAAGATGCTCCGTCGATTAAACAGAAAAGAAGGGGAACTCCGAGTGGAAATGATTCGGATGTAATCAGTCGCCTATTTTAAAAAAATAATTCGCAATTTCAGTTGGAATCGAAAAAATCGTTGAAACATGTATAAAACAATCTCATATTTATTCATAATATTGAAAAAAAATCGTTTATGTTCTAACGAATAAAAGCATTGATATCCAAATCTGGTATCGATTTGCATGGAATTTTTTGAATATAGATTCATTAGTGGACTAATTGCGTTTTCGTTTTTTAGACAAGTTCTAAAATTAAAAAAAAAACCTTGATCTTCGATTTAAAGCTTTCGCAGAGCATTGAGTTTTCCAACACACACCCATTTGTTTATGTTTTTCCACAATTCGGTTTTTATCTACAATTAGCACTTTCCGTGTTGCTCAATGAACAAAAATGCTTAAACGATATCGCGTCGAAATTGAAGAAGATTTTATTGCAAAAACATTAAAAACGACGGATATCACCTTAAGGTGATTCGTAAATAGGAGGGCAAGTGCGCTCCATTGCCCACTCTTGGTCCGACTTTGGACCCTTCGAGATTTAGTGCCATTATTCTTCCATTAGAGCTCATTTTAGAGGGAACGCTAATCCTTACTATTTTCACTGTTTCATATATTTTTTATTGAATTTCACCATGTTTTTCTGTCGAGTCGTTTCATACCTATTTCATTTCTAAGCTTCGTCCATCTTTACTAACTTTTTAAATTCAAAGAATGCCCAAGAAATTCCTTGTCGATGGTTGTGAATTGCTTTGTGTTGATGAGCGTGATTTTGAGGAGGTGCGCGAAAAATTCAAGCAAAATGTGACTGTTGACGATATGGAAAATTGGAAGTCCAAGGTATGATTTATTTTAATATTTTTCCATGAATTCTAATAAGCTTTCTGAAAATTAAACTACACACTTATTAAAAGTTATTTTTCAAAAGGAAATGGAACAGTACACGGCAACGACTTTTATTGAAAAAGCTCGCTTCTATTTGTCGCAATCACCACCGGATCTCGTTCAATCATCAGAGAAAATTTGGTTTGCCGCCGTCTATGCCGTGAAAAAGCTATTTTTAACTTCTGGAGGTATTAATTATCGCTTATTGACTCTATTTATCAAAGGGTTTCAGGTATTGATTTAAAATCCCATAAAGCTTTAAATTATTTCTGTCGATTTGCGCTTGCTAATTCTGGATTAACAGCGGATCGTGTCTTTTTCCTCTTTGACACTTGGACGAAAGCCGAAAAGTAAGTTGCTTAATTTTGTATATATGAATTATTAAATAAATTTAGAATGGACCAAGATGTGTACGGGTCATGGAACTTCTGCTTACACGATTACGCGCAAATCATCACCGATGTTGAGACTTTTGTGAAAGATTTCGACAATTTTGATCAACGGAAGCTATGGGATGAATTCGAGAGGAAATTTATCGTCGGAACAGAACAAAATGTTACGGTTAAAAAGGTATCTCCACAGACCATCAATCTTGGTGGCTTCTGTTTTAAGTCTGAGTACTCCGTTTTCGTTTAAATGTATATTACTTTGCCATTTATAAATTATTTGTATTGGGGGCTTCTTGTAGGGTTTACGTGGTATTTTCATGGAAAAGAAGGGGAACTCCGAGCGGAAATGATTCGGATGTAATCAGTCGCCTATTTAAAAAAAATAATTCGCAATTTCAGTTGGAATCGAAAAAATCGTTGAAACATGTATAAAACAATCTCATATTTATTCATAATATTGAAAAAAAATCGTTTATGTTCTAACGAATAAAAGCATTGATATCCAAATCTGGTATCGATTTGCATGGAATTTTTTTACTGTTCCTGAAAATAAAAAGCTTCAACTATTGAACAGTTTCGAAACGTACAAATCGAAGATGTTGATATTCACATTGTCAATAATGTCGGTGTTCTCGCATATGAGCTTGGCGAGTTTTGTTCTCCGCAGAGCATCAACCTCTTCTAAAATTTTAGACAATTTGCCATTGACAAATGTTATTTTTTACCTGGTTTGAATCCGTCGGTGAATCTGACTTCATTGTCGTAGAAGAATCGGTCACCCTTCCGAAGGGCTTCGAATTGCTCAGCAATTATGTAGCTAGCTGTTGGACCCACTAAGCCACCATTTACCGGATTTTCCATGACAATTCCCGTGTACAAATCAATATCGTCTGGAGACGCATAAACTCCTTTCAAAGCTTCAATGTTTTTCTGCGAGAATGTCGATGAGAGATCGTTCCATGATCTGACAGCTGGGAGTCCGACAGTTTGGCTAAGTTTATAATTTACGAATGTTTGAATATTCGATTGTTACCGGTAGTGAGTATAGGGCATCAATCCAAGATCTCTTCCTCGCATGATATTGATAGCAACAAGATCGACGCCGGATCCCGGCTTATTCCGAGTTTCGAATAACTGATTCCGAATCGGAAATGAGAAGTATCGGTCGACATTCATCGAACTCGTTGTCATCATTCCTGTAATCGCTTAATGCTATTAAGAACTCGATCGATGGCGAACCATTAAGTAAAGTTTCCCATCCACCCGCTTGTCGGTATAATTCATTTGCGTAGAAGATGTTACTTCCTAGATCCAATGATCCAACCGTATTGTTATTGGCATCTTGTCTCATAAAATGCTGTCTCGCTTGACTGTGTCCAAACCGGAATGCCGCAGCAGCAAATTCAGCACTAAGAGCAGGATTCTTCGACTCGTCGTATTTTCTCGATTTTCCGGATCTTGGCTTCATCGGCTTCAAGTCGAAATCGGTTAAATATTTATCGGATAGCAATTCCGGCAGGTACTCGTTATAGACGTGATGTTGCCACATACCAATCATTACTTTTCGAACGAGCTATAACATTTAGACCAGTTTACAAATTTGTAATATCCATTTCAGACCTGATAGATTTGCTCGTCATTCCAGTTCGGTCGGATTTGTTTCACTTTTTTAGCATGTCGGTTGTGTTCTCTTAAGAAAACCGTGTGCACTGAAGTCATACATTAGTACATCTTATCGAAGACCGGCAACTATCGGAAATTAAACGAATTTAGCTCGAATACAATTGTTAAATTTTGCGAAATTAGCACATTTTGCAAGTGCCTTCGATATCCTGTATTTACATAGTTTTGCATATTCTTGATACGCAGCTAAATCGTAAATTAAGTTGCTCATTTCAAATTTCTACGTATCTTCGACAATACAATACAAAATCAATATAGTTGTTCTTACATGGAATAAGAGCCGGATGGAGACTGTTGCGGAAATCACCAGCAAGGAAGCAATAATTCGGGTTTCTCGATTGACAGTTTGAATCCTGTTATATACAAATAACTCATACGAATTCCATATCAGTTATATTAATTACATTTTTGTCCTGTGGAGGAAGAATGTATCCTTCTCCTCTGTAATCCCTCAACAGACCATTTTGAAATGATCGAAGACTCTCTGCTTCACAATCAGAAGATCCATAAACAACAGACAAATCAATGAAGTGTGAATTCTAAAGCGACGATTTGATTATGGGATAACGAAGATTTTGATGCTGACTTGGTCGATCTGAGTTCTGGCTCCAAATCCAGTCTGGCCATTCAATGCTCGAGTGAGACGAATGCATCTGAACAACGGAAAATGAAATATCGTAGATTAGATATCACTACCTCTTCGAACCATCTGCAGATTTGAAGTATTTGTCATCGGCCGGAACAGGAATAGGTGCGCAGTTTGGAGAAACTGAGCTGGTAGCTTCACAGGAATTACAATCGAGAGTTGATCCGTCTTTTGCTAAAACGTTTTCAGATAATAAATTCGCTGTTTTGTTTCACGCTTACCAACTGAAGATGGCATAAAAATGATATCATGAGCAATGAATTGTCCGACTTGCATGTACAAATGATTAATGTTCGGCGAGAAGTTTGGCTCAGCTCCTTCATCGTGAAGTTTGTTGGAAATCAACCTAGCTGAAGGCAAGTCCGCTCCAGTAACCGATTTTCGCCGGATTTCGTTCAAGCCTTAAATGTGAAATTATTGGTTTTAAAATATGAAAAATTTCGACCATCTTGATATGAAACTTTTCCGGTTAAACGTCTGATTGGGCTCACAGAATTTCCCCATTTGCTTTTCGCCCGATTATTGCAAAGTCCAGTTATGGACCGCACTTGATCGCTTCAATTGTTCAAGATTGATCACGTAAAATGATTACAAATTTACTGAATTATAAGCTGACAATTTTTCGGTGGTCCTCTGCATGTTCCACTTTCTTTGTGTTCATAGCCAGCCTATGCAAAAATATTTACTTTCAGAATTCCGAGAGGAAATATTATACTTCTCGTTTCTTTCTGGCATTCTCGACATCCATCTCGTTTTCGGCTTGGATTTCCTCGATCACTTCGTTGGCTTCATCGAAAATTGACTGAAAATGAGAATATTGATATGTTATTGATATGAATACCAAGCCAATACCGATCCATATTTTTCCAAAAGGATTTTTGATGCTTCCTGGAACACATCACCGGAAAACTGTTTCATTTTTGATTCATCGTTTGCCACTTGAGAAGCGATTTCGGCACCATCGAAAAATTCATTTTAATAAAAAATCTCCGAGAAATTTTCGAAACCTTCAATAGTTTTTTCGCGTCCAAATTGCTCTCCAACTCGATCCAATGCCTCGGAAATTGCATTTTCGACAATCGATCGAATTGTTTCGTTTGGAGCACATCTGCATAATTTGTAGGTAATTAAGATTCCCACTAATTACTCCACCTTATTATAACTGGAAATAAAAGAAGAATTAAAATAGATCGCATTGCTTTGCAAGTGATACGCAGTTATTTGAGAGGGTAACATTTTAAACCAAAACGCTTGTATTAGTTCAGCTTTGATCACGTTCAATTCAAAACTCCCACATTGGTGTGGGCGGGACCAAACTACATTTTTTGTTTATTTTTGTTTATTTAATGATGTAGGTTTTTATCGCTTTGAAAGCGTTTAATTATATGCAATTAATTATGTGTATTAATTATTGTATAGATGAACGCAGTTGTAAAATTTGAATTTCGCCGTCTGAATGTTATTTGAGCGCGGAAAATTAAAATACAATTTTGCTAATAACCAAATCGATTAAATATGAGGTTCAAGTATCTAATTTAAAAATTTGCACAAGAAAAATTTCCATATTTGAATTTCAACATTTCGTTTTTTTTTCTTCAATATTTGGACAATTGGCAACAATTGTTCAAATAGAAACCGACGAACAGTCTAGTTTAAGGGTGCAATTTTTGGCAACGAATTGTCGGCATCAAACGAGTGAAAAAAAGAACGTCTCCCCTCTCGCGAAGTAAATTTGCGAAGGTGGAAATTGTCTGAATATTGAATGTGCGCACTTATATTTTTCTTGAGACATTTGGCACATCGCCAATATTTTTATTCGGTTCAGCCTATTGACGGCGACAATATAAAAAAAACTAACCAATGAAGAAAAAATGTTCAACGACAAACATGAATAGGTTAATTAAATACATATGTACATTCTATAATAAAATATAGAATTATATTTATATTTATACAGTGCGTTGCAGAATTATAAGGCCACCCCCAAATTTGAGCGCCGCGCAATGATTTCGATACTTTGAGACCAACAAGTGTTAAAATCGTGTTTAGCATGAAAAATTACCTATATGTACCAATTTTTATGTTAGTATCTTCAAAAGTAAGGGTGGTCTAAAACCGTTTTTTCAAGCGGTGCAGAATTATAAAGCCACCCCCATGAAACGAACTTTTTCGCATTTTTTTTGAAACTTTGGCGGGACCAGTGTGCATAAAAATTGTTGTGTGGCTTTGAGAACCTACAGTGGTCCTTATTCGTCTCTTTTTAAATCATTTTGAAATGCCACGTGGTCGCTGTCTTAGTGCTTCTGAGCAATCTCAGATTCTCGCATTCAAAACGGCAGGATTGTCGAACCGTTGGGTTGCGAAGAGTTTAAATGGTCCGAAAACATTCGTAGACATCTTTGTGAAGGATCTAACTCGTGTCAACATGTCGCAAAAGTCAGGCGGCAGAGGAAAACTGGACTATCGCGCTAAACGAGCACTGATTCGAGCAGCTTCCAGCAGTATGAAGTCTACAAATGGCATCAAGAAGAAGCTAAACTTTGACAAAAGCAAGTGGACAGTTTGGGGAACCATCAAGAATAACCCCAACATCGCTAGAGAAAAAATGAAGCCGGCCCCGCGACTCACAGAGGATTATAAAATTCGACGCCTTGAGTTCGCATTCAAAAACATGAATACGGATTGGAACAATGTGCTTATATTCGAGAATATTGTGAATAATAGCCATTCAAATTTCAACAGGTTATTTTTTCCGATGAAAAAACAATTAATTTGGATGGCCCAGACGGCCATAACAGTTAGTACAATCGTGACATTATGTCATTCGGCAAGCGATCCAGCGGTGATTATCTCAAAGATTTCGTTGAGAAGCGGATGCCATCGGTTCGATTCTTATTAGTCTATCATGCAAAAAAATAATACAATTTGTTTTTAGTATGAGCGAGATATTATGTCGTTCGGAAAACGGTCCGGTTCCAACTATGAGCGCCCAATCATGGCGTTCGGCAAGCGCAGAGAAGACTACGAGCGCAACATTATGTCGTTCGGACGACGAAAATAAATTATTGTATTGTATATCCTGTAACCAAATAATTTCCATAATGAATTGGTACCCAATAGATTTTGACGCAGTCACTCAACTATCTCGCCCGTTTTGTTGAAATCTTCCTTCCTTCCTTCCGACCACCCCACGCATGTCTGTCTTCGATTACACTCCTCAATATTCGTTCACGGAATAAACCAATTGTTCGCGTTAGCATCAATTTTTCAGAAAAAAAGTGAAAAGATAGTGGTTTTGTGATTTAAAAAAAATAAGAAGCCAAAGACTAAAAGGTTAGTTTTTAAAACAAAATTAGATTCAGCTGGAAATTGCATATTACATTGAGACAAAAATATATTTTTTTTTTTGGTCATGTTAATGAAACAAGTGGATTAGACAATTTGTGCATTTTGATAATCAAATCTGCACAATACTATATCCATTTCGTTCGAAAACTAGATTCCACGCGAATTAAAGAAAAAATACAGTAGAATTTTATGGTCACCGCCATTTTGAGATCAACTTGTGTTAAAATCCTATTCTGCGTGTAAACTTATTATCGTGCCAAAAAAACGAGCACCTTAAACAATTGTGGACCATCGAATTGTTTCGAGCGGTAATTCAAATTTGAATTTAAGCAGTGGCAATTCGGATACCGTACTAATGACAATCAGCGAAGCTAACTCACCGTAAATTGACATTAAAGAAGTAATCAGCTGAGAATCAAACAACTTTATGCAATTATTAGTGTATTCTTAGAGATTCTAATTCGAATATGCAAAACCGGTTAATTTTTAATTCAAAAAGCTACTTCGGAAATCGTTTTTTTTTTCCACACAAAAGTTGATTAAGATTTCAGAATTATACTGAAAAAAAATGAATCATTTAGTATGAGTAACTTTTCGAGTGGAATTCGATAAATAAACGAAACGTTCAAATATTAAATCGAATAAAACCAATATTTGCGTGTCGAATATCCAATCGAATAATTTATTTGTAATTTTAAACATTTGCATGACTAGTCAAGAAGTGTCGTGTTGAAACGGTAAATTGAATTATCGAATTAAAAAATGTTGAAGTTCAGGACTATGTTACTTTTGTTCTTATTCTTAATTTTAACATTTATTTCGCTTTCGATGTGTTCATCGGGCGGTGGAAGCAGCGGAGATGAGGAGACTGGAACCGAATCCGGTCAAAAGGCGAAATCCACCGACAAAACGAAAAAGAAGAAAAAGAAAAAGAATGATGACGAGAAGTTTCGAGATGACAAATAAACAGAAAAAAACGAGACAAAAACGTGAAAATTTGATTAACTTTTCAAGAGAGACAGTTTAAAAAATTGTAGTGCAAGTATGGAGCAGCCCGTTGCAAAAACACAAGCAGCTAGTGATCAACTACACGATGGTGGATCACAACAATCGAAGTCGAACGTCGCGTCACCGAAATTTTGCAAATCTACTGAAGCAACAAAGTCTGAAGAATTACGTGTGTTTTCTTATATTCTTGACTTTTATGGATTTTTTTGATTTAGCATTACCAAAAAAGAAATTTATTAACAAGAGCTCGGTCTATATTAAAACAACGGATCAAAGAGAGGAAAAGGTAGAAATAAATTTCGGTGGAAAATGGCGGGTACTGATGAGAATGTGTGGTTATGCCAGATCGGCTTAAAATTATAAACATTGGCACACCGTGTGCCAACACTCTATACGGCACCCTGTGGGGCCTATCAGTGGGGAGGGGCACAGAGGGTTTTTCAATAATCAAACGCTGGACGTCCAGTTTTCATCGGAAATATGAGAGGAAATAGGTCATGAAGATGATTGAAAGGTCCCACTTGAATACAGTTTGTACGTTGCTAATTCCCACCGTAAAATGTACATAATGTATGTATGTATGCTCAAATGATATTTTTAGAAGTTAGTTGCTAAAAGTAAACCAGCTAAAATAGTGAAATCACCGAAAATAACAGAAGAAAGAACACAGAAGACGTACGAGGTTTCAGCGAGTTTTAATAGATTTCGATTAAAAACATGAATGATTCTCAGAGTCGCGAGATGGTCGATGAAGATGATGACACGATTCAAGATGCTCCGTCGATTAAACAGAAAAGAAGGGGAACTCCGAGTGGAAATGATTCGGATGTAATCAGTCGCCTATTTTAAAAAAATAATTCGCAATTTCAGTTGGAATCGAAAAAATCGTTGAAACATGTATAAAACAATCTCATATTTATTCATAATATTGAAAAAAAATCGTTTATGTTCTAACGAATAAAAGCATTGATATCCAAATCTGGTATCGATTTGCATGGAATTTTTTGAATATAGATTCATTAGTGGACTAATTGCGTTTTCGTTTTTTAGACAAGTTCTAAAATTAAAAAAAAAACCTTGATCTTCGATTTAAAGCTTTCGCAGAGCATTGAGTTTTCCAACACACACCCATTTGTTTATGTTTTTCCACAATTCGGTTTTTATCTACAATTAGCACTTTCCGTGTTGCTCAATGAACAAAAATGCTTAAACGATATCGCGTCGAAATTGAAGAAGATTTTATTGCAAAAACATTAAAAACGACGGATATCACCTTAAGGTGATTCGTAAATAGGAGGGCAAGTGCGCTCCATTGCCCACTCTTGGTCCGACTTTGGACCCTTCGAGATTTAGTGCCATTATTCTTCCATTAGAGCTCATTTTAGAGGGAACGCTAATCCTTACTATTTTCACTGTTTCATATATTTTTTATTGAATTTCACCATGTTTTTCTGTCGAGTCGTTTCATACCTATTTCATTTCTAAGCTTCGTCCATCTTTACTAACTTTTTAAATTCAAAGAATGCCCAAGAAATTCCTTGTCGATGGTTGTGAATTGCTTTGTGTTGATGAGCGTAATTTTGAGGAGGTGCGCGAAAAATTCAAGCAAAATGTGACTGTTGACGATATGGAAAATTGGAAGTCCAAGGTATGATTTATTTTAATATTTTTCCATGAATTCTAATAAGCTTTCTGAAAATTAAACTACACACTTATTAAAAGTTATTTTTCAGAAGAAAATGGAACAGTACACGGCAACGACTTTTGTTGAAAAAGCTCGCTTCTATTTGTCGCAATCACCACCGGATCTCGTTCAATCATCAGAGAAAATTTGGTTTGCCGCCGTCTATGCCGTGAAAAAGCTATTTTTAACTTCTGGAGGTATTAATTATCGCTTATTGACTCTATTTATCAAAGGGTTTCAGGTATTGATTTAAAATCCCATAAAGCTTTAAATTATTTCTGTCGATTTGCGCTTGCTAATTCTGGATTACCAACGGATCGTGGCTTTTTCCTCTTTGACACTTGGACGAAAGCCGAAAAGTAAGTTGCTTAATTTTGTATATATGATTTATTAAATAAATTTAGAATGCACCAAGATGTGTACGGGTCATGGAACTTCCGCTCACACGAATACGCGCAAATCATCACCGATGTTGAGACTTTTGTGAAAGATTTCGACAATTTTGATCAACGGAAGCTATGGGATGAATTCGAGAGGAAATTTATCGTCGGAACAGAACAAAATGTTACGGTTAAAAAGGTATCTCCACAGACCATCAATCTTGGTGGCTTCTGTTTTAAGTCTGAGTACTCCGTTTTCGTTTAAATGTATATTACTTTGCCATTTATAAATTATTTGCATTGGGGGCTTCTTGTAGGGTTTACGTGTTTTTTTCATGGAAAAGAAGGGGAACTCCGAGTGGAAATAATTAGGATGTAATCAGTCGCCTATTTAAAAAAAAATAATTCGCAATTTCAGTTAGAATCGAAAAAATCGTTGAAACATGTATAAAACAATCTCATATTTATTCATAATATTGAAAAAAAAATCGTTTATGTTCTAACGAATAAAAGCATTGATATCCAAATCTGGTATCGATTTGCATGGAATTTTTTTACTGTTCCTGAAAATATAAAAGTTTCTACTATTGAACAGTTTCGAAACGTACAAATCGAAGATGTTGATATTCACATTGTCAATAATGTCGGTGTTCTCGCATATGAGCTTGGCGAGTTTTGTTCTCCGCAGAGCATCAACCTCTTCTAAAATTTTAGACAATTTGCCATTGACAAATGTTATTTTTTACCTGGTTTGAATCCGTCGGTGAATCTGACTTCATTGTCGTAGAAGAATCGGTCACCCTTCCGGAGGGCTTCGAATTGCTCAGCAATTATGTAGCTAGCTGTTGGACCCACTAAGCCACCATTTACCGGATTTTCCATGACAATTCCCGTGTACAAATCAATATCGTCTGGAGACGCATAAACTCCTTTCAAAGCTTCAATGTTTTTCTGCGAGAATGTCGATGAGAGATCGTTCCATGATCTGACAGCTGGGAGTCCGACAGTTTGGCTAAGCTTACAATTAAGAAATTTTTGAATATTCGATTGTTACCGGTAGTGAGTATAGGGCATCAATCCAAGATCTCTTCCTCGCATGATATTGATAGCAACAAGATCGACGCCAGATCCCGGCTTATTCCGAGTTTCGAATAACTGATTCCGAATCGGAAATGAGAAGTATCGGTCGACATTCATCGAACTCGTTGTCATCATTCCTGTAATCGCTTAATGCTATTAAGAACTCGATTGATGGCGAACCATTAAGTAAAGTTTCCCATCCACCCGCTTGTCGGTATAATTCATTTGCGTAGAAGATGTTACTTCCTAGATCCAAGGATCCAACTGTATTGTTATTGGCATCTTGTCTCATAAAATGCTGTCTCGCTTGACTGTGTCCAAACCGGAATGCCGCAGCAGCAAATTCAGCACTTAGAGCAGGATTCTTCGACTCGTCGTATTTTCTCGATTTTCCGGATCTTGGCTTCATCGGCTTCAAGTCGAAATCGGTTAAATATTTATCGGATAGCAATTCCGGCAGGTACTCGTTATAGACGTGATGTTGCCACATACCAATCATTACTTTTCGAACGAGCTATAACATTTAGACCAGTTTACAAATTTGTAATATCCATTTCAGACCTGATAGATTTGCTCGTCATTCCAGTTCGGTCGGATTTGTTTCACTTTTTTAGCATGTCGGTTGTGTTCTTTTAAGAAAACCGTGTGCACTGAAGTCATACATTAGTACATCTTATCGAAGACCGGCAACTATCGGAAATTAAACGAATTTAGCTCTAATACAATTGTTAAATTTTGCGAAATTAGCACATTTTGCAAGTGCCTTCGATATCCTGTACATAGTTTTGCATATTCTTGATACGCAGCTAAATCGTAAATTAAGTTGCTCATTTCAAATTTCTACGTATCTTCGAAAATACAATACAAAATCAATATAGTTGTTCTTACATGGAATAAGAGCCGGATGGAGACTGTTGCGGAAATCACCAGCAAGGAAGCAATAATTCGGGTTTCTCGATTGACAGTTTGAATCCTGTTATATACAAATCACTCATACGAATTCCATATCAGTTATATTAATTACATTTTTGTCCTGTGGAGGAAGAATGTATCCTTCTCCTCTGTAATCCCTCAACAGACCATTTTGAAATGATCGAAGACTCTCTGCTTCACAATCAGAAGATCCATAAACAACAGACAAATCAATGAAGTGTGAATTCTAAAGCGACGATTTGATTATGGGATAACGAAGATTTTGATGCTGACTTGGTCGATCTGAGTTCTGGCTCCAAATCCAGTCTGGCCATTCAATGCTCGAGTGAGACGAATGCATCTGAACAACGGAAAATGAAATATCGTAGATTCGATATCACTACCTCTTCGAACCATCTGCAGATTTGAAGTATTTGTCATCGGCCGGAACAGGAATAGGTGCGCAGTTTGGAGAAACTGAGCTGGTAGCTTCACAGGAATTACAATCGAGAGTTGATCCGTCTTTTGCTAAAACGTTTTCAGATAATAAATTCGCTGTTTTGTTTCACGCTTACCAACTGAAGATGGCATAAAAATGATATCATGAGCAATGAATTGTCCGACTTGCATGTGCAAATGATTAATGTTCGGCGAGAAGTTTGGCTCAGCTCCTTCATCGTGAAGTTTGTTGGAAATCAACCTAGCTGAAGGCAAGTCCGCTCCAGTAACCGATTTTCGCCGGATTTCATTCAAGCCTTAAATGTGAAATTATTGGTTTTAAAATATGAAAAATTTCGACCATCTTGATATGAAACTTTTCCGGTTAAACGTCTGATTGGGCTCACAGAATTTCCCCATTTGCTTTTCGCCCGATTATTGCAAAGTCCAGTTATGGACCGCACTTGATCGCTTCAATTGTTCAAGATTGATCACGTAAAATGATTACAAATTTACTGAATTATAAGCTGACAATTTTTCGGTGGTCCTCTGCATGTTCCACTTTCTTTGTGTTCATAGCCAACCTATGCAAAAATATTTACTTTCAGAATTCCGAGAGGAAATATTATACTTCTCGTTTCTTTCTGGCATTCTCGACATCCATCTCGTTTTCGGCTTGGATTTCCTCGATCACTTCGTTGGCTTCATCGAAAATTGACTGAAAATGAGAATATTGATATGTTATTGATATGAATACCAAGCCAATACCGATCCATATTTTTCCAAAAGGATTTTTGATGCTTCCTGGAACACATCACCGGAAAACTGTTTCATTTTTGATTCATCGTTTGCCACTTGAGAAGCGATTTCGGCACCATCGAAAAATTCATTTTAATAAAAAATCTCCGAGAAATTTTCGAAACCTTCAATAGTTTTTTCGCGTCCAAATTGCTCTCCAACTCGATCCAATGCCTCGGAAATTGCATTTTCGACAATCGATCGAATTGTTTCGTTTGGAGCACATCTGCATAATTTGTAGGTAATTAAGATTCCCACTAATTACTCCACCTTATTATAACTGGAAATAAAAGAAGAATTAAAATAGATCGCATTGCTTTGCAAGTGATACGCAGTTATTTGAGAGGGTAACATTTTAAACCAAAACGCTTGTATTAGTTCAGCTTTGATCACGTTCAATTCAAAACTCCCACATTGGTGTGGGCGGGACCAAACTACATTTTTTGTTTATTTTTGTTTATTTAATGATGTAGGTTTTTATCGCTTTGAAAGCGTTTAATTATATGCAATTAATTATGTGTATTAATTATTGTATAGATGAACGCAGTTGTAAAATTTGAATTTCGCCGTCTGAATGTTATTTGAGCGCGGAAAATTAAAATACAATTTTGCTAATAACCAAATCGATTAAATATGAGGTTCAAGTATCTAATTTAAAAATTTGCACAAGAAAAATTTCCATATTTGAATTTCAACATTTCGTTTTTTTTTCTTCAATATTTGGACAATTGGCAACAATTGTTCAAATAGAAACCGACGAACAGTCTAGTTTAAGGGTGCAATTTTTGGCAACGAATTGTCGGCATCAAACGAGTGAAAAAAAGAACGTCTCCCCTCTCGCAAAGTAAATTTGCGAAGGTGGAAATTGTCTGAATATTGAATGTGCGCACTTATATTTTTCCTGAGACATTTGGCACATCGCCAATATTTTTTATTTGGTTCAGCCTATTGACGGCGACAATATAGAAAAACATTAATCAATGAAGAAAAAAATGTTCAACTACAAACATGAATAGGTTAATTAAATACATATGTACATTCTATAATAAAATATAGAATTATATTTATACATATTTATATATAATTATATTTATATTTATATATACGTACATATTTACATTTATTTATTTATTTATATTATCAAATCAATTTTTTTAAAATAAATTTTGTTTGTTAACTTTTCGTATAGAAAAGTGATATCCTAGAATGGCTAATTTCATTATCTCGAAAGAAGCAACCAATTGTAAAATTTTAAAAAATCAAATTTGTCAAAAATATTCATATCAATGGGTAATTTGCCTGTATGATTTCGATTATAAATACACTTAAATATATCTTAACTCTGATCTTGAGCACACAGTTCAATAAATTCGAATCAAACGCACATTGCTCAGAAAACTTGATGACCGATTCAATTACTTTTCATGGAGATTTTTTAATATGGGATAATCTCTTTAAGTCTGCCGCCTACTTAATTTGAACTCTTTGATATGCTTCATTTATTATTTTTAATAACGACCTCCGTTGTGAATATCAATTTTTAAAACTTTGCGGATTTCAATATCTTGTGCAATCTTTAAAAAAAAACGTTGCAACAACTTCCAATTTTGTTTATTTTCCACGTCAACATTGAAGTATGATAGTTTGATCAACAATTTGTCGTGACGAAAAATCGCCCCATAAAAGCGCATTGAAATGAAAATGAAAATGAGAAACACAACTAATTTCGCCCCGAGGGTGCAACATCTCCGGTGTGCTTTTTTTTTGTCCCATCCTTTTTGACTCATAAACTTTTTTATGTTGTTGTTTCCTTGCCAAAAGCACTCCCAAATTTTTATATAATAATCGAGGAAAAGTGAGTGGCACTTGACGAGTTTTTGATTCGAACTCGACTCCTTGAATCAGCGCAATTCAATGAGTTGTAGGCGTCATGAGAAATAAGACGTCATTTACTCCGCAAGTTACGTACTCAATTATTTATACGGTTTTATACGCCCCAATTTTTTTTAAAGTCAATTCATACCTTTTTCTATGGTCCCATTAATTCTCATTTCTGATGTTTGACCCAAAAATAGAAACATCACTAAATTGCTTCGTAATTATCATAATTCATCGTTGTGAGAATAACTTTTTTTTTCATAGTTTTTTTTTGATATTCAGGAAGATATTAGATATGTACAAATGGGTGCACCATTATCCGCAAATTTCTCGAATTCTCCACGAAACTCCTTGACCTTAGATGGGGCTCGTATTAGAAATGCAAGCTACTATCGTTTTATATAAGCCTGGGAAGAGTTTTGTTCTTTCAAACCGAACCAGTTTTTTCTTCCTTTTGAGAGTTGTGAAAACTAAACAAAAAAATGCATTTTCTAATAAAATTTATTAGAAATTTATTGAAACTTTTCGAAATATTCTTTGTTTTCCACTGGAAGAGCGCGTAATAATAGAAATGTTACTAATTTTAGAAAAGAAATGATAATTTTCGAATATTATAGAAATTCATAATTGTTAGTTAATTATTCAGTCTTACAAAAATTTCTCAGTGAATCTTTAAAATCTACATAAAATTTTCGCGGCAGCTCTATGAAAAATCTTGTTCTTTCGTTAAAAGCACATTTTTCTGTAAAATTGCAATTATTTTCAATTAATATTTTTTTTTGCTAAACAAGCATTTCGAAATATTATTTTAAATAGTCTTAAATGAAATTTCGAACAATTTTTGTTTGACGTAACTAAAAATGAATGTTTTATGATTTGTGAAAATTGTTAATCTTTGAGATATTGTACTACCTGAATGTAGACAATGTATTTTGTTAAGGGCAGCTTCTCGAATCCATAATTGATTCACACGCGACTTCTGATGCGTAAAACCAATTTCGCAACAACAACAACTACTACATTCTCATCATCGTCCTGCAACGTCTACATTAATATTTTAGTAATTTATTTCCTAATCGTTGAAATCCGATTATATCTTAAAGTCTAGGCGGACCGAGATGAGAAATCTTGCAATGTCGAGCTCACTTCCAATTTTTATTTCTCATCTCGACGTGAGCATTCGACCGCGTATGAGATGAAAACATTCGTTTTTGGATCACTCTGGTTTTAGTTGATAGCTTATTCGAAGTTCGCAAATTGATCTGCCAGAGAAAGTTGATTTAGGTGTCTCATTTTTTGAAATACTACCAAACGATTTATAATACAAATCTGTGCATTTCCCTTTTTTGTAGCTATATATCAAGTGGATTTCTTCGTATCTTTTTTCATTAATAGCTTAAAGAAGTGCACATATTTGGTAAACAAAATATCCATTTCACCTCCGGCATCTACTCCCAACCCCCGGTGTGCAGCGAAGAGCTCTCTTTCATTTTTCCATTAATCACAAAATTTTCGTTAATTAGGACTGTTTTTGAAAACAATCCTTCATAAATACTGTAATTAGGGCCATTATGTCTGAGCTAAAAAAAAAGCAACTAGTTACTTTGTTGAGTAACTAAGCAAGGAGAAAAATATTCTAAAAACATTCGCAAATGAGTTTATCATTATTCTAAGTAAAATGTAAAATATTGAGTTTATTTCAATATCTGAAAATCTCAAAAACTCTAACATAATAAAACGAAAAAAATAATTCTACAGTAGTCTCTTTTTAAGTCATTGTGAACAGAAATTTCTTGAAACCAAATCATTTTAAGAATTTTGCCTTATTGTTTCACATTGAAGTATTTATCCATGAATAATTTTTTAAAAATTCTAAGTTCGTCATTGCCTTTTGGCACGAAGCCTGTAGCACAAACAAAAAGAGGGCGTTTGAATGTTTCAATCCTCTTGAATATACATGGACTTCTTATCGTCTGGAGATTGAGGTTTCAAGCGAATATTAAGATGAACGAATAGAGATTTGCTTGAGATTCTTTTTCATCTTTGTGGACTCGCTTTAATTACATCTAGAAAAGTAGAGCTACCTTCTTCATTTTTTATTTCGTGTAGGCGGCGTTGTTTTTGCATCGATAATTCGCATCAAACTTTCACAAATTCATGTCAATCTTTCATCTATCTCACCAATTTTTTTCGTCATTTTTTATTCTAAATTATACAATTTCAAGGTGTCCATCGTTCTCCTTATTATTTTTTTTACATTTTCCCCGTTTTTGCAATAATTTTTTTTAAATTTTTAACCTCCTCTCTTCTAGATAAAATTTCTAGAAGAAGGTTTTTCTAAAACCAAACATTTCCCAACAAATTTAGGGTTAAAAAATAATGATGAATCAGTGCGCAGTGTTTGTTTGCGTCATCGCTGCCATTACGGCAGTCTACGGTCAAAGTAACTTGATAGTTTCTCGACCGGTTACCAACACAAATTGATTTTTCAGTGAGCAAAGATGAGCCGATGAAACGCAACGACTACTCGAGAGATATCATGTCTTTCGGAAAACGATCGGCTTCGGAGAACACGTACGAACGCAACATCATGTCGTTCGGAAAACGACAACCCAACGTTAGAATTATTATTATTTCAACTGGATCTGTTCTTTTTATTTTCAGTACAATCGTGACATTATGTCATTTGGCAAGCGAGCAAGCAACGGATTCGAAAGGGACATCATGAGCTTCGGCAAACGGATCCCATCGGTTTAACCACATTTGACTATTAATTACGATTATTTGTTTTCGATTTTTCAGTACGATCGTGAGATTATGTCATTTGGAAAACGATCTCTATCGAATTTCGAGCGTCCAATCATGGCGTTCGGCAAGCGCAGTGCTGATGACTACGAGAGAAACATCATGTCGTTCGGCCGACGAAAATAAATACTGAAAATCTCTCTGTCTTCTCTTTCCTTAACTATTATACCTATCTAACTCCTTATTTGTACTTCTCAATTCGGCTGAATAAATGTTTCATAGTTAAGTCCATAAAATTTGAAAACCGAAAATTACTGGCCATCGAAAAAATACAAAGTAAATAATTAAGTTCAGTGCTATTTATAAGCGGAGGATTTGAATGAAAATGAAATACAGTGCGTTGCAGAATTATAAGGCCACCCCCAAATTTAAGCGCCGCGCAATGATTTCGATATTTTGAGACCAACCAGTGTGAAAATCGTGTTCAGCATGAAAAATAACCTATATGTACCAATTTTTATGTTAGTATCTTCAAAAGTAACCGCGCAGTGGTCCAAAACCGTTTTTCGAGCGGTGCAGAATTATAAAGCCACCCCCATAAAACAAGTTATAAACTCAAAAATAACGACAGTTTAATGTTTAGTGGCACCTCCAGTCGAGGTAATTATGTCAGAAAAACGGTCTGGCATAGATTTGAGAAGGTTTTAAACAGATTGGGTCGATTTAGATTTGAATTTCTGCTCTAACGTCTTTCACTCGACTACGATTTCGGTTTTGAGCTCTTCAACTCCCCGAAATTCCTTCCTTGGCCATAGAGACGCCGTACTAACTCTCCCCAAACGTTCTCCATGTTACTCCAAAAAAGAGAACATGCTGGCCAGTCGAGAACGTCTACACTGTGAGACTGAAGCTAGTCCAAAGTAGACCGACTCACATGAATGACCGAATTTTTCTGTTGAAAAACGACAATGGTGACGTCGGAATGGAAGAAGATGGCTCTCAAGATCATTTTGATAGTCCGAAGAGTCCACCTTACTCGTCAGAAAAGCAATTTCCAGAAACCAGGCCGCCGAAAAAGCTCCCCATACTATCACGTTTCCTCCTCTAAAATTGAGTTTTGAAAGCAGGAGGCGATTCTTTCATTACTCGGGCCAGAAACTGTTATAGCCGTCTGGGCCATCCAAATTAAATTGTTTTTCATCGGAAAAAATAACCTATTGAAGTTTGAATGGCTATTATTCACAATATTCTCGAATATAAACACCTTGTTCCAATCCGCATTCATGTTTTTGAATGCGAACTCAAGGCGTCGAATTTTATGGTCCTCTGTGAGTCGCGGGGCCGGCTCCTTTTTTTCTCTAGCAATGTTGGGGTTATTCTTTATGGTTCCCCAAACTGTCCACTTGCTTTTGTCGACGTTTAGCTTCTTCTTGGTGTCATTTGTAGACTTCATACTGCTCGAAGCTGCTTGAATCAATGCTCGATTAGCGAGATAGTCCAGTTTTCCTCTGCCGCCTGACTTTTGCGACATGTTGACACGAGTTGGATCCTTCACAAAGATGTCTACGAATGTTTTCGGACCATTTAAATTCTTCGCAACCCGACGGTTCGACCATCCTGCTGTTTTGAATGCAAGAATCTGAGATTGCTCAGAAACACTAAGACAGCGACCACGTGGCATTTCAAAATGATTCAAAAAGTGAAAAATAAGGACCACTGTAGGTTCTCAAAGCCACACAACAATTTTTATGCACACTGGTCCCGCCAAAGTTTCAAAAAAATGCGAAAAAGTTCGTTTCATGGGGGTGGCTTTATAATTCTGCACCGCTCGAAAAAACGATTTTGGACCACTGCGCGGTTACTTTTGAAGATACTAACATAAAAATAGGTACATATAGGTTATTTTTCATGCTGAACACGATTTTAACACTGGTTAGTCTCAAAGTATCGAAATCATTGCGCGGCGCTCAAATTTGGTGGTGTCCTTATAATTCTGCAACGTACTGTAGTTGGTTCAAATTATTTCAATCGCGTTATTTAATTGAAAAATCGCCTTCTTAAAATTATCGTACTAGATTTTAATTTAAAAAAAAAAACTCAAAAAACTGGCTTGAAGGAGATTTTTGCCCCCTTGTGATTTAGACGACTTTATCGCGGAATATATCGAAGAATTCTTTATATTATAAATAAACTCCGGTTAGTGTTTTAATATCAATTAAAATAGAAAAGTTAAAACTTTATTTCAAGATATATCCTTTCGGTTGTCTTCGTTTTGCCCTGGAAGTTCTCGAAGTGCTAGAACGAATCAATTGAGCTCTTAGTACTGTCTTTTTCAATACCTAGCTCTAACTTTTCAGCCTTTTTCTTTTGGCGATAATTTTCAAAAAAGCACATTTCGAATAACAACAGTGATATTGCCAATAGCATAATAACACATAAACTGCTCATCACATAATATAAAGTATTTGAATGTGAGATTGGCGAATAACTGAACTGAACGAAATTTATCGAGCATTTCTCTTTTGACTGAGTATCGTTATAAATGAGATTATACTCAAGGTTCAATATGTCGTTGAATCTGAAAATTAAAACCCAATTTTTTTAATTTTTAGTAATCACGTAAAAAATAATTTCAAATGTTAGACATGAGATTTAAAAATGATTATTTTCAAACATAACAAAAATGAAATATTTAAAGAGATGCAGAAACATCTTACGCTTCAAGTTTTGTGTACATCGCAATACCTAAATGATCGTTGTTGATGAGTATGACAGTCTTCTGAAGAGAACAACCCAATAAAACTTTGTTTGAAAACTTCTTACATTCGGCTGAGCGTATAAATTTGTCATTCTTGGTAATGAGAAACTTATAAGTTTCGTATTGCCTTTAAACGTAATCAATGGAAAATTGTTACTCCACAAATCTTGAAGATTGTGCAGATGATGGAAACTTGTAAAAGTATTCGAGTCTAATATTATTCCAGATTCGATTCTAACAATATCACCTAGTTTTCGTGAAATTAAAGGATCGCTCAAATCTTGAAGTCGTTGATTCAAAATAAATATTTAATAATTGTTACCATAATTGGACAATTGGTTGATTATTAGTGGATTCTTTTTAACGATATAGCAGCCGGTGCGAAGTTCGCGAATATCTTTACCGTCGCATTCTTCAAAAAACCGAATAATTTGAAGAGAACGAATGAATTTTACCTGACAAACGTTCATCAGCATTCGAAAAGATTAAGAAAAATAAATTGAACGTTAATGTACTCAACATAATAATTTAGAAATGAAAAATTCGGAATTGCCATTTCACATTTCATCAGCACAATGAATAAGTTAATAATATTCTGTGTGATGATCGCATTGGTTTATTCATCGCATATTTCAATTCCCTACGAATTTTGGCATTGTGGAACAGAATCAGTAAAGAAGCAGGCGAAGGAAATGGCGGAGACGTCGTGCTCAAACTATACAAGTTTTTATTAAATGATTGTGTTGGCAATTATCGATTGATTTTCAGTTGCTCTTAATCACTGTTGCGCTGTTCATGATGATTGTTATACAAGACAAGACGGAAAGGACAACTGTGATGCCCAATTTTGCGACTGTTTCGAGAAGAATAGTGATGAGATTTGTAAAAATGAGTTCACGACACTTGCATGTGCTGCTGTTGAAATTTTCGGACTTCCGGCATATTCGGCAGCTGCTAAACGCGAGCCAAGAAACAAGAAAATCCTGATTTCGCCGGGTTTGGAAGCGCTTGACACCAAATATCGCCAATTATATGATGTCTGTCCCGGAAATGTTATCACTATTTCGTCTTGTGCTTTCGCGTACAACTTGTGCGCAAATGGGACCAACACGAATATTTGTCGAGAAAACGTAACAAATGAGTTTTGAGAACAATTTCAGTATTGATTTTTTTGATTTCAGTTGGCAAATTGCCTAGAAGCGATAAACAGCACAAACACAAAATGCGTGAGATTGCTGAAATTTATAAGCGACAGCTTGCGACTTGAAAATGTGATCGTTGTCGTTAGTGATATAGTTGACGAAGACGCATTAGATATCGATTTTGTAAGTGTTGATTCGATGTGATTCATTAGTTGGTTTAAGAGTCTTGAATAGTGGTCTCAAAATACTCATTTGACAATCTATTATTTTTAACAATTTTCGAAGGCAAGCAGCTATCGGAAAGGGTCGAATACTTTTTTTCCGCCAAATTGGCATATTTTTGCATATTTACGAATTTAATGTGTACTGTCGTTTTGCATATTCTTCATACAGCCCAAATTATTTCGAGACCCAGTTGCTCAATCAAAATTTTTACTCTCCGCACCCTCCCCCACCCCTCTGGAAGACGTTTACCCTCAACAATGTAAAATTTATTTATCTCGGTATTATCTGAGTTTTTGAGATTGTTTAGAATAGAGGTTTAAAAAGTTATATAGTCTATCAAAAATATCATAATTCGTAATGGAATTTAAGTAGTTTGGTTATAAGTGAATATCAAATTTCTCAAATTCGTCCGGCCGCGAAAATCTATTAGCCGGTAAAACGAAAGTAATCGTTTAAGAACATTTCGACCTACATAAAAAAATATGCCGTAAGCACTTGATTATCGTTGTGGTTTCAGATGAAAACGCAGAAGAACTCGAATCGCGAAAACGACGACGCCGCCCAATTGTTCGTTGTTCTCATCATTTTCGGAATGGTCTTATTCGTTATATGCGCCGGAATTAATAATTTCGACGAGGAGAATCAAGGCATTATTCCCGCCGATATTGCTCCGCGAGCAATTGTTGTTAATCCAAATAAATATTGATTTTATTTATTATTGTGTGTATATGTTTTAAGCAGAACAAATGCGCGCCTGTTTATCTCAAAAAAAGAAAACGAAATATATTTTGAAAGAATTATGATTGTATATATATATATATATATATTTATATTGTCGTTTGCGAATCTGTTCTTCATTCGCCATTAAATTTTACGATATTTCAACACTATTATATTAATTTCATAATTTACATCGAACACAATATGAGTAGCTGAAGTGAATGTCTCCCAATCCAATTGTATTTGTATATAGTTAAAAATTGATTTTTATTTTTCTGTTTTTTAATCTATAAATGGTTTTTTTGTTGAAAACTGCAATTGAAAGTGATGATTAGTGTTGAAATATATGCAAAATAGTTCATTCCGGTTTTTTTCACCAAGTCGACACAATAGATGTTATCGTTTTCAAAATTTATGAGACTATCATGACCTCAAATTCAACCCGAAATACATGAAATCCCGCGAAAACAGGGCGTCCAATTTCCAATAAGGGTTTTGTACGTGTTATCAAAAAAAAAAAGAACAACAGTTGATCGAATGAAATTTTGTGGAAGCAATTTTCGGCAAATTTTTTGTTCTCTTCTCATTTTTTGCAGAAATCCAAAAAGCAGCTTAATTCTGTATGAATAGAAGTGTCAAATTAAGAATTAAAAACGCATTTATAACTTTCGTTTTTTTTGGGAAAAATTGTTTTCATTTATTCCCCCCCCCCAATTGCTTATTTCAAAACTCGTTTGGCATCTACATTACACACTAATATTCAATTTGCTTAAAACTTAAATTAGACCGTTTGAATGAAAACGAAGAGCGAATGATTTTGGCAAAAACAATGAGATAGTGTGCAAAAGTGCGAGACATGGTCCAGTTCGCCGCAAAGAAGCTTAATTCGCGCCAACCGTCCAATAGAGTCTTTTGTTTCTACAAAAATAGACGATAATCCTCCGAAATGCACTTGGTCACTCCAGGTGAATCTTTTATTTGGTTTCCGTTTCGGTGAACATATTCCTTGTTAAACCTGCCAATAACGAAAAACGAAGAATTGGAAAATGTGTGTGTGTGATTTCTTTTAATTTTTTTAATTGTTAGTTTTACATTTACATTCCTAGTTCACGGTTCAACTTGTTTTCTTCTTTTTCGATTATTTCTTATCAATTTCCTTTTGATATCGAACGCATTGCTTTGTTGTATTGTTACTTCCTCCTATTTAAATGGGACCCAATCGCCTTCCCCACGTATTATTTTTTTTCTTTAATATTTTTTTAATAATTATTTTGTTTTGCAGATGGGAGAAGGAAAAGAGACGGAGAAAACGAATTCGACGGGTTTTCCGATAAAATCGATATTTATCGCTACATTCGCGCTGCTCTTTGCCGTTACGGTAACTGCGCTGCTCACTTGGCACATAACGAGAAATGCATTGCGGAGTTCCGATGAGTGAGTAGCCGATTTGGTCGGACCTTTTCTAGAAATTGCCATTTGAAATACAAAATCAATCAGTTCTTTCTATTGTTTTCCATAATTTTGTCTGAAAATTTATAATTATTTAATTATAATTTCCACCCTATTTTATTCCATTTTTTTTTTTAATTTCAGCAACTTTTTTCCAATATCTCTTATTAAAAAACATTTTCTGAAGTTTTAAAAAACTCAACACACTCAAAATGCGATTTTTAATGATTTTTCATTTCGGTTTCAGTGATCAGACGAGTGCTTTAACAAACTCCCCTGAAGACAATATCAAAGCAGAAGACTTGAGGCTTCCAACATCAGTGTTACCAATTGATTACGAGCTAACTATAAAAGCGTACCTTCCTGGTTATGGCTACGTTGCTGACGAGCGGAACAAAACGTTTGATGGACAAGTCAATATTCGTCTGAAAATCTTGAAGACTGTCAAAAAACTAACGCTTAACTCTGTGGATCTCAATTTTACAAATGCAAAATGCTCCGTCACAGTGGTACGATATTATCATTATTCTATTGCTCAGTTGAGTTTTTCAGGGGGAAAAATCAATTCCAATCGAATCAATTGTCATAACTAAACAACTCGAAAAAGTTTCAATTCTTTTGACAGATGTGCTTGAAGCTGATACTGAAGCAATTTTGAAGGTAGAATTTGAAGAAGAAGAAGAGCTTATGCCGAAATATTTTTACAGCTTGTGTATGTCGGAGCAATCAGAGATGACATGTCAGGGCTTTATCAAACTGTTTATAGGAATCATGATGAAGAGGAAAAGTATGTATCATGTGTGTAGAATTAAAGAAAAATGTCTTTCAGAATGGCAGCTGTTACTCAATTCGAGCCGAACAGTGCAAGAAGAATGGTCCCTTGTTTCGATGAGCCCGCGTTCAAAGCAAATTGGACAGTGACCGTGATTCACCCCAAAGGAACTGTAGCATTGTCAAACGGAATTGAGGACAAGACAACAGAAATTGATAATTTCTTAAGCACCAATTTCAAAACGACCCCTAAAATGTCGTCGTACTTGTTGGCAATTTTCATTTCTGAATTTGAATATATCGAAGGAAAAACTAATAGTGGAGTTCGAGTATGTTTCAATATCTAAAATCTAAATACTCTAAATCTTGTTTAAAGTTCCGCATTTGGTCGAGACCCGAAGCGAAACATCAAACAGAATATGCACTGAGCGCGGGAATCAAGTGTCTCGAGGCTTATGAAAAGTATTATGGAATTTCATTCCCATTGGAAAAGCAAGGTCTCATTATTTTTCAATTGCTTCTACGGGATTTCTAACATTTTTCCAGATATGATCGCTGTGCCAGATTTCTCTGCGGGAGCTATGGAAAATTGGGGTTTGATTACCTATCGGTTAGGCATAATTTCAAGAAAATATAATTGAAAAAAGAATATTTCAGCGAGGATAATCTGTTGTACGATCCTAAACTTTACACGCCTGAGCAAAAGCAAAGAGTTGCATTGGTTGTCGCCCACGAACTCGCTCATCAAGTATAAATTGATTGTTGAAAATAGTGGTTATGTATTTTTGAAATTTCAGTGGTTCGGAAACTTGGTGACATTGAAATGGTGGGATGATTTATGGCTGAATGAAGGATTCGCGACCCTCGTACAATATATGGGGACTGATGTGATAAGTGATGGACACTTTAAAATGGTACATTTTGTTTTAATTAAACATAATGATTGATTTAAGAATGACGTGTTTGCGATTCTCTCTTTGAGCACCGCACTATCAGCGGATAGCATGGCAACCTCTCATCCGCTTTCCTTTAAAATCGACAAAGCGCAGGAAGTTATGGAAGCGTTTGATCAAATTTCCTACGATAAAGTAATGATAATTAAATTTATGTCAACAATTAATTATTAATATTATTAATATTGTTAATATGATTTAAGGGAGGATCTGTCTTGCGAATGTTGCGCAATGTTATGAATGAGACCAACTATCAAAGAGGAGTTCAGAAATACTTGGCAACCCATCAGTACAGTAATGCTGTTTCTTCGGATCTCTTCAGAGCATTCGATGAAGCCAATCCGAATAAGAGCCTCAACGTCTCGTATTTTGCATCGCAATGGACAACACAGCTTGGATATCCCGTTTTGAGTTTGGAACGGATCAATCACACTCATGTGACCATCACACAATCACGATTCAAGGATTCCAAAGATACTGAAGACCCTGAGAAGTACAGAAATCCTGAATTTGGGTAATGAACACATGATGGGATTAGTGAGAAAAAATTATTTAGATTCAAATGGGATGTTCCAGTTTGGTACCAAGAAGAAGAAAATAAAGATGTCAAGTTCGAATGGCTTTCGAGAGGTTCGATTCCAGTTTTTCAAAATGTCTATCAATGTGCAATTATTCAGATGAACCACTGACGATTTCGGCCAAATCTCCTGTAGTTTTGAACTCCGACGCTTTCGGTTTATACCGCGTGTTTTACAGCGAAGAAGAATTCATTAAAATTGTAAACCAGCTACTCAAAAATCATGAGGTTTTCAATTTTTCCAAAATATTAAAATTGTTTTCAATTTTTCAAGGTTTATTCTCCAAAAACCCGCGCTCGTTTAATCGAAGACGCGTTCAAATGTGCAGTTGCTGGAATGAGCGATTATGATCTCCCAATCAAGATGCTTGAATATTTGAAAAACGAAAAGGTGCAGTTTGAAGAAGCAAATGTCCGAAGAGCATTGATTTTAGGAATATCTACCATGGGCAACTGCTCATAATATGATTTCTAGCATTTTAAGCTATTATGGAAGTGAACCAGAAGCTGAGCCAATTAAGGAAGCGTTATTGAAACTTGTCGCTTTATCCCCGGCAAAAACGAGTGATGAGTTTATCACTAAATATTATACGGACGATTCGAAGCATTTCGAAACGTAAGCAATCTTGATGATGAATGTGAGATTGTTTTAATCTTTTTCAGAACTATCGGAAGTATTCTCCGTCGATCGGAATGTCTTAATGGAAATATGACATGCATCGAGGATATGAGAAAGAACTTCAAAACGCAATTTTTGGATAAATGCGATGGAACAAAACAATCATCCGAATGCTCGACGTTAGTTTATTTTAATCTTTGAATTACAACCAAAAAAGCAAAATGTTTAAGCGTTCCTGCGCCGTACCGAAGAACAGCTTATTGTCATGGTGTTGAACAAGCTGATGCTAAAGTGCATAATCTAATTATGAAACTCTATTTGATGGAAAGTAATCAGATCGAAAAAAATAATTTGCTACGTGGTTTGACTTGCCGAAAAGACGTCCGCTACCTTAAAGGGTAGGTTTTGAAAATTTATAACTGCTGACAATCTGTAATTATACTTTAGACTCCTTCTAAACGGCTTGAAACCGAAGGGATCAGACTTCAGACTTCAAGATCTTGGCATACTATACAATCTTGTTGAAAGCAATGATATTGCTGGAGAATTTATGTTCAATTTCCTTCTGACAAGATGGAATCAGTTGACAAAGCGGTATTGTTTGAACAAATCGACGAAACGAAAATTAATATTTAAAGACTTCAAAAAGAATCCACAATTTTTGCGAGTGTCATACAGAATCTATGCTCTCGAATTGACAGCAGGCAGCAATTAAAAATGGTTTGGCTGCTTTCAGAATCGAGCGGCAAAAACAAAATCAAATTGCAGCTAAAAAATTTCATTAAAAGCACACCGGATGCTAAGAAAATGGGAGTTTTCAACAAAATTCAAGAGAGCTCAGCTGTCAAAATTTCATGGCGCGAGAAGAATTTGCAGAAAGTGTCTGATGAGTTTGCGAAACTCGTCGAACGCCTCTAATGCAGCAATATTGTCGTTTTCTTTTTTTTTGTAGAAATCGACAATTTTTTGTTCATCTACACTATCAATTTTTATGTGTGTACAGAATCCTTTACATTACGGGAATTTTTTCAATAAAGAACTTTTATAGAATATTTCAAATTCCTATTGTGGGCATCGCGAAACTGTGGAAAATTGGCTAAATGCCAAAAAAAAACAATGACAGCGGTGTATTAAGACACGTACGCCGCGCACCGGGATCACTTTAAATTCAATGGCATTTACCCAATTTTTTCAGACTGTACAAGTGTCTAATTTTACCCACTTTTCAACACCTTTTGTCCGTTTTTTCCAATCGCAGTGCTTGCCGGAGCGAATTTTTCCGAAAAGTTTACTTACATATGTTATATTTCCTATTCTTATATTTTTAGTTTACTCTTGTTTTTTATTAATTATCGGTGTCGTAACAGCGACTTCCTTTATCGTGTTTGCTCGTATCTTTAAGAGTAAAATTTCGGACGCACGAAGATGGCTTGAATATTAAATGGACGTACGAATCTTTGCGAATTTTTCTTTGCTTCGAGACACAAGACAATAATATTCATCAAATTCTAATTAGTCGCTTGAAATCGTGAATAAAAAACTTATAATTTTAATTAATTTTAAAAGGCAATACAACGTTTTTCATAAGTTCGTGAATTTCCCATTTTATTTCGTTCGTGAAATAGTTTATTCTTTTCAGTTTTTGTCATGGCTAGTCTGGCTAGCAATTTAGAGGTTTGTTCAGAAAGTTTCATATATTAAAAAATTTTAACGGAACAAACATTAGTGACCTGTGATTAGCAAACAAATTTTCCGCGAATAAAGTCGTCTCAAGGCGATGAATAAAAAATTACAACACAACCGTGTATGTATGTAGTTCATTTTTGAAAACCGCGAAATAAGGGGGTTTGTTTCGTATAGAAGAGGCATAGCGCAAACAAAATATATAAAAAATAGTATAAAGAAAAATGAATTTATTATCTCAAAAATAACAATTAAACAAAATTTATACAGACTGTTAGCATGAAAGAACCGGAAAACGCAGTGCCATTCCGCTCATGGATAAAATATATGTTACTTGCTGGTATCGCAATATTATTGTCCACTGTAATCACTGCTTTCATAACCTGGAATATTGCGAAGAATTCTTTGAGTGATTCAGTTGCAGAAACTCCACGAAATACTGAGTATTTTAATTAGCCGTACTGTCGGATATGAATACTTCAGGTCATGGATTGAACCATTGGTGACTACCGATAAACAACCACTAGACTACCCATCAATCACTGATATGACGTATGAACAGTTTTTCCTTTATTTTTTTTATTGGATTCAGGACAACGTCAGAAAAACCTTTTACTACTATTGGTCCTCTGAATTATATTCCTGTATCGCAATCTCGGCTTCCAACTGTTGCGGAGCCGATCGACTATAATTTAACGATGAAAGTATTCTTGCCTGGTTATGGTTACGTTGCTGATGAAAGAAATGAAACATTCGAAGGAGAAATCGATATTCGAATGAAAATCTTGAAGGAAGTCAACCAATTGAAGTTGAACGCATTAGATCTGACTTTCACTAATTCGAAATGCGCTCTAACAACGGTAATACATAATGGCGTCGCTCACACTTCGGAAAATTTAGTGGAAAGCGATTTTAAAACAAAGTTAAAGACGAGACTTTTGTATAACATTTCGAGAACTCGTTCTCAATTTTTTGACAATTGTCAAATTTTCCGCTGTCGCGCGACAATTCAAAAACTAGGAATAATCTCAAACGTATAAAATTTTTAGATGGGAAAGACAATAGCGATTGAGTCAATAATTGTGAATTCGACGTTAGAAATAATAGAAATCAATCTCAAAAATAGTTTAAACGAAGGAACTGAAGCAGTTCTAAAGGTCGAGAAACTGGAAAAGATGAAATAATGGAGTCATACATTTTTAGCTGGTTTTTGAAGGACACCTTTCAGACAGAAAATCCGGATTCTTTCTGGATAAATATACAGATTCAGCCGGAAAGGAAAAGTATTAAAAAACAAAAGATTATTTTCATTTTTCGTATATATGTAGATATAATGCTGTTACATTCTTTGAACCGAGCAATGCAAGAAAAATGGTTCCTTGTTTCGATGAGCCCGCGTTCAAAGCAAATTGGACAGTTACCGTGATTCACCCCAAAGGAACTGTAGCATTGTCAAACGGAATTGAAGACAAGACAACAAAAATTGATAAGAATTTCTTGAGCACAAATTTCAAAACGACCCCTAAAATGTCGTCGTACTTGTTGGCAATTTTCATTTCTGATTTTAAATTTGTCGAAGGAAAAACAAATAGAGGAATTGTTGTAAGAAACCAAACAACTAGGAGGTACACATTCAATATCATTAAAGCTTCGTGTTTGGGCCCGAGGAGAAAAGATAAAGGAAGCAGAATACGCGTTAAAAAGCGGTATCAAGTGCCTGGAAGCTTACGAGAACTACTTTAAAATCCCGTACGCACTACCGAAACTAGGCATGGTTATTAACGGTCTGTTCATTTTGCCCAATTATTTGTTTTTCTAGATTTGGTAGCGTCAGTACATTTTAATATTGGAGCCATGGAACATTGGGGATTAAATATTTACAAGTTTTCTCGTTTTATTTTAATGCAAGAGAATATTTTTGCAGAGAAGAACTTTTATTGTATCATCCAGATGTTCATCAATTAACAAGAAAATCTGAAGTGGCGATTGTCGTCGCCCATGAGCTTGCTCATCAAGTAACTGGGTAATGTATGAATATAGCAATTCTGACAAGTTTTAGTGGTTCGGAAACTTGGTGACTTTGAAATGGTGGGAGTACTTGTGGTTGAAAGAGGGATTTGCCGAATATATCGAAATTATTGGTAGCGATATAATCAATGATGGAAAATTGAGAGAGGTTAATTCCTATCGAACAATCAATTATTTTTAATTTTAGAAAGATCAGTATTTCATTAATACGATGGGTATTGCTCTTGAAGTTGATAGTACTGGCATTGCTCATCCTCTTACATTCAAATACGATGATCCGAGCCATTTAGCGACTTCATTTGGAGCAATTTCGTATAAAAAGGTACAAATAAACATAATCAATATCATAATTGTACCAATAAAGGGTGCTTCTTTTATTCGAATGCTGCGAAAATTGATAGGAGAGAAAGATTTCGATAAAGGGATTCAGGATTACTTGAAAAAATTCCAGTACAGTAACGCAGAACCGATGGATTTGTTTAGAATATTAGAAGAAAATTCGTCGGATCCAAAACTAAATATCACCTATTTTGCATTGCAATGGACCACTCAAATTGGATTTCCGGTTTTGAATGTGAAAAGAGTAAATGAGACACATGTGACAATTGATCAAACACGATTCAAAATGAATAAAAATATAATAGATCAACCCCAATTTAGTAATCCAAGATTTGGGTAAAATTGAAGGTGTTGAAATATTTTACTTAAATAAATTTAGATTCAAATGGGATGTACCAATTTGGTACCAAGGAGGAGAAAGTAAGGAAATCAGGTTCGACTGGCTTTCGAGAGGTTTGATTCAAGTTATTTAAAATTTTTATTTTAATGTAATTATTCAGATGAACCACTGATATGGCCGATTAGGACTCATGTAGTTTTGAACTCCGATTCCTTTGGTTATTACCGCGTAAATTACGAGGAAGGAGAATTCGTGAAAATTGTAAACCAGCTACTCAAAAATCACGAGGTTTTCTTTAATACTTCAAAAAGGGTTTTTTTTCAAATGCCATTTTCAGATTTATTCGGCGATAACCCGCTTTCGATTGATTGACGACGCATTTGCAACTGCTGCGGCAGAAATATCAAATTACACTAATCCTATAAGACTGCTTGAATACTTGAAAAATGAAAAGGTATTTCAATTTTTTGTGTAATATATGAATTGTGTTGAATTTAGGAATATCTACCCTGGATCTCAGCTAATACCTATATGATAAAGTTGCTGAAAAATTTCGAAATTGATCTAGAAATGACACCAATAAGAACGGTTTTATTGAAGTTGATCAGTATGTCGCCACTGAAAATAAGCGATGATTTTATTTTCGGACATTATTTGGATGATGCGAATTATTTAACGACGTAAGAAATTTTTGAAGTTCGAGAAACAATTGACCGTCATAAACATATAGAACTCTCGGAATTGCCCTCCGAGGAACCGAATGCAGATTAGGAAAAGAGGAATGTAGAAAGGAAATGAGAAAGCATTTTCAAAAATATTTTTTGGAACAATGTGATGGCACTGTTCCAGCATCCAACTGTTCCCGGTAGAATTATTTTCGAAACGTTGAATTCAATCATTTGCCCAATTTTCAGTGTTCCATATCCACTTCGTGAAATCGTCTATTGTCATGGAATTGAACTTGGGGACGTTAGTGATTTAGATTTATTAAGCAAATTGTATTCGCTAGAAAATGATGAGACCGAAAGACAAAATATACTACGCGCTATGGTTTGTCGAAAAAATTCGATTTTCTTGAAAAAGTTCGAGGTAAACATATTGTTTTAATGAGCTTCTGATTTCAGCCTGCTTTTAAGTGCTCTGAGGATTAAAGACTCACCAATTTTTTCTCAAGACGTATTGTTTTTGTTGACATTCTATGCGGACAACGATTTTGCGAGAGGGCTTCTTATAGATATTTTGCTCTCAAATCTTGATGACATTATGCAAAAGTTGGAGATTTTGTTATATTTCCTCTCTTCTAACATGTCAATTATTTAAGATTCGCGGATCATCCTGAATTTCTTCCTTTCGTTATTCCTTTATTCACAGAACACGTTGTGCATAGGCATAAGCTTGAAATGGTTTATTGCAATAATTCTATAAGCAGTTATCAAATTGTTACTAGTTTAGATAGGAAACTTTCTTCAAAATAATACGATTGTACGGGAATTAAAAATATTTGAATTTATTAAGAGACAAACACTAAAGAAAATCGAGTGGCGCGAGAAATATTTGAAAACCTTTTCTGAAGAATTTGCAAAACTCGCAAAACGTCTTTAAATTTATGTCTTCTATTTTTTCTATATTATACACATTTGAATAGCATCGCAGTTGGTTTTTTTTTTTCATCGTCTCCCATTACAAATAAACAATAGTACTATTAAATGTTTTCATTGATATCTGAAAATGTACAGGGTGCGCCATAAATACGGAGCCGCTTTCAAAACGGTGTAAAAAGATTAGTTTCAAAGATTTTTTGTGAGATTGAACTAAAATGTTTATTAAACTATAAGAAAAAAAAGTAGCATTAACAGTTTTCGAATCTTCCCCCCTTTCGCCTTGATCACAGCTCGGAGTCTCTTCGGGTAGTTGTTAATGACGGCACGCAGGTAATTGTCGTCCAAATCGTCCCATGCATTCTCGAGTGCAATCTTCAATGCTCCCAAATTAGGATAGTTTTTCGTGGGAACCTTATGGGTCAAATATTCCCCACACCGAGAAGTCCATAGGGTTCAAGTCCGGGCTGCTTGCTGGCCATTCCGCTGCTGTGATGAAATGGCGAAAATGAGTCGCGCACCACTGTTGAGTCGCTTTGGCACGGTGGGTGCCCCGTCTTGCTGGAACGTCCAATCTCGATTAGCAAAGTGAGATTGGGCCCATGGAAGTACTGCCGATTCGAGAATCTTTTCCATGTAGTAATTGTGATTGATTTTGGCGCCCAGATCCACGAAAACCAGTGGTGTCTTCCCATCAGAGCAGATACCTCCAAAAACCATCACTGAATCCGGGTGGGAAGTTTTATTCAAAAATTTTCCTTTCTTGACAACAGTCTCGAAGTCCTTAGCAATGATTCTGTGGTTTTGGCCGTTCTTTTTGGCTTCCACAGCGAATATCTTCTCGTCAGTGAACAAAGTTTTCAAGTGCGTGCCTTGACGCGTGCCACGAAGAAGAGCTTGTGCTTTGGTCACACGGAGAGCTTTATTTTTCTCCGTAAGGAATGCTCCGTTTTGAAAACGATAAGTAATCATATGAAGCTAACCACTCTTCTCATCGAATTTTCACTCATTCCAAGCTCCAGTGCCATCTTTCTCATGCTTCTTTCCGGATTCCTCCGAATGCGCTCCCTGATAACTTTCACCACCTTCGGAGTCGTCACAGTCACTGGGCGTCCAGATCTCTGCTTGTCTTTCAAAGTACCAATCCCTCTGAACCGATTGAGAGTTTTGTTTACCACCGATTTAGCCACACCGAGCTTCTGAACGATCTCTGCCGAACGCATTCCAAACTTCGATAACTCAACGATGGTAGCCCTGAACGGGGAAGCTGCTGTCATAACCTTAAAATGAATATTATCGAGCTGGAACTTAACAAACTAGTAAAAAATAAAAAAAAAACTTCAAAAAAAATTGTGCCCAATTAAATGGGTACTGTAGGCGCCAGAGTTGACGCAAAGTTGCCGCTCCGTATTTATGGCGCACCCTGTAGGGGCCTACTACAATTATTGAATAGGACAAAAATCAATTAATTATTGATAGGAAATTTATGGACCTATTCATGCAATGAAAAAAATAAAAATAATCAATTTTTTTCATTTGATTTCCCTATGCACGCACGTCGAAAATTACAAAAAATTGACGCGATATATCGTAATTCTCCGCTATTTATTTTTAAAGGCGCACGTGAAAAGTTGCGCGGGTCACGTCGCGAAGTCGGTACTATATTATTTTTCATACTGCGTTTTATTTTTTCGTTTTTTTTTCGAAAACATTGAAGAAGAAATGTATAACGAATGGAAGAACCAGGTAAAAACCAATTATTGGCATAATTACTTCTAATTCGACAATATAAGTCTATTTTTCGTCATTTAGATACTAATTATCATGAAAAATAGTGATTTGTGCTGTTTTGATGCAGACGTCGCTCTATGCCGCTTCTGATGAACCTTCAACGTTGATTAAACAATATACTTTTACAGATTTCCAAAAGAAAACGTTTTAAACTCTCAAAAAATAAAAAAAAAATCCAAAAAAACAGCCATTTAAAAAATACAGTACCGACTTCGCGACGTGATCCGCGCAACTTTTCGCGTGCGCCTTTAAAAATAAATAACGGAGAATTACGATATATCGCGTCAATTTTGTGTAATTTTCGACGTGCGTCCATAGGGAATTCAAATGAAAAAATTGATTTTTTTTTTAAATTTTTTCATTGCATAAATAGGTCCATAACAACAATCTACCATTACGACATTTTTTCTTGAGAGAGCCATATACACCCACTTAACCCCCATGTCACACCTTTTTTAACCCCCATGCCACACATTTTCCGTCCATTGTTTTCCACCCTGTTTTTATTTTCCCGAGTTTTTTCGAGTTAAATATGGCTTAGTTTTAAAGAATCCGGTTTAGGTAGTATTATATTTGCTGCCTATCAGGCAAGACAATAGGGCCGGGCGCTCCGGTTTCATGAAAATGGTTTAAATTTCGGTATCTCAAAATTCGTAATATCACTCTGTAGTCAAAAAATTGAAAACAAAAAAAAAACGCATTGGCCACAAAACAGTTCGCTTGCCAAGTGATCAAAGATTATATTTTGAGTCTAAATGAATAACACAATGCGCGGGGCGCTGAGGAGCAGTAATAATGATAAAAATAAAAAATATTTAATAGAAACTAAAATGATAAAATTGGATGGGTGGTGCATAAAACGAACAATTGATTATTCACACTTCCGGGTGGAGTACACCGGCCCAAGTCGGCCACGGCCACTTCGTTTGTGCCAAGTGTAAAACCAAATCCCAACAGAGGTTCGAATGCGAAGTTTTTTTTTGGCGAGACGATGCGGCGGTGGGCGAGAGAGAGTGCGAAACGAAGAGACGCACGTCATCATGCCATCGGGCAATGTCCAGCAAAAAGGGGGCCGCGGCCGAAGTCAACCTCTCTTTAAATGCAAGTCCCCATTCGTAAACACCGGTTTAGTCAATTACTTATGTTTTTAGTCGTATTATTTCAGTTTATTAAGTTGTTTCCCCAAGCCCACCATCCACCTTATTTAGTATCATCTAGTTTGTTATTAGTTTGTATCGCTTTGTTAACATTTTGTTCGTTTTCGTTCAATAATGAAGGTTTAATTACCCAAGTTTGAGGTTTACTCGACTTGTTTGACGGTTCCAATACCGTATCAGTATTTGGAAAAGTTACTTGGCGACCACGGCAGGACCGCTGAAGAGGAAAGACAGGTATTCTTGTTTTATTTCGGTGCGGAAAATCGGTTATTAAAGGCGGTGTGGTTTCGGACTGCATTTGCGATTTAATAAACGATTAAAATCGCGAGTTTTTATCTAAGGCCAGCAGGTTCCAGTGAGGAAGTACCCTCTGGGATCGCTGAACGAAGGTGAAATCGCGTACAGTGACAAGTGTTCAAAGGAGGTTACCTTACACGGGTCATTGTAGGATTGGTGGTTTGGGTGAAGGATATGGGAGAGGAGCAGTAGCGGGTGAAAGTGGAAAAGATAGGCTTTGGTTGGCACCAAAAGGATTGGAGCAAGTGGAGCGATTGATATTGGAGCTAGGGAGATATGGAACGGACAAAAAAAAGAAGGCGCTAGCGGAGGTTAAAAATGAGGTAAGACAGCTGGGAGATTTTAGGAAATGTATGAGCAGTGTGTACTCCCGGGAGGAAATTTCCCGGGAATTCCCGGGAAGTATTCGTTTTAAGATTCCCGGTATTCCCGAAAATTTCGGGAATTTTCATCTCCACAAAATTCCCGAAAACTCCCGAGACTTCCGGGAAATTCCCAAAGACTTCCGAAGACTCTCGGGAAATTCCCGATTACTTCTCGGGAATTTCCCGATGACTCCCGGGAATTTCCCGGAAACGTCTCGGGAATTTCCCGAAGACTCCCGGGAAATTTTACGTATATTTCCCGAAGACTCCCGAAGACTCCCGGGAGTTTCCCGGGAGTTTAGTTTTTTTTCTAGAGAAATGTGAAAAACTTATGTAGTCGGCGTCCGGCGACTACTGTACGCGGGTAGATTTACGGGAATGCGTCTTCCGAAATGGTCTCGCAAGGACCAACAGGTTATTTCAAATTTTATGGACCGATTCGATAATTTTTTAATCGAATGAAGTTGTAAATTCAAAGAAATGAGAACCTCATCAAGAAAAATGAGGCAGTTCACATAAAAACAACAAAATAAGCGTTCACGCGTGGCGAGACTTTTTCAAGGCGCATGCGCGTAAATCTACCCGCGTACCGTAGTCGCCGGACGCCGACTATATATGTATATGGTAGCAGATTGCCGGATTGCCGAAATTTTGATTTTCGGCAATTTGATATCAAAAGAAAATCGGCGAAACAAAAATCAATGTTCATTGAATAATTTGGGATACCGTGAAAATTCGGTATTTATATTTCGAATTATCGTTGAAAAAATTTAATAGCCAAAATTTTTATTTTCGGCAACTTGCCGATTGTCGAAATTGCCGGATTGCCGCACAGCCCTGGTGTACAGTACTCTTGTACAGTACCGCTCAAAGGTTGGAAAGTTTGTTTTTCGTGCATAACTTTTTTGAAACCAAACTTTTTTCCATGAACTTTTTCCCGATTGTTTCTTACGCAATTACCGATATAATGAGCTTTTAGACATGATTCGTGATTACCAAATAATCATTTTAGGCCATTTTTTTCAGAAATCCGTAAAAACACATTTTTTGGATATGATATTTAAGTCGGTTTTTAAATTTAAATTTATCACTTTAATCGATTTCTTTTAAAAACAGTTGTTGTTCTCCTCCCCGGAGATTTAGGCGATGATGGAAATTAAAAATAATTGACGCAGTGAGGGACTTGTATTTGAAAAAAAGAATAATTTCGACCACGGCCTTAAAATTGCCGGTCTGTGCTACGCACATATCATTCTTCTTTCGTTACACTCTCTCGCTGTTCCCCTCGTCGCCTCACCCCCTCTTTCTTCTTCATATTTTTCTCCTCACTCTACATTACAAAAGTTTAATAAAATTCCATTCCAGCCACTGGCATAAAACCGCGCGAAATTCCCGAGAATATTCCCGAGACATTCCCGAAGACTCCCGAAGACTCCCGGGAAAGTCTCGGGAAATTCCCGAAGACTCCCGGGAGTCTTCGGGAGTCTTCGGGATTTTCCCGAGACTTCCCCGGGTGTTCGGTACAGAATCCTTAAATTTTCCCGGGAGTCTTCGGGATTTTCTCGGGAATTTCCTACATTTCCCGGGAAAAAAACTGCTCGGGAAAATTCCGCAACTCATAATTCCCGGGAAAAAATTTCCCGGGAGCACACACTGTGTATGAGTGTAGTGAGCAATAAGCTAAAGGAGCATGGAGCATGCGCAGAAAGGATGAAGAGGTTAATGAAAGATGGAGCGGTAAGGTTAACCAAAAGTGTGACGGACGTGGAGATGTTATTTTTTAATGAAAAGAAAGGAAAGGAGATTGAAGAATTGGAATTGCAGATTGTGAAGCTGCACGAGGAGAGGGAACGCCAAGAAGAGCAGGTGGTAAGGCTTCAACAGGAGAGGGATTCATTGCTCGCGGAGGTGGCGGCGGTAGAAGAGGAAAAGAGGAAACTCTTAGAGGAGTTGGACCGGAAAGGTGAGGAAGAGCGGGAATGGAATCAAAATGACAGGATATTACAGGAAAGGCGAAGAGAAGCAGGGAGGAACGAATCGAAAAGGTACGTCGATGAGAATAATCACTTGGCAAGCGAACTGTTTTGTGGCACGCAGAAACAAACGTGTTTCTTTCATTTTCAACTTTTTGACTACAGATTTTTTGACTAGCGGTTTATTTAGGGATTAGTGAGACAAATGCAAAAACCTACGACAGAATTGTGAAATGGACAATAAATGCGCTAAATCAGGATATGGATGATGGGTACTGCGGAAAATTTGTTGCTGGAACGCACGATGATCCTGTAAAATGACCACAGTAATAATACATGAATAAATAATATTTATAGTTGGCGTCCGGCGACTGCTGTACGCGGGTAGATTTACGGGAATGCGTCTTTCGAAATGGTCTCGCAAGGACTAACAAGTTATTTCACATTTTATGGGTCGGTTCTATAAATTTTTAATCGAATGACGTTGGAACTGCAAGGAAATTCGAAACTCATCAAAAAAAATGAAGCAGTTCACGTGAAAAAACAGCAAAATAAGCATTCACGCGTGGCGAAACCTTTTCAAGGCGCATGCACGTAAATCTACCCGCGTACAGTAGTCGGCGGACGCCGACTATACAGGCAAAACGATTAGCATGACGAGGGGGGGGCCTAACGCGACACCTCAACAATTTGCCCTGGAAAATGCTTCGTAATCGTATACGAAAAAGTTGTATTTCTACATCACATGAGATATCATAATCGTATTTGATGAGGATTATTAAACATTTTATTTAATGATCGTTTACGAATAAATCATATTCGAATTTGATCACACTTGTAGAATAGTGTGATCGCGTGCAACTACAAACCATTTGCTTTAAAGATATACGCGCAAGCTAAACTCGGATACTTTTCAGCGTCCATTATGCTCCGTAAATTTTGGAGCCATGCTGCTTAGTGGAAAAAAGAAGAAAAAAAACAATTGCTGAAGTAAGCAATTAAAAAATATATTATCATTATTCAGAAAAAATTCGAAGATCACCCTCAAGGAATCATAAGCTTCGATGATACTCTTCTAAATGCTATGAATAAAAGTGGAACTGATACAGAGAACGCGACATTGTGCTGCATAAAATCTCTCGCATATTCGGTTAGTGAATCAATATTTTACAAAAATCACTGAATCACTGTAACTGACTTCTCCAATCCCTTTCAGCTCACTTAATTATGTACAGTTTAAAACGCACTCCTCTAATCACTTCATCAATGAGTAACAACTGGCAACTTTTGAAAGATTTTTGCGCAATTTTTAAACCGACTCTGCGCAACTTTTAAACCGACTTTGCGCAAATTTTAAACTCGGTTTATCTAAAAGTTGTTTAAAATCTGCGCAAAAGTTGCACAACTTTTGCGCAGAAGTTGCGAGGTTTTGCCGAGATATGCCAAACGACCAACCAGCAAGGAAGCGTAAAATTGTGGTGGGATTTTACATCTTTTTCCTGTTTTCGAATCTTCATTATTTTTAAAGAATGGTTTATGTCCATTAGAACTTGGCGAGGATCTGTATCATTCGACTCCGGAGGAATTAATCGACTTGAAAGTAATTCAAATTTTAACATTCCACTTTAACGCAACTTTACAGAAGACTGTACATACCAATCTCTCTGGAACGTTTCAGTTTGATCATACGAACGTGGATCAATTATGTTCTTCGTCCGATGATCATTTGAGGACAATTGCCTTTGCCATGAAAGGAATCATGTTCACGGTATGTTTTATTAATTGTTCAATCATTCCAAATGTAATGGTACCAGATTTCGCGAAAAAAGCAGTAAAATCATCAAAAGCCGATTCCATCACTGGATGGAAATGGTGGGGTTCGGTTTGTCAACACAGCGATGGGTATGCTCAAATAGCACGAAAAATGTTTAAAATATGTTTTAATTAATTTCAGCTGTTTTACAAAAGACGGTTACCATCGCTGGAATGGCTGACGAAACGGCGAATTCTACAATCTCCTATTTGGTACACGGTCATATGACCTATCTTCTGTGAGTTTTCACTTTTTTAGTGGGCCTATGCAGATTTTGAAAAGAAACGCAGTAAAAACCTTCCAAAGAAACTCGACAACATTATAAAGATTCGGCTAAACTAGTCTTAATCAGATTTTTTGCGTTTTTCTCCAAAATCTGCACATGCCGAAGACTGCCTCATGATTAATCATTCAAATGAACTTAATTCAGAAACAATTCACGATCGAAAGCGCGAGCAGTGGAAAAAATGGTTGATGCGCCAACCAAAATTAATTAATTTATTCCTTTTTCTTTTTCATTTTTTTGTCTTTCATATTTTTTTTAAATAAACAGGTATAGAAATCTTTACATCATATAAAAGCGTTAAAATGCCAAACGAGTAGTGTAAAGTGAAATGGTATACGAAAAAAATCCCAGTCGAATACGAAAAAATCCCAATCGAATACGAAGAAATCGTTACCGTATATGAAGAATTATAGTCGTATACGAAGAAATGCCAATCGTATATTAAGAAATCCAAATCGTATATTAAGAAATCCCAATCGTATTTGGCCGCGTTTGGAGAGCGATATCAGCGTATACGACTCGGAATAATTTACCAGAGAAGTGAATTTTTTAAAATTCATTTTCGCAAATTAATGTTTTAGTGTATAGCGTCAAGTCGGTTTGAAAACTATCATTTTCGATTTGTCGAAGCTTTTTCTTTTACAAATTTCAAATAACATGGCCCAATATTTCTGATTTTGTTATTACTCATCAAAATACAGGAAGTATGTATATATTCTCTGGTAAATGATTCCGAGTCGTATACGAAGAAAGCTCAATCGTATACGCTGATATATTATAATTCTTCATATATAGTAACGATTTCTTCGTATTCGATTGGGATTTTTGGCCAATGCCAAATGGGACCAGCCAAATGGGACCAATAGGGGGCCAAATGACAAATGGGGCCAAAATGACAAATGGGACCAACCTCTATTAAAAAAAGGACCCTTTTTGCCAAATGGGACCTTGATTTCAGAACTGAAAGTGACAAATGGGGCCAAACTCTTTTTTTTTTCAAGCAATGCAAATAAACATTATCAACAATCTACTGTCACCTGAACGACATTTTTTTTCTTGAAAGAGCCAGATACACCAGGGCTGTGCGGCATTCGGAAAAAAAAAGCCGGAAAGGCAAATTGCCGAAAATCAAAATTTCGGCTATTAAATGTTTTCAACGATAATTCGAAATATGAATACCGAATTTCTTAATTATGTTCTTTCGGCCAATACCGTAAATTTTCCTAGAAATTGTCAGTGTTATATGGGGGAGGGGGTCTTAAGGGGTCCGAATTCGAAAGTTTTTAAAATTCCAGAAAATGATCCTAAGTGCCCATTGTTTCAGAAAATAATGCTAAAACGTAAATCTTTTTCATCAAATTTTCTGTTCTGCTCGAAGGTCAAAATTTACAGTTTCTATCAGTAATTGGCTAACTTTGATTTTTCAAAAACTGTAGACTATCCTTATGAAAGAAAATTTTTACAAGTAATGAACAATTCACGGAAGAGCAGGTTCAGATTCGGGGTTCATATAGACTTCGTAAGCGTGAATCTATTCCCACAATTTCCAATATTTCAAGTATCCAATTGTGCAATTCTGTATCAAGCTTCTTTGCAAGCCTTGCGCAAATCAAATACCTAAAAACAATAGTGGCAGCCAAATAGGCTTAAATTTTTTGTACAATTTAACACATTTGAGGAATATAAATTTATTTTAGGAAAACAAAATTAAATTAGAATGGAAAGGGAACAAAAACAATGGGAAAAATTTACCAAACGTTACAAAAAAACCAATCGAAGAAAGGATATCGATGGCGCGGGATTAGCGTCAGACGAAGCCTGAAAGACACATAAATCATGGAGTAATATTGAATATACGAAAAATAAAACAATCCTAAAAACTGGGAAAATATTAGGCATTTATTAATTTCAGTCCTAAATAATCACTAGTTCAGTCCTAAATAATCACTAGTTTACAAATATATACATTTAAAATAAAATTATAATTAATTTAAATCCAATTTTAAAAGAATAAATCGCAAAAAATCGTTAAAAACTTTAAAAAATTGAAAAAAATTAAAGCAAAAATAATACTGCCGACAGCTTAAAGGTGCAGCGTTACTGTAGCATTCGCTTAACTGTGCGATTTTTAATAATTGGATTTTTGAAAAATTAACTCATTTTTTCCCTATTTTTAACGTTTTTTTTTTGCGATATATTCTTTTAAAATTGGATTTAAATTAATTATAGTTTTATTTTAAGTGTATATATTTGTAAACTAGTGATTATTTAGGACTGAACTAGTGATTATTTAGGACTGAAATTAATAAATGCCTAATATTTTCCCAATTTTTAGGATTGTTTTATTTTTCGTATATTCAACATTACTCCATGATTTATGTGTCTTTCAGGCTTCGTCTGACGCTAATCCCGCGCCATCGATATCCTTTCTTCGATTCGCTGGTTTTTTTTTGTAATGTTTGGTAAATTTTTCCTATTTTTTTGTTCCCTTTCCATTCTAATTTAATTTTGTTTTCCTAAAATAAATTTATATTCCTCAAATGTGTTAAATTGTACAAAAAATTTAAGCCTATTTGGCTGCCACTATTGTTTTTAGGTATTTGATTTGCGCAAGGCTTGCAAAGAAGCTTGATACAGAATTGCACAATTGGATACTTGAAATATTGGAAATTGTGGGAATAGATTCACGCTTACGAAGTCTATATGAACCCCGAATCTGAACCTGCTCTTCCGTGAATTGTTCATTACTTGTAAAAATTTTCTTTCATAAGGATAGTCTACAGTTTTTGAAAAATCAAAGTTAGCCAATTACTGATAGAAACTGTAAATTTTGACCTTCGAGCAGAACAGAAAATTTGATGAAAAAGATTTACGTTTTAGCATTATTTTCTGAAACAATGGGCACTTAGGATCATTTTCTGGAATTTTAAAAACTTTCGAATTCGGACCCCTTAAGACCCCCTCCCCCATATAACACTGACAATTTCTAGGAAAATTTACGGTATTGGCCGAAGGAACATAATTAAGAAATTCGGTATTCATATTTCGAATTATCGTTGAAAACATTTAATAGCCGAAATTTTGATTTTCGGCAATTTGCCTTTCCGGCTTTTTTTTTCCGAATGCCGCACAGCCCTGGTGTATCTGGCTCTTTCAAGAAAAAAAATGTCGTTCAGGTGACAGTAGATTGTTGATAATGTTTATTTGCATTGCTTGAAAAAAAAAGAGTTTGGCCCCATTTGTCACTTTCAGTTCTGAAATCAAGGTCCCATTTGGCAAAAAGGGTCCTTTTTTTAATAGAGGTTGGTCCCATTTGTCATTTGGCCCCCTATTGGTCCCATTTGGCTGGTCCCATTTGGCATTGGCCGGATTTTTTCGTATTCGATTGAGATTTTTTCGTTTTCGATCGGGAGTTTTTTCGTATTCCATTTCACTTTACACTACTCGCTTGGCATTTTAACGCTTTTATATGATGTAAAGATTTCTATACCTGTTTATTTAAAAAATATATATATAAAAGACAAAAAGATGAAAAAGAAAAAAGAATAAATTAATTAATTTTGGTTGGCGCATCAACCAATTTTTCCACTGCTCGCGCTTTCGATCGTGAATGTTTCTGAATTAAGTTCATTTGGATGATTAATCATGAGGCAGTCTTCTGCGTGCAAATTGCTAAATAATGGAGATGTGCAGATTTTGGAGAAAAACGCAAAAAAACTGATTAAGACTAGTTTAGCCGAATGTTGTCGAGTTTCTTTGGAAGGTTTTTACTGCGTTTCTTTTCAAAATCTGCATAGTGCCACTAAAAAAATAAAAACTCACAGGAGATAGGTCATATGACCATGTACCAAATAGGAGATTGTAGAGTTCGCCGTTTCGTCAGCCATTCCGGCGATGGTAATCGTCTTTTGTAAAACAGCTGAAATTAATTTAAACATATTTTAAACATTTTTCTCGCTATTTGAGCATACCAATCGCTGTGTTGACAAACCGAACCCCACCATTTCCATCCAGTGATGGAATCATTATTTCTGCGTCTTTAAGAGCTTCAGGGTTGTATACGGCGATCACGTCGATCTAAATTTAGAGAATAGCAAAATAAAAAAATACTCACATTGTTTATGTTTGGCTTTGCCGCGAATTTTTGAGATAACGTTTCTATCTCGAAGTATAGAGTTTCTATAGTTTCTATTGTGGTACTATGAAGATTTCGCCAAAAACTCAAACAGCGGTAACCATAATTATAATAGTTTTTGCCGGTTTTGACGAGTTCTGATATTTTTTTTTACGGCTTTTGATGATTTTACTGATTTTTGTAAAATCTGGTACCATTACATTTGGAAAGATTGAACAATAAATAAAACATATCGTGAACATGATGCCTTTCATGGCAAAGGCAATTGTCCTCAAATGATCATCGGACGAACAACATAATTGATCCACGTTCGAATGATCAAACTGAAACATTCCAGAGAGATTGCTATGTACAGTCTTCTGTAAAGTTGCGTTAACGTGGAATGTTAAAATTTGAATTACTTTCAAGTCGATTAATTCCTCCGGAGTCGAATGATACAGATCCTCGCCAAGTTCTAATGGACATAAACCATTCTTTAAAAATAATGAAGATTCGAAAACAGGAAAAAGATGTAAAATCCCACCACAATTTTACGCTTCCTTGCTGGTTGGTCGTTTGGCATATCGTCAACCTGAATGTCTTCGAAGCTTCCAAAATCCAGCTCGTTTTGACGAAACGCCTTCGAAGTACAGCTCATTTTCATCGACTTCATCCTCTATGAGCTCTCCGTCAACGACATCCTCAATATGAACACTAATTTTTTTTAACCATTCAAGCATTTTTACCGTTTGCAATCCAGTTTGGCGTAAAACCAAATTGCGTTTGGTATTGGTATGCGATGTTGCTTTAGATTTTGGACGAGTTTCTTTAATTTCTTTTCTTAAAGCGTTCGCTGCAATTATTTGCTTTACAATTGACTGCGTGCGCTTTGGCATCCTCAACAAAATTATAATCGGAAAAAAGTGTGTATTAACTGAAATTAGATAAGTTAACTGTGACTAACGGATAAACTCTAATATATCAATGTAGGATCAATAAATGCTTTATTTAAGATAGCATAGGTCTGAATGAAAATGGTACAACAGTCGTGATTCCATTGTCAGGAACTGTGATGGCGTAGTCAATAAGGTTAGAAATTGGCAGGCAAAATAGAAAACCTTTATTTCTCACCACAGCACCATATCTGCATGAACATATTGTCGAAATGCATTGCTTAATTTCTTCTTTTTGAAAATTTTAATGGAGTGAGTTTGCTAATTGCAATAGGTTATCTGTATCTAGAATGTATGGTTGTAGAATAACCCGACCTCCGAACTCCTCACTGATATGCAAATACTTTTGAATTTTGCGACATATCTACAAAGGAAATATAGAATTTCGTAGAGCGGAGGCAGTAAAATGCACGATTTTTTTGGAAAGTAACAAAGACTTACAAAACTTTTTTTACCATGTTGTTTATTTTAAAATATAAAAAAATATGTAAATAAATAAATATATGTATTGTCGGCGTCAAGCGACTTGACAAAATTTTAAAAAAGTTGGCTACTTGCCAGAATTCTCAAGGCAAAGAGAAGTGTATGGTTCATACACTCGTGCAGCGTGTTTTTCGCAGCGTGTTTTTGGGCGCGTGATTTTTTGGGAATTTTTCTGTGCCTTTTTTTTCATAAATAGCCAGTTTTTCTTCATTTTTGTTTCATTTTACATTTTTTTTAATCGCTAATCGATAGGCTATTATCGATTTCATAAATTCTGTGACATTCTTTCATTAATTTGATACTGTTTTATTATTTTAATTTATTCTTCATCCGTTTACTTAATTTTAGTATATTTTAGAGGCACTATCATATTAAACAGGGATCGAAGGACGAAGGAAAGAAGAAATTACTATATTAAAAAGACAGGTATTTTTAATAATTTTATTTCAAATGCTATTCATCATTATAATCTAGCTCGTCGTCTCCGTCTTCTGTGTCATCCGATTCATCGTTGCTCACTATGGTTCCATCAATAATCGCCTGACGCTTCGCATCTTCGTGCTTCCTCACATGATTGAGAAGATTAATAGCTTTGACAGGTGAGAAATTTTCTAAAAATGAGCGTGTTCTTTCGATGATTGTCTCCAATTTGTCCGTCGTCTTTCCAATGCTTTTCAATTGGTTCTTCAACTGCGCCCAAACGAATTCGATGGCATTCAACGAACAATGATATGGCGGCAACCGGACAATCTCGACTCCATGCTCTGTTCGTGCCCATTCGTCAATTTCATATTTCCTCATCCGAAGGCGCCCTCCATTCATCGCGATCACATCCTTGACCGATTCCCAAAGTTCTTTTCTTTTTATTCTAGGATGGAAAACCTTCCCATTTTTCAGCAGAAACGAGCAATATTCTTTCTTTTTCGATGTACTCGTAGGAATCTAAAATGGATCTTATCAGTAAAACTTTCTTTTTCTAAAATACCTTTTCATTGGTTTTGTTATGGTATGGAGCATTATCCATAACCAGAACACCAGTTCTACCTTGAATTCGAGCTTCTCTTGCAATGGCCGGGATCACCTTTTTCATATACTTTGAAAAGTTGTCGGCATTCATGTCGGCATGGTAATCCTCCACTTGCTCCGATTCTTTTCTTCCCGAGACAATAACATCGATGGATTCATTCAGAATCCCATTCTCGCACAGTACTCCCAAAACAATTGCTCGTTTCCCCTTATTTTTTCCAGCAGGTGGACCAGGGAGTGGTTTTGATGGATCTGCCATTTGAGCAATTTTGTACCGGTTTGTGTCCATGAAGCTCCATCCAGATGAGTGAGTCATTCCGTGAAAAACCCAAGTTTCGTCGAAGAAACAAAGGAACGATCCATCTGTCCTCAACGCATCAATTTTCTCAAGATATTTCGTTCTCCAATTGATTAGATCATTCCTTTCCGTGATCACAGGGTTGTTGTTTTTTAGTTTGAAACTTAATCTCATTGAATGAAGCGCCCTCCGTAAAGTAGTAGTGCTACACTGGACATTGATAACGTTTTTGCACCATTCGCTCAAACTCGAAACTGTCACCAATTCTTCATTTTTCCAACAGTACTCTAGCCTTTTCCTGATGAGTTCTTTCTTATATTCAGAAATTCCTTCTCCTGCAGCCTTATAAATGGACGTTCTGCTGATCCATTGTCGTTTTTCAGGACGTTTCGTTTCGGGAATTTCATCAAGTCTCCGTCGGATCGAAGAAGCAGATATTCCAGTGAGAGCTCTTGCGGCGACTTCAATGTTGTCAAAAATTGAACCTTTCGCGCAATCTCCAAGACGATTCTTGATGATCTTCAGCGCGGACACCAAATTCTGAACAATCTGCTCGCCTCGGTTCTTCACATCTTCATTAGTCCTAGGGAAAGGAAAGTCATCGATTGTCAATGACTTCAAACTTCTTGCCAAGAGTAAGTCAGCATTTTTAACCTTATAAGACTGCTTTTATTTGGTATTCAATGTGAGGTTATTACTTGTTCTAGGTGGTCGCAATCAACGCCTGTTTGTGCACTTCGGTGATGAACCTCGATTGGCGGCGTCTGGATGCATTTGGAGGATTCCTCATTAATCGGCTGACTTTCCCCATGTGATAATAATCTTTCTATAATTTTTACGATTAATAAAACATTATTGTGGTGTTCTTACGATTTTCAATAAATGTTAAAAGCTCCCGCCTTTTCAAGTAGATGCCGTGAGTTCCACGAACTTTAACATATGGTGGTCTACTCATTATAAAAATGTAAATAACAATGGCAACGGAATTAAAATTCGCATAAAAATTAAAAAAAAACGAGAAAAAACATTTAATATTCAGCCAGCGCGTAAATCTACCCGCTCGTAAATCTACACTGATTACGATATACTGAAGGCCACGCCCCCATCAAGTCGTTTGACGCCGACAATATAGCGTTTTAATATATATATATTTTTGAAAAATGACAAATGTATCCAGGTGTCCTAGGATCCTGCGTTTTTTACGCAATGCTAAGAGACAATTACCGTAATCCTCGCAGCGATTTACGGGGACTTTTTTTTTAATTTCGCATATTCATTTTTTTATTTTTCGTTCAATTTTTTAATTTTCTTTCGAAATTTTTTAATTTAAAATTTGTAGAAACCGATTTTAATTATTTATTTATCACAATATGCATTTTTAAACAAAAATTATCGATATTTTCTGGTAAAAACAACATAGATTTAAAAAATAACATTTTTTGTCGTTTATAAAATCAGTTATTCGTGTTTTGCACTTACAATACGCGTTTCTATAATCTCGTTTTTTTTCTTCATTAACAAAATAATTTTTAGAGCCACAAAATCTTCACAAAATCCAACTCAACTTGACAAATGGAAAATTATTAGATAAGTATTTTATTAAATATTAATTATTCCTCAGGTAAACGAAAATCAATCGGATTCGAAGAAAACTTAAATATAAACTAACCTGTTTCGATTGAAAAATAATTCAAATTCAATTAAGAAAACGCTTTAAATCTTTGTTTCGATTCAAAAATCATCGAGATCGATTGGTTTATTTCTCATTCTCAATTTTGAAATTGTATTCGATTGAAATTTTGGAATAATTCGAAACAGATTAATTTATATTCGATTTCGATTGAAAACGAAATTATTTTCAAATCTTTTTTAAAATTTTTTTTTTCATCAACCTGATCCAGATCCCGTTGGAAGTCCATAAGCTCATTTTCTTGTTTTTGCATGTGTTCGAATAGCTTTTTGGCGCTTTCCGGCGTGAGCTCGCGCAACCACTTGACTGCACGTTCCTTCACCTAACAAGTTGTAAGAAATTTTTGAATTTAAATAAATGTTTTAGATTAACCTTTGAAGCTTTATCTGTTATTTTTTCTTCTTTCCGCAGATGATCCTTCAGCTGCGCCCATACCAGCTCAATAGGATTGAGAAAACAGTGATATGGGGGCAATCGAATTATTTTCACTCTGTGCTCGTTGTAAGCCCATTCATCTAACGCATACCGCACTAATCTTTTTCTTCCGCCATGTTCGTCCATCACAGATTTGCACAACTGGTACAGGTGTTTTTTAGTTTTCGCACCGGTGTAATCCGCGTTGTAAGCATCGAGGAAGCTTCTCATTTCTTCAGGCGAGCTAGACATCGTGGGCAGCTTAAATTAATTTTTCAGATTAATTCTGTTAAATTATTTCAACCTTTTCCAGCATGCGGCAATGATAGGGAGCGTTATCCACAATGAGGACAACCTCCCTTTTTCTGTCCATTGACATTTTTGCGAGATTCGGGATATTCCTTTTCATATACGCTTCATATATTCTTGTATCCATGTTTTTGTGGTAATCCTCGTACTCCTCATCAGGCTTTTTTCCAGTAGAAAAAACGGATTCCGAATTTTCAAGAATTCCATCCTCAGTTAAAATTCCGACGACAATGGCTCTTGTTCCTTTATCCTTTTCTACCGCTGGTCTGATGGTGGGTTTCTCAAATCTTTCATTCTTGCCAGTTGGTAAGCATTAGTATCTTTGTATTGCCACCCACCACTTCGAACCATTCCTCTGTACACCCAAGTTTCGTCCATGTATGCGCAAATTGCCCCTATGGACCGGTAGAATGACATTTCCTGAAGAAAATTCCTTCTCCATACAATGAGGTCCTTAAAAATTATGCAATTATTTTTCTAAAAAATATAGGCATACAAGGCGCTCCTCAAAGATCGGTTGATGATTTTTTAGCTTGTAGCAAAATCCCATGGAGTGCAAAATTGACCATAGAGTTGCAGCTCCATATTCGAACTGTATGTGTTCCTTGCACCAGTCAAGAAGTACGGAAACATTAATATCAAGCTTTTGCTGCCAAGCTTCGTGGACGTATTGTCGAATTTTTTTCCTATCATCCTCTTATAGTAGTCGTTCGGCCCTTTCCCACATTTCACGACGATTCATTTTTCTTTTCATCGGCGAGGGTGGCGATTTTCTGACATGGACAACTGTGCGATTTGTCACACCACAAGCTTTTGCTACAAGCTGTTTCGGATTTCGAAAAATTGTAGATACAGCGAGGCCTTCTAACATTTCCTTTAACTGTTCGAAAAAGTATTGACAGTTGTGCAGAATTTCTTCCCCTCGATTATGAATTTTCTTTCTTGATCGAATAGATTTGAAATCCTCAATTTTCATTTGCGAAACAGCTTTTCCGATGTTCATCCAGCGAATTTCTTCCTATAAGGTCCATGTATTACGCTATTTCCAGAATAAAATGTACCGAGCTAAAGTTTTCAAATCGGTTTTCGTGGGGTGTCGGAAAATTCACCTGGGTGCCTTTGTGATTTTGCGAGGGAGGATCCTTATATAGAACCCATTCGCGGCTATTGTCTAATGTTACTAAAGAAAATAATATTTTTTTTTCTCAAATTATAATAATTTTTGTACAAGCTTCACATCGCGATAGTTTTGTTACAGCCTTTACAATAGTCCGAGGACCTCCTATGATCTTTACAGGGTGGCTGAAAATTACCCGGACTAAAATTTCGAGCCTTCGTGAGGCGCACTGGTGCTTTTTCTGCGCAATGTTTTTTAATTTTTTTAATTAGCAATGTTTTTTTTACTATCTCTCAAATTTTCATGATAATTGGTTCGGTTTTAGCAAAATGGCGAAGCAAAATGCAAATCGACCCGCAATTATCGCATTGCACAAGTCCGGAATAGGCACGTATTCAATTTGGAAGCATCTGGGAATTCCGAAAAGCACCGTCTACGATGCGATTTTTTGTTTCAAGGATCTTCGCACAACCCAGGACCGTGCAGGCAGAGGAAGAACAACTACGGTGACGACTTCTTCGAACGTTAAGATCGTCCGAGACAGAATCAGACGAAATGCTCATCAGAGCATCAGAAAAATGGCTTCCGCCCTGAATATGTCACGAGCTTCAATGACAACCATTGTCAAAAAGAAGCTTAAGTTGACTTCTTATTGTGTCAGAAAAGCGGCCATCCTTTCTCAATCCTACAAGCTCAAACGGCACCAAAAGGCAAAACTACTTTTGGCGGGCGCGCGGGTTGGGGAACATCTGTCGATGGTCTTTTCGGACGGGAAGCTGTTCACCGTGGAGGCCGAATTCAATTCGCAAAACCATCGAGTGCTTGCCCGAACGTCCGAGGAAGCTTCAGAACTCGGCCGGACTATTCATCGTAAGTCGCACCCCGTCAGCATCATGGTCTTCGGTGCCATCTGCTCCAATGGCAAATGTCCTCTGATTTTCGTGGAAAAGGGAGTCAAAATCGACAAGTACTACTATATCAATGAGATCCTGAAGAAGAACTTGCTTCGTTGGGCCCAAAAACACTTTGGTGGAGAACGATGGGTGTTCCAGAAGGACGGGACGCCAGCTCATACTGCAAAGTTTACGCAGGAGTGGTGCGCCAACAATTTCCCCTCCTTCATCAAGTCAACAGAATGGACCGCCTCGTCTCCTGACCTTAATCTGTTAGACTATTCCGAATGGGGGTCTTACAGAGTAAGGTCCGTGCTAGGCCCCACCCGAATTTGGACTCTCTAAAGAAAGCGCTGGTCGAGGAATGGGACAAATTGTCGGTGGAATACCTGCGCGCCACGGTCGACGCATATCCGAAGCGTCTTCGCGCCGTCATCAGAAACCGCGGAGATCGAATCGAACAACGATAATCTATTTATGTTTGTTATTGTAAAAATAAGCTAAATACGAAATTTGAGCGTGTTTGAACAATTATTCACTGAAATACATTGGTTTTCATATAGTCCGGGTAATTTTCAGCCACCCTGTACATATTTTCTGACATCGTTTGATTGCGACATCTTTTCTCACTAAATCTCGTGGCATTATTCAATAACAAAGAACTCAGACAAACAAATATGGAAATCACTGTTCTATTCTTGAATTGTAAAAGAAAAAATATTTGTTAACTAAAAATTTATTTAAAAAAAAACAAGCTTAATTTATTTTTTAAAGTCGGGCATTTCGGTCAACCATCATCGTGCGGCACATAAGCATCGCGGTAATGTTGAACAGTTACCTTTTTCTAAAGCAAAAAATTATTATAAGACGAATCGTACAGATTTACCTTATTCGAAGCATCATTAACCCCTCTCAACACTCTCAGGTAAACGAAAATCAATCGGATTCGAAGAAAACTTAAATATAAACTAATCTGTTTCGATTGAAAAATAATTCAAATTCAATTAAGAAAACGCTTGAATTCGATTTGAAATCTTGGTTTCGATTCAAAAATCTTCGAAATTTATTTATTTATTTCTCATTCTCAATTTTGAAATCGTATTCGATTGAAATTATGGAATAATTCGAAACAGATTAATTTACATTTGATTTAGATTGAAAACGAAATTATTTTTGAATCCGACTGATTTTCATTTACCTGAGCTCTTCCATGTACCAATGATGTTCAACGAGCCATAAATCAATTGTGTAGCATTTTTTGAATAAGTTCATTTTGGAAGATATCTGAAAGCTATCACAAAGCATGATTATCAAAAAAGAAACACAAAAAATACACTCAAGTATTTAGACTCAAGTGAATTAAAATCAATCGGATTTGAAAATAATTTCGTTTTCAATCGAAATCGAATATAAATTAATCTGTTTCGAATTATTCCAAAATTTCAATCGAATACAATTTCAAAATTGAGAATGAGAAATAAACCAATCGATCTCGATGATTTTTGAATAGAAACAAAGATTTAAAGCGTTTTCTTAATTGAATTTGAATTATTTTTCAATCGAAACAGGTTAGTTTATATTTAAGTTTTCTTCGAATCCGATTGATTTTCGTTTACCTGAGGAATAATTAATATTTAATAAAATACTTATCTAATAATTTTCCATTTGTCAAGTTGAGTTGGATTTTGTGAAGATTTTGTGGCTCTAAAAATTATTTTGTTAATGAAGAAAAAAAACGAGATTATAGAAACGCGTATTGTAAGTGCAAAACACGAATAACTGATTTTATAAACGACAAAAAATGTTATTTTTTAAATCTATGTTGTTTTTACCAGAAAATATCGATAATTTTTGTTTAAAAATGCATATTCTGATAAAATAATAATTAAAATAGGTTTCTACAAATTTTAAATTAATAAATTTCGAAAGAAAATTAAAAAATTGAACGAAAAATTAAAAAAAAATGAATATGCGAAATTAAAAAAAAAGTCCCCGTAAATCGCTGCGAGGATTACGGTAATTGTCTCTTAGCATTGCGTACAAAACGCAGGATCCTACGACACCTGGATACATTTGTCATTTTTCAACAATATTTATAAAATCGAATATTAAAAAATTCGAAAAATTTCGAAAATTGTTTTTCGAATTTAGACGTCAAATTTAATGCATGTCCGCAGTGTATCATTGTGGTGGGTGCACTACTGGAATAAAATCCAAATCGTATACGATCCTTGCAATAACGTATACGATGAGGAAATACGGATGTTTCGTATACGATTAAAAACCATTCATCAGAATCGTATACGTTCCTATACGATTCGCATTAACGTATACGATTTTAATTTTATCTTATACGATGAAGAAATTCGCTTTTTTCGTATTCGACTAGGAATCATTTACCAGAGTTTTTTTTAATGAATAACGCTCGGTTATACTTGGAGAAATTGTTTTGAGGGACTGTTTTGATAGAAGTACCATTTTGATGCAGATTTTACGGTAAAAATGACCAATCGAAAAATTTCAATAATTGATATATTTTTTAAAATGTGTTATATAAATATGTTAATATGTTACCGAGGGAGCAAAAAACTATTGGCAATCGTCTTTTTAAGTACGATCCACTTAACATTTAATCAGTCGCTTGAAATCGTCAAAAACTTTAATTTTTAAAACGAATACGTGAATTTCCCTTTTTATTTCGTTCTTGAAATAGTTTATTCTTCTCAGTTTTTGTCATGGCTCGTCTGGCTAGCAATTTCGAGGTTTGTTCAGAAAGTTTACTATATTAAAAAATTTTAACGGAACAAACATCAATGAATTGTGAATAGCAAAGAATTTCTCTATAATAAAGTCGTCTCAAGGCGATAAAGAATTACAACACAACCATGTATGTACAGTACCGTGCAGTAAGATATACAATTTCACTTTTTTTATCATAACTTTCTGAAAAGTTGACCAATCGATCTGAAATTTTTGGACAACTTTAAGCATCGATAGAGTGATTATGTAACAAAATTAGAAGATGTACAACACATTAGGAAAAATTTTATTGGCAAAAAATCAGAAAATCCATAATAGCGAAAAACCGACATTAATAATTTTGATACCGGTACGACTTGAAATAAAATGGAAAACCACAATTATCTGTCAGGATGCTTAAAACAACTCAATATCTTGTTGACATGTCATTTGCATCGATCACAGTTTGATATCGGAGACCCATGGCCTCGTCAACATCGGGAGGGTTGAAATTGGAATATCCATCCATGATCTTCTCAGCTGCTCGAGCATTTTGACACATTTTGTACAGTTTGACCACCAAGACGTCTACCAAGATCATCCTGCAAATGTTCAATGGGGTTCAAGACAGGTGAGTGGCTTGGTCAGACCATGACGGCCACCCGACGCTGCTAGAACCACTCTTTGATGTAGCGAGAGAAAAGTTTAGGATCATTATTCTGCTGAAATAAGTATCCACACCGAGCAAAGACTTTGCAAACGGAAGCATATGGTTCTCTAGAATGTCTTTATACATTAATCGATCCATATTTCCTTCGATTCGACGAAGTAGGCAAGCTCCAGAAGCAGTAAAACATCCCCAAACTATCACGCTTCCTCTTCCATGTTTCACTGTTGGTAATTGATACTTTGGATCGAATCTTTTGCCACCCGGGCGCCAAATAAAGGTAATATCATCAGTTCCGATCAAGATATACTTGGATTCATCACTCCATACAACCTTTGACCATTGTTGAAAAGTCCAATTCAAAAGCTCTTTAGTTCACTTCTATCGGGCGCGGCGTTTCTTCTCCGAAAGGAGAGATTTTTTGACAGACCGACGTCCAATTAATCCAGAACCACGTAGACGACGCTTGACAGTATCAACGCTGATATGTATGTGACTTTTGGTGAAAAAAAGTCATGGTTTTTCGGAAAAATCTACGTTGACATCATAGAACTGACTCAGTTGCCGATTACTCTCGGAAGCGGATAGACGTGGGTTGCTCTTGCTGATTTTTACAATTGTTCGATTGATTGCCGGGGATGTTTTGGAAGGATTTCCAAGTGGTTTGGAATCCGATCGAGGTTTCAAACATCCACAAATGGTCCAAGTTGATGAGTTCAACTGGTGTGATAGACATTGGATGAAAAGACTTAGTGCTCGGTCATTCTTGATTGCTTTAAAACGTCTGATAGAATGTTTTTTGATCATTTTGATCGTCTTCTGCTAAAACAATTAAAAAAAAACTGATGTTAACATTGAAAATCTAAAAAAAATCGAAAAAACTTAAAAATTAAAAAAAATCGCATTTTTGAAAATACGCAAAAAAAGGTCCAAAACACAAAAATTGCGTCTATAGTACCCCAAAATGAATAAATTATGTTTGGGAACACACTATCTGTTTTGTCCAAAAATTTCAGATCGATTGGTCAACTTTTCAGAATGTTATGATTTAAAAAGTGAAATTGTATATCTTACTGCACGGTACTGTATGTAGTTCATTTTTGAAAACCGCGAGATAAAGGGCTTTGTTTCGTATAGAAGCGGCATAGCGCAAAAATAAATATATATTTATTAAAAATAGTACGAAGAAATATTAATTTTTATCTCAATAATAACAATTGTACAAAATTATACAGACTGGTAGCAAGAAAGAACCGGAAAACGCAGTGCCATTTCACTCATGGATAAAATTTATGTTACTTGTTGGTATCGCAATATTATTGTCCACTGTAATCACTGCTTTCATAACCTGGAATATTGCGAGGAATTCTTTGAGTGATTCAGTTGCAGAAACTCCACGAAATACTGAGTATTTTAATTAGCCGTACTGTCGGATATGAATACTTCAGGTCATGGATTGAACCATTGGTGACTACCGATAAACAACCACTAGACTACCCATCAATCACTGGACAACCCATGACCACTGAACTATCTATGAGCACTGAACTATCCATGACCACTGGATTACCCTTAAGCACTTATATCACTGATATGACGTATGAAGAGTTTTTCTATTATTTAAAAAAAATTGGATTCAGGACAAAGCTACCATCACAAACAACTTTTACTACTATGGGTCCTCCGAAATATATTCCTGTATCGCAATCTCGGCTTCCAACTGTTGCGGAGCCGATCGACTATAATTTAACGATGAAAGTATTCTTGCCTGGTTATGGTTACGTTGCTGATGAAAGAAATGAAACATTCGAAGGGGAAATCGATATTCGAATGAAAATCTTGAAGGAAGTCAACCAATTGAAGTTGAACGCATTAGATCTGACTTTCACTAATTCGAAATGCGCTCTAACAACGGTAATACATAATGGCGTCGCTCACACTTCGGAAAATTTAGTGGAAAGCGATTTTAAGACAAAGTTAAAGACGAGACTTTTGTATAACATTTCGAGAACTCGTTCTCAATTTTTTGACATTCGTCAAATTTTCCGCTGTCGCGCGACAATTCAAAAACAAGGAATTATCCCAAACGTATAAAATTTTTAGATGGGAAAGACAATAGCGATTGAGTCAATAATTGTGAATTCGACGTTAGAAATAATAGAAATCAATCTCAAAAATAGTTTAAACGAAGGAACTGAAGCAGTTCTAAAGGTCGAGAAACTGGAAAAGATGAAATAATGGAATCATACATTTTTAGCTGGTTTTTGAAGGACACCTTTCATACAAAAAAAAGGGATTCTTTTTCGATAAATATACGGATTCAGCCGGAAAGGAAAAGTATTAAAAACCAGGAGATTATTTTCGTATTTCGTATATAGATATAATGCTGTTACACAATTCGAACCGAGCTATGCAAGAAGAATGGTCCCTTGTTTCGATGAGCCCGCGTTCAAAGCAAATTGGACAGTTACCGTGATTCACCCCAAAGGAACTGTAGCATTGTCAAACGGAATTGAAGAAAAAACAACTAAAATTGATAAGAATTTCTTGAGGACAAATTTCAAAACGACCCCTAAAATGTCGTCGTACTTGTTGGCAATTTTCATTTCGGATTTTAAATTTGTCGAAGGAAAAACAAATAGAGGAATTGTTGTAAGAAACCAAACAACTAGTAGGTACACATTCAATATCATTTAAGCTTCGTGTTTGGGCCCGAGGAGAAAAGATAAAAGAAGCAGAATACGCGTTAAAAAGCGGTATCAAGTGCCTGGAAGCTTTCGAGAACTACTTTAAAATCCCGTACGCACTACCGAAACTAGGCATGATTAATAATGGTCTACTCATTTTGCCCATTTTTTTTTTCTAGATTTGGTAGCATCAGTAAATTTCAATTCTGGAGCCATGGAAAATTGGGGATTAAATATTTACATGTTTTTTCTTGTTATTTTAATGCAAGGGAATATTTTTTTGCAGAGAAGAACTTTTATTGTATCATCCAGATGTTCATCAATTAACAAGAAAATCTGAAGTGGCGATTGTCGTCGCCCATGAGCTTGCTCATCAAGTAACTGGGTAAAGTATGAATATAGCAATTCTGTTCAGTGGTTCGGAAACTTGGTGACTTTGAAATGGTGGGAGTACGTGTGGTTGAATGAAGGATTTGCCACGTATATCCAAGTTATTGGCAGCGATATAATCAATGATGGAAAATTGAGAGAGGTTGATTCCTATCGAACAATCAATTATTTTTAATTTTAGAAAGATCAGTATTTTATTAATACGATGGGTATTGCTCTTGAAGTTGACAGTTCTAACATTGCTCATCCTCTTACATTCAAATACGATGATCCAAGCTATGTAGCGACTTCATTTGGAGCAATTTCGTATAAAAAGGTACAAATAAACATAATCAATATCATAATTATACTATTAAAGGGTGCTTGTTTTATTCGAATGCTGCGAAAATTGATAGGAGAGAAAGATTTCGATAAAGGGATTCAGGATTACTTGAAAAAATTCCAGTACAGTAACGCAGAACCGATGGATTTGTTTAGAATATTAGAAGAAAATTCGTGGGATCCAAAACTAAATATCACCTATTTTGCATTGCAATGGACCACTCAAAATGGATTTCCGGTTTTGAATGTGAAAAGAGTAAATGAGACACATGTGACAATTGATCAAACACGATTCAAAATGAATAAAAATATAACAGATCAACCCCAATATAGTAATCCAAGATTTGGGTAAAATTGATGGTGTTGAAATATTTTACTTAAATAAATTTAGATTCAAATGGGATGTACCAATTTGGTACCAAGGAGGTGAAAGTAAGGAAATCAGGTTCGACTGGCTTTCGAGAGGTTCGATTCCAGTTTTAAAAATTAAAAAAAATGTAATTATTCAGATGAACCACTGATATGGCCGATTAGGACTCATGTAGTTTTGAACTCCGATTCCTTTGGTTATTACCGCGTAAATTACGAGGAAGGAGAATTCGTGAAAATTGTAAACCAGCTACTCAAAAATCACGAGGTTTTCTTTAATACTTCAAAATGTGTTTTTTTTTCAAATGCCATTTTCAGATTTATTCGGTGATAACCCGCTTTCGATTGATTGACGACGCATTTGCAACTGCTGCGGCAGAAATATCAAATTACACTAATCCTATAAGACTGCTTGAATACTTGAAAAATGAAAAGGTATTTCAATTTTTTGTGTAATATATAAATTGTGTTGAATTTAGGAATATCTACCCTGGATTTCAGCTAATAGCTATATGATAAAGTTGCTGAAAAATTTCGAAATTGATCTAGAAATGACACCAATAAGAACGGTTTTATTGAAGTTGATCAGTATGTCGCCACTGAAAATAAGCGATGATTTTATTTTCGGACATTATTTGGATGATGCGAATTATTTAACGACGTAAGAAATTTTTGAAGTTCGAGAAGCAATTGACCGTCATAAACATATAGAACTCTCGGAATTGCCCTCCGACGAGCCGAATGCAGATTAGGAAAAGAGGAATGTAGAAAGGAAATGAGAAAACATTTTCAAAAATATTTTTTGGAACAATGTGATGGCACTGTTCCAGCATCCAACTGTTCCCGGTAGAATTATTTTCGAAACTTTGAATTCAATCATTTGCCCAATTTTCAGTGTTCCATATCCACTTCGTGAAATCGTCTATTGTCATGGAATTGAACTTGGGGACGTTAGTGATTTAGATTTAATAAGCAAATTGTATTCGCTAGAAAATGATGAGACCGAAAGACAAAATATACTACGCGCTATGGTTTGTCGAAAAAATGCGATTTTCTTGAAGAGGTTCGAGCTAAACATATTGTTTTAATGAGCTTCTGATTTCAGCCTGCTTTTAAGTGCTCTGAGGATTAAAGACTCACCAATTTTTTCTCAAGACGTATTGTTTTTGTTGACATTCTATGCGGACAACGATTTTGCGAGAGGGCTTCTTCTAGATATATTGCTCTCAAATCTTGATGACATTATGCAAAAGTTGGAGATTTTGTTATATTTCCTCTCTTATGACATATCAATTATTGAAGATTCGCGGATCAGCCTAAATTTCTTCCTTTTGTTATTCCTTTATTCACAGAACACGTTGTGCATAGGCATAAGCTTGAAATGGTTTATTGCAATAATTCTATAAGCAGTTCTCAAATTGTTATTATTTTAGATAGGAAACTTTCTTCAAAATAATACGATTGCAAGGGAATTGAGAATATTTGAATTTATTGAGAGACAAACACTAAAGAAAATCGAGTGGCGCGAGAAATATTTGAAGACCTTTTCTGAAGAATTTGCAAAACTCGCAAAACGTCTTTAAATTTATGTCTTCTATTTTTTCTATATTATACACATTTGAATAGCATCGCAGTTGGTTTTTTTTTTCATTGTCTCCCATTTCAAATAAACCAATAGTACAATTAAATGTTTTTATTGGTAACTGAAAATGTAGAAAACAATTAAAGGGTAGCCCATAATTATGGAAACACAAGTTTGAAGCTTTCTGGCAGATGCTGGCGCATTTTTCGCTCACCAATTTTATTATTTTATTTTTCAGCATGTTTTAATTACCCTATTCCCAAATTTTCTAGTTCCTAGCGTTATTTTTACTGGAATGGTAGCCAATTCAATACACCGAGGTACCGTTATTGAATGGCGACGTGAGGAATGGGCGACAGTTGCATTGCAATAGCTCTCGGAATCTCTCGACCAACAGTTTGGAAAACCGTAAAACGATACAAGGAGCTTAACACACATGAAAACCGTCCGAGAAGCGGAAAACCTCGCAGTTCTATCACTCCGGAGAGGATCAAGGTCGGCAGAGAAGGAATTCGTCGAAATCCGCACCGGATGAGCAAATCTTCGATGGAGCGCATGGTGAAAAAGAAGCTTGGACTGACCCCGTGTTGTGTTAGAAAAGCGGCAGTTTTAACTGAAAGGAACAGGCTGGGCCGAATGCAAAAGTGCGAATCTCGTCTTGCCGGCACGCTCCAAAATGAACACTTAAAGACGCTGTTTACGGACGAGAAGCTCTTCACCGTGGAGGCAGAATTGCAAAACTGTATGACATTTTATTGGTAAAAGTTCGGATCCAATTCGATTTTTGTATTATTTCAGATCCGATTGGTTATTTCTCGGATCCGATTGGTTTTGAATTACCAGAGTAAATCGAGTTTTTATTCGGTAACATATTTATTTAAAACATTTTTAAAAATAAATCAATTATTGAAATTTTTCAATAGGTCATTTATATTGTAAAATCAGTATCATAATGGTACTTTTAACAAAACGGCTTTCAAACAAATTCTCGAAGTATAACGGTATCTTACTTTTTTGAATTAACGTCTTTCCTGAATTTTGATCAGAAATAGAAAATCTGAAACATCAGGCGATGTTTTTTTTTAATTTGGTAACAAAGCTTTTAGAAATCGGAAAAACCTCTTTTCGAGGTCTCCCAGAGGAGATTTTGCTATTTTAGCATGATCATTGAAGGATCACAAGAATGCGGAGAAGGTATCGCTTGGTGAACCACGAAAAACTGGGACTTGCGAGCTTGGCCGCATTGAAGCTGCTACCGTATTGATTCTCGGAATCTCTCGGCAAGTGATCTCATCACCACGCGTGTGGCTTCCACGCTCGCGGATTGGTGATATTTCAATTGGGATCCCTTGACGGTGTCGGAATCTTGTATACGCAAAAATGGTTTGGCACAAGAGATGCAGGTCTCGGAAATATCACTGAGAGAGAGACTCTTTGCGAGAGCCATCTGAAAAAAACGAAGAAGCACGGATAACGGTAATGGCGGGGGCGAGGCTATGGTGTAACAAAAATTTTAAACAATGATTGGGTTCTAATAAAAAATATTTCTCACGCTTGCGTTTTTATTGCATGATGAAGCATGAATTTATTAAAAAAGAAATGGCCTTCCTATATTGAATTGAAGGATGAGGTGAAATAACGTGAAGACAGCGTCTTTTCCAAAATGATGCCCAAAAATACTCTCTCCGAAAAGAAAAACTGACGGCATTCCGTCATTGCGCGCTCGCCCAAACAGACCGCAGACAGTCCGTTTTCCCAGTTCTGTTCCTTATTCATGATTTCTGTTAAAACCAATCAATAAACAACAAAAGTTTATTAAAGAATTAGAAATGAGCACTATAATATTGTGTAGTTAAGGAATGTTTCCTGGCCTACCTCCTCGCTCTCGTCGTGAGCATCGCTTAAATTGGGGTGAGCGTGTGACGATGATAAAGGTCGTGTGTTATTGCTTCCGGCCGGAGGTTGAATAAATATACACTGCTCCACAGAAGTTTAGCCTCACCCATATTTTTTTTTCAAAAATTGACATTTTCACGAAATTTCAAAAAACGCTTGTATTGTTAAAATATGGCTAAAACGGGTTCTTTTTAGTATCCCGCATTAGATTTCACTTACTGAGTCATTAAACAAAATTTGCTTAATTTTCCGAAAATTGCGTTTTTTTCGATCCACAAAATTATAGCCTCACTAGCAAAAAAACGCTTAAAAACAGAAAATAACAACAGTAGCATAACAGAAAATTGGTTTAATATTCGGATGGCATTTCCTGATTGCCACTTGGAAGAGTCAGTGTCGATCGATAAATGGGGATTGTCAATCAGTTGTTGGTCGACTTTCTTTCAAGTTTCGATTATCGCCAGTTTCAGCTGTTTTAGATTATCGTACGACTTTTCTCCTTTGCAAAATTTGTTGGCCATGTATCCTCATACATTTTCGATGATATGCAAGATCGGGGAGCAAGAAGGCCAGTCGAGAGCTGGAATATTCCTCGATTGTATCCACGCGATAGTGCGACGGACCCGATGAAATGGGGCACCATCTGGCGATACACTATCATTCTGGGACGATGTTGACACCAGAAGGGCAGAAGCAAATATCGATAGTGAGAGCCGCTCATTTTCAAGCACAGTTTCACCCGAGTGAACTGATTGCTGCCCATACCATGACACTACCTTCTTTGAAATTTCTCTGCGAAAATCGAATGGGCGGCATTTTAAGATCATGCCAGTAGCTGCGGTATCCATCTAGACCATCACAATTGAACTTCGTCTCATTTGAGAAGATCACTTGAAATTCAGTTGGCTCATCTTCGAATTTAACCACATCCCATTTTTCTTCAGTCCGTTCTGTTGAACTCATTCACAAACTTCAATCAGTTTTCGCAATGTTTCTCGGTCAACATTGGAGCTCTACGCATCTTGCGTCTTTTCTCATGTCGGGACTTGCTCAGAACAAGTCGAATCGTTTCTGTAGCCCATTTCTGATCCCATTTTGCTATACGTAGTGAATGTATTCGATGATTTTCGGAGGATCATTCTTCTTTCTCGGCTAGAAATGGCAGCTGGACATCCAGATCGTGTCGCATTACCATATTCGGATGGATTCTTCAGAAAATTATTGATCACTTTTGGGCAACGCCCCAAATCTCGAGCGATTTGTCGATTCGAAAGACCACGATCATGTTTGGCTATAACATGGCCTTGTTCAAACACCGAAAGTGGTTGGCATTACTTGAAAAACACATAATTCTAGCACAAAAATTAAAAAAAATTTCAAATTCAAGAAAAATAAAGCAAAAAAACGGTTAAGAACATAGGTGAGGCTATAATTTTGTGGATCGAAAAAAACGCAATTTTCGGAAAATTAAGCAAATTTTGTTTAATGACTCAGTAAGTGTAAATCTAATGCGGGATACTAAAAAGAACCTTTTTTAGCCATATTTGAACAATACAAGCGTTTTTTGAAATTTCGGGAAAATGTCATTTTTTGAAAAAAATATGGGTGAGGCTAAACTTTTGTGGAGCAGTGTAGATGTCTCCTTCCGGTCGCTGAATGATTGTACTCATATTACCTTCTGATTCACTTTAATAACAAATCCAGCGGTCACATTTTTCTCACAGACCGATCGCCCTTAAATCCTCATGATTTGGTAAGGATTCTTCCTAATATTCCCTCTGGTTCTTTTAATATTCACTAGTGTCGTAAAAGTGGCTGGAATTCCATTTTCGGGACGATCGTTGATAGTTTCGCTGCTATTGAAACAAAAAATTACTTCGTATACGGTAGATGAAGGACTCTCTCTCTCAAGCCAATATTTTTTTTTATTAAATTTAATCGGTCGTTTGAAATTGTAAATAAAAACTTTGATTTAAAAAACGAATACGTGAATTTCCCATTTTATTTCGCTTGTGAAAAAAGGTTGATTATTTCAGTTTTTGTCATGGCTAGTCTGGCTAGCAATTTAGAGGTTTGTTCAGAATGTTTCGTATATTTAAAAAAATTTAACGGAACAAACAAAATTTCCGATAATAAAGTCGTCTCAAGGCGATGAATGAAAAATTACAACGCAACCGTGTGTGTATGTAGTTCATTTTTGAAAACAGCGAAATAAAGGGATCTGTTTCGTATAGAAGAGGCCAGGCGCAAAAAATATAAAAATAGTATAAAGAAATATAAAATTTTTATCCTAATAATAACAATTTTACAAAATTATACAGACTGATAGCAAGAAAGAACCGGAAAACGCAGTGCCATTTCACTCATGGATAAAATTTATGTTACTTGTTGGTATCGCAATATTATTGTCCACTGTAATCACTGCTTTCATAACCTGGAATATTGCGAAGAATTCTTTGAGTGATTCAGTTGCAGAAACTCCACGAAATACTGAGTATTTTAATTAGCCGTACTGTCGGAAACGAATACTTCAGGTCATGGATTGAACCATTGGTGACTACCGATAAACAACCACTAGACTACCCATCAATCACTGGACAACCCATGACCACTGAACTATCCATGACCACTGAACTATCCATAACCACTGGACTACACAACACCCCCTATATCACTGATATAACGTATGAAGAGTTTTTCTATTATTTGAAAAAATTGGATTCAGGACAAAGCTACCATCACAAACAACTTTTACTACTATGGGTCCTCCGAAATATATTCCTGTATCGCAATCTCGGCTTCCAACTGTTGCGGAGCCGATCGACTATAATTTAACGATGAAAGTATTCTTGCCTGGTTATGGTTACGTTGCTGATGAAAGAAATGAAACATTCGAAGGGGAAATCGATATTCGAATGAAAATCTTGAAGGAAGTCAACCAATTGAAGTTGAACGCATTAGATCTGACTTTCACTAATTCGAAATGCGCTCTAACAACGGTAATACATAATGGCGTCGCTCACACTTCGGAAAATTTAGTGGATAGCGATTTTAGGACAAAGTTAAAGACGAGACTTTTGTATAACATTTCGAGAACTCGTTCTCAATTTTTTGACAATTGTCAAATTTTCCGCTGTCGCGCGACAATTCAAAAACTAGGAATAATCTCAAACGTATAAAGTTTTTAGATGGGAAAAGCAATTGCAATTGATTCAATAATTGTGAATTCTACGTTAGAAATGATTGAAATCAATCTCAAAAATAGTTTAAACGAAGGAACTGAAGCAGTTCTAAAGGTCGAGAAACTGGAAAAGATGAAATAATGGAATCATACATTTTTAGCTGGTTTTTGAAGGACACCTTTCATACAAAAAAAAGGGATTCTTTTTCGATAAATATACGGATTCAGCCGGAAAGGAAAAGTATTAAAAAACAAAAGACTATTTTTCTTTTTTCGTAAATAGATATAACGCTGTTACACAATTCGAACCGAGCTATGCAAGAAGAATGGTCCCTTGTTTCGATGAGCCCGCGTTCAAAGCAAATTGGACAGTTACCGTGATTCACCCCAAAGGAACTGTAGCATTGTCAAACGGAATTGAAGACAAGACAACAAAAATTGATAAGAATTTCTTGAGGACAAATTTCAAAACGACCCCTAAAATGTCGACGTACTTGTTGGCAATTTTCATTTCGGATTTTAAATTTGTCGAAGGAAAAACAAATAGAGGAATTGTTGTAAGAAACCAAACAACTAGTAGGTACACATTCAATATCATTAAAGTTTCGTGTTTGGGCCCGAGGAGAAAAGATAAAGGAAGCAGAATACGCGTTAAAAAGCGGTATCAAGTGCCTGGAAGCTTACGAGAACTACTTTAAAATCCCGTACGCACTACCGAAACTAGGCATGGTTATTAACGGTCTGTTCATTTTGCCCAATTTTTTGTTTTTCTAGATTTGGTAGCGTCAGTAAATTTCAATTCTGGAGCCATGGAACATTGGGGTTTAAATATTTACAAGTTTTATCTTTTTATTTTAATGCAAGAGAATATTTTTGCAGAGAAGAAACTTTATTGTATCATCCAGATGTTCATCAATTAACAAGAAAATCTGAAGTGGCGACTATCGTCGCCCATGAGCTTGCTCATCAAGTAACTGGGTAATGTATGAATATAGCAATTCTGACAAGTTTTAGTGGTTCGGAAACTTGGTGACTTTGAAATGGTGGGAGTACGTGTGGTTGAATGAAGGATTTGCCACGTATATCCAAGTTATTGGCAGCGATATAATCAATGATGGAAAATTGAGAGAGGTTGATTCCAGGGCTGTGCGGCAATCGGAAATTTCGGCAATTCGGCAATTCGGCAAATTGCCGAAATTCAAAATTTCGGCAATTCGGCAAATTGCCGAAATTCAAAATTTCGGCAATCCGGCAATTCGGCAAATTGCCGAAAATCAAAATTTCGGCAATCCGGCAATTCGGCAAAATGCCGAAAATAAAAATTTCGGCTATTAAATGTTTTCAACGATAATTCGAAATATAAATACCGAATTTTCACGGTATCCCAAATTATTCAATGGACATTGATTTTTGTTTCGCCGATTTTTTTTTGATATCAAATTGCCGAAAATCAAAATTTCGGCAATCCGGCAATTCGGCAATTTGCCGATCGAACGTTCTCTTCGGCAATTCGGCAATTCGGCAATTTGAAAAATCGGCAATTTCGGCAATTTCGGCAATCGGCAATTCCATTGCCGCACAGCCCTGGTTGATTCCTATCGAACAATCAATTATTTTTAATTTTAGAAAGATCGGTATTTTATTAATTCGATGGGTATTGCTTTTGAAGTTGATAGTACTGGCATTGCTCATCCTCTTACATTCAAATACGATGATCCGAGCTATGCAGCGACTTCATTCGGAGCAATTTCGTATAGAAAGGTATAAATAATCACAATCAATATCGGCCAATGCCAAATGGGATCAGCCAAATGGGACTAATAGGGGAGGAAATGACAAATGGGGCCAAAATGACAGATGATGCCAACCTATATTAAAAAAAAGACCCTTTTTGCCAAATGGGACCTTGATTTCTGAACTGAAAGTGACAAATGGGGCCAAACTCAATTTTTTTTTCAACCGATGCCATTAAACATCAACAACAATCTATTTCAACGCGTTTCCTGAATTTTTAACGCCTTTCCTGAATTTTTATGAGAAATCGAAAATGATGCCGTTTTAAAACAAGCCTGACGGTATGAACTAAAAAATATTCCAAAGTAAATTGATAAAAAATCACTAATCGCGGTCCAATTCCCTCCTTTATTCACGCTCTCTGTGGTTGCTTTTTGCTCTTTGTGACTTGTTCTCTCTTCCTGCAAATAATCTCAGTTTGACATAATCTTTAAATTTTAAAAGAAAAATTGCGAACCCAAAATTATTTTTAGAAAGAGTATACTCATAAATTAAAATTAAATTTACGTCAGGACACGTAGAATATTGTAAAACAATCCATAAACTTGTCCATTAAATCCTTCAAAATCGCTCAATCTGTGAAATTTTATATAAATAACTCGAATATTTCTCACGAATAATAAAATACGTTAAAAACGACGAAGAATGTTGAGAAAGAACGAGATGTGTATATAAAAATTATTATTTATTTAATTTACTAATGTTTGAAAACGTTTTGTGCGGTTAAAAACATCAAAGAAGCATTTTAAAAAGAAAAATCGGCCGAAAATAAAATAAATAATATTTAGTCTACGGTATATCTGTGCAATTAATGGTAGAGTGTTTACAGACTTTACCATTAATTGTTTACTGTTTTTACGGAACTTTTTTTTAATTTTCGGACGATTTTTCTTTTTGATATACTTCTTTGCTGTTTAACCGCACAAAACGTTTTCAAAGATTAGTAAATTTTATAAGTAATAATTTTGATATACACAAATCGTTCATACACAAGTTCGTTTTCATTAAACTAACGGGACTACTAAAAACATCAAATCATACATATCATTTCCCCCTCCTACTAACGTTACAGTGAACTCCTTTGATGAATCGGCTTATCTTAATGAATCATCATTTTCGATTTCTCATAAAAATTCAGGAAAGGCGTTATATTCGAAAAAGTAAAACACTGTTATCAAATCATATATACAGTACCGCTCAAAAGTCTATCAACCTTTGGTTTTTTCTTTATTTCTCAAAGAGTACTGCACCGATCAACATGAATCTTTCAGAGATAATGTGAAATGGGGTATAAAACATAATTCATGTCATTCGGTACACAAACACATATCCGCAAAGTCCATGACGCGATTTTACACACTTTCAGGTTTTTTGCGTTTTTCAACTTTTTTTTAAATTTTAATTTTTTTAATTTTTCTAGAGTAGTTATCCGTTCATATGTTCTTATTCATGTTTTCAGAAATGCCTAGAGCTTTTGGGAACAAAGACTTGACGGATAACGAGAAAAAAGCCATCGTGGCTGGTCGTCAAAGTGGACTTACTTTGAAAACGCTTGCCGGAATGTTCAATCGAACGAAAGGATGTATTTCCAAACTCTGTAAACGCTGGGAAGTTCAAAAAAATTTTTCTGTGCCTCATCGCTCCGGGAGACCACGAATTACTGATCGTAGTGAAGATAGAAATATTTTGCGGACGTCCAGAAACAATCCTAGACTCCCTGCCCCTGCAATCAGACGGGAAGTTTTCGTGAATTCTCCATCTCCACCATCCGTTTCGACTGTGAAACGTCGTCTCTGTGCTGCTGGGATTATGGGAAACGTCCAGTGAAAAAACCCTTAATTTCTGAGAAGAATAGAATGGCCAGAGTGAAGTGGGCAAAGGAACACGTCGACTGGACAAGACAAGACTGGGATAAGATTTTGTGGTCCGACGAAAGCAAGTTTCTGCTTTTCGGAAGTGATGGAATTTAGTGGATTCGTAGACCAATTGGGTCCAGGTATGATCCTAAGTATCAATTACCCACTGTGAAGCATGGCGGTGGTTCGTGTATGGTATGGGGTGCGTTCTCTTGAAATGGTATTGGACCGCTTCATCGCGTGAATGGGATCATGGACAAGAATGTCTACAAAGACATTCTCCAGAATCAGATGCTTCCGCACTTGAAGAGAATGGGTCGTGGAAGTGTTTTCCAACAAGACAATGACCCAAAACACACTTCTTTGTTCGTTAAGGTGAGAAAATTGATAAGTAAACAGCATCACAATGAATTTCGGGATTGGTTCGCAAGCCGTCGGGTCAACGTCATCGAGTGGCCGAGTCAGTCTCCTGGCTTAAACCCAATTGAACATCTATGGGAAGAGTTGGAAAGACGTTGTGCCAACAAAAGAGCCAAAAATTGCAATGAGAAGTTTGCTCAACTGCAGTCTGAATGGAATAAGATCCCCATGTCGACCATCGACACTTTGATCGACTCCATGTCGAGAAGATGTCAAGCAGTCATTGAAGCTAAGGGCTTTGCAACTCGATATTGAGCTTTAAATTATGTTTGTTACTGTTTTTTGTTAATAAACTTTGTTTTTTGTTAAACCAAAACTGTTTATTGAAAACCCCAAAAAATCGGTATTTTTCGAAAATTCTATTTTTTTTTTCAAAAAATTTTTTTTAAATTAAGCAGGTGTCAAATCAGCTGGCCAAAACACGTTAAACCACTCCAAAAAATAATGGGAAAAATTTTGGATCGATACCGCATCTTTAAAAAAAGTTATCCTCAAAAAACCAAAGGTTGATAGACTTTTGAGCGGTACTGTATCATTTGCACTCCCTCCCCCCACTACTAACGTTACAGTGGACTCCTTGGATGAATCCGCTTATCTTAATGGTCTATTAGAAACCACCCCTACTTTTTAACCCCCACCCCTGCTATTCCACCCCGAATTTTTAACCCCGACTTTTATTTATGATACCACCCCCACTTTTTCACCCCCAATTTTTAGATTTCACCCCTACTTTTTCACTGCACTTCAAAATTTGAAGTTTCTAACAGTAATGTTTAACAGTAAAATTTTTTAATATTTTTAATAATTCAAGTTATCAATAGGAGATTCGCAGGACTGATGTCTAAATTAGATTTTTCAGAAACTATTGTCGAAGTCAAACGACTTGACGAAATTTAAAAAATAATTGGCTATGTGCCAATGCGTCTCGAGGCAGCGAAATTGCGTCCATTGCATTATAGCGTACGCGCATTGAATATTCAGTCAACGATTAATTTAAATCTACATTAATTTCGCGAATTTAAAGGCTCCGCCTCCCTTCAGTCGTTTGACGCCGGCAACATGTAGTGTTCTTATGAAAGGTTGACAATTTTAACAAGAAATTAACTATTCTCGGAAAACCCTGTTCAGAAAAATTTCGTCTTTTGTCAAAACGTCAACCTTTCATAAGAACGCTACATAGTTTCTGAAAAATCTAATTTAGACATCAGTCCTGCGAATCTCCTCTTGATAACTTGAATTATTGAAAATATTAAAAACAGTAAAATTTTACTGTTAAACATTACTGTTAGAAACTTCAAATTTTGAGTGTGAAAAAGTAGGGGTGAAATGAAAAAGTAGGGGTGAAATCTAAAAATTGGGGGTGAAAAAGTGGGGGTGGTATCATAAATAAAAGTCGGGGTTAAAAAGTCGGGGTGGAATAGCAGGGGTGGGGGTTAAAAAGTAGGGGTGGTTTCTAATAGACCTATCTTAATGCATATTCTCTTTGAAATCGATAAGTGGTGAATTCCAAAAAATCGATTTCGTAGTTTTTATGTTTACAAAAGTGAAAAAGTAATTTTTCTTTTCAGTATTGTTGAAAAATGACAAATGTATCCAGGTGTCGTGGGATCCTGCGTTTTGTACGCAATGCTAAGAGACAGTTACCGTAATCCTCGCAACGATTTACGGGGACTTATTTTTTTAATTTCGCATATTAGATTTTTTTATTTTTCGCTCAATTTTCGTATTTCCCTTCGAAATTTTGTTATTTAAATTTGCAGAAACCGAGTTTAATAATTTATTTAGCAGAATAAGCACTTTTTAACGATATTTTTTGGTAAAAACAGCAGAGATTAAAAAGAAAACATTTTTGTCGTTAGTAAAATTATTTATTCGTGTTTTGCTTTTTGAACGCGTTTCTATTATCTTGTTTTTGTATTCTTCATTTTCAAAATAAGTTTTAGAGCGACAAAATCTTCACAATAACTCCCAACTCAACTGGACAAATGGAAAAGTGCATATTCTGAAAATTAAATAATTAAACTCGGTTTCTACAGGTTTTAAATATAAGATTTCTAAAGAAAATAAGAAAATTCAGCAAAAAAATTGAGAGAAAATTAAAAAAAAAAACTCCGTAAATCGCTGCGAGGAATACGGTAACTGTCTCTTAGCATTGCGTACAAAACGCAGGATCCCACGACACCTGGATACATTTGTCATTTCTCAACAATAATAGTCTTTCCTCCCTTCAGTAATAAACATTTCCCCCAATCGCCCGATTCAGCTTCTTCCATCAGCATTGGCCGGTGATAAGAAAATAAAAATGGCTCAGCGATTCAATCGGAACGAACAGCGGTTGTTTTTGGGCGAACCCAAAAACGATGAACGGCCTTCCCTCGGGGTCACACTGGTCGTCCCAAAATGTTCCGCGGGTTAACCCAAACGACGGGTGTACGCGCGGAGTGTTGTAATCACCCTTGTTTTAGCAGCTCATAAATTTTATTGGGTAATGCGCGTTTTATTTAAATAACATATTTATTCGAACCTTTCCAAAATCAATAGGTAACAAATAATGCAAATATCGATATTTAAAATAAAAACGTTGACAAAAAAAGAGGAAAGATTACAATAAAACATGAATAATTTAACATTTAGGATAACAAAAAAAAACAAGGACACTCTGCTAATTCGTCGAATACTAATGAATGATCGAATGTAAAAAATTTAGAATCAAATTCGTATTGCTCGTTTCACAATCGAACTACATTCCAATTGACTTCTAATGGAAATCGATTGATCATTTAAGATATTGCGTTGAATCGAAACAGATGAATTCTATTCGATTCGACGAATGAGCAGAGCAAAAAAAAATTGGGATTAAAGCAAATCACCGTTATGTTCAATGTCGTTGTTGGCTTCATCCTCATCGACGTCTTCTTCATCCGAAATCGGTGTCGGCGAATGGCGGAAGTCGTTCGATGTTTTCTTAATAAAAAAAGTTTTAGTTATTTCATGACTCTAGAAAACTGTGATTTCTATTACCTTTTCTTTCCTTTTTAATGCGTTTGGATCCTGTTCGAATCGTTTGCGCACAACTCCATTTTGACCTTGGGTTTCCACAATTTTTTTGTTCCGAAGATCATTACTGAATATATATAGCTTATTTCTATATATAAAGTATTACAAAAAACTTACAAAACTCGGTGAGCTTTGAAATAAATAAAGTCCACCATATTTGCCACATCCATAATCAGCTTCTCATAATGTTGACTTATTTCCGCTTTATTGTCTCCCAATCTTGCTGCCAACCTGAAAAAAGTAAAATAAAAGATTAATGGTTAATATACTAACCTCGCATTTTCATTTTGAAGATCTTCTACTGAATATCCAGGGAATTGCAATTTTACTGGATATCCGTAGCTTTCCAGAATGAAGTCTGAATTAGGTTCCATTTGGTATTGACTCTTTGATGATTACCTCTGATAGCGTCAATAACGTCCTCAGGGACTGGTTTCAGCCCTTCTTGCATTCGTTGACCGGGGCGTTTCGCAATCGAATAGCTTTGGTGCGCTGTTGGAGAGTCCATTATCTAGAAAATTATTTTTTTTTAAAGTCACGCGGCTATACTTACAATAAGAATTAAATTTCTAAGACACTGCGCGATCTCTCGTTGTATACTTGTTTGAACAATCTTCATATTCCGCAAATCGAGGAATGCATGCTTCTGAATAATTATTTTTTATTTCTTTAGTTTGGAAAATCTCTTGTGCAAAAGATACATGTTCTGATTACTTTTCATTTATCCTTATCGAACAAATATACAAACCAATCCGCATTAACTACATGTGAAAACGTACTTTAAATGGCCAGTTTCCTTTGAATTCGCGCGTTATATATTTGAACTGAGGCTTGTAGTTCATTTCGTCTGACGATTTCTTGATGGGTGCATGCCTTTTATTCATCATCGCCAACTGAATATGTGCAGTTATATAGCATCGCGTTAGTTTTTTTGTATTTATATCTGGTTAACTTACATATAGATTATTTGCCAGCATATAAATTTCCATTGACAATGGTTTTATTACTGATCCATCAAACTTGGGTTCAACGTTGTACCGTGCAAGAGTTGTCGTCATGTCCTCAAAAAGCGAAATATGTTACGTGAATGATGTAGTTTTGTGGTATGGTTTAAACAGTTGAATGTTTTTAAAAACATTCTACATACATTATATAAAATCGAAAAAAAACGACCGGAGAGCTCAATATATCATAGAACCTACGTCGTAAGCTGCTTTGCTGAGCTTTTTCTGGGTTAAATAAACGTGAAGAACGCATCCCGCGATTCCGTGATCAAACTCATTTCGGTTGAACGCGTGCCGGATGTTGGCTTTAAAAAATTAAGTTTATTTCCCTTTTGTTTATGAGAATATTAGTGTGAAAAAAATTGTCGAAATAGCAAGTTTTGTGACAACCTCATAGTAATAATAATTTTACCGAAACAAGATTTGTTAGTGTCGATAGTTCGACAGTAGTCATATTCCGCTTTACTCAATTGGATGCTCCCTACAAAATAAATTTTACAAGTTGCGATGTATTATTGGATGGAATAACTGACCAAATGAATAAGCTTGTGCGGGCGGGCGACTGACCAGTTGACTAAATGAATGAGCTTGCGCGGGTTGACGGTCGACCAGCTGACCGAATGAATGAGCTTGTGCAGGCGGCGACTGTCCAGTTGACCAAATGAATGAGCTTGTGCGGGTTGACGGCCGACCATCTGATGGTTTTGTTGTGGCTGCCTTTCTGGAACAGACTGATTGTGCGCCCGATATCGTTGAACTGGATTGGTTGCTCGTATCATTGGTGAGTAAGGATGAGCCGCTGTATGATGTGATCGTTGCGGCGTTTGCGAGACGTTAGCTGAAAACGTATTTAAGATGAACTTTTGAGCGAAGAAGGCTGTTAAAATAGAAATATTAAACTTTTTTAGAGAAAAACGCTTCTTTGGAAAATTTTGCATACTAGAAATAAAATATGCGGGTACATTAGTTGATTGATTGCATGTTGCCTATTTAATTTTTCACAGTTTACTCACATCTTTGTGGTTGGTCAATCGACTCGTCATACAGATACTCTTCTGGGTAGTCAAACTCCTGAGTAGATGGTATCATTCTGAAATTCATTGTTTAAATACATAAAATGTCTAATCAGATATGTGAAATGGAGGAAACCATAAAGAAATAATCAAAAAAAGTTTAATGTTCACAGATAAGATGTTTATTCGCCCAATATTTAACAGGCAGTCATTACGTATTGAATTGATTCATATGTAAAAAAATACACTTTTTAATAAAACGATCAATAGGTAAAATACAAGTTTCGCGTTTCTTAATTATCTTTCTACACCACGAAGATTCGTTTTTCAATAGCAGAGCAACATCCTCATTTCTAGAGTTCGAATTCACAGCATCATTGTACAGGTTCTCAGCCACATTTATCGTCTCATATTCCAGTACGAGTAGCATGATTCGATCTGATGTTTGTGCTACAGCTTCTAATGTTCCATATTCGATTCCGAATTCCGATTCGTAGCAAATTACAGTGCTCTTGTTGTTATTTCTCCAGCTGTTTGAGGATAAGAGATCTTGATGAAATACCACTCGAGACCTGTAATTTGAATATATGTGAAATTCTTTAATCATAGCTTAATACCATATGTTGATATATATCAATCCAGGAAACATTTTTTTTATCCGAGCTTCTTTCTCATCGCCATTTCTGATTCTATACAGTTCGAGCGCAGTCGTAGAATTATCTAATTGAATTAAATTTTCCTCGCTAAACAATTTATTGTATGAGAGTAAAATCAAATTGCACCTACCTCTTATTTATTCTTGTATCAATATTCAACAGGAAGCGCTTCCCGAGTTCTTGTATTGATGTATTGGATTGCGAAAGATTTTTTGATATTAAATTGTGGCATTTTTCGAAATATGAAGTAGAAGTAGAAGATAAATTTCCATTTCTTCTGATGTTTTCAACCATGTGTTCAAAGAGCAACTGAAATTGAAGGAGAATGGTTGAAGTTATAATAAAATCATAATCGTATTCGGAAAAAATCATTTTAAGACCAATTTAACACATATATCTTTCAAAAAACTACTATATCCACATTTTTCCTTGATAGCGTTATAAAATTTTTTCCCACCTTCCGGTATGAATGTAACCTACATGCATTTTAAGCGTATATTTCTCCTTATTTAGAGTTCCCATTGCTGTTTTAAGGAAAGAGCTGAGATCATCCATATTTTGTAAGTCAATCTCCGTTTTGGCCTCCAAACAGAGTTCGACGTAATTGATAAATGCAGAAAAGAAAATGCGGGTGTCGACGGTGTAAACGGGTAACAGCGACAATATATTGAAGAGAATCCTTGATGTCTATAACGCATAATTTAATTTCTGTGTGGTCTCTCTAGAGCTTGGATAAATTAACATAATTGTTTTTAGCAGATCCGCTTGATACATAAAGTAAATACACCTGAGCTCTCCGCACAACAATTTTTTAAAGGCATATAAAGAAGCGAAAAAATAGTACCTGTCTAATCTGAGCTCCTGTGGCTGAAGAGAGTTTTCGGATATCTGCCATCTCACAATTAATTCCCGGTGGTAGCTTTGCGTTGAAAATCGATTCTTGAATTTTTACGACGTTTCTCGGCAGAATTCTTAACTTTGGCAGAGATGACGTTGATGTTATTTGGTTGCTACATAATAGATTTACTATTGTATTTTTAACAACACCTTCACTAAGCAGGTGTAATTCATCGAATGCCATGTCTTGAGGACCAACCATACGAGACAAAAAACCTATAATGTTCGGCGTTAAAAAAAAACGTATAACTTACATTGAGCGCCGTTTCTCTCCATTAGACGGTGAATATCTTCTTTTGTACGTGGTTCTGACCTCTCGCTCGAATAAAAAGCAACCGCTGATCGCCCAACTCTAGTACCTGTAATTGTGCATAATGCACATCCTTCGAGCTTCTGCCAATTCGGAAGTGTATACATCAAACGAGCAGCCTAAAATAATATTTCAGTTTGCTTCAAATCGCAGTACATTTCAAACTTTCAAATCGCAATACATTTTAGCTGGTTGAAAATCGATGTAGTAGATTTCATTATTATTGTCAATACGAATGGGTTCAAATCGAATCTCATCAAGTTCATTTATTAGCCTAAATATGAATTATATAATATGAAAATATTCATTCTTCATTTGGTCGGACTAGTTTAATACCTGCTCATGATAATATCACAATTCGTGTGATTTAAGCTGTTTGGTCCTGTTATTAAGGCTGCAAGAATAACAGAATCGACCTTTTCTTTTGATTTTCTTCCAACTCCTTCTAAACGAACGTATATTGGTGTTATTTCGTTTCTAAAATTTTTAAGTAATTGCAAAAAGGAACAAGAACATTTAGGGGAATACCTATTATGGTTAACTGGTCGAAACCCGTCCACCGCCAACGAAATAGGAATAGTCAAATGACTATTCTCAAAAGACTCGAAACTTTCGATATTATCATGATAACACCGCGATCGGTGAAATGAAGAATAATCTCGAATTGTTTCCTTAAGAAAATAAAACAAATTCGATTAAAAATATCACGATTATAATGTTGCAATAAAATATTACCACTGTATTTCTGTGATGGTAGCTGTGGGTTGATAGTAATTCACCAAATTGATTACTCGTAACTCGTTCTAATTGTGGGCGAACACTGTATGAAACAATTTTTAAAGCTTCTGTCTTCGTTCCTTTTTTCATATGTTTTCTGAAAGTATTTTATATTCGTGGAGTGCTATATTCATACCTGAAATTTACACAGATATTGTTTTGACAAGAATTTGAAGCTCCAATTGACACCAGACATTCGTTGCAGAAAACAGAAACTCTAGGTTTATACTTCGATAAGAAAACATTTTCATTTGTCTCATTTAAATCATTAATCTAAAATCATGCATCGTGAGTTTTTCTCTTAGCTTAGTTTTACCGTTAAGTTATAGCTACAAATAAAATGTGCCGCTAGCAGCACGGCTTCAATGCACGACTTCGATAAACAAAATGGATTGAGCAATTGATTAACCTTTGCAATGGCGTCATATCGTTGCGATATCTCATCATTCTGAGTGTTGAACCCCAAATCATTCATTGAGTAGTTGACCGAGTCTGGCAGTGAACAATTCGAATCGTCTTTCATAAACGGCGGCTGAATTAGCAGCGACTTTTCGAAATTATGATTGTTTTCATTGCAAAATTCTTCCTTCATATCCATGAAGAACGCTGGTCTTGTGACACGTATGCCAAGATTTCTCAGCATTGTCTCTAGAAAAATGTGTTTATTATTCCATGCTTGCTAGGCTATATCTTCAGTCTCATATTTTACGGCACACTGGAAGAAGTGGAACGATCGAAGTCGAATGGTTAATGAATGAACAGCAAAAACATTATTAATGAATGAAAAATGATTATTTAGAAAATGAATCGTCTCATTAACGAATGGTTTTTAATTCGCGAATGAACGATTTTCGATGGTTAATGAATGGTTTTTTATTATTTTATGGTAAATAAATGGTTTTTTACTGTTTGATTGACGAAAAACCATTCATTTTTTGTTCCGCAATCATCGTTTTCACTTCTGCCAGTGAGTATTTAACATTATTTGACATACCATTTTCTTCAAACGTTGGCCTTCTTCTTTTCATTCCAATTGTTGCGTTACCGTGGATGACTGCGCTAGAACTAAAATTAATTTTTCTTTACATAATGATGAAAATTATATAGAAATTGAGTAAACGTTAAAAAATTTTCAATAATTCCAGTACGACACTCCAATTACAAACTGCCCTCCGTTTAGAGTTTGGGCTAAACCGTGGACGACTTTTGTTTTGACCGAGTTCAATGTTTCCCGTGTTTGCCCCAAATTGTTCCGCGGGTTATCCCAAACCCAAAAACAACCGCTGTTCGTCCCGATTGAATCGCTGAGGGAGGATAAAATCTGGGGGTGGTAGAAAAATAAGAATAGGGATTAAATTTTGGGGATTTATGGCAATGGGTAAAAATGACAATTTCTAGTAAAATTTATTGAAGTAGATTGTTGTTAATGTTTCATGGCATTGGTTGAAAAAAAATTGAGTTTGGCCCCATTTGTCACTTTCAGTTCAGAAATCAAGGTCCCATTTGGCAAAAAGGGTCTTTTTTAATAGAGGTTGGCATCATCTGTCATTTTGGCCCCATTTGTCATTTGCTCCTCTATTGGTCCCATGTGGCTGGTCCCATTTGGCATTGACCTCAATATCATAATTATACCATTAAAGGGTGCTTGTTTTATTCGAATGCTGCGAAAATTGATAGGAGAGAAAGATTTCGATTAAGGGATTCAGGATTACTTGAAAAAATTCCAGTACAGTAACGCAGAACCGATGGATTTGTTTAGAATATTAGAAGAAAATTCGTCGGATCCAAAACTAAATATCACCTATTTTGCATTGCAATGGACCACTCAAATTGGATTTCCGGTTTTGAATGTGAAAAGAGTAAATGAGACACATGTGACAATTGATCAAACACGATTCAAAATGAATAAAAATATAACAGATCAACCCCAATTTAGTAATCCAAGATTTGGGTAAAATTGAAGGTGTTGAAATATTTTACTTAAATAAATTTAGATTCAAATGGGATGTACCAATTTGGTACCAAGGAGGAGAAAGTAAGGAAATCAGGTTCGACTGGCTTTCGAGAGGTTCGATTCAAGTTTTTTTTTTTGAATTTTTTTGAAATGTAATTATTCAGACGAACCACTGATATGGCCGGTCTGGACTCATGTAGTTTTGAACTCCGATTCCTTTGGTTATTACCGCGTAAATTACGAGGAAGGAGAATTCGTGAAAATTGTAAACCAGCTACTCAAAAATCACGAGGTTTTATGTTTTTTTCAACTGCCAATGTTTTTTTCAACTGCCATTTTCAGATTTATTCGGTGATAACCCGCTTTCGATTGGTTGAAGACGCCTTCGAAACTGCTGCTGCAGAAATATCAAATTACACTAATCCTATAAGACTGCTTGAATACTTGAAAAATGAAAAGGTATTTCAATTTTTTGTGTAATATATGAATTGCGTTGAATTTAGGAATATCTACCCTGGATTTCAGCTAATACTTATATGATAAAGTTGCTGAAAAATTTCGAAATTGATCTAGAAATGACACCAATAAGAACGGTTTTATTGAAGTTGATCAGTATGTCGCCACTGAAAATAAGCGATGATTTTATTTTCGGACATTATTTGGATGATGCGAATTATTTAACGACGTAAGAAATTTTTGAAGTTCGAGAAGCAATCGATTTTCATAAACATATAGAACTCTCGGAATTGCCCTCCGAGGAACCGAATGCAGATTAGGAAAAGAGAAAAGAGGAATGTAGAAAGGAAATGAGAAAGCGTTTCCAAAAATATTTTTTGGAACAATGTGATGGCACTGTTCCAGCATCCAACTGTTCCCGGTAGAATTATTTTCAAAACTTTGAATTCAATCATTTGCCCAATTTTCAGTGTTCCATATCCACTTCGTGACATCGTCTATTGTCATGGAATTGAACTTGGGGACGTTAGTGATTTAGATTTAATAAGCAAATTGTATTCGCTAGAAAATGATGAGACCGAAAGACAAAATATACTACGCGCTATGGTTTGTCGAAAAAATGCGATTTTCTTGAAAAGGTTCGAGCTAAACATATTGTTTTAATGAGCTTCTGATTTCAGCCTGCTTTTAAGTGCTCTGAGGATTAAAGACTCACCAATTTTTTCTCAAGACGTATTGTTTTTGTTGACATTCTATGCGGACAACGATTTTGCGAGAGGGCTTCTTCTAGATATATTGCTATCAAATCTTGATGACATTATGCAAAAGTTGGAATTATTGTTATATTTTCCCTTTATAATATATCAATTATTTAAGATTCGTCGATCATCCTGAATTTCTTCCTTTCGTTATTCCTTTATTTACAGAACACGTTGTGCATAGGCATAAGCTTGAAATGGTTTATTGCAATAATTCTATAAGCAATTATCAAACTTTTACTAATTTAGATAGGAAACTTTCTTCAAAATAATACGATTGCACGGGAATTTAGAATATATGAATCTATTGAGAGACAAACACTAAAGAAAATCGCGTGGCGCGAGAAATATTTCATGACTTTTTCTAAGGAATTCTCGGAACTCGCAAAACGTCTCTAATTTTCTGTCCAATAGTTTATTGAATATTATACGCATTTGAATAGCGTCGCAGTTTTCTTTATTTTTTTTTCATCGTCTCCCATTTCAAATAAAACAATAGCACTATTAAATGTTTTATTGGTAACTGAAAAAATAGAAGACAATTAGTAGTAGAAATGGCACGTAAACAAGCTTAGAAAATGATGAACAGCGCATATCCAATTCTGTTAAGCATGCTGCATTCAAAAACTGTAAACGGCGTTCCATATTGGATGCAGCCCCTGGAAAACCAACGTTATTTTGTATTAGTTGATTCGAAAAATGAGTTTCGTCTTCTGAGACAATTATCAGATCGAAAAAATGGATTAACCGCATGCTGCAACTCCTGCCGATTCGCCACAGGCATCAAACAACTGCCGCCTCACACATGACACTGTTTCGATGGTTTGTCTGCAAATGAGCTTTAAAATGCTGTTTGATGTCTTGAGATGCACTTACGGGCACGCTGATGCATCGTTGTAATTAATTTTACCTTGTCCGCATTGTAACATTCGATTTGATAGTGGGACAACGGCGAATGAACGTTGCAGACAATCGAGATTTTCGAAAAATACTAAGAAATGGTTGTTAATTTCAACGGGTTCTTGAAAATCTTACATTGTTTTCCCTTGCCACATGCAAATTCGAAAAACGCGTGGTTCTCGAGGTATAATGTCGCCTCCATTTCCGGTCGAATTCTGTTAGTGAAAATGACGAACGTATTGAAATTCACACACTCATCTATAGATGTTCCGAGACAATTGGTGAGATCATCAAAATCCCTTGAAATATTCAAATAATGAAAATTATAAGAAAACGAATACCTGCAAATATTTTGCAAATTCATCGAACGCATTTGCTCACTCAACACCATAAATGACGGCAAATATCCACCATCAGGACTATATCCATACTTTTGAAGATAAGATACATAACAAGAATATAATAGCTGAAATTTGCAGAAAAAAATTAATTTAATTTTCAATAAAACAATACGTTTCGGTTGACACATCTGTTCGGGACCAAAGGATCCAGATTATCAGTTGACGAAATGTATGAATTTGATCCAGGTATCATCTGAGCACCGATTTGGGCCACAAGCAGAATAACAGGAATCAACATATTTTCAGTTATTACAATCTGGAAGAACATTGATAATATAACCATTTGAATATTCACAATTCAATAAAATCTTTAGCGATATCATGTATTTGGGGAACACAATAAAACGGAAGACTTCTAAATATTTCTTGAATACAGTGTTCGAGAAAACTTCGAAATTGTTTCGTCTTTTAGTCATAGAAATTGAATGGAATAATTGAAAAGGAAATATTGGAAAATGTCAAACAAACATGACTAATCGGCACGTTCACAACACATTGGCGATTCGGGAATGTAATGATTTAAAAACCTGAGTTCGAAACTATTAATCGGTTTTTTTTGTTCCAAAAGGTAAAACCGGCAACACGCTTAATCCAAGTGAACGTGTGTGCGCAAAGATGATTCATTTTATTATGATTCGTCTATTTGTGTGCATCACTATACAGGGTGTCATTTAAGTTCCCGCACAACTTTGAAGACGTATATTTCTGAAACTAAAAGTCCAAATCAAACGAGACTCGAAATATTTTTTATCTATAGTATAACAAATATTTATCTATAAACTCTTTTTGATTCGGTCTCCTTTCGCAGCTATGACTTCACGGAGACGCTTCGGGTAGGATGTGACTGTGGTACGCAGGTATTCGATGGAAAGATTGTCCCATTCCACCAGTAATGTCTTCTTCAGAGCCTCTATACTTGAGTGGGGTTTTGCGTTGACCTTCTCCTGCAAGAGCCCATCACGGAAAAGTCAAGCGGGTTCAGGTCTGGGGAGAAATCAGGCCATTCGGATGACTTGATGAAGTCGGGAAAATGGGTCTGGCACCACTCCTGAGTAGTTTTGGCAGTGTGGGCGGGTGCTCCGTCCTGTTAAAAAACCTATTTCTGCCCACCGAAATGCGTTTTGGCCCAGGGTATCACATGCTTCTCCAAAATGTCCCGAACGTAGACTTCTTTGTTCACTTTCACCCCCTGATCCGCGAAAACCAGGGAGCACTTCCCGGTTGAGCAGATGGCACCGAAAACCATCACACTGGCAGGATGTGAGGCTGGATGATATGTTCTTCCTTTCTCAGAAGCTTGCTGGGATGTCTGGGCAAGTACTCGATGGTTTTGTGAGTTGAATGCCGCCTCCACAGTGAACAGCTTCTCATCGGAGAAGACAGTGACGAGGTGTTCTCCAGACCGCGTGCGAGCAAGAAGTCGTTTTGCTTTTTCGAAGCGTCTCTACTTGTTGGCGGCCGATAGAATTGCCGCTTTTTGGACACGATATGGGGTCAGTCCAAGCTTCGTTTTGACGATTTGTTCCAAAGCGAAAATGCTCATTCCCACGTCTGACGCCATCTTTCTCATGCTCCTGTGTGGGTTTCGCCTGATCTTCGATTTAACGGCGTTGAACTTCTGAGGAGTGGTTACCGAGACGAGTCTTCCTTATCTGGGACGGTCACTGGTCGTATTTAGTTCCTTGAAACGTTAGATGATGTCGTAAACCGTTCTAAGAGGCACACCGAGGCGTTGAATGATGTCTCTCAGGCTCACATTTTGCTTATGAAGTTCGATAATGGAAGCGCAATGGATGTTAGCCTTCGCCATTTCTCGGAAACACATCCGAATGAGGTAAAACTTGGAAAGTAAGTAAAATATACCTTATTTAACAAAAATAAATTGTATTGGTGCACGAAAAGTGCGACAGCCAAGCTCTTCATGGCGTCAAACTTTTGTGCGGGAACTTAAATGACACCCTGTACATGGTAATGCAAACATGTCACAACACAGTGAAATAATGCGTACAGCGAAAAAAAAATTTTTCAAGTGAGGAGGTCAACAAATTTATGAGTCAGTAATTCGAAATTGTTCAATTTTGAGGGCAAAATTAAATTATTTAATCAACTTCCAGCGATGTGTATCGAGTTTCTTCACAAGATCTTCCTCTTTCTCACGGAAGGAATAGATCGCATTACCATACCTGAATGGAATAATTGAATTTTCGTTTCGAGCTCTTAAGTTTTACCTGCTCGATTCGAGATCATACATAAACTGCTCACTCTGAATCATGTATCGCTTATTTGTTACATTTGGTCGATAACGAGCGGCTTAAGATATTTTTCTTCCATTTTTTTTCAAAAAATTTATTGTCGTAGACGGACGAATTTGAGAAATTTGAATTTCGCGGGCTGCCATTTAATTGGTCCCACAAAACAAAATCAGCTCATTCTCTTTTTTTCCATACGAGAACAAGGCAAAGGCGACAATTAAAACAATAGAGCAATCGCACCATAAATTCGTCCGTCGTCGACTATACTCACTAAGTAAATCTAGTCCAATAACTGGATCAATTTCGTGATCATCTGGTGTGGGAGCCCATGGATTGTCAGCTGAGTATAAATTTGTTTCTTTCAAGTTTGTCTGAAAATTATTATTATTTTTTAAATTCGAATTTAGATGAACTGCAAAACTAGTTTCCATTCAATTAATTAATAATAACTTGAAACTTTTTGCATAACAAGATTCATTTGAGATTTGCCTGTTTTCGATAAGATTTTACTACTGATGCTCACCGTGGGGGCTCCATAAGAGTTGATTGCTGGTTGTCCAGGTGCATACGAGCTAAATGAACTACGCTAAAAATCAGAAAATTAAGAAAAATGAGTTTCAATAGTAAAAACATACTCCATTATCCTCTTTTCTTCGACCATCCGCTTGGAATTTATTAGCACGATCTGCTCGTTCTCCTCGTGGTCCTGCTAACCGTAGTTGAATTCGCATTGAGTGAACTTTTGTTCGATGCATTTCAACCTGCATTTGACTTTTTCTTTAATTTAGAGTGATTTTAGAATCTTACCAAAGCCATTTGCTGGTCGGTTTGATCTCCAAACCTTACAAAACCGCAGCCTTTTGTCGTTCCATCGGCGAATCGAAACATTTTTGCACCGCGACAGGAAATATACTTATCAAAAATTCTGTACAGTTCGGCGTCTGTCAAATCAGTCGGTAAATTGGAAACATGAAGATTGAATTCGCTATTTCTAAAAAATAAAAAAACTTTTAAAAATATTAAAAAAGATGTGGTTAACATACGGATTATAACTGTCATTAGAAAAACATAAATTGAAACGATGTTTCCCTTTCACTCCAGGAATTCGATTTCCGTTTAAATTGTACAACGCGTTTCTAGCTTCTGGATTTGACGTGTATTCGATGAAACAATAGCCTTGTCGTTCTCCTTTCAGTTCAACACGTTTAACCTTATATGGTGGATGACCTGCTTCCTAAAATTATCATTTTCCATAACAAAATGAACTAAAAATAAATTATTATTACAGTAAAAATTTCGGCAATTTTCTCCTCAGTCCAATCTAATGGCACGTCTCCTATCCACAATGTCCGTTGAGCATTATTTCCAGAAAGAGCAATTGCTGGTGGATCTCCCGGCTTTGGCAACACTAAAATTCAAACTTTTTTTTTCATTTAACAAACGATTGGATAAATAATAGTTTATTTCCGAACATACCTTGTGAAGGGTTTGTTGTGCTCGTCGTGGCCATTAATCTGCCTCGTTCTGAACTCGAAATTGAATATTAATTAGATTTCAGATATTAAACGTTGCAGTTAAATGAAACAGGTTACAACTGATGGACCCATTCATGCAATAAAAATGTAAAACAATACGCATTTTCCAACGCAGTAATGTAAAAAAAATGCCCATAAAATGTAATTTTTCCATTTTTAATGGGTTCATAGTTTTTTTCTCATGTTGTGAGCTATAAAAATGTTCAAAAGTTGTATGCACAGAAAATTAAATCTACGTGGTGTGCAAACACCGAATCTGCATTCAACTCGGTGTACAAGGTATCGTGTCCCCGCGCCAGAGTTACGACCCGACATGTATAGAGAACAAAGACTTGCAAAGTAAATAGGTGTTTAATTCTCTTAAATGTTATTTTGGTTTTTTAAATATTTGATGAATTGATTTGGTTGTTTAAATTTCTCTTACCGAAATGGTTTAGGAATAATTAAAAAACGGCAAAAAATTCTTTTTTTTTTGTAATAAATACAATCCTAGGGCATAATTCGTGGATTAAAACGTATTTATTTAATAAAAATAAAAATGAAATTTTTAGCCAACGCTAGTGGGAGCCGAGATTTTGCTAGTTTTCGATTTTTTCATTGAATTCTTCGAATTTGGAAGGGTACTCTGCAAAACAATCTAACATGCGTTTGGAATAAAACGAATTAAGCAATCAATTACCACATTATTTGGAGAAATTTGGTTAGTCGGTGTCAGCATATTAATCGTTGTTGGTGAAATTTGAGAAACATTTCGCGTATTTGGCGACGTCACTTCCAGTTGCGGATTAGTTCCTTTCATTTGTTTCAATTTCTCAGTGTCCTTCTGGAATTTCTCCTGACGACGAAGCTGAAAGAAGGAAAATTTAACATACAACAATATCGGATAATAATAAAGACACTAATATTTAACTCACATAATCCTTGACAAGACTTTTTGATTTCTCCGTATATACAAGGCAATCGAATAGAAGATACATGAACACCAAAAAGAAGAAAAGACCAATAAGGAATATTCGTAATTGGTTGAATTTCAGAGATCGCGGCTCAACACTATTATCCTCGTATTCATTATAATCATAATGAAGATCGAATATCGGCTGTGAAAGCAAAAAATCGTTGATGTGATAGTCGCTTTTCGAAAGAGTTATCAAATCCGATAATTCGGTGTCGTTGTACAAGTCGGACATTAGACACATCGCGTCAGTGATGAAACGTGGACTATAAATAATGTATCTTAAATTTTTACCCTGTTGAACTTACATTTCCTCAGATTTTCTTGGATCATTCATTCCTTTGAAAACGTTTATATGCAGAAGAACTTGCTGAATTGAATTGTTTTAAAAATATAACTAATCAGTAATACATCTTCTAATAAATTAATTCTCAACTTATTTGAATTTAGCAATTCAAAGTTCTGCCATGGTCCCTTAAGTGTTATAACCGGCTGGTTCCGATTTTTGTTTCGAAGAAATATGAGATTTCGCAATGGAATTTCCTTTATATTATAACGATTTTCAATAACAATTCCAGCGTGAATCTCTTCAATTCTGCCGAAAATTGCCAAAACTGCAATCAGATTATGAAGCGAATGATGAATAATGGAACAATTGCAACCGTCTGTTATGTCGGAGTCGATGAATACTGTTCCATCATAAATAATTGTACATTCATTGCCGAAAACTAATTCTTTACTAGTGCAATCTAGAAATCGAGTGTGAATTGAAATTGTGGAAATTTGAATTGAATTCTCACATTTTGCCGATTTACATATAGTTATCAAATTCTGAATATTATCGTATTAATTTAGCAAAGGCATCACTCACGAAAATTGAAAACAAGAATACTGAATTCTTCATTTTTGAAAAATAAAATGGGAAATTTTTTGAAGCATTTTTACGTTCATTTAAAGACAAAAAAATAAAGAATTTATAAGTGGTAGTCGTTCGGTTGCCACGAGAATCAGCTGCAAAATCTCGCATTTCAAATCGCAAAAAATTGAATTACCGCATCGAAAACATTTATAACTTTCGCAATGATAAAGGGCGCTCGCTTTTTTCTCTAGTAATTTTTGAAATAAAAAATTTGTTAAAGGCTTCAAAGACGGAAAATCATCTGACAAGTGAGCTCTGCTAAATGCGATTCCGGCAGTTCGGAAGAATAGAATAACCATTCGATAGTGTTAATCGTTTGGTCCAGCCGAGAAGCGGTTTGAAAAAAAAAAACAATAATAGGTAGACTATATCAATTAACGTATTTATTACACTTTTCGAAGATTATCAAGTCTTCTTTTTGCCCATTATATTATCACTTTGAGTTTGAGCCAATGATTTATCGCTGTCATTATTGAGAAGCTTTGAAAGCATGTTTTCTTGAGTTGCAATTAAATCTTTGTTATATCCATGTGTCGCTCTGGGCAGAGTTTTTCTGAAATTTTTGCAGCTTATTTTTTAAACATACGAAGATCTCAGCAGAAGCGTCGGACGAAATAGTTGTTTTTTTTTCTCGATTTAGGCGTACATAGGTTCGCCATTTCGAGGAAAAAAGAAACAAATTTACTCTACATTTTTTGCCAACACCGTTTCGCCCGATGATGTTTTTGTCGCTTGAAAAAATTGAGTGAAAGCGGTCTTCTCGCGATGCATTTGGATGTGCGCCTTTAGCCTATTGTTTTATTTAGTCCGTAAATCTACACATTCAGTTTTATAACCCTTCAAACATATTCTCTGGTGTTTTGTAGAGAAAAATCGAAGCATGAGATAGTTTGTATGTGAACACTCGATTTCAAGATTTGAATGAAACAATTCTCCGCTTACTGGCTTTCAGTTTTCATCAACTTCGGCTCAACTTTCGGAGTTGATTTAACATCACTTTTTTCTTCCGTTTTATTATTGTTCGAGGAATTTGTAATTAAAACTTGTTTCCCACTCTGAATCAACTCATTTTTTTCTGAAATCAACTTTGCGAATACATTGTTATTGGGCTGTGCAAGACCGGCAGTCTTATCGCCATTTTTGCTAGCTTTGCATCCAACTATTGTATAGCCTAAATAGTCTTTTCATGGAAATTCGAATACATTCTCACATATAAACATTATGGTCGAAAGAATGAATATAATAAAATCGAAATTCCATGATTTCATAGTAACTGTAACTAACAAAAATCGAATAAAATCGTGCCGACGCGAAACTGCTACCTGAGAATGCATAAAAATGATTTTTTAAACAAAAATATCCTTTTAGAAATGATTTTAAATTAGCGATTGACGTGAAAAATGAATATAATCATGAAGTATACTATATTTTATATACTATAATGTTATATACTTTTACACTATATTATATATTATATTGAGATTTCGCTTACATTGATGAGATCATCAATAATTTTTGGCCCTATGACGAAAAAATTTTTGAATCGGAGAAGAAGATTTTCATTTGCGAGATGTATTACAAGTTGATAAAATCAATTAAAAAAAGACATTTGGGGTAGATAGTCAGAAAGGAATGAAACTCACGTTACCCGTTGCAGTTTCAGTAAAAGGGTTAAATAAATATAAAATTATTCCGATAAATTATTGTTGTTGTTGTTGTTGTGTTGATTACTTGTTGGCGGCAAGGATTGGAATAAATTGAATGAGAGTTGCGCCTTTTCGGCCCGATTGTTCAATTGGACACGTTTGGAGCGGAAATCGTCTTGCACGGTGACATGGACTCCTGGAGAGAAGATTAGCGACATCATGATATTATCGATTTGCGCAGGTTCCAGCAACAGACCGAAATCCCAATCGATGGGTACCGAACTGGTTTGAGCGGTTGCTGTCTGAAATGGTTTCCTCGATGTTTCCCAATAAAGAAATTGCAAGATACCGTTAGTAAACTTTTAATACCATCGATGCTCACTCTTGTCGCGCAATTGTACATCTGCACAGTCCTTGGCACCTGCTCTTTCGCTGCCCAAAAGTTCAACGTTGCGTCGGTGAGATCGCTGAGGCAACAATGAGATCTCGGCTGGATTTTGAGAGTTTCGAGATACGGTAATTCTCGAAGCACCTGTAACATGACTATTGAAACATTCAACTATTATTGCGTTCCGGTTACTTTATCGGAAACGAGCATCGAATCGAATGTGCAAAAGTCGAGGATCATATGACGGATTGACATGCGGGAAAGGAGGTCAGCAAACTGGGCGCTCGAGAGATGGATGTGGCAGAATGACAGTGAGAGCGAAGACACGTGCCTGAAACGGATGCAAGCAAATATTTGCTAGAATTTCTACTATATGTATGAATCGTCAAGCTTTTCATATGAGTGGAGTCTAGAATTACCTTAAATCGTTCCATCGTGCTGTGAGCATATTATAAAAGTCGTTGTCTAATGTGACACCATCGAAAGAAAGACGCTCGCTCATCACAACCTATAATAGTATTCATTAATTATTCGCAATATTCTTCCTCACTTTTCTCATATTCTCTTGAATGAACTCTTTTTGGTCATTCGAGCAGCCTGGATCATCCACACGTTCCACACATTTCGAACCTTTTTCTCTTTTCATTGTAACGACCAGCCGTCTGCGCTGTTTCGCGGTGAGCATGTTGCCGATTCGCAGTTTTCCGAAAGGCCTTGTCGGCGTCGTCGCCAGACGCGATTCAACGCTAAAACTCTTCATAAATTCTTTGAATTATTAGAGTCGGCATCAAGAATTTTGAATGAATTCATGGATCATGAACAATACGAATTTGCATTCGGTAAGCTGAGCAAAATCAAATTGAATGAAGGATAGGTATGATAATTAAACGTTTAAAAAAATTGTTGGGTTATATAGGCTATATAGTTAGTCATTTGATACTACTATATTTGGCTTCTTGAAGATACCCTGTGGAATTTGAAATAGTTGGTAGATGCTGAATAATTGTGGGCTTCGTCAGAAGCTGAAAATTTTTGAACGGTTACAGTCGTTAATTTTAGCAAGATACTGCAGAGACTGAATTAGAACACGTGATGTGAAAAAAGGAAATATTGTGCTTCAATGTTTTAACATAACAAAATATGCATATTTTGCCATAATTTATCAGAACCCTGCTCGTTATTTCTATTTCGAAACTTTTTTTTTTTAATTAAACAACAGCTTGTTTGTGATTTTAATGTTTTTTTTCCAAGAAATTCTAGTTGAGGCTTCTGAGGGTATTTTGCGAAAACTATAATAGATTTTATCTTTGCAGCCAATTGTTTCATCTTCTTACACACACGCAAACCTTCTATTCATTGAAATAAATAATATTAAATTACCTGAACTCTTTGACAATTGGTTTGCCAATATTGTATCGTTCGACGATGTGATTAAAACGATGATTGAGACGTTTCGCTCGTGCCACATCTCGAGGTGACGATTCCGACAAAAGACGAATGAGAATGTCATCGGGCAGATCGGAAAGTGACATTCTGCAATAAAACGATGTCGATTGTCTAATAATCAGGAATAAGAAGGAATGATTTAAAAAAACGGAATGAAGAAGATAAACGTTTCTGGGCGGAGCAGAGTATGGTGTCAATTTGTGTCCAGGTGCCCCGGAAATCAACAGTAAAGTACTTATCGGATCAACACTTGTATCAAAATAATTGGCATGGATTAGACATTGATGAGATAATTAGAGTGTCATGAGGGGAAAATATTGAAGAGTATTGAATAAACAGATAAATTCATTGCATACTATCAATTTTGTTTGGAAAAAAACAACTGTGATGGACGGCTGCCAGCTGATAATTTTCGAAATTCGTGATGACGAATTAAGTATGTAAACAAGCGCATGAAACTCAAATCAGAATTGAACAGTCAGCAGATGAAATAATTGACATTCATCAGACTTTAAGAAGTTATCTTTAAAAAAACGAGCGAATCTATCATGTTGGGAAACAAAAATGTTCTCATTTTTTTCCGGGTTTCAACATCACAAACATGACAATTACATTCATTTGATAAGGGAGAAAAGCTAGCATGTCGTTTTCTCAATTCAATCGAATAAACAAAATCTAACGAAACTGTACCACTGGTTTTTTGATGGCATAGTAAGATAGGAATAGAAGCGAAAGTAATATGGGCATATTTGATCCGTGTGGGAGAGAGGTACACATGAATGTATATTCGACGACATCAACTTCAAAAACCCATCAAAAAAATCAGATTCGAATTTATCTTGACAATTGGAATGGAGTTGTCATTCAACCGACGCACACGAAAATTTCCAACAAACTTTTTTTGATGATTGGAGTCGACCGCTTCCTCGCTGGCTGCTGCCACCTAGGGTTGCCCTTCTCAAAAATTTTGACGATGATTGAGGCCTCGTCGGAGGACTGACCGACCTTAAACTTTTTCTGGCGGTTGTATGGATGGATTTGATTGGTTTTTTGTTGCCGTGTTCCCTGTCAGTAGTGACATGAAATTTGAGAATCGAACATGTGCGAACGAACGCAAAATGATTGCATTTCACCGGATTCGAATTTGGGACAGTTTAGGGAAACAGGCATAAATTGTATATAATTTCATATTTGCAAAGAATTTGAATTTGCTATGACGATATTGATAGGTGTTTGCAAGTTATTGTCACTTCCCACCAGCACCGATTAAACGATGTTCCACGTGACCGTAATTTCATGCTGAATTTCATTTGAAATGATGAGGTAAATGATTGCGTATCATGAATTATGAAAGCTCAACAATTTCCATACAAAGTGTTATGTATTGCTGTAGTTTGAACTAGGGTTATTTAGTTAGCAGAAAACATGATGGAGTGGCTTCTCCGTTGTTATCTCATATTAGGAAGAATGATTTTGCGTCTTCCTTCCTAAATTTCTGCAGGTTATGGTAATTCTCAAGAATATCGGATAACTTAATCATGAGAATATCCGAAGGACTACAAATTAGATATTCTAGTCTAGAAAAACGCAAAGGTTGCTAGATAGAAGGAAGATGCCTATGCCGCACGTTGCCACAGACTAGGCAATTTCAAATTTAGAATTCCTGAATTAGGCAAAATGCGGGAAGAATCGAATTTTTATGGCTTCAAAAGTGATAAGTATGCAAATATGCTGTGCCACGCGCAAGTCAATTATGAGTGACAACACCGAAGGGTTTTGTGCCCCCCCCCCTCCTAATACTTGTCCCTCCGAACCTCTTCCTCCTCTTCCTCATCCTCTTCCCCCACCTCCTAGCCCTCCCTCGGTCTTTTCTCGACATCTTTTTTCCACTGTGAGGTGAAAGGGGGCACAAGAAACGAGACGTCGATTGGCGGCGACAGTTAGATATTAGCGACAAGATGGATGAAGTGCTAACGGAGATTGACAGTCCCAATGACACATGTGTGGAAAAGCAACAAAAAAGAATATTTAAGTTTTTTGAAGAAACGAACAAAAAATTGACTTATACAAATTGACAAGCCGCTTTTTTGTGCGGTGGTGAGCTCGACTAATCAGGAGAAATGAGATTCATGGAGATTATTAATGTGGAAACTGATTGGGAAATCACATGGGAATGAATGCCGCTGATGGGTAACAAACCAGAAACTAAATTTATGGGAGAACAGAAGACAAGATTAGTTTCACGCCCGATTGAACATCACGCCCGGCTGCGACGGCGACGAGGACAGTGGCCATCGGCGAGGCGGCGGTATACTGTAGAGTACAGTGACCGGAACAAATCGGAGGTCCCATCGAATTGAGGGAATCGAAAAAAGAGAGAGATGAGTATCGTATGGCGCCACATTCGTTCGTTCCATTAAAATGGGATTATTTGAATGAGCAGCTTTGCAGCGGAATATGACAAAAAAAAACATTGTGCGGACGCGGGATGGCAGATACGCAGACACGACGGCTCCGCCCACTTTGCGAGTAACAATACGGGCTCATTAGTACAGAATGGGCGGTGCGGATTTGAAGTGGAGAATTTGAATAAGAGATTTGAAGTGTTTTGAGAATTTGCAAAGAAATCTAGTGAAAAACTTATTAGTATTGTAGTAATGTCATTCAGAAGAAACCCATAAAACTTATAGGAATACGGCTGAAGCATTTCTAGACATATTGGGATGAATATCTAAATCTATTACAGTAATCTATGATTAATATCTTCAATTCGAAAGATTCTGAGAAGAGAGAATCGAATTCTCATTCTTTTAGATCTTGAGATACTATAAAATTGCTGAACTCTTTAAGAAATCAGAGTTTAGACATTTCTGATTGGTCGAGATGGAAAACAATCGGAAATCGACATGATTCCGATGGTGAAAACCAACAAGAATTTGATAAACTGTCATTGGCACGCAAAAATGTAATTATTCAATCTGAAAATACATACAATGCATTGAGGATGAGACAATTTATAAGGCGTCAGGGGGGAAAGTTGATGACAGCCCCCAGCCCCAGAGCCGAATGTCAAACAAACACAATCGACAAGCACACGTCAAAAAAGTTACCAGATTGTTTGTGTGTGTTTAAAACGTCTAGAAGGAAAGCAAAAATATGTCTGACGTGAGATGAGAAACATTTTGGAAAAATAATGCGCTCGTAAAAATTAAGTTGATAAGTATTTAGTGGACTTCCGCCATCATCCTGTAGAATTCAAGAATGAACGCGGAGGAAAACTCAATAATAGTTAAACGAGGGCAAGAAGGTAGCAAGTTGATTAGAGAGAAAAACCACATTTCATTATAGTAATGGAATGTCGGCATACTAAAAAAGGGAGAAAATGAGCTCATAAAAAGTAACACACATACACACCCCCGTCGGTCGGTTGTCATCATCAATCGGAAGATGGCAAAACTTGCGGAATTGCCTAATAAAATCTTGTGGCGGCGCGTCCTGGTGGTGTACGGTACTATCTTCATCGAAAATCTATGTTGTACCTAATTGGGTTCTCAACGGAATCGAGCCAGTCATTTGAAAATTTTGAAAACCAAGTTAACATGAGCTATGGATTAATAATGGAGCTCGAGCAAATAGAATATAAGGATTGACGTGTGGACATTCCAGATGTCCCATATAAGGTAATTAGAAACGAATTGCGCAAGTTGTCAATGTTAGTACAAATTTATGCATTGCGCAAACCGTTGTTGCGCTTGCACCGAAAATGGCAGTTTCGAAACTCGCTGGCGGTAGTCGAGCAAAGCAATAAGGGGGGTGTTGATGACCACCTGTCTGATGGCTATCACCAGCAGGTGTACTTGGGGTGTCATAATAATCAAGTGGAAATGTCGCAGCCCAAGAGTTCTTCATCAATCTCGAGTGGTTTTGGTTGTTTTGCGGAAAACCGAGTATATTGCGAGACGCGTTTGAAGTGGTCATCGGTGCTCTGTTACCATATTTGGGACGTAATTCATCATCGATTTTCGAACAATCGGCACCAATCCGGCGCCAACCTTCGGTCCCATTCAATTGCCATCTTGTCGGCATTCATCAATAGTATGCGGCGGAATCGATTTTCAATTTTTTTTACACATTTATTGCCCAGATGTTCGGCTCGAATTTCGCGCAATCCGCGGTAGCGGCGGCGTCTCCTCGAATTCGATTCTATTCCTGACGGAAAATGATGCACATAAAGTTTTTAGGTGGCATCCAGCTGGTGTCGAAAGTTAATGTCAAGAAATCGGACACCGCAATATAATTTTTCGACGGCTCCAAGATTTCGAATATTTGAGAAACATTTGAAAAAAATGCGAAAAATTGCTGATACGATCCCATAAACCGAGAAGAATGTAAACTTATCATAATATATTAGAACACAGTGGCCCATAATCTGAAAATCTTTCTAAACATATTCTTCTTTATTTTCTTTCTGCGAGACCAAACTAATGAAATTTTAAATAGAAACTTCACGATTATCACAATTTTGCTTTTTTAGTAATGGATTTCGAAATGTTCGAGGTTTTAAACGATGTTTTAAAGAAACCCTGTTTCCAAACATTACGCAATTCTAAAGTTGTCTGGTAAGTGTAAATTCAAAGATTAGTCAAATTTATTGATTTAGACGTCACTGTAAAACAAGATAACAGAATATAGAATTTAAATTACCATTTAAAGCGGAAAATCAGAAAAAAAAGAGGTTTTGAGGAGTATTTAATTCAATTAAAACCGAATGTCTGAAGGGCGGGTGTTCGAGAAAACAATGGGAAGGTCGAATTGTAATTAAAACTCCGCTCTTTTTTTATTATTCCACCTCTCGTGAGGTACAATGTTTTTATCCCGGTCACCTTAATTTCACAACCTCAAGTTTTAATTGAAATTGAAAATTTATATGTGCACTCCCGGCTGACGCAGTGGTTTCCCACTGTGTTGTGGCGCAATACACGCCGCAGAAGGAAAAAAGGGGCGCCGGGTCGTTGACGGTGTGGTTTATTGCGCCGGATTATTGACCTGGGAATAACTTTAAGAAGTGGATTAGATGGATTGGTCGGAAGAACGAGGTTTTATGAGATCCGAGAAGAAAATGATTATTTATTTTATTGAATTACGCTAAATTTATGCGCTCAAAACTTGCATGACATCCAATTAACTCCCGATTTGAAATAAAATTTTTTATTATTGATGATTTCAAAGGCTTTAAATTTCTCTAAACATTTCAAGGTACAAAATACAACAAGATGACTCAAAAGATGAAAAAAATTAAGATGTACTGTAGACACCTCTAAGGAACATATGAAGAAACAGTTAAAATTTCCCAAGACGAACAGTACGGTTCCATTAAAAAATTTTTTTGTTCGCTGGAAAAATTAATCCAATTTTCTCGCGATATTTTTGTTTTCAGGCAAATCGTGTCGAATTTTTTTGAAACTATGGCAAAAAAACAGAGCGCATTAGTGTTCTTTTGGCGCAACTGTCTAACTGCTTAGCCTTTTTTACGGTCACATCTCGGGAAAACGCGAATGTTATTTTTTCTCTGTCAGTGTTTCTCCAAAAATTCACCATTCAAAGCATTAAACAAATTCTATAAAGCAATAAAAACCGAACATTCCCAACAGTGCCGTAGAAACGGTGGTGAGTAGAGAGTTTGATAGCCTGTGTGCTTTTGAGAGGCGGAGAAAATTCTTTTCACTATCAATTCTCCGAATATTATTTATATGGTTCTATTAATTAATGTAGTTTTTACAAAAATACCCATTTTTTCTATGCAGGGTTGTAAAAATGCACATTAAATGTAATATTTCACATGTTTTGGAAAAAATTATATTTCACGAATAGGACCATTAGAACAACGAACTCTTTTACATGATTTCAATATGATGCTGCTATTTTCAGGTTTAGATTATTCGAATATTTTTTTAAATTATGCTATTTTTCCGCCTCTTGTTTACTAAATATTCCAAACCGTGCCATAAAAAATAGAAAACGAAATTATTCACATTAAAATAATTTTATCACAATCATTCATCCCTTACAATATCAGTTTCACCATGGAATATCTGGTTTTGCAACAAAAACTTTTGTTTAAATTTATAATACGCAATTTGATATCATTCCTATGTAAAATAAACACGTTTTCGTGTCATCTCTTTAATTTTGATGACACGTCCTCAAAATAATATTTCTAATTGAAAAATTCCAATAACTATCCATATTCCTTAAAAGGGTATTTGAATAAGATGAGAACCGTCAGTTGCGGCGCGTGTTTGCGACGCGGCTCCATCTGTCCTCTCATCAGCCTCTGGTTTGCCCGCGCGGCGACGGCGCGGAATTTTGCAAAATGTCCAGTTTTTCGCAAGCTTTCTTGATTTGTCATTATTCTTCTATTGATTTTCTCATTTTAGGGTACTTTTATAAAGGTGAAAAATGTCTGATCCGGTGGCCGATTTCCTAGCTCGCGAACAAAACATGTTTGCCGATTTTGACGGAGCTCCGCCAGCTGAAGCTCCAGCTGTTGCTGCACCAGTTGGAGATGATTTCGGAGATCTTCAGGTGATTTTTAATGTTTTAATTTTTCTCGTATTCCTACTATGGATATCATTTTTCTTAATAAAATTATAATTACGAAACCGCATTACTTTTACATTTTTATGAAATTTCTATTGACATGCTAATTGAATTTTTTTTTTAATTTTAAAAAACCACACAATTAACCTTCTTGCAATTTCCAGGCTGCTGTTGCCGATGTTCCAGCACACACTGATTCAGGTGTTGATCTGAGCGCTTTCGCCGAAGATGCTCCAGTTGTTGATATTCCAGCTGTTGTTGCTCCACAACCAGAAGGTATTCGATTTATTTTTGTCGAGATTGTTCATTTTCTAACCTTCAGAGCCACTGGTCAATGGAAATCACGGAAGCATTGCGTCTCGTGGAAGCTCAAAAGGACCATCGCCGGTTCTTTCGACTGTACCGAAAATCGAAGCCGAAAACATTCGATTATGGAAGGAACAACAAAAGAAGATCCTTGAGGAAAAGGGTTAATTCAGTCATTTGTAATTCTTTAATGTTTTGATTTTTTTAGATGCTCTCGAAGAGAAGAAGAAAGAGGAATTGCGAGCGAATGCCAAGAAGGAACTTGAAGATTGGTATAAGCAACGCGAGAAGACTCTTTCTTTGATTCATGAAGAGAACTTGTTAGTTTTTTAAACGATAGAGTTATCGATATTTAAAACTGAAAGGATTTCAAAAAATAGCTCTCAATCATGAAGAACAATTCACAGAACGTTACTCCTAAAAAAATTTTTGCTAAGAAATGTAGCGATGAATGCTGGAGTTCATAAAAATTGATCGTGTTTGAGTGAATTGTTGCAGGAAAAACGAGAAAGCGAACCAAGAAATGTTCGTCAAGCAGCAAGACGGTGAAGCCCAATGGGAAACTGTTAACAAGCTGATCGACCAACAAAAGACGAAGAGTGGAAAGGATTTGGGAAGACTGAAGACTCTTCTTGCGGGATTGAAGCACATGAATGTGTCGAAGTAAAAACCGAATGAGTGAACTTGTTGAATTGGTTGCATAGTTTATTGATACGTTCTTTTCTTTTTCCCCTTCTTTTCATTAAACCAGCGGGCTATTTATCATCATTGCTTGAATTAGCCATCCTCTGATTTGATTTGTATATTTGCCAACAGTTCCATTCAAATAATTGTGTGAATTGGTTGTCATCATTTATTTATTCAGAATTATAACATTTATTTATTGTCTGTTTTATCATTCATCCGTCCCCATTGTGCAACATAACCCGTCGTTACCCAATTTCGTTGTGATATGTAGAAAATTGTGAGTGAATAAATTTTGCTTACTGAATTTCTTATTTTTGGTTGATTAAAGCGTAGTAAGTCGCTTGATCGTATTCTTGCTAGATGTTGTGTTGTGATTGTGTTGCTAAATATTCCAAAAAAAAAAGAAAATTGTAAATATGTTTTGTCAAAAGCCCATCACAGCCAATATCTAGCATTTTTTCAGGAAATGGATCAAGCATCAACATCTGTTCCTGGTAATTTGAAAATGGCACTGTTAAAAATAAACAGTCGAATGTTTGCTAGGGAATGAAGAATTGTTGGAGCTCGTTGAAAAACAAGACGATGTCGTCGCAATTCTTCAGATTCAACTTGAAACTTGTATGGAAGAAATGAAAAAATTGGCAGAACGGTGTCGGGAGTTGGTTCGTACTTTTTCTTATATTTAATTTTCATTTTATTGCATTTTCTTAGGAATTGAAAGAAAAAAATAATGGGCAAATCGAGGAAGAGAAGCTAAAAGAATTGAACGATAATATAGAGAAATTGAAATTTGAGAATGAGCGACTTCGTGACGAAAATCGAATCACGAGAACTGAAGATTCTAATGTTTTAAAAATGGCGTCGTTTGTGGAATTACAGCTTAAATGCAAAGAGGTTTGTAGAGAATATGCGAGAAAATTGTTTAGACGAAATTATTTCGAAAACGTCTGCAAATCGATTAATAACCCAATTTTTAGTTGGAATATGAAGTAGAACGCGAGAAATTAGCGACGAAATCGCTGAATTTTCAATTGGAACTCGAAAAATCTGTGAATTCGCAGGTAACAATTCGATTACTTTTAAAAATAGTGGTTCAACATTATTAAAACACTCTTTAAAATTGGTTATATTCAGATTCGAACAGAATTAGAAAGTTTGCAAAATCAAATTGCTACTAAAGAGGAACATATCAATGTGAAAACGGAAATGTTAGAAAAAGAAATGAATAATTGGAAAATGAAATATGAAGGTTTGTTCATGATTTGAACAGTAAAAATAAATATTGTTTGGGATTAGAATTATCAGCGAAAACAAAGGCTGAGATTGCGGAATTGAAAGAACAGGTTTCCTTATGTGAATCGAGAGAAAAATTGGTCGAACAGCATATCAAGTAAGTAATTTTAGGTCTACTTAAGTGCATTAATTTTTCTTAGAAAAGCCTATGATGAAAGTTTGGCGCTGAAACGAGAAAAATCTACAGCACACGCAAGAATTGAAACTTTGGTCGAAGAGAACGCATCATTGCGAGCTAAGGTATCAATACAAAAATAACCAAAGAACACTAAAAAGTTTGGTTTTTCAGATTTTGCGTTTTCCGAAATGTGCAGATTCGGTTCAGTCGGAAAATGAGATCAAAGGTAAGAATTTTAAAGTTTATGGAGTAATTTAAACAATTAATTTTCAGATTTGAAGTGTCTCTTGAACGATCAAAGTCATTTGATTGCTGCTTTAAGAGAAGAGACAAAACTTCTCGCCAAAAAACTTGAAAATGATACCAGAGAAAACAAGTAAAAAAATGTCTCATAATACTAACCTGTTTATATTTATTTTCAGATCGATCATTAAAGGTTTAAAGAGGGAAAACAAACAGCTCGAGGAAAGACTCCAAAATTTGCTCAATGTTTAGAATATTTGTGAAATTTCGTGACCTTGTCTTTCATTTATCAAATTGTTTCACGTGGCTTTATTTCTTTTAAACTCAAATGGTTTAACATGAATTTATTCAATATTAATTATAAGTTATGGTATGTCGTGCATTTAATACATAGTTATTAACTCTAACTGCAGTTCCATGGAACCCAAATTTATTTTACACTGAATATTTAAAAAATATATTAATTTTTTATCCCACAATTAAGAAAAAAACGCGTGGGTAACTTTTTGGTAATCATTTTTCGGCAATCATTAAAGATTTACGAAAATAATAATTGTTTAAAGGCTCATACCGCGCACTAACAAATTGTAAGATTTCTCTCTTATTTTTTGGCGTTTATCCAATTTTCCTCAATCGCGCGACTTCTACAATAAATAGGACTTTCAAAAAGTGTTTGGAAGAAATTTTTCCAAAAATTTTACAAAACAAACAATTATTTCATTAAAAGGAAGCTAAGAGTATTGCAATGCTGGTCGTGTAAGAAATTCTTCAAAAATTATTACGGAATTTTAAAGGTACATTAAAATTTCGAGTTTTTTGGATATAACAAAATGGTTTATGCAAATCAATATTATTGAATGATTGTGTGCTTCTGAAAAAGGCGGATATCAAAACAAAAGACGCAACATCGTTTTATTTTCTGTAATCAACTACATAAATATTTGTTTCATTTGTTTGAATTTCGCGATTTAACTCTGTTCATTTCCAATTTTCATAAAGAATTCCTAATATTCAAATATAAGAAATTAAACGATATAAAATTCGAGACAATCAGGACAATTTGTGAAGTATTTAAAATGCGGAAATACTTTTGGATAATTTGAAGGCGCTCTCAATTTTTGCGATGGTTCCCGCAGCGACCAATTCTGGGAGCTGTTTTTTTTTTCAGAATGAGCCTACACTAAATTTCGAAATTAAAGGATTTTGCGAATAATCTCACTGGTTCAAGGACTGATACTCTCGTTCCTATATGTTCTATCGCAGCCTCCCGACGACATCACATCAAACAGGTTAGAGAAGAGACGAGAAAGGCAGACGCTCTAGTTATACAGCAGAGAGCAGACACGAATCGTGTGCCTCTATAGCTCAGTGGCAGAGCGTCTGTCTCGTAAACAGAAGGTCGGCGGTTCAATCCCGCCTGGAGGCAACCTTTTATCGTTTTTGTTTTCAGGAACCCCCATGATACTACGCGTTTTGTTGTATGTGTTCATATGTTGATTACCCTTTCGTTGTTCGCGAAAATGATGACGAATTTTGAAATTACACCGAATATGGTGGCATTTTCGTTTTATCAATTCTGTGCGTCAATAGCGATGTGGTTGATTAACTACTATGATCATAATGATTCTGAAGGTATGATCATACGATCGGCATCAAAGTTCAAGTTTTGCCAGATATTCCATATAACAACAAAATTGCGAATTATTCTGTTATATTAGTATCATTTAATCTTGTTAATTTTCTTCTTTACTGGTGTCATGTTTATACTCGTAATATGCATGTATGACGGTTTCATTTCTTTTTTTTGCTGTGCGAGAAGCCGTTTATTGTTCTACAAATACTATGCGAATAAATAATACAATTTTTTCGAAAAGTATTGGTGGGTGTGGCGATGGCGGTGGTTGGGGCCACTTACAAATGACACATGAGTGTTGAGAAGACGAGTCCCCAGAAGAAGAACGGAGAAGCGATGTCAGAGTTCGACGACATTCGTCAGCGAAACTATTGACGAACGCTTGTCCATTCTAAATCAGGACGACGTCAGGAAGCATAGTGTACAACTACATAAATAGAAAGTAAAATAGACGGGGAGTGGGCGCAAAACAACTCAGAAATAGGACCGCTCATTCCTCCGGACGGCGCAGCGACACTTGTCAATACAAAAAAGAAGAAGAAGAACGACGAAAAAAACTGGAGAGCTCAATTACAATAAATTTTGATGAATGCGAAAAGTGACAGAGGTGAACATTGCGAACGTCTAGTGCAAAAACCCGTGTGCGCGGTGAACGGGCGGTACGAATTTCAACTGTTTCATTTGAAGAAAAAAAAGGGGGGAAGGGGATTGGAGACGTCAGAAAGACGGATACAGCATCGGGTGTTATCCAGAAGGGTTTCTTTTTTTTTCAAGGACGGGGGGAGGGAATGGGGATAGGAAAGACAGGCGGCTCGAACCGCGCTATGATGATCAGTTGAGACCAGTGTATTTGTCAGAAGATGGGGAGTTGGAGGGGGAGGGGAGAGGAGTTGCAATTTGGGGAAGATAGTCGAAGCAAAGCAAAAGAAGTGGACCCAGGATTGTCGAACACGTCGTCGTCGGAATTACATGAATTGTATGGGTGTGCTTTTTGGAATCGCTACGTCACTTCTATTAGGCGAAAAAGGATGATGGTGTCGGATGCCAGCAGCAGCATTGGAAAAACTAGGATGTTGTTGGCGAAAACTACGTGGTCTATAAATACGGTCCAACGGGTAGTGTGAGCGGTGCCTTCGAATTGACTCCCTGAAAGTGCAATCATGAATGCAAACAAATCGTTTGAAATGTAAATATTACTCACCTCGTGGGAAGCTCATCTGTCTTTGAACTAAAACGCTTCGATGTTAACATGATTATGGTTGAGGACAGCGTTCGGTTTCTTCGTCGATGACACTTCACAAAACCATTTTGACCCAAGTGCTGAGGACCGGCTTACATGTCCTGCAAAATGAACTGTATTGAAAATCGATATCGGAAAGGGAAAAGTGCATAGGAAAGGCGCGCGCTCGTACGCGGCGGCAGCGGCGGCGGTGGCGGACCGGTTTCAAAGCGCAGCAGCAATGCGATCAGGTGATCGAAACGAGACGAAGAAAATGAGTGAAAGAAAGAATCAGCTGCGGCGACGGCGGCGGCGGCCGTCGGGCGCGCCGGACGGACGGAAATGTAGGAGAAGGATGAATGGAAAAAGGGGCGGGCGAGGAGCGACAAAAATAAGGGAATGTGTTGAGTCAGCGGCTGCGGCGGCGGCGGCGGCGGCAGCGGAGGCACCGCCTCCGGCTACTACTGAACCCATCGATTCGGTTGGCATTGCGCCAACGAGAGACGCAGACGAACGCAATTCCAGAAGAAACCTCCCATTCCTCGTTGCCCTCCACCGATTCCGCGCTGCTTTCACTCGCCACTTTCACTATAGCTCGAGGCAAAAACCACGCCCCATTTTTCACTATACGACGACTCTCCGCTGAGACACACACACATACATACACACACACACACACACATGCGCACAATGAAAGCAAAAACGCAGCAGCGATCTTTCGAAATTTATGCAGAATGAGAGGCGCTCGACGACGAGACAACCATCTCGCTGAGTGTGTATACGTTTTTGCATCGACGATGACTATGATGAAGCTGGTGTGTGGGAAGAAGGGAAAAATGATTAATAACTTTGTTCGTAGTGTTAAATCACATAAATGAGTTTTTAGCGTGCGTTGAGTCGGAATTCTGAGCTCGACGGAAAATGCGAGAAATTCGAGGTTTTCCCACAAACTTGGCACCAAGCCGACAAATTAAGTTTTGATTGGAGGTAAAAACTAAATGAAAACTGATTTGGAATGACTCATCGTGCTCTTCAATATCCCGTCTTGATAGAATTGTATTGAAAATATGAAATCGTGTAGAACGAAATTGTTCGTTTTCTTCTTCTTTTTCTTCTAGTAATACATTCAATTCATTGAATTGAAAAATGGGGTTTTTATCAATGAAATGAAAATATTGTTACGACATTTCCGCCAATAAATCATTCGTCTATGAAACGGACAGTTATTTAAACAAAAAAAGCGGGTTTGAATGGCAATGAAGATTTTCATGTTTAAAACTAATCTCATTTTATGATATTTACACAAATAAATGTGAATTGAATTGATGGTTATAAATCAGCGAAAAACTCGATAACATTCGAGTCTTAGTAAAAGTTTTTTACTGGAAATTCACGATACAGTTCCTGTGCTTGAGATTCAAATTGATGTGAAGAAACAGATTCGTGAATTTTTGAGGATGTCACAGAGTTTCCTTATTAGCATATTCCATTCATAATATTAAAATGTTCCTTTATTGCGAGAATTCTAATTTAGAATTCAAGAGGCACTGGATAAGCCAATTCCATGAAGACGATGAGAATGACGTGCAATTCCGGAGAAATCGTCGAGTGTTTCGATTGGTTTCGAAAATAATCAGCTCTTTCGTCGTCGACGTCGACGTCGTCGTTTTCCCTTTTTTCTTTCTTTTCGGTCATCCTTCAGAAAACTTAATTGGTTTTGTTGGTCGCAGACGAGCGGAGCGCGCGCTGTGCGCAATCGACGGCGTGCTTCTCCTCGACATACACCCTCGTCCGCGAAAGCGCATCGAAACCAAAACTTTGTGTGCACTTTCACTTGTTTCGCAGAAACATTCGCCAGTCTACCCCACATCGCCAGCTTTCCCTTATTGCACTTTTATGGATAAGCGAGGGAGAAGACGCATAGGCACTGTCGTCATTCCCGTTGAAGGAGATGAAGGATTGCAGAAGTGAATGAGAGAGAGAGAGAGAGAATCAAAACGAAAGGGAAACGCGACGTGAGCACAATTTTTTGCTCACGTCGACTACGTCAATTCGAGACCGATTCTCGTCGAATGTGCCATTTAAGAGTGCAATACATACACGGGACGACAAAGGAAAACGACAATTGGAATCCATGAGCATTTCCTTTTTCCCTTCAACCCTTATAATGCATGTATACGAAATTAGCGGATGCTTGCTTACATATGTATGTTAATGAATTGAAAACATTCGACATTTATGAAGAATTGATGACTCAACAGCTCAAACATCAACGATCTTCAAATCTTCAAATTTTCAGAGACGCGGTAAACAGATTTTGAAGGGATAACTATGACTCAAATTTTGTTTCAAGGGGTATGAAGTCAAGAAAAACTGCTTTAGAAAGCTGCAGTCTTGAATTCAATAAATTTCCTTTGAGAAAATGAACTTGAAACAGTTATATGGTTTAAATCCTAACAGAAATCGAAACATGACTCCCGCATAATCATTTTTTTCATGATCTTTTTCGTTTGAAATTTAAATCAGCTTCAGAATTGCCAGATTCCACCGCAATATGTCTCTTTTTTTAAAACATTTTATTGTCGTTTTAAAATTCATGGCACAATCGTAGAATCCATGAATATCTTGAGGCATTTTCGGATTTTCATCGAAAGTTTTCTTCACATAATGGCAATTCAGACACATCTGCGAAACTCCAGACAGCGTCAATAAAAGAAGCCTCAAGTTGAGCGTGGGAGTTCATTTTTAGAGCCGAGAACAATATTAAAATCAAAGAAAATTTGAGGAATTCAAATAATATTTTTCGATAATATCATCTCATCAAATCATAAATCAAATATTATTTATTTTTTAAATTATTCTCAAAATTATTAGTTACATTTCATATTTCACGCCGTCGATTGGCTATTGTTTTGCTATTTCTTCGTTTTTTTTTTTGGCGGCGTCGTGCGTAAACAAAAATAAACAGCAAAATGCAGCCAAAAAATTAATATTAATTGATGGTAAAGCGTCGCGGTGTGTCTCGTTCGGCTGTGTTTGCTCATTTGGTCGCTGGTACTCCGAAATTGAAACAACCGGACACTTCACAATGGACATATATTTACACTCAATTTCAATATATTAGAACGCGAGACGTTGACCATATCTTTGTTGCACTCTTGCCGTCATGTGGTCTTTCATCTTTCGACAACGCAACTTTTGAAATTCGGGTGGTCTCTTTGGACACGCCGATTCATTACATCATTGATTGTGGTCTTTACGACAAACGCTGTGGTTCCGAGTTTGATACGGTTCTGAAAATTGCAAATGCCCATCGAATCATTTCAACATACTTTGTCTTGCAGACAAGAAAATCTCGGAATGCAGGGATTGTGAAGAACATGACCAAAGTTGAAAATGTTGAATGTGTTGAGTATATCGATGCGAGCATATTGCACAATGTTTCCCTACCAGAAATATTCAAAACTACCACCAGCAAGCAGATTCCGATTGGACTCGCACACCAGAGAATGAGCACAGCAAACTATAAGAAGTGTCGAATTTAGAATTAATTGAGAACGCTGAACTAATTTATTGGAATTTTTGTTACCATCGCACTTTGTATATTTATGGACCATCCTAATTTTTCGTGGCGTAATTCAAATTTCGATTTATTCAAGCGTTGGGAATTCGTGTATGCTCATTTTTTTGCGAATGTAATATAATGAGTCCTCCAAGTTGGCCTTATAAGGAGTCTCTGATTATTGAATACATTCGTTTTGAATGGTTTTCAGCATCATTTGCGAAGTTCGTAATGTGTTCGAGACTTGCAACTTTCTCACCTGCGCCCACAAACACACAACAGCTGCAAAATGTTTCGCATATGTTTTCGGTGCCATGAACTTCTTATGCCCATGCAACATGTGAATGATATGAATGTGAGTAAGAATAAATAAGCAAAAGAATATCACATAGAATACTAGCATAATTGCAACGGTGCAAATAAATGAATACCCGAGATTATAAATCTCTGCATTCGTTTTAGCAATCATTAGAAGAAGACGAGGCTGCTTGAATAAAAACAAAAGTGTTGAATTTGGATGGAATCATGAATGAAAACCTCCTCGGCGATTTGCATTTTTTCTTCATTGGTCAAACGAGCGCAAAAGAAACATGTGGCGACTAAAAGTGCAGGTAAATGAAGAAAAAATTTATAACAATATAGACCGTATTTGGGAATAATATAGTGCTGAAAATTTTGTTCAGTTTGAATTTTTTTTTTAAATAATTCCAGATTGATTTTCAATTATTTTTCTGACTCATTTTCAATAATGTTCGACAATAATTGAATTTCTTTTAATAAATGAAATAATAGAAAAAAATCGAATTGAATAATTTATATATGAATGATCGGTTGGCTCGATGAAAAATTGCACAAACTTTTACAATTTCTTATAGAATTCTGCAAAAAATTTGCAGAAGACTTGCAAAAAAAATTATGAGTAAATCACGGAAATTTATTGGCAATAATCCTGCTACTGTTTAGCAGAACTCTACAAGAAATTGTCAGATCATTGCTAATAAAACCTTATATTGCAAGTACCTGTCCAATTGCAGCCACTGATTGATGTTTTTCTGTGAAACTGACTAATAATGCAGCAATTTGGGCGATCATAATAAAAAATATGAGGGTCTTAAAACGAAATATTGTGCGAAAAACATCAATAGGAAAATTTACGAATTGATAATGTGAAGAAATTCCAAACACATTCCAATAAATACCATTTGAATAAGCTAATAAAGCTGGAAATAAAACTGTTGGCTTTATAAAGAACGAAATATGACTGTCCACAAGGAAACAACAAATCTAAAATTAATTGATTTTAATTGATTTCGCTATTCTCGATACTTGATAATATAAAAGATAATATTTATAGAAACCAATATTTGTTGAATGGAAAATAATTAAGTAAAACGCCAGACTATTTAAAATGAATGACGACACTCCAGCAAAATTATAAAACCGTTGTTGTATTGTATTGTCATATTCAAAATAATCAAAGCTTGAATTATTCATGTATAGAGAAATGAAAAATGAACAACACACCCGCTGAAAACTCAATTTGATTGAATCTTAAATTAAATTACGTGATTGTGTATCGATAAAGTCACGTCTTCTATGGTAATACGAATGAGCTTGAATCAAATTCCAACGAGAATTCGAATGCAATGAGTTCGCGATTGAAAACCACACAACCACAACCGGCCGATTGCCAGAGCCTTTGTCGTATTCATAATACCAAAATTCGACCCACCGTCCCACAACGATACTCCAAACTTAAGGAGTAGACCGCATTTACAGACATTTTTCGGCATATTTCCGACCAGAAAATTACAATCACGGAAAATTTCCTGCGCATTCCTTGTCGCTATTTCACTAATGAATATTCTTAAATTCTGAGAGGTTGAGACGAAATTTTCGAAGGTCTGATTCTCGATACATCTTTTCTATGACATAAAAATATCGGCATAAAACTAACTTAAACAATTTTTTAAACAAGAGAAATGAAGACTTTAATTTAAATGAGTATCTGGGAACAATTTAAGTATTTTATATATACAGACTAGTTCAATATTTTCGACGATGCTTTGCTTTTTTTTTGATTATTGAAGACTTTCAGAGTTTTTCGCTGCACTATTTCAATTATTTTTTCAAAAATCTGTTGAAAACTGCAATTTTTATATGGAAGAAAAATGATGGCCTACAAATTTTTATATTTTTAGGCCATCATTTTTAGTGTGCGCGTCTTGCAGATAATCTGCGGACACATTGCCAATTTGGCCCCACCTAGTTATTCGAATTATTTTTTAAAATAGATATATTCCTGCCTTTCGTTACAAAAGCCCCATTTTATTGGTTATTTTCAAAACTTTTATTTTTAAACTTGCAGAATGTCATTAGACGCTCTCGAACACTTTTCCCTCGTGTCGAAGGTGTGCGGAGAGTTGGAAAATCATTTTGGACTTGCCGATAAAAATGTTGCGGAGTTTGTTATTGATTTAGCAAAAGAAAGCAAAACATTTGACAAGTTTAAAAAAACTCTCGAAGAGCAGGGACTTGGAGATCAGGTATTTTAAAATATTAATTAATCAAAACATGGTTTTCTTTTTAGTTTGATGATTCTTTGACTGCAACAATACTTAGAATTGTACAACAAATGACAAAGCCAGTGAAAAAGTCAAAAACTGGAGCGCAAATCTCTGACACACACAAAATCACTTTAATTTCTGATGCTAAGGAAGAGATTAAAGCCCGTTTACCAGCTTTGGCTATGGCAAACACTGTTAAAGTTGAAGAAAAAGAATCAGAAAACAAAGGCTCGGATTTATTAGCACAACTAGAACAGATGGAAGGCAAATGGGAGGAGCAAACGAACAAAATGAAGCAAGCTGAAAAACGAAAGCGTTCACGGAGCAGGTCACAGTCGAGGGATCGAAATAGGGATAAAAGGCGTGATAAGGGCCGTCGAGAAAGCTCAAGAGACCGTGATCGTCGCAGAAGAAGGAGTCGAAGCAGAGATCGAAGGAGTCGAAGCAGAGATCGAAGGAGTCGCAGTAGGGAACGTAGAAGTAGCAGAGAGAGAAGGAGAAACAGGTCCCGCGAAGATCGCCGCTCTCGCCACGACATTCCCGAAAATGCAGAAATCGGAAAAATCTATGATGGAACGGTCAGCAGCATTCAAAGTTTTGGGGCTTTTATCCAATTAGACGGCCTCCGTCAACGCCAAGGAGGTCTTTGTCATATTTCGCAATTGAAAAATGAACGGGTCCAATCCGTAGCTGACGTGCTGAAACGGGGACAAAAAGTGAAAGTGAAGGTAAAATTTTTTAAAAGATTGATTAAATATCGTGATAAATTTTTCAGGTGATCAGAATGGAAAATGACAAAATTTCGCTTTCGATGAAGGAGGTTGATCAGAGAACCGGTGAGGATTTGAATCCTAAGGAATCCGATCTTGCACCTGATGCTATTGGCGTTCGTGACCGTAGTCCTGGCGCTATGCCGAGCTGGATGAACCCTGAAAGTGGCCCAACTTCATCGTCATTGCCGTCGTCAAGTTCCGGCAAAACACGAGTGCGCATCTCAACTCCTGAACGATGGGAACTTCGACAAATGCAAGGCGCTGGTGTGATTTCTGCAACAGATATGCCAGATTTCGACGAGGAAATGGGAGTTCTCAAAAACTTTGATGGTGAGCTATCTTTTTTCAACCTTTCGGAATAAATTAAAAAATTTTCAGAAGAGTCGGATGGAGAAGATGTGGAAATTGAACTAGTTGAAGAAGAACCTGATTTTCTTAAAGGCTATGGAAAAGGAAATGTTGAAATTGAGCCAGTGAAAGTTGTCAAAAATCCTGATGGAAGTTTGGCTCAAGCGGCACTAATGCAGGTATTCCTTTTCATTTTATTTGATCAGATTGTATACAATTTGATTATCAGGGAGCGTTGTCGAAAGAAAGGAAAGAAGCGAAAATACAAGCGCAGCGAGAGAAGGATCAAGACAATGGTCGATCTGGATTCACGGCCAGCTCCAGAATCCATGATCCAATGGCTGCCGACAATACCCAAACCTGGACTATTGACGAAAGTCGTGAGCGTAAGAGAGATAGAGTAAGTTTCCAGAAAAGAAGGAACTTTTAATGAACTGAATATTTAGGATATGCCTGAATGGTTACGACATGTTACTGCTGGCGGTAAAGCGACATACGGTAAAAGAACCAATTTGAGCATGATTGAGCAGCGAGAAAGTCTTCCAATTTTTGCACTGAAAAGAAAACTTATCGAAGTGAGCAAATTTTTATAGAGAATTTAAAAAAAACTCGCTTTTAAAGGCAATGCTTGATAATCAAATTCTCGTTGTCGTTGGAGAGACAGGATCCGGCAAAACGACACAAATGACACAATATGCTGTAGAAGCTGGACTTGTGCGACGTGGAAAAATTGGATGCACGCAGCCAAGACGTGTCGCTGCCATGTCGGTTGCGAAAAGAGTTGCAGAAGAGTACGGTTGCAAGCTTGGAACTGAAGTCGGCTACACTATTCGTTTTGAGGATTGCACTAGGTATGGTAAAATGTTCGATTTTTCAAAATGTTTATTTTTCTTCTTATAGCCAAGATACTATTATTAAATACATGACTGATGGTATGTTACTTCGAGAATGTCTCATCGATCCGGATTTGTCGGCGTATTCGCTAATTATGCTTGACGAGGCTCACGAACGCACTATTCACACGGATGTCCTATTTGGATTGCTAAAAGCCGCTGCGAAGAAGCGAAAAGATCTTAAGCTCATTATTACTAGGTACCTTCCAGTTTTTTTTTCGCAATTAACATTCGAAATTTTCATATGTGAATTTCAGTGCTACTTTGGATTCGGTGAAGTTCTCAGAATACTTTATGGAAGCTCCGATCTTCACAATTCCTGGTCGAACATTCCCGGTCGAGATTTTGTATACGCGCGAACCGGAATCCGACTATCTCGAAGCTGCCCATATCACTGTCATGCAAATTCATTTGACTGAGCCTCCTGGCGATATTCTTGTGTTCTTAACTGGTCAGGAAGAAATTGATACATCGTGTGAAGTACTGTACGAACGCATGAAGTCGTTAGGACCAGATGTGCCAGAGCTGATCATTTTACCTGTCTACGGAGCACTGCCAAGCGAGATGCAGACTAGAATTTTCGAACCAGCGCCGCCTGGAAAACGAAAAGTCGTTATTGCAACAAACATTGCTGAGACATCGCTTACCATTGATGGTATCTTCTATGTGGTTGATCCTGGATTTGTGAAGCAGAAGATTTACAATCCGAAGAGCGGAATGGATTCTTTGGTATGATTTCCAAATTTCATACTGACTGCGGAAAATTGGCCAAAAAATTATGTTTAGTCCGTAAATTTACACTTTTAATTTTGCGCCAAGACCGCTATCTTTTTGTCATTTTTCACAATATTTTCAAGTATATGTCTGGAAAGAATCAGCTTTTTTTTACCCAGTCTTATATTTTTAAATTAAAAAAAAGCATTACTATGAGAAATGGAACCATCAAAACTCACGTTTCTTCACTCAAAAATCTACTCGATTATTTTCAGGTAGTTACACCAATTTCTCAAGCAGCAGCTAAACAACGGGCTGGACGTGCCGGAAGAACAGGACCCGGAAAGTGTTACCGGTTGTACACTGAGCGAGCATACCGTGATGAAATGCTCCCCACACCCGTCCCTGAAATTCAGCGAACAAACTTGGCATCGACTTTACTTCAACTAAAAGCGATGGGAATCAATAATTTGATTGATTTCGATTTCATGGATGCTCCACCGCTCGATTCGATGATTACTGCCCTTAATACACTTCATACACTATCAGCACTCGATAATGATGGCCTTCTAACAAAACTGGGAAGAAGGGTACGCTATTTCATTTATTTTTTCGCGTTCATTTTATTGAAAACATTTAAATGTCAATATTTAGATGGCCGAATTCCCATTGGAACCTTCACTTGCCAAGTTGCTCATTATGTCTGTCGATCTCGGATGCTCAGAAGAAGTCTTAACAATTGTTGCAATGTTGAATGTACAAAACGTCTTCTATCGACCGAAGGTAAATCAAAGAAAATGTTCCTAATTGTTTTACTCCAAATCTTAAAGGAAAAACAAGAACTTGCCGATCAGAAGAAGGCGAAATTCCATCAACCGGAAGGAGATCATCTAACCCTTCTTGCCGTGTACAATTCTTGGAAACATCATCATTTCTCGCAGCCGTGGTGTTTTGAGAATTTCGTACAAGTGCGAAGTATGAAAAGAGCGCAGGATATTCGAAAGCAGCTTCTTGGAATCATGGATCGCCACAAATTGAATATGGTGAGCTGTGGACGAGATGTGCAACGGGTACAGAAGGCGATTTGTTCCGGCTTCTTCAGAAACGCGGCGAAGAGAGATCCACAGGTTTCTAATGATGTTAATCGAATGCATTTAATTATAACAATGAATTTAGGAAGGATACCGTACTCTTGTGGATGGTCAGAATGTGTATATTCACCCGTCATCAGCTGTATTCCAACATCAGCCGGAATGGGTCGTTTACCATGAGCTTGTCATGACAACAAAGGAATATATGAGAGAAGTGAATTCCGTTTTTTTTTTTAGAAAAAAAAACATATTTTTCTTTTCTAGATAACCGCAATCGATCCGAAATGGCTCGTCGAATTCGCTCCGTCATTCTTCAAAATCGGCGATGCCACCAAATTGTCTACATTCAAACGCAATCAGCGCATCGATCCATTGTACGACAAATTTGCCGATCCGAACGCTTGGCGTATTACCCACGTCAAAAAGCGTATATACAATCCGAACAAGTGATTTCGTTTTCATTATTTTTCAACGTGTAAATTTATTTGTTTTGTTGCAAAATAGTAATTTTAATAATTTTAAATTATTGCGTTTTAACAAAGATATTTTCCCGATAATTTTTGAGTTCTGCAATTGATTCTAGAATGTCATCGAGCGCCCGATGCGTGTTCTTTTTCGATATGTGTTGATAGTCTGGATACCATCGTTGGACAAGTCCCTAAAAATATAAGTAAACGATATAGTAAATGAAGAATCGAACTTTTATAGAAGATACGTCGATGCACCGATAATGAGCATACTCGTCGAGTTTTGGCATATACTTTCGGATAAAGCATCGATCCATATGAATTGAATTACCAGCAATTGGACACTTTCCTGGAAGTGTATGAAGTTTCAGGAATTCTAAGACTTTCTCTTCCGCTTGTTCCAATGATATACTGCTATTCTGAAAAAAAATGAGCTGTTATGCATTGTAAGTTGTGGAAAAAAAAAACTAACAACTATTTTACTCATCAATCCATTTTCGAGAAACGTCTTTCTGGGCCATTCCTCCATTTTATCGAGAACTTCTTTCGGCTGATGAATAACAATATCCGGCCCCATTGCCACAGTTTTTAAATCGCTATCAGTCACAATTATAGCAATTTCACACAATGTCTGAATTTTAGTAAATCCAATGAAAATTGAAGAATGTTTTACTACAAACCTGTTTCATAAAATCTAAACCGGTCATTTCACAGTCTATCCAAATGATTCGCTGATTTACATCGTCCGTAGCATTGATCAATGTTGACATTTGACGTCTAAAAGGAGTATAGCGGGCGTCCGGCGACTGCTGTACGCGGGTACTCTGGTAACTCAAAACCAATCCGACAAAATTCGACCCCGGAATCAACCTTATCCGATTGGTAATTCTACGAATAAGATTGGAAAATTGTCGTATCCGATTGGTTTTTTGGGTTTTTTCGAATCCGATTGGTAATTTGTCGTATCCGATTAGATTTTCTTCGAATCCGATTGGTAATTATTTGAAACCGTTTTGTTTTAATATTTCAATTCGAATCGGATTCGACAAATATCCAACCTTATTCGTAGAATTACCAATCGGATCTGACAAATTACCAATCGGATCCGAAAAAACCTAAAAAACCAATCGGATACGACAATTTTCCAATCTTATCCGTAAAATTTCCAATCGGATAAGGTTGATTCCGGAGTCGAATTTTGTCGGATCCGATTGGTTTTGAGTTACCAGAGTAGATTTACGGGAATGCGTCTTTCCTAATGGTCTCGCAAGGACTAACAGGTTATTTCAAATTTTACGGGCTGGTTCGATAATTTTTTAATCGAACATCGTTGGAAATTCAAGGAAATGCGAAACTAATCTAGATAAATGAAGCAGTTCACGTGAAATCAGCAAAATAAGAATTCACGCGTGGCGAGACCTTTTCAAGGTGCACGCGTGTAAATCTACCCGCGTACAGCAGTCGCCGGACGCCGACTATATATGTCTTAAAATAAGCTCAAAACTAACATTGCTTGAAATTTAAACGACGATCGCACTAAATCAGAAAAACAAATCGATGAACGCAAAATCATTGATATCTCCCTTAATATCGGCAACTAAAAAATATATGCATATATTTGCCTTGAACAGCTTTTTTCTGGTAGAGTTTATCAGTTTTTTTTCAAAAAAAAAACAATACAAAATTTACAAATTTACATTTTTTATGAATCTTTCGTTGAAGAAATGAGTAATTTTTAAATTTTTTCTTACATAAAAAAGTCCATTAATTTTTAACAAAATAACAACAGATTAACGCTTGTGAAGTTAAAAAAAAATAATAAAAAATAAAAATTTGAATTATTTGCTCAAATGTGCTGCATTGGACGCGGAGCGTGCCACACGCGACGCATTCAACGACACAAGTACGGGCCAAAGTATAAAAAGTTGTAAGTATTCCACATGCCTTATTTGCGTTTTAATGCACCATTTTGTTTAAAAAATTTATTCTAGTCCACTTTTTGCATTTTCCACGTTAAACATCATTATTTAGTATTCTATTACGCAAGAATTTCAAAAATGAAACTTAACTTAGTTGCAAATAATTAAATACTGGTTTTCACTTTCAACCAATGTTTTTTGTTGTTGTCCATTTTACTATGCAGACTTTGGAGAAAATCTCAAAAAATAGGTAAAGGCTAGTTTTTGCTCAATCTGCATAGTGTTTTTTAGTTTTTTTCTAATAGATTCAGAGCGTTTTTGCCACGTTTTTCCATTATATTTTTTGTCTGATTTAATATTTTTAGAAAGTCACGAACCGATTATTGGAGCAAAATGAAACATATGCTATTTTGAAATGCGGAATGTTGTACAAAACTACAATCCCAAGGTAGGTGCAATGTTCGGCTATATTGCAATGTAGCAAACATTCTTAAAATTTTTACGGTTTTCATAGAAAATCGCATTTTTTTTTGTTTTCGTCGTGCAATGATATTATCGTTGATAATAGTTTGATAATGACAGGTTTTAGTGTCGTTAAATCATAAGCCTTTATATAAGATCTGACATTTCTCGAATATTGAGCTTTGTTTGTTCAGGCTGATTCAAGATGATGCTACATCAACATTTGTTGGGACCGTCAACTTCAATAAGCGGCAATACTAATTCTGTACTTCAGTCAAACGCTCTCTCTGACGGTTCGTTTTCTTAGTTGTAATTTTGCATTTTGCCCTCTTATCATTCAGGCGTGTTGATTTCACATTCTCATCAACCTCGAGAAGAATTAAAAACAACTTTCGAAACTAGAGAAGGCGTTTATCGTGTTATGACGTTAGCTGAATATTCAAGGCCTCGTGGGCCACAACAGGTAACACTTTCATGCAAATAATTGTGTTTTTTAAAACATTTTTGAAGTATAACTTCCAAGGTGGTTTTTCTAATATGAATACCGCAAGTACATTAAACGGAGCGCCGGTAAAAGTTTCATTCTTGAAGTTAAACCGGGACGCTGATTCCGAAGATTGCCTTCCAACAAACTCGAATGAGGTAGCGTTTAATAGTGTTTTTCATTTCATCATGCTTTTTTTCAGGATTCACCTAGTACTCCAGATGATTATTGGTCTGATAAGCTTTGCTTCAATATCGGACGAGAGCTTTACGTATATCATTATCGGTACGTTTGTTTCTTCATTCATAGTTGTTTTCTTTTTATTAGGAACTCGAAACTTCCATTTATGGAAGTTATTTATTGGAATTGTTTTTTTAAAACTTAAAAAATATTTTATCGTATTATTATAGAGGAACGCACGTTGCTGCCGACCTAGCTCGTCCAATCGATAAACGTGTTTATAAGGGCACTGCACCAACGGTTCATTGCTTCAATCAGGAATTAGCACATCCAAAAACATGCTCGTGAGTATACATTGTTTTTGTTTTTATAATTTTTTTTCTCGTTTTCAGATTGATAGTCGGATTTTCAACGGGACAAATTCAGATCATCGACCCACTTGAAAAATCGTCACAAACACCGGTAAGAATTATCATGAAACCTATTAGCGAAATATCTTTTTTCAGGTTAGTCGATTGTATAACGAGGATCGAACATGTGATAAATCCACCGTAACATGCATTCGATGGCTACCGGGTAGTCCGAATATATTCCTAGCGTCATACGCGTCCGGCAATATTTATGTTTATAATGAAGACGTAGCTACTATTGTCACACCGCCGTCGTATAATATTTATAAACAGGTATTTTTCTATCGTCATGGACTGAAAAATTTGCTATGCAATTGTTTTAACGTTTCAATTGAGACGGTGGGTCAAGTATGGAAAAATTATTGTTTTGTAATCAAACCTGCGAATGTGCGTAATTTTACAAAAACACATTTCAAGTACTTTTCAAATTAAAAATAATATGTAAAATGAAGATATAAGAGCTCATTTTGTTTTATGCGGATAATTGAAATCGCTGACCTTGCGATTCCAAAATCAAAATGTTTCATTTTTAGGGAGAGCGTTTCACAATCTACACATGTAAATCGAAAACTCCCCGAAATCCGGTTTATCGTTGGCAGATTGGAGACGGAGCAATTCATCAATTTAGTTTCTCGGGTTCTGACGCGAAAATGATGGCAACTGTTGGTCATGACGGATTTTTGAGAATTTTCAATTATCACCAAATGGAGTTAGTAGCAATTATGAAATCTTATTTTGGTATGAGTTATTCTACATTACTTTTCACTCATTCGCTCTATTTAGGAGGTCTACTTACACTTGCATGGAGTCCCGACGCGAAATTAATAGCAACCGGCGGAGAAGATGATCTTCTCACGGTGTTCAGCGTTCAAGAAAGGCGAGTGATTTGCCGAGGGCAGGGCCACAAAAGCTGGATAAGTCAAGTACAATTTGATTCGTATTGTTGTACGACGGAAGAAGATCTCGAGCCGAACGAGGCTTGCGATACGACCCCGTCGAAAACTGAACGGTCCGAACGGCATGTTCCACCACATCCTTCCACATCAGGGGATCTGAATACTACGCCAGTTATGCGAGGTGCTTTTTGATTAACTCCAAGCGAAGAAATCTGATCTTTTAGCTCATGCAAAACGAGCTACTCCTCTTTCGGCGGCATCAACGCTCTCAAGATGTTCGTTCGCTTCATTTGGAACTATTAATGGAGCAACTGTAAGTTGATAAACTTCCCGAATTTCATTAGAGGTTTTTTTAGGGAGGAGGCACCGGAATCTGTTATAGAATTGGAAGTGTTGGACATGACACGTTGCTTTGTTTATGGGATATTACTGAAGATATGCTGAAAGTAAATATTGCATGATTTTCTTTGAAAACCGTTGACATCGAATATTTTTCGAGTTAATTATGAATTTTTCAGCCTGCCAATATTCAACGTCACCGTAATTCAACCATTATTGCTCCAATGGCTGGCTTAGAAATTCAAACATCGCCGCTTGCTGGGAGGCTTGATATTTTGACGGAAGCATCTCCTGGAGGAGCTGGAACATCAACGTCTGCTGAACCGTTTCCAGCTCAAAATCCTGTTCAATTGGTTTGTTTTGAATTTTTTCGAAGAATTACATTTAATCATTTTTAGAAGGCAGAGAAGCCGCCGAAAAAGAAAAGATTCCACCGGCGAGGCTTCACTATAGGTCGTCTGAATGTGGGTGGAGGATCATCAAATTCGTCGAATTCGACAAATGGTGTTAAAAACACAATCGGGTTGACGAACGGAACCTCTCACGCTTCAGAAAAGTATTTTTTTTTTCAAAATAACAATTGATTTTTTCGTCTTTTCAGAAAATCGAATCACATTTTAACCACACAAATCAGTTGCTGCGACGAAACGCGTTTACTTGGATCACGAATATGCCCTAGAATTCAAGATGTACCGGTGATAGGTTCGAAATTGCATGAATTGTTTTTTTTTTAATAAAAAAATGTTTTAGAGCCACTAATGTGTAAAAAGATTGCCCATGAGAGACTGACTGTACTTGAATTTCGAGAAGATTCCATTGTAACTGCTTGCCAAGAAGGATATATTTGCACATGGGCTCGGCCGGGGAAAGTAATAAATTATTATAAGCTGAAAAAAAATATTTCGAACTCTAGGCACCCAATAATCAACAAAATTTACCAAAACGTGATTGCATCAATTCACCGTCAGCAGCCAGTCCAGAACTTCCGCCCAAAAATTCGGATTCTCATATTTCAAGTTGGGCATATGGATCGGATCAAATTAATATGAATAATGTTCAACCGACGAGATCTACGAGCAGTTACAGTAATAGTGAGTTCTTCTTTTATCTTTAAGATATTCTATTGTCGACATTGCGACGGCAGAATATTGGAAAATGCCAAGAAAAAAAACAATAGTAGTGGTCTTAGCGCAAAACTAAAAGCATTACGGGACTATGCATTAGGATAGGTTTAAAACGAACACCGCGCACCGAGACCACGATTGCAACATATGTCTCATTTTATTCAGTTTTTTTGTCGTCCAACGAAATAAAAAAAAAACAACATTTTAATATATACCCACGACCCTTAAGTCGTTTGACACCGGCAATATTAGCTTTGCAAAAAAATCTCGTGTTAATTAAAACGATTTTTATTCGAAAATTATCCGAAGTACGGTAGTTATCACAGTTTTTAATTCTCACAGACGCAATAAGAATTCCTACGTCGAATAAATATATTTGTCCTCTGAAAACTGAAGACGTTTGTTTTTTTGCAATGGTAAAATAAATTTTAATGTTGTGTGTTTTCAGACGCCGATTCAATGCCTCGTGATTGTTCTCCGTCATATCGCGTAAATAATTCATCTGTGTACCATCGTCCTCCTCCTGCCGCTTCAACGGGTGCCGGCTATAGTTGGAACATTGATAGCTAGAACATTTAGAAAATTTGTTAGGCAAAAATTGATTGTAAATAATAAAATTGATAGATTTTTCGTTTCCCGACGAGCTCAATTTAGATTTGATACCCTCATTTTCTCTCAGACAGTGTTATAGTCGAATTAATTTATTTTTTTTTCTGTATAAAATGCTCATATAATTTTTGTTTTGTAAAAACACGGTATTTCACTGATCCCCTGTGAAAACAATTCTCATGTCAAGCCAAAAATTCTACTTTTTTCTTTGTATTTTTTATCTGTCAAATAAATCTCTTAATAATAATTTATCTGTTAATTCAAAATTTGTTAAATAATTGTAGTGTTAAAGCTATATTTTATTGATAGATTTTATTACAAACAAGTCAAAAACAAATTTTTTGGTTCGGTTTGCATCATTTTCAAAATTATTGCGTATTGGCCGCAAACACCGATTCCCCAACGCACAGATAAAATTTTCGAATTTATATTCCGTTTAAGCGCCTTCTTTTCCTTCTTCAATACCAAGATTTTAGATGTCAGCGAAAACGGAACAACTATTAATTTCTGACGTCAAAAATTCTCAACATCGTCATCATCACTCCGAAGAAAATGACAAAATAAGCAAAGATGAAGCAGCTGTTTATGATCGCCAAATCAGACTTTGGGGAATTGAAGCTCAAAATAAGTACGGTTAAGATACATTTTTATATATGTTTTACTTGTAATATTCAAATTAGTTTAATTCGTATCTAACTTTATTTAGAGTTTTTGCAATAAACTTATAATTAAATATATATTGTCCTCGTCCGCGGACTTCTGTACGTGGTTAGATAAACGAAAAAAAATGTTTTTTTTTTTTTCAAAATTGAAATGCAAAAGGCGCAATCTACTCGCGTACAGTGCCCGCCGGACGACGCCAACAATATGAGCTGTTGATTTTGAAAACGTCAAGTTATTTTAAAATTTCCTATTTCAGGCTTCGCAAGTCTTCGGTGCTCGTGTGTGGAATATCGCAATGTGGTTCGGAGTTCGTCAAAAACATCACTCTAGCTGGTGTGCAAAGGCTTGTTTTGATGGATGACAAATCAATTACCGAAGACGATATTGGACACAATTTTCTGCTTCGGCTTGACGAGAAAAATCTTCTGGGGACGAATGTAAACGTTCATTTTTCTTAGCGAAAATAGCTGTCTGATTTTCAGCGTGCACGTGCGGCATTTTCTCGAACCGGTGAATTGAATCCCAACGTCAAATTGAGCTATCTGGAAAATAGTCTCGAAGAGCATCTCAACTCTTTAGGTTTACCAAAAACAATAGAAATAAAAAAAAATATTGAAACATAGACGAAGAAGCAGGAGAACGATTCCTTTCGGAATTTTCGCTTGTTGCTATTTTTGATCATGAGTACGACACCATTGTGAAATTGAATAATCTTTGTCGAAAACTTAATATCAGGTCAGAAATTTATAAACTAGCGATTTACATTTATTAAAAGTTGCAGATTTGTTGCTGGTGGTGTGTTTGGCTGGATTGGATACGCTTTCCATGATTTTAATGATAAAATGTTCTTAATGTAAGTTGATGTTGAATGAGTTCATTTAAAAATAAACAGTAATTCAGGAGAGTTGAAACCGAGTTTCCAACTATTAATCTCGAAGGCAACTCATCAACTCAACAAAACGTTGTTACTATCGAGGAAGAACAATTTCATCCAAAGGTATTATTTATTTAAAATAATAATACTCAAAAATATTTAGAAACTCTCGTATCCTTCATTTTTCGATGCTTTCAACTTCACACCTTCGACAAAAGCTCAAAAGCGGCGTGCTTCGCGTATTCCAGGCGCATTTTATTTGCTGAAAGGTATATTTTCAAGCTTTGTCAACAATACGCTCTATTCATTTCAGCGATTTTCCGTGCGCAAAAAGAGAAACAATTTAATGGAAACGAGGAACACGATCTGGCTGTTCTCGAGAAAAACTGGAATGAAGAAGTAATAAACGAATTGTTTTTATTTGATGGATCGAATCGTATCTCGCAAAATTGTTAAATTTGATGTTTTAAACGCAATCGAAATTAGTAAATTTTGGGGGATGACTGTTTCAACTATTTTCCGTAGCACTGAATCAGTCAAAAACAAATCAAATTTTTTCTAGCTTGTCGCGTTCAACCAAAGCAAAGAAACGCAAAGTGTGCAGCCTGATAAGTTCGATCAGTAAGTTGATCCATTCTCTTTGAAAAATTAACTATTGATTGACGTTTAGTTTGTTCAATCCGCAATTCACTCCGGCTTGTGCAATGGTTGGTGGAATAATGGGTCAAGAAGTGATCAAATCGTTGTCGGAAGGCAAAAAACCTCTGCCAAATGTGTTCATCTATTGCGGTATTGACTCAAGTTGCATAATGTCTGCGTTGCCGCCAAAATAATCGAAAAAAAAACCAGCGTAACTTTATTTATCAATTTTTTAAACATTTTATTCCACTGTATCGTTTATTTTTTTATATTTATGTTGTATATTTTGATCTCCCTAATCCACCCGTTTCTAAATATATTATTCGCTATTTACGAAGTAAGTAAATTATTAGAATATAAATTTGGATTGACTATGGCCATATTGGAGGTCCGAACGGGGGTGGCGGTGGTGGTGGCGGTCCCCAGAATCCTGAAATCCAATGTTCTCCAAATTATAGTTCTTTTAAAATAATTTTTCGAGTTAAACTGTTTCTAGTGTATGTTTTTTTTTTGCAAAATCAAAAGTTTACTCGAGTGTCTTGATTGTAATGTGACCAACGAGAACTGATTTTTGAACGTGACTTAACCCAGCAGATTTTGTGACAAATGATGTAATTAATTGATTGAAAACCATTTGAAACATTTGAGGTTTCATCAAAATAAGTATTTGTTTTACCTGGTGGCGGATGGTGGTGGTGATGGTGCATCCACCAAGGCCTTCTCCATCTCATCCAATCAGCGCCATCATCAAAGTCTGGTCGAGGTCCTCTATCTTCCCAGCCTCCAGAAGGTTGTGAATCTTGATTCCACTCAGTTTGCTGTTGCTGTTGTGGCTGCGATGGAGCCGTTTGAGTGTTCTGATTCCAGATCTGTTCACGGACTTGCTGCTGTGGAGGCGAAGTGGCAACAGGTGTTGGGATCGGAGCTGCTGGAATACCAGGAGGACCTCTGAAACGCTTTCGTTATGAATATGTTATGTGGAATAGCAGACCTCTGGATCGCAATTTGAATCAAACCCGCAAAAATCAGCAAGCGACCAACGCCGACGGTCATGACAAAGACGACGTGTTTGCCGCGACGAAATGGGAAGCGAGTGGAGTGCGTGCGAAGCATTCGCCAACCAATTACGTCCGATGCTGTTGTTACGGGTTCATTGATAACAGCAACAGTGTTTACCTGCTGATTGTCTTCTTTTTTTTCGACGACAATGATGCAAAATTGAAGCATCACAAACGAAGGGCATTCATCGACCAAATCGATTGAGACATAAAGCATAGAAAGCAAAAATTCAATACATTATATTAATGGAGATTGAATTTAAAACAATTGTATTGTCGGCGTCAAGCGACTTGACAAAATTTAAAAAAAAAGTTGGCTACTTGCCAGAATTCTCAAGGCAAAGAGAAGTGTATGGTTCATACACTCGTGCAGCGTGTTTTTCGCAGCGTGTTTTTGGGCGCGTGTTTTTTTGGGAATTTTTCTGTGCCTTTTTTTTCATAAATAGCCAGTTTTTCTTCATTTTTGTTTCATTTTACATTTTTTTAATCGCTAATCGATAGGCTATTATCGATTTCATAAATTCTGTGACATTCTGTCATTAATTTGATACTGTTTTATTATTTTAATTTATTCTTCATCCGTTTACTTAATTTTAGTATATTTTAGAGGCACTATCATATTAAACAGGGATCGAAGGACGAAGGAAAGAAGAAATTACTATATTAAAAAGACAGGTATTTTTAATAATTTTATTTCAAATGCTATTCATCATTATAATCTAGCTCGTCGTCTCCGTCTTCTGTGTCATCCGATTCATCGTTGCTCACTATGGTTCCATCAATAATCGCCTGACGCTTCGCATCTTCGTGCTTCCTCACATGATTGAGAAGATTAATAGCTTTGACAGGTGAGAAATTTTCTAAAATTGAGCGTGTTCTTTCGATGATTGTCTCCAATTTGTCCGTCGTCTTTCCAATGCTTTTCAATTGGTTCTTCAACTGCGCCCAAACGAATTCGATGGCATTCAACGAACAATGATATGGCGGCAACCGGACAATCTCGACTCCATGCTCTGTTCGTGCCCATTCGTCAATTTCATATTTCCTCATCCGAAGGCGCCCTCCATTCATCGCGATCACATCCTTGACCGATTCCCAAAGTTCTTTTCTTTTTATTCTAGGATGGAAAACCTTCCCATTTTTCAGCAGAAACGAGCAATATTCTTTCTTTTTCGATGTACTCGTAGGAATCTAAAATGGATCCTATCAGTAAAACTTTCTTTTTCTAAAATACCTTTTCATTGGTTTTGTTATGGTATGGAGCATTATCCATAACCTGAACACCAGTTCTACCTTGAATTCGAGCTTCTCTTGCAATGGCCGGGATCACCTTTTTCATATACTTTGAAAAGTTGTCGGCATTCATGTCGGCATGGTAATCCTCCACTTGCTCCGATTCTTTTCTTCCCGAGACAATAACATCGATGGATTCATTCAGAATCCCATTCTCGCACAGTACTCCCAAAACAATTGCTCGTTTCCCCTTATTTTTTCCAGCAGGTGGACCAGGGAGTGGTTTTGATGGATCTGCCATTTGAGCAATTTTGTACCGGTTTGTGTCCATGAAGCTCCATCCAGATGAGTGAGTCATTCCGTGAAAAACCCAAGTTTCGTCGAAGAAACAAAGGAACGATCCATCTGTCCTCAACGCATTAATTTTCTCAAGATATTTCGTTCTCCAATTGATTAGATCATTCCTTTCCGTGATCACAGGGTTGTTGTTTTTTAGTTTGAAACTCAATCTCATTGAATGAAGCGCCCTCCGTAAAGTAGTAGTGCTACACTGGACATTGATAACGTTTTTGCACCATTCGCTCAAACTCGAAACTGTCACCAATTCTTCATTTTTCCAACAGTACTCTAGCCTTTTCCTGATGAGTTCTTTCTTATATTCAGAAATTCCTTCTCCTGCAGCCTTATAAATGGACGTTCTGCTGATCCATTGTCGTTTTTCAGGACGTTTCGTTTCGGGAATTTCATCAAGTCTCCGTCGGATCGAAGAAGCAGATATTCCAGTGAGAGCTCTTGCGGCGACTTCAATGTTGTCAAAAATTGAACCTTTCGCGCAATCTCCAAGACGATTCTTGATGATCTTCAACGCGGACACCAAATTCTGAACAATCTGCTCGCCTCGGTTCTTCACATCTTCATTAGTCCTAAGGAAAGGAAAGTCATCGATTGTCAATGACTTCAAACTTCTTGCCAAGAGTAAGTCAGCATTTTTAACCTTATAAGACTGCTTTTATTTGGTATTCAATGTGAGGTTATTACTTGTTCTAGGTGGTCGCAATCAACGCCTGTTTGTGCACTTCGGTGATGAACCTCGATTGGCGGCGTCTGGATGCATTTGGAGGATTCCTCATTAATCGGCTGACTTTCCCCATGTGATAATAATCTTTCTATAATTTTTACGATTAATAAAACATTATTGTGGTGTTCTTACGATTTTCGATAAATGTTAAAAGCTCCCGCCTTTTCAAGTAGATGCCGTGAGTTCCACAAACTTTAACGTATGGTGGTCTACTCATTATAAAAATGTAAATAACAATGGCAACGGAATTAAAATTCGCATAAAAATTAAAAAAAAAAACGAGAAAAAACATTTAATATTCAGCCAGCGCGTAAATCTACCCGCTCGTAAATCTACACTGATTACGATATACTGAAGGCCACGCCCCCATCAAGTCGTTTGACGCCGACAATATGCAAGTTGAACAGAAAACTGAGAAATCACGTTGGGACATGTTGGATTCGCGATTCGTACTAACAAAGTCGTATGTATTTTTATGAACATATTCAGCGTAACATAGCCGAAAAAGTCAATTCAGAATTTGAAAAATTTGACACATTTTACACGATAGAATTTTAGAAAAATGACAAATTTGACAATTTGTCACCGATTAGTTCTGATCAATTAGAAACATGGCAAACTCTATACGATTTTATGAAAGTTTACAAATTTTTTTCTATTTGATCTCGAATGGAATGCATTAAAACTACAGTATACGTTAATGGCACTTGGTACCGTATGCACATTCACCAGCCTTTCCCATTCAATTATTATTTTGAAATACACTAATCCTACGATCGCAATCGATTTCGTTCTGTTAAGACTGTTTCATTTTATGACTTGCATGAGCATTGCATCATTATTACCATATTATTGTCGGAGTCAAACAACCGGACGAAATTTGAAAATTTTTTGGCTACATGCCAATGCGTCTCGAGGCAGCGAGAAGTACGCGAGACTGCGTACATTGCATTATAGTGTACGCGCATTTAATTTTCAGTCAACGATAAATTTAAATCTACACTGATTTCGCGAATTTGAATGCCTCGAATCCATTCAGTCGTTTGACGCCGGCAATATTTGTTTGCGATAAATTTCTAAAAATTTAGAATACCTTGTACTTTAAAAAAATAATTCACTGTGTTACTATTTTGTCAAAAAAGTAACCACAAAATTCTCAACATTTTCATTTCCATAGCACACCCCCATTTTATATTTCATACCTTGACCAGTTTCATCATATTCTGGTGCAACAATTTGAGAGTTGTTTGATTATTGAAACAAATATTCATTATCATTATTACTTAATTATTAATTGTCAAATTTATATATGACATCATTTGTTTTTACTTTTCTTCGATTCAGTGGATGGCGATTGAATTGAAGTTTTACTCGGTGTTTTCTGAAGAAAACCATTATTCTGTTCGGTTGAAATCTCTGATACCTTGTTGCTCCTCGCAGTGGTCGATGAAACTTTCTTGAGTAGCGGCTTCGTCTCGGATTTCGTCTTCGCTAATGTCGGAGTGGTAAAACTTTGTTGAGAATGAAGAAATTTGTCAAGATCACTCCGCCATTTTCGAATATAAGCCGACCGACTAGTTCGCCGCTCGAGCTGAAAAATAAATATTAAATTAAAGAAAAAATCGATTTCTGTACCTCAAATTGCCCGTATAAAAATGGCGAGACGACTAGATGAATGAGACAGCTTAGCATTCCAATACTTGAAAATATCTTGAAATATCGATGATTTTCTATTTTTGTGGAAACATTAAAAATAAACCACTATCCGCCTATTGTAGACTTTAGAAATTGTAGAAGCACATGACGGGAATTCTTTTTGAAAACATTGAGAATTCTGAATTTCGTCGAATGACATTCGATTATTAGATCAAGACACACTCGGTGAAACTTTGGCGACGGACAAGTAAGCGATATTCCACTGATAATTAGAACACCGTCGAGATGGAATGTGCCGGTGTTGTTCACATCAAAGTCTTGAGGACCATCGAGTCCGCAACAGCAATACCTCAATTGGGTTTCTCGAATATACCGAAGCTCATCGATAAGAGTGTCCTGCAAATTTACCAAATTTCGGAAAAAGCCTCCCTGCAAATTGAATTTACATCAACCATCGTGGTACTATTTTGTGATAATTCGACGAAATCCGAAACCCGTTTAAAAACTTCAACTAGCGATGGATTGACAGTGGAATTGCCAACGGAAAAATAGTATAAATAATATCCTTTAACAAATGAATTTTGTCTATCAATATTATGCAGAAATATTATACCTGATAAATAAAATGGAAAACAGAAACATAAGGCAAACGAAAACGAGAAGACGAGATAGGATTTGCGGAGATCGGAGTGGCCAAGTGTCGTCAGAACAATGAGAAATATTGATAACGCCGAGAGGACCAGTGATACCAGAAGCTGCAGAACATCGTACATATGGATATCATTAGTATCGAAAAGTTCGGGCTCATCGAAACGTATCAAGCTAACCACAGTGTCATATATTACTGGAAATCGTATTTTTCGCGTAAATTCCAAAATTGGATTAAACGTCAATGATTACCGGTGTAGAGTAAGCACAGTTTGACAATAAGAAGTACTAGAAGAATTGTCTTTAGTTGCATTTCACAGCTCTATGACATACGAAAATGAGCAATTTGGGAAACAAAATGTGAGTCACGCGAATTTTGAATTAAAAAAAAATCAAAATTTGTGCTCAATAATCCCTCCCGTGATGCTCATTCATCCATATCGAGACGGCTTCTTTTCAATTTGTCATTTTTGGCTCCTCGATATTCGATTTGGAATCCAACGAAACGTGCTGAATGCAATATTTGTTCTCGGTTTTTGTTCACTCCACCAAAAAAAAGAAGAGCCTGAGGGCACGAAAGAATGATCACGATTAATGAATTTTTGAGACAAACACAAACTTATTTTGGTATCTAAATATGGGTTTCAAGCTTCGACGATGAAATCCGAATAGACCATTACATAACTCATTTCGTTTGCAATTCGCGTTTGTTTCGTGCCGAACAATGGAGAGTGCCTTGCTTCGAAAACTCTTCCCAAGTTGCTTGCTTTTCGTTTTTAGTAATTTCGCGTGTTTTTTTTTTCTGCTGGTGTCATCACCTAAATGGTGTGCGCAACGGAGAAGTCCGGCGACTCCCTCGAGCTTCGAAGTGTGCCTTAATGTTATTAATGCATTCCGAGCGACGAAAACCGAATTCTTTTCCCGTAAGTGCCAACACACTTCTTAATCAAATCTTCTGTTTCATGAGACATTAGTTATCATCGGATTTACTTTGTATTTTATACGGGGGTTTTAATCCATTCAACCGCAAATTTATAAATGATTTTTTTAGCTGACAGGATAATATTGTTTTGAATAGATTGAAGAAGTCTGCAAAAACCAATGGATTATACGTTTTTGATGTTCCTTTCGCTGATGACGTGATGAGAAAGAAGATAATTCACAGAAAAATGGTTGGAGGTTCAACTTTCTCAAAAATAGTTCTTAACTGTGAAATTATGATTTTTAAAGTATTTTAAAATGTTTTTTATATAATTCTCTCGAAGTGAACAAACAACATTGCGGGGGCGTAAAAAACAGGGTTGCGCCAAATTCATTTCGCATTTTGACTTCTCCACGAAAATGAAAAATTAGAGTATTAATTAAAGGTGCCTTCAAGAAAAAAAAATTCATTTCGCACTAAACTTAAAATTGAACTGATCTGGTTTATTCAAATTTTGAACATTTTAATCAACAATAATTTGATGTTTTCCATCACCAGATTTCTTTTAAAATGTATAGCTTTCGGGCCAGCTTGTAATCAATAATTGTCTTTGAATTTACAATAAAGATTGCATAAAAACAAGATAAGAAGCTTTTCCTAATTTTTCATTTTTCCTATGACAACACTACTCAAATAAACCGCCACTAAATTTTGATGACAATTTCGTTCACTCTGAGAAATTTTTATTAGCGTTTTCCCCTGTTTTATGAAGTGATCCTTCAATTGAAAAATGGATATTCAAAATTTTATTGGCGACGTCCTGTCAAAAATTGAAATACACGCCATTCATCTCAATTTTGCTCAAATTCAACAACTTATTAATCAAAAAACGAATCGACTTGATAAACATCATCTTGTGCACAATTGCCGACAACATTTCGGAGAATTTCGGCTTGTCGGATCACAAACCTCGCAGTATAATGAGTTTGCCCGCTTGATACACAACACATAATTGCAAGAAAAAAATCACAAAGCAAAATGTTGTCATCGTGCTTTGCTGTTGACGACGAAGCGGCACAAATCTTCCGATTTTTTTCGCCACTTACATCGCAATTGTTTGTCTTGAATTCGTCGTAAAAATTCCATTTTTTTCAAAAACTCTCAAGTATGCTTATTGTTTGATTGGTCCAAAAAATATCCTTTTAATTTGCGCATCAATACATGTATTTATTGTTCGCATTTGCTCATACTTGAATATCCTCATACGTAGCGGATTGCTATGAAAATATGTCAGAGATTTTTTTGTTTCTTTAATTTTCCTAAGCAAACATATACTCAATTTCTTAAAACAAAAGACGATTACCTATGTCGTCATTCGCGTTGCGGATCGCGTGCGGTCGCGTTTATTGTCTTATTAAAGTAAAAATTGTTTTTCTAAAAAGTTTAGTGATCTTCATTCCAAAAAATTTGGCGTCTTTCCCTTCAGAATATGTCCATCATCTTTAAATATCATTTTCCGATTTTTTTTGTGAAAAATCCCCAAACATACCAAAAATGAAGCAATGCGCGACCGCACGCGGACCGCAACGCATCTGGTCGACAAGGTCCTGCAGCTTTTTGAGAAGCATGCTTTACGGGTATATTTCACGTGTCATTTCACATACATATACTGGACAAATTTTTCAATATTTTTTATTGTCAAAGACAGTAATAATTATGGCCAGATTTCGTTGAAACTCTTGGCGTGCAATTAGCAAATTTTTGTTTAGCATATACATATTTGATACGCATGCAAAACGTAAATCGTTGCGAGAATCAATTTCGTAGATCAAAATTTTATGCACCGCCCAGAGAATAATAAAAAGTGCGAAATCTCAGAAAAAAAAGAAATGCAATTCTAAATACTTATGCTAGACAATAAAAAACTATTTTCGGATAAAAATTTGTTTGCTTGAGAATTCTAATCTCGGCTCTAGTTTGCAACATCGCCGAAATGCGATTCACCGACGAGTAGATCAAATTCTCGTCGATGATGTTTAGAGCGCGACTAATTTCGCTCAAGTTTCCTTATTCAGAGAACTACGCGAACATATACTTTTTGTTTTAAAAAAATGTAGTTAATCGTTTTTCCATAAAATTTTATTACATTTGTCCTCGTCTATCGTTTTTTTTGTGTTCATCTTTCTGCAACTGAATATTTTTTCATTTCGAGATGCCGAAAATGTAACAAAAGTGTCAAAATCGGCATAGAAATCCCAAAATATTGTTCCAGTCGCGACTTCCTTTTTTTTGAACAATTTTAATTGCATCCTGGCACTCAACTCGACCTCTTCTTGACATTTCGCCGCCCTTCACACCAGAGAAGAGCATTTTATTGATTGAGCCAAAATGAAAAAAAAAAACACATACATCAACGAAAAAAAAACTACAAGCTAGTTGTGAGGTGCAATGTTGGACACGACAAATTGTCATGTGTGTGTGGGTCGCGGATTTTGTCACTTTCCGACCAAATGTCAGCCCTATTCGTCTATTTTTGGTCAACTTCAACACGCCGACTTTTCAAATTAAATTGATTTTGCACGAGAAAAAAAACAAACAAATATTGCATGCGATCTGCACGAATTCTCACCTATCAAAGGTTCATCTTAGATGCTACTTGACAAGGGTGGTGTCGATTGAGATTTGGCTTCATCAGAATCCGATGATTGGCGGGTATTGACATGATTTACGGGACCTTCTTTTCCTTATTTGATTCGCATCTCAAAGTGAAATTCCTCGAAACCTAGTTTCGTTGCGTGACCATAATTCAAGGCGCATTTCGTTAAATCACTTCACCAGAATCGGCAACACAAAAATATGCACATATCACGCAATCATGCATTTTTTTTCTTGAACTTGAACTTAAAATTCTCGTTTCATTAAGCATTGCTTACATCATCCGCGTGACTTTTAGAGCATATGATTATGTACAGTAATTTTATGACGTTTTCAAACTCAAAAGTTCATATAGTCGGCGTCGTCTGGCAGCTGCTGTACTCGGGTAGATTTACGTGCATGCGCCTTCGCTATGGTCTCGCACGGACTAACTCGTTATTTTGCATTTTAGTGATCCTTCCGTTGATTTTTAATTTCATTGATATTAATTATTCAAAGAAATAATCTTCTCATCAAGAATAATTAAGCAGTTCACGTGAATACAACAAAATAAATGATCAAACGTGGCGAGACCATTTCGAAAGGCGCACTCGTAAATCTACCCGGACGAGAACTACATATAAAATAAACCAATTTTTCGCCATTTCTTTTCATTTCCCAATAATTTTATATTATCCACGCCAAATCCATTTCCTTTTTTTTTTGAATTTTAATCGAATTTTTTTTTTCGTCACAAATATGAGTAAATGAGATTTTGTTGATCTGTGCTGTTTCTCATTATATTGCTGCAAAATTTTACCAGTAGAAAGTAATAAATTAATTATATACAATACATCAAACCGCAATTAGCAATTGTTTTTGTATCGAGTCAATGGCGAATCTTGAACAACACTAATTATGTTATTATGCACATAAATTTTTGGGAGGAAAAAAACTGAATATCGCCCGCAAATCCTTGTGAATTGTCTCAGCACGTCTCATTAATCTCTTCTCTCATTCTACTCATCCTAATCTGATGCGTTTTTCTGATATCACCCCCACGCCGACATCCGCCCGAAAAAAAAATGGATGGGTGTCGTCATAAATTTGTATTTCGAAAAGTTCGCCTCGACCTATTCAACTCTACTTGATTTTTTTTCCTAAATTTCTTGAGCCCTCAATGCTTTTTTTGGTGGAATTGAAATTCGAGATGGGCGCATTCGCGCGAACCGCCCCAGGTTTTGCCGGATTTTTCATTTCCGTCAAGCCTTCTTAGATTTCAATGTGGTGGCACTTGAATGAAATTAGAGGTTCAACTTTGGTTTTTTTTCCTGATGGGCCCATCTTCATTTCATTTTCGTATTTTTGGTCATCCGTTGTACAAAGTTCAACGAAATCCTATTTAGAGAAACCTTTTTTGCAAAATGTGTAGGTCAATTTGATAAAAGAACCTGCTCATATCATTTATACGCTTTTCGAGACCCGATGCATCCTCTTTCAAATTCCCGCCTTCATTTTCATGAAAATTTCGATTTCAAATGAAAAAATCGTTTTTTTGGCTTAATTTTGAGGCTTCCCAATTTCGTCAAATAAACTAATAAATTCTCAATACATTTACACTTACTGGTAATTAAGGATATAAAAAGAACATGATGCACCAACTTAGATATAAATTCTTTTGATATTTATCTTTCAAAGTGTTTTTGCAATCCTGAAAATTACCCCAAAAAAGCTTCAAAAACATTGTCATCTCTCGATGCTTACATGTCGCACTGATTTCCTGTTGGCTATAGATTTGTTCAAAAACAATCCCAAAATGACGTATAATTCTTTTAGACCGCCGATTTTTCTTTATATTTATTTTAACACATTTATCGCAATAGAAAATGCGTTTTTTGTTTGATATAAGTTACTTCCTGATCTTCACGTCCAACTCCTATTTTTGGAAATCGCATTTCTTGACACTCGCTGAAACTGTGTGTCCGAATGAAAGAAAATAAGAAGGGGCAACAAATAATCGAGGGTAATGAGCAGAAACACTTTTGTGGGTATGAGAAACACCATCTATCTGTATTAATTGCCTTCATTCGTCGACGACGTGCAGAATGCGTCACGCACAACGACGACGGGTGCCTTTGGGTTTTGATTTTTTTTTTTGCTGAGCTATTCTCTCACTCAGCTCACCTTTCTTTTTTGCAGAACTTCATTTTATATTCATTTCGTTTTCACCCAAAACTATCATTAATTTTGGTGGTCATTTCGGATTCAATTCTCATTTTTTACCCAACCCTTTTACAAACTGCTCTACACATACTTTATTCTAGTCCATTTATTATGTGCTCGTGTGTTCTTCTCATCAAAACCCACCGCGAATGAATCATTGTTCAATTAGCCTCTTCTTTTTCTTCTTCTTCTTCTTCTTCGTTATGTTCTCTTTTTTTTAAAGCAATTTTACCGTAATTAGTTCACATCACTAAGTATAATTGTAATTAAAATGCGCTTTTATTGAATGACGTACTCCGAGAGAAGTGCTTCCCAATCGGACGGACCCCTTCTGGATTCAATTTAATAGGTTCGATTTGCAATCGCAATAAAATCTCAGCGGCGCTTCCGGCCTTTTCCAATTTTTATTATCAAACAAAATCTCGGGTCCCAATAAAATGAAACTCTTTTTTTCGCCAAACACGTTTTAATTAAATTTTTCGAGCGCAAGTTTGCACGAAATATGGGCGGAGCTTCACTCACCAAGCCCCCCCTTTTTTTATTTCATGACCCAGATTTTGTCGCATTTCCCATTTTTCGCATCGTACCCAAGTACAATCCGACACACGATTCAGTTCTTTAATTTCCAGACATGAATCTATCTCAGATCGAGAATTTAATTGAAGACAGCGTGCAGGCTGACGTCGACCTCAATTGTGCTCATGTAAGTGCAAATTGCTTCCCATTACTCGTTTCTCGTCTTATCCTTATCGGATCACAAATCTGTCTTATAGTATGAAACGTACACTCTTGCTCGGTTCGTGCTCATATCCGTGGCTACCGTAATCGCTGCTCTGGGAACTGTGGGAAACATCATACTGGCTTATGTATTTTCAGCGAAACATGTACCTCGACGAATTCGCCATTTTTGAGTACATCAGAGTACTTTCAGAATTCGAACACACCTGCTACTTTATATCCATCGGTTCTCGCATGTCTCGATTTTGCAATTTGCCTCGAATACATCCTGATGTTCGGTGTTGACGCCATCGTTAGTTATCTTCAAATTGAGGTTGCCTTTAGTATTATATCCAATGATTATACGGGAATATTGCAGAGTTTATTCATCCTCTACTATTTCTACATCATTCCCACATATGTGGTCGCCAGAATAACGCAGCTCGCAATTCCTTATATGCTCATTTTCGCGACACTTGAACGATTATTTTGGACATCGAAAAAGAAGTATGTATTTTTTTATCGCATTTCTAAATTTCCGATTTCATTCGAATTCATTCAGGAATCCAGTTCTGAAGGCGTTCCATTCGACGACGGGCCGTCATGTCACCGTCATCGTCTCGCTCATCTGCTGTTGCGTTCTTCGTCTTCCGACGGCATTCGCAATAATGGTCGAGGAATACCCGAAATGTCCCGACTTTTTCCGAACGATGACCACAAATCCAAGGCAAGCGATACGAATTGAAATGAAATTGACGCCTACTTCAGAAATGCTTGACAAGTGTTTTAAAAATCGAGAACGATTTCTCAAGATGATGTCCTTCAAGACAAAAAAAAATACGAACGCATGATTTCAGGGAGTGGGTTCTCAATAGCGAAGTCTATCGGATATTCGATTTTCACGTGATGACGATTGCTCAAACAATGGTCCCATTTGTGCTTCTCGTTGTTCTGAATTTGGTAATTGTGAAGAGGATGTGCTCGGATAGTCTTCAAAAAGAAAAAGAGAAGGAGAAAGAGAAAGAGCCGCAGACTTCTGAAGTTTGCTATCAAGAAGATCGACTGCTAACGAAACAAGTGGCGGTTCACAAATCTTCAACAAGTGCGTGGTTGGTCGATCTCCTAAAACGATGGCATATCCAAATAAAGGAATTATGCCATTTTTGGGGAATCCGTGTGTGTATAGTTAGATGCAACGCGAACTGTGCCGTATTTTTGTCGTCTGCTTCCGCTTCATTTCTGTTGCTATGATTGAACTACAGTTTCAGCCATCGGGCTTTCGCTACAGCCATTGAAGAGCATGTCTCCGGCTGTGCGAAGCGCTGTGTTCACAATGGGAGCCATCGTCACTTCCTATTTGATTTCCAATGTTCTCCATCTGATTCTGACGGTTCTCGAAAGATCCGATCATCGAATTCTGAAGTCCGACGAGGATCCGCTGCTGTCTTCAGCGTTTCACACATTCTTTTCGGACGCTGTTTCATTCACCTACATGTTCACCTCAGCTATTCGAATACTCATTTATTATGCATGTAATCCAAAGATTCGAAACGATTTAATCGATTTTTTCGCCAATCGCAAAAATGCCGTGTACTTATGAGATCTCTCCGATACACATTTCTCCTCTCCTTTATATTAAAAACTGGATTTGTTTGATTCGAGTTTTTATTTATTATTTTGAATAAATCTTTTCCAATGAGGCCAAACGTTTCACCCATTCATCCAATCCGGTTCGTCGTTTTGTTTGACCGTATAATTTTTTGATCCTGCTAGCAGAATGTCATGGAATGTCTGAATTACCTTTGAGCAATATCTAAAAACAAGTTTTCAATTTTTTTTTGCAAGAAAACAGGAAGTTTACATGTATCTTTTTTTCGATGGCTCCTGAAACATGCTGAGTTTAATTGGGTGCATCGCCACCATCGAAGAATTATACTTGGAAGGCCATTGGCCGCGGTTACCCCACAAGTATAATTTAGTTAATTCACGGGCTCTGTAACATTTAATTTCTATGATCAATTTTGTTAAATCAGAATAAAATTCGGTTACGTTTTGTGAGGAACACTTCGCAGAAACTTGTTGACAGCCAATTCCAGGAAGAGCCGATGCCGGTAAAATATTCGCATAAGCTTCGAGTAGTACTCAATTTTACTAGATGGAATATAATAGCTGTAATTGATAATTAGTCAATTAGGAGAAAGACAACAAAAACCTACAAGTCTGATAAACTGCGAGATTTTCCTAGAAGCATATCATCAAACGCGGTTTGAGATTCATTTATATATTTGTACAAACGAAGCTGTATTGATAAATATTTAACAATTAATTATTTTATAACGAATAATAAACCCCATCTTCAAATTCCTTCCATGTTGAAAGAATCTCAGGATCTGTTGTGTTTTTGATGAAATCCACGATATCATGTGCTTTAGAAAGCCCTAAACTGTTTAGCTTAATACATATTTTCCTTTTAAAGTGTTACCGTAACGTCTTGTCCACCAAAGTCGATCATTCAAAAAAGCGATTCCCGTCAAATGGAAAACTTTTGAGAAATCGATATTTTGCCACAAATTGAATACGGTATCATCAGCCATATGAATGTAGCCATCGATATTATTCAAACGTAATTCCTTGGCCAATGTCAAACATTCGTATCCGAAATATCCATGGTACATTTCTTCGGAATTCATATGGATGTAATTGAAAGAATTGAGAATATCGGGAAAACCCTTTGAATAAGAATAGTAAACATTCGGATAGAATGGTCCGCAGAAGATTGTCGTCGCAAAATATGGTTGGTATAATCTTTGAATCAATCCAATATCCCATCGCCAATCGAAATTGCTCACAACAATCAGAGCATTCCTCGAATGCTTCGAGAGAATTGGATCATTTTTGTGTCTTTCCGCTAATTCGGAAGCTGTTGGAAAGGAATTAGTCATTTCTGCGAAAAATCGCTTATTAGATCATTGTATTTTTTTTGATTTTTGGCTCACAAAAAGTGGCTCATACTTACTATATTCTTTGGCTCGCGAATTTTGGCTTGTGATCGGCTGCCATTACCCAGAAAAAAGACAATTGCCAATAATTTGTTTGAAATCGCTGGATGGAGGAACGTCTACTTTTTGTCTTAATGGGGGAAAAGACTGGATAAAGTTGAAAAATTGTATTTATTGAATGGGGGGGGGTAAGATTATTGCTTCATTTTTTATTTCTGTAAGCGTAAAAATTACGAAATTGTTTTTTTTTTCTGGAATTTCACCAATTATGGATTTCAAAGAGAACAGTTAATGGATCGAAACTTATTTCGAATATCTGGCCAATGTTCATTGACTCATACTTTTTGACTTGACACATGATTTTTGACTAGTGATTTTTGACTAATTTTTTTTTTGACTAACAATTTTTGACTAATGATTTTCTGAATTTTTTTAGTTGAAATTCCTGCAGTTTTTTCAGTATTCAATTCTGTTTTTTTTTTGGCCAATATTGATGGGTAAGAAGCTGAAGGGTGGGAGGAATTGGGGGAAAGATTATTACTGAAAGGAAAAAAAGTTATTTTAACTTCTGTAAGCATAAAAAATTGTTTTTTTTTTCAAAGAGAAGCTTAGGCCCAGTTAAGCGGATCCACCGAAGGAATCGACTGTAACATTAAACGAATATCCGTAGTAGGTCAAATGATATGTATGATTTGATATTTTTAGTAGTCTCCGTTAGTTTAATGAAAACAACTAAACACAGTTTTTATTCGCTATCATGTATTATTTAGCGTGAATAAAGGAGGGAAATGGATGGAATAACGCGATAAGTGATTTTTTATTAATTTATTTTGCAAATTATTTTAGCTTATTCGGTCAGGCCTGTTTTAAAACGGCATAATTTTCGATTTCTCATCAAAATTCAGGAAAAACGGAGTATTCAAAAAAATTATTAAAAACTTTTAAAATTAATCAGTCATTGAAATTTTCGATACATCATTATACCGTTAAACCTTTATCAAAATGGTACTTCTAACAAAACAGCCTTCAAAAAACTTCTCAAAGTATAACAATGTGTTATTTTTGCTAAAATAATTTGCAAAATAAATTAATAAAAAATCACTTATCGCGTTATTCCATCCATTTCCCTCCTTTATTCACGCTCAATAATAAATGATAGCGAATAAAAACTGTGTTTAGTTGTTTTCATTAAACTAACGAAGACTACTAAAAACATCAAATCATACATACCATTTGGCCCACTACGGATATTCGTTTAATGTTACAGTCGATTCCTTCGGTGGATCCGCTTAGCTGGGATTAAGCTTCTCATTGAAATCGATAAGCGATGAAATGCCAAAAAAACAATTTTTTATGCTTACAGAAGTTAAAATAACTTTTTTTCCTTTCAGTAATAATCTTTCCCCCAATTCCTCCCACCCTTCAGCTTCTTACCCATCAATATTGGCCAAAAAAAAAACAGAATTGAATACTGAAAAAACTGCAGGAATTTCAACTAAAAAAATTCAGAAAATCATTAGTCAAAAATTGTTAGTCAAAAAAAAAATTAGTCAAAAATCACTAGTCAAAAATCATGAGTCAAAGAATAAAAAATCATGATACAATTTTTATGAGTCAAAAATCATGAGTCAAGTCAAAAAGTATGAGTCAATGAACATTGGCCCGAATATCTTACAAAACAAAAGAATTCGTGGAGTAAGCTTATAATTGTATCAAGGCACTCAATAATCGGAATAATTAGGTTCAGGCAGAGTCCGCGCAAGACTTGCAAGACCAACATTGCACAAGATGTGTATAGATTCTTAGGATTCCAGCTGGGTCGATCCATCTAAGGAGTCCACTGTAAGATCGAACGAATATTCGTAGTGGATCAATTATCTATATGGTTAGATATTTTTAGTAGTCTCCGTTAGTTTAATGAAAACAATAAAAGACAATTTTTATTTAGTAACATATTTATTTAAAACAATTTTAAAAATTAGTAAAACATTAATTTGCAAAAAAAAATATATTAAAAATTCACTTATCGCGTTACTCAATCCCTTTCCCTTCCTTATTCGAACTATCTGTGGCTTTTACTTCTTATGACTTGTTCTCTCTTTCTGCAAATATTCCAGTTTAACATAATCTTTAAATTTCAAAATAAAAATTGCGTACGTAAAATTATTTTTTGAAAGAATATGCTCATAGATTAAACTGAAATTTACCTTTGGAAACGTCAAATATTGTAAAAGAATCCAATACGCTAGTAAAGTCCTCGAATCGCTCAATCTGTAAAATTTAATATAAGTAACTCGTATAATTCCCACTAGTAATAAAAAAAACCTTAAAAAACGACGAAGAATGTTGCGAAAGAAAGAGAAGTATGTGTAAAAATTATTACTTATTAAATTTACTAATGTTTGAAAACGTTTTGCGCGGTTAGAGACAGCAAAGAAGTATTTTAAAAAGAAAAATAGGCCGAAAATTTAAAAAAATGTTCGGTGAAAACACGCAGTCCGTAAACACTCTACGACTAATTGCACAGATATACCGTAGGGCGAACATTTTTTATTTTATTTTTAGCCTATTTTTCTTTTTAAAATCCTTCTTTGCTGCTTTTAACCGCGAAAAACGTTTTCAAACATTAGTAAATTTAATAAGTAATAATTTTTATACACACTTCTCGTTCTTTCGCGACATTCTTCGTCGTTTTTTATTACTAGTAGGAATTTTACAAGTTATTTATATTAAATTTTACAGATTGAGCGATTCGAGGACTTTACCAGCGTATTGGATACTTTTACAATATTTGACGTTTCCAAAGGTAAATTTCAGTTTAATCTATGAGCATATTCTTTCAAAAAACAATTTTACGTACGCAATTTTTATTTTGAAATTTAAAGATTATGTTAAACTGTAATTATTTGCAGGAAGAGAGACACAAGTTCTAAGAAGTAAAAACCACAGATAGTTCGAATAGAGAAGGGAAAGGGATTGAGTAACGCGATAAGTGAATTTTTATTAATTTTTTGCAAATAAATGTCTTATTAATTTTTAAAATTGTTTTAAATAAATATGTTAAAATATGTTATACCGTCAATCCTGTTCTCAAACGTATCATTTTCGATTTTTCGAAGCTTTTTTTTGTACAAATTTCAAAATAACATTGCCCAATATTTCTTATTTTGCTATTTCTCATTGAAATTCAGGAAAGACGTTATATAGAAAAGACACGGTTACATGTGAAAAGTTTTTTGAAAGCTGTTTTGTTAGAAGTACTATTTTGATGCAGATTTTACGGTAAAAATGATCTATCGAAAAATTTCAATAATTTATTAATTTTTAAAAGTGTTTTTAATAAATATGTTATTGAATAAAAACTGTGTTTATGTTGTTTTCATAAAACTGACGGAGACTACTAAAAATATCTAACCATATATACATATATCACAAGTTCTATTACAGCCGAGTTCACGGCGAGTTCCACTTTGTGGTGCCACCCTAAAAATCAAGGGACGAGTAAGAAACGAGGAGCAAAAAATTATTGGCAATTGTCTTTTTCTTGTTAAAGGCAGCCAAAGGTCACAAGCCAAAATTCGCGAGCCAAAGAATATACAGTGAATATGTTGGGATTTTGTCCCGCGCACTTGGCAAAACCGTAGTGGCCGCGGCCGACAAAGGCGCGCGCCGACTCGGGCCGGTGTAGTCCACCCGGAGAAGCTCTCACTTCTTGCGCCGCCCATCCTGGTTTTCTTATTATTCTACCTTCATTTTGTCATTTCTACTTTATCTAAGTGTCGCCACGTCATCCCACGCGCAGTTACACGTGTGAGAGTCGCGCATTCATGATTATAGTGCGTTGTTTATGGATGCAAAGAGTTTTCATTGTTTAAATTAAGTTAAGCTATTTTAAGTGTTCTGACTGATCGTCCTTATTGTTTATTGCCGTTATACTCTTTTGTCATTCGTTGCGTTGTTTATTTTCGGGTTTAATTACCCAAGTTTGAGGTTATCCAATAAAGCTTGGTAAAGTATTCTGTGCACGCGTGCAACAATAACCTAACAACCAACTTGTGCCATTGGAAGAAAGCAGCAAGAAAATCACAGCGTTTGCAGCCCTTGACAAATTGTATGAATTCAATGTTCTTCCGTTTGGACTATGCACAAGCCCTGCGCTCTTTCAGAGGCTGATGGAAGAAATCTTCGAAGAAAGATTGGGGGATAGCATATTCGTATATATCGACGATGTTTTGATCGCAACGGAGACGGTGGAACAACATAAAATGAATCTGGAATGGGTATTGAGTAGAGTCGAGCAGTGCGGAATGAAGGTTAAGGCGAAAAAGTGTGCTATTGGACAGGATGCGGTAAAATACCTGGGACATAGAATTGATGGAGGAGGCGTGACGACGAGAAAATTATAGCGATTCGGAATTTTCCTCGTCCAACATGTCGATCGGAATTACAGTCGTTTTTGGGAATGGCAGGGTATTATCGACGATTTATCTACAAATACAGCAAAATTGCGGCACCGCTGCACCCACTAACAGCGGCGAAGACGCCATGGCGTTGGCAACGCGAACAAGAGGAGGCGTTTATAACAATTAAAGAATTGTTGGTACAGGCGCCAGTTCTGAAACAACCGGACGTCGAAGCCGCTAGATCGTACGTGAGACCATTTCTGATCTTCACGGACGCATCAGAAAAAGGAGTCGGAGCCGTACTTGCACAAGAAGGAGAAGATGGAGAGATTCACCCGGTAGCATTTGCATCTAAAGCACTGACGGGCTCTGAGCGGAGATATCATGTGACAGATCAGGAGGCATTGGCCATAGTGTTTGCAGTAAAACGTTTTCGTATGTTTATTTACGGAACCAGAATCAAGGTCTACACCGATCATCAGCCACTCACCTGCCTCTTTAAAAAGAAGAACTTAGCAGATCGATTGCTGCGATGGTCTCTCGAATTAAGCGAATACAGTATCGAGTATATTTACGTTAAAGGAAAAGCTAATGTGGTAGCAGATGCATTGAGTAGGGGAGGAGTAAAGGCTACGACGCTGAACGAGAAGGAGGAGCAGGAAGAAATACCGGTGGAGATTGAACGAATAGTGGGCGAAGTCTCGACGAAAGTTCGAGCATGGGATGAGTGGGTTGAGGAGGGAGAATTATGGTCGATATTGAAGGAAAAGCTGGAGAATGGAGAGGATTCTGGAGAAACGGTGAAGGAAGATAAGCGAGGACGTGGGGTTAAGGTGACAGATTTTGAACTCGATGAAGACAAGATAGTACGAAGGAAGAAGGGGCAACAGAAGGTGGTGCCAAAGGCAATCAGGAGAAAATTGTTCCAGGAATTACATAGTGGAGAATTGGGAGGACATTGGGGAATAGGAATGACGTCGAGGTGGCTGGCGGAAAGGTATTGGTGGCCAGGATTGCATCAGGACGTTGAAAAATGGTGTAGAGAATGCAAGAACTGTGTGATGGTGAATGCGCAAGGGAAGTTGACGGCGCCATTGCATCCGTACGAAACCAGTCGACCCCTCGAAATTGTCGCCGTTGATCTAATCGAAATGGGGATTGCAGAAAGTGGCAATAAGTACATATTGTGCATTATCGACCTATTTACCAAATTCGCAAGTGCTATTCCAATTGCTAGCAAATCTGCTGAAGTTGTGGCGAAAGCATTCTTGGAAGAGTGGGTGTTGAAAGAAGGACGTGTTCCAGAGAAAATTCTGACGGATCAAGGACGAGAATTCATGAATGAGACGTTCACCAGAGTAGTAGAATTGGTGAAAGCTGAGCATATCACTACGAAAGGTTACGATTCTCGCGCGAACGGAGCTGTTGAGCGATTCAATAGAACCCTAGAAGAAGGATTACGGAAAACGACACTGATGATGTCTAGGTGGGACGAAAGAGTGGCTTTCGTGGTGTTCGCTTACAATGCATGCGTACATACGACTACAGGGGAGACACCGTTGTATCTAATGACCGGACGAGATCCACGAATACCATTGCAGATGGATCCTCATCTTGAGGTGAGACCCCACCATGTCGACGTAGATAGTTACAAGTGGAAACAGACAGAGGAGTTACAGAGAGCATATGATTTAGTGAGGGAGAGAGCGAAGAAAGAGAGGGAACGAGCCAAACGAGAATTTGATGAACGGAATAAGGTGGAAAGTAAGGATTACCCGAATGTTGGAGATAGGGTATTGATGAAAGTGCCATCAGAAAAAGCAGGAGCGAAATATCCAAAGTTGACCAATGAGTGGCAGGGTCCATACCGAGTGGTGGAGAAAACAGAGACAGCGGTCGTATTGGAGCCAACTGTAGGAAAAGGGAAAGGGTCGTCTATTAGAGTGGCAATGGATCAGGTTAAACGAGTTCCGAAGAAGTTTTTAGATGAGCCAATAGTGACTAGGAAAAATAGAAAGGGGAGAAAGGTTGCGCAGGTGTGTAGGGTTCAGATAGGCGCGAATCCAGCACAGATTTTTCAGAACAGGGATAAACAGATAGATTGCAGAGACATCGTGGACGGATGCGGGAGCAGAGATTGTACGGGAACAGTCACCTGGAATGGTCTCAAAGTGACCCCGCAATCAATGCTGGAGGCCGCAAGAGCATTGGCAGCCATCCGACACCTGCAGAAACCATCAGAACTCTTGGTAGCATCGTTAATGCAGGAGGAAGAATCCGACAGATGGACCCAACGAAAGGATTGGAGTACAGCGGTCACCATGTTTGCAAGATGTCCCCGTATCATCGCGGAGGTTTTAGCACCCCGTGCCATGTTGCAGAGCCGTTACGCGACACAATTAGCCGAAGTGAAGCTGGATATCCGCAATGAGCTTCACCAGCTCGAATCGCAATCCCGAACAGTTATCGTGCCGAAGGAGTTTGGAAGGAATGGACCAAGGAATTGGAGGACGTACCACAATGGTCGGGAGTTGCAGGCTGAGGCAGCAAGGAGAGCCACGCTGACGATTATCATCCTTCGTCTAGATACAGAATTGGTCGAAGCAGTCGATAAAGTCGTCAACAACACCGCAGGAAAATTGGTTCTCCTCCCAGCGGGATTCCCGGAGCTCCAAAAGTTGAGCGAAGTACTCTCGAACATGGAGGAGTGGAAAGACAGATTTCAGAAGTGGACGCGGACGGGAGTAATTACTCTTGGACCCATGGACAAAACACCGTCCGCCAATGAGTATTTAGGCGAACAAATTAAGCCAAGACTGGGAGCGGGTGGTGAGTATACGACGGCAGAGATCGAGGAGGTGGTTGCGACGTATGTACAGATGCAACCGGAAGTTGTATCGCTGAGCAAGGACGTGCAGGAAGCAATAGCTCGGATGAATGGAGGAGCACGACGCGGCGACGGGTCAGAAGCGAAGCGATCGCGTTGGGCGTGAACCGATTGGTTGCCTCGTATGTTAAATGTTTTATTTTTATTATTCGTTAATTTTTATTATTCGTTTGTTCCCTAGCACTTTTATACCCTACCCACATCATGTATCTCTAGCGCGTGTTATAGTAGGAATTAGGATATTAGGAGATGAGGCGTAAAAACAACAGTAAAATTTATTGTGTAGTTATGAGTAGGTGTTGAGAACACGTGCGCAATAGTGGTGTTGAGGGCAACACTTACGGGATGCGGGGGGATGTTGGGATTTTGTCCCGCGCACTTGGCAAAACCGTAGTGGCCGCGGCCGACAAAGGCGCGCGCCGACTCGGGCCGGTGTAGTCCACCCGGAGAAGCTCTCACTTCTTGCGCCGCCCATCCTGGTTTTCTTATTATTCTACCTTCATTTTGTCATTTCTACTTTATCTAAGTGTCGCCACGTCATCCCACGCGCAGTTACACGTGTGAGAGTCGCGCATTCATGATTATAGTGCGTTGTTTATGGATGCAAAGAGTTTTCATTGTTTAAATTAAGTTAAGCTATTTTAAGTGTTCTGACTGATCGTCCTTATTGTTTATTGCCGTTATACTCTTTTGTCATTCGTTGCGTTGTTTATTTTCGGGTTTAATTACCCAAGTTTGAGGTTATCCAATAAAGCTTGGTAAAGTATTCTGTGCACGCGTGCAACAACAACCTAACAACCAACTAATATACAGAATATACAATATACAGTGTAGTAAGTACGAGCCACTTTTTGTGAGCCAAAAATCACGAGCCAAGCCACTTTTCATAGGCCACTACTAATTGGCCGTAACCAACCATTATAGCCACTTTCTCGACACCACTCTTCAATTTCGCCGAAATTGGCCATTTTTGCCTCAGCTCTTGTAAGTTCCTGAAAAATTGATCGTAATTGCCTAATTTATACGATTGCTTACTGACCGAATTGACTTCATAATTCAAACTTATTCGTCGGCAATTAACCGCAAAATCTGATTCATTTTGTGATGGCAATAATTGATCATCCTCTTGACTCAAATTGGGAAATTCGTATCTATAATTCGAGATCCTATTTCTTTTTTTTCAATTTTCATGACTACTTTAACATTTTAAGATCTTTGATGAACAATTTGATTAATTGAGCATCTTCGAACTTCCACAATTCATTTTCAGCGAATATCACTGCTAATTCCTCCATGCATTCTTCAATATTATCCCTCGTGCAATTCCATTTACTAATGACGTCAACCATCTTGCCAGCATCTTTGTAAACTTGCTGCTCATCGTTGAAATCTTTCAAATAGTCATGAGCATTCCGAAATTGGACCGCATTCACTGGCACAAAAGCGACCGAGAGGCCCGAGAGATGAAGAATTGCTTGAGCAAAATACGATCTCCATATATCAGTTGTTCTAAATGTGGAATCGGATCATTTCCGAAAATATGACATTCGAACCGAAACGATACTGTGGTAGGAAGAAATAATGTGTGAAAAGCCGATTTATGGAATAGAGTATTCTGCGAATTCCACGGCGAATAAGTTCGTGGGGCCAATGTGATAGGCGGTGCGAATTCATTGAATTTAACATCGAGTCCCGAATTTGGATCAGCATTTAACAGCCTTGAAATCCATATAATTTCATTAGATTTACTATCATTCTAGAAATTACCTATATATTGCATCAACGTCCGGATCATGATGCACCAATCCTTGTTGAACAGAAGCTCTCGGCATTTTCGTGCACAACGTCATTCGATCGCCACCATTTGTGTGGCTCTTCAGAGATTCCAATGGAAATCCTCTCGGCCACATATCAACCATTCCAAAGAAGCTGTATGGATTGAATAGCCTTCGTCTGAATCATTCTTCTAATGAAGAAAAGAACAAATCAAGACTAGCCTAATATCCGAGTATTTTGGAAAGAATCGAACTCCCGAAACCGATTCAGTATAATCAAATTGATCCAATCCTTTTCCTAAAAAAAACTGAAAAATGATAAGCAATTTCAAACAACGAACCGTATGGTTTGTTATCATCATCGGTATCATAAATCCATTCAGCGCCATGCGAAATTGCATACAAATAGCCAATATTTTTTCGAGTATACGACTTATAAGGTAGATAGTTTATTATGGAAAATGCTGAAAATCGATTTGTTTGTGATAGAAGGAACATATCGAAAATGATACGCAGTGTTTTTTGATAGTCGACCGAAAGAAAATGGACCCCGGGCAAACTCCAGTTTGTCGGGGTTTTTGTGTCGGCCACAACTACGAGATTCCAGTCGGCGAACGACGACAACCTCTGCATAGCAATTATCTCCATATTTGCATTTCACATTCATTAAACGGGCTCACCTTAATATCGTTTGTTGGTCCGCTGATACTTGTCACTACAATCCATTTTTTGCCCGGCTTGATTTCTGCGACCGGCGGCACATTTGAATTATGTCTAAAAAAACAGCACACATTTCATTTTTTTTTTAACTAAATGTTGCTCACGTTTTCAGATTGAATGGTTCAAACATTCTGTATTCTATGAGGCTTATGTCTGCGGAATAAATGAACAAAATGATGCCGAATATAGAAAAAATTAGAAGCGGAAGAAAACATGCCGAATATTTGGGGAACATCATCTGAAAGGTAGCACCATTTTCCATGGTTTTGTTCAATAAATTCACCACGCCACAACAAAATGAGGCTTATGAAAATACAATGTTTACCCCTATAGTATTACTGCTTGGTGATTCTCAAAAAAATTTCATTTTGTGGAAAAGCCTATAAAAGTATATGTATGTATATGATCAAATATTCAATAATGCAATAATCGATGTCATTCTGAATACTTTCATGAAAATATGAATGAGTAGCATTTTCTGTAAAAATAAATAAGACTTATTGGCGTTATACTATATATACAGTGTTCCACAAAACTATTAGGTCTAGAAATTAAGTTCCGCGTTTTTTTTCGCATATTAAACTATAAAAAACTGGCAAACTTAAACAAAATTTCCATTCAAAATATTTTCCGTCATTAATAACAACATTTTCCCAGAATTTTGGCAACTTATGGATTCCATCATAATAGAATTTTTCTGGTTTGGACGCAAGAAAGCGCTGCTCCGCCAGACCATGAGCTATTGTCCGGAAAAGATGATAATCCGACTGGGCAATGTCCGAAGAGTACAGCGGGAGGCGGTATGATTTTCCAATAGAACTGTTTCAGCGTATCCTTCACCGCTTGAGCAACATGCGGCCTTGCGTTGTCATGAAGCACCTTTTCATGTCGAGCCAGTTCAGAATACAGAATTCCTTGTTGGTCCCACCATATGCACAGTAAGATCTTCTTCCCGTGGATGTTCGGTTTTGCGCGGTCGAAGTCGTCGGTTCACCGGGATTAACCCACGATTTTCTTCTCTTCTGATTGTCGTAGTACACTGGTAGTGTAAAAAAGACTTTCTTTGAAATCTGTCCAGCAAGATTTTGAAGTAGTTTTTCTCAGCTCTTTGTTACGTTCTAACAGCTTATAGGGCATCCATTTTCCTTCCTTTTGAATCTTCCCCATTGCTTTCAATCGATGAGAAATTGCTTTTTGCGTGACGCCGAAAGATGCAGCGAGTTGCTCCTGTGTTTGTGCCGAATCTTCATCCAACAAAGCCTGAAGTTCTTCGTCTTCAAATTTGTTTTGGCTGTCCTGATCGGTCTTTGTCGTTGACGTCAAAATCTCCCGATTTGAAACGCTGAAACCATTCTTAGCAGGTTCTTATGGATGGTGCAGCATCGCCGCAAGCTTGGACAAGAATTTGGTGCACGTCAGTGGCTTTCTTGTTGAGTTCGAAAAGGAAAAGAAGAGCTCCCCGCAAATGACGTTTTTCTGGCTCAAAGGTGGACATATTCTGAACCCAAAATAATGATTTTCTATAAAGTACGTGAAAAAAGTTATATATAATTAGAAAGCTGATAATACAGAGAAAATTATAACATACATAAAATTCGTTACATAAAAATAATTTCATTTTGGCAAAATATCAACAGGAAAAAAACGCGGAAATTAATTTCTAGACCTAATATATACCCACCCTAATTTTGTCGAATAACTGGAAAACGCGAATACCTCCAGAAATGGTTTCAATTAAAAAAATATGCGTATTTATTATTAGTTTCATGTTACATTCACAAAATTCAACAAAAAATAGCAATTTAAAAAATTTCGTCATTTTCACAAAAAAGTGGAAAAAAATTCCACAAAACTATATACCCACTTGATAAAAAACTCAGAAAAAAGCATGGAGAGTTAGAATTAGAAAGAAAATGATTGCCTTTTTGAGATCCGTAATTGAATGAAAAGACTTGTTGCCATTGTAAATTTTACTATTCGCGTTTTCGAGTTATTCTACAAAATTGGGGTGGCTATTTAGTTATGTGGAGCACTGTATAGAATAGTCAGCACTCTGACGCCACACGGCGTTATTTTGGAGAAATCTGAAATATTGGAATCATTGAAAATACAAAAAATCAGAAAATCTGCAATAATTCCTCATTTCACCACTAAATTCGGATCAAAACCTACCAATTTTGTGACTGTTTTTTAAATTTGCTTTTGAAGAAAAAATTGAATTGTTTTAAAAATTATCCAAGTATCTTGAACCGATATTTCCGAGTTTTATATTTATTTTATCTACTGAAAAACAATAATGAAACAAAAACCTCAAGATAACATAATATTCAATAGAATACATTTAGTTACAGTCAACTGAGCTCATATTCCATCAGATGTTTACACATATGTATGTTCAAATAAACCGTTTATTTGAGACCGTAACAGTATTCCATAATATTTGAGCAATCCCTTGATTTGGATTGAAATTGATCAATGATACAATGAGAATGTATTGAAAATTTGAAATAATGATAAATTAAGAAACGATTTCGAGTTGAGAACTCTGAGTCTTCTGAATTGAATTTGGCACCCTGAAAAATATTATTTAATTATGTAGTATAAATGAATTAATTAGTTGACCGTATTTGGAAAAAAGTCACCACCGATGCTATTGAGAAAAATGCCAATATCACCATATGATATTTCAATGAAAAATATGAGGAGTAAAACATTGCGATGCAACTCGCGATTGACTGAAATTAGAAATTGCCATAACTGGTGTAATCGGGAAGGTTTCTTCTTTTAAAATTGGCCTTGAAAAGTTAAAAAAAAAATTTTTTAAAGAAAGTTGACGTTAACGGTTACAATGGTTAATGGTTTCCAAAAGATTTTCTCTGTTTTTTTAAAATTAATTTAGTTCGCATTTTTTTGCATCTAATCTAAAAATCTCCGACCATTGAGATCCATTTCAAATGATACAAAAACAGTATATGACTAAATAATAACTTGATAGAATCTGTAGACTGCGAACGCCTCAATTCGATTCACGTGCTCATAGATATCACTGATGATTGTGTAGCACTGCATATTGAATATCGTATCACCGATGCCGAGTAAAATTCCGATCAGAATGACCACAACTGGCTGAGGTGAGATGTAGCCGATTTCGTTTGTCACCGATAGAGGGGAGTCGTCGGGGAATGAGAAGAATATAAGAATGAAGCTGGAAATGTGAACAATGAATCCAAGGAGGACCATATTCTTCCGGCCGAACGCGCGGACCCGTTCACCCATTATTGACAATAACGCACATCCTGCAATCAATCAATTGTTTCGAATATCGTCGAACACAAGAAACTTTTTGAGAATTGATTTTTTTTTGAATTTCGAAGGTTAAGAAATAAAATAATTATCTTAAATGTCAATACACTTGGGAATTTTCAGATTTTTGTGCAACATTGGATGCTTCTTCGAAGAAGCTACCACCATGATAGTAAAGATTTCCATTCCCTGCATTTCCATTTTGATGGTTATCAGATTTGTTTTAAATGCCCACATCTGACACATTCAATATGATTTCTCATCGATCAATCATTCACCAAAAAAGCTAGTCGGTTCCTACCTGTAATCGAACCGATGCCAACACAAACCACGGATATTGCATTCAAATCACGATTGTTGCCTAATGCGGTTGTGAATGATATCATTGTGGGATATACCACTGAATTATTATTATTTTTAGATTGTTGAACGAAGAATGAACCTGAAAAGAATGAGAGCTCGAATCCCGTGTACAGAAATGTGAATAAAAGGAGAAGCAGGTTGCGATGTAAAGAAACCTTGCCGATTTCAGCTGAAGATCAAAAAAAATATTTTGTATGTTTTAGAGAGGCTTACTTAAATGTTGAAAGTATGGAACGTTGTATTTCTCGGCCTTATATGCAGGCTTTTCGAGGAACACGGCTATAATGAAACTGATGATTGTGCATGCGAGAAATGATAGTAGAATAAATCGGATCTGAACAAAATTGAGAGCCTTCGAATCTCTTGAAATAAAATTCTACCAATGACATATCATACGAATCGCCTGGCGCAAATCGATAAATGATTAGTAAATATATTCCGCCGAATATGAGTCTACAAAAATTTTTTTCTTTCCGTTTTTTGGGTCATATTTTACGATATTTGTGTAAGTCCCCAGAGTGTTGAAGAGTTTTTGTCCAACGTATTCGGCTGACAATTTTGTGCAAGATAATCGAACTGTCCAGTCCATAATACTTAACGCAGAAATGTCATTTTTTCACTGTTTGATTCATTGAACAAACGTGATCCCGAGAATCCGGCCATGGCTGCGGTGAAATACATAAATGGCTCATTGATTATCAAGAATGAGAGCTCGTATAATGCGTAGCCGAAAATTCCGGAGACAATTGACCATTTCGGTGTGATATAGTCAACGATTGGAGTGGCCACAATATGGCCAAGAGAGAATATCAAATAAATGAGGAATCCACAGAAATAACCGGCGTGTTTACTGATGTTCTGGCTCTTCGATAATTCTTCAACTAAGGTTTGGGTTAGCGATGCTGAAATGCATTCAATATCCACATTCCCCCGTTTATTTTTAGTAGATCATCCATTTCCGATTTTTCAAAATCATATAATTTTGTTTTTTTTTTGTTTTTACCTGTTCGAATGTTATGAATTTACGTTAGTAGATTTACTTTACAGAAAATCATCATAATAACTCAAACTGGTTTTGTAGAGATCAATAAAACAGAAAACAAATATATTATTTGGATTTTCAGCGGAGACCTGTACATGAATATTTTATGTACGTTTATAAGCAGAAATTAAATCGATTTCTAATTGACAAATATTAATCTCTGAACTCAACAAAATTTCCAAATTAGAACAGATTTGTTGAAGCGAGTCTAGTGTCCTTTTTTTAATTTTAGATCAAATATGTGATTTATGACTGTAATTTGGTATTGAATTCTCGGAAATTGGCAAAAAATAAAGTTATTTGAGGAATTCTTACCGTTATTTTTTGATCCCTTTTGCGGAATCTATCATAAAATGGAATTCAATAATCATATGAAAAAGCGCTGATGCAGAAATTTTGAAAGCAGCATGACGAAATTTTTATTCGAAATGAAAAATCGGAATTTGACATGATATGTCATTAAAAAAGATTTTCGAAGAACTTTTTGAAAGATTCACACAAAGATAAATCGGTTTCCTGTCAGTTCCTTTAGAGATTACTGTAGATTTGACAACATACATAATGTGAAGAATGAGAAGAAATTGAAGAAGAACACGAATCCGAGTTGATGAATATTAATGAACGCCTTTGAGGTGGATGACATTGTAAGTGATCGGAATCGGAATCGGCTGAATCGAATATAGCCCAGGCAAAAAGTTTTTGGTTCGAAAAGAGACGCAGAATCGACACAACTCCTCCTCTTCCCCTCCCTCCCTTCCTCCCTGATTCCTCTTGTTTTTACACTAGCCAAAATACCGTTAATCCTTTAAAATTTTTATTAATTATGTATTAAGCCACCCGAAACGAGACAATCAATTAGAATCAAATCAAAGGTAGGTCGCGAAAAACTTTTGCTCTTCGTTGTTGTTGCTCAGCGGCTGAAGCACTCTGCAATTCAAGTTTTTCTTCAATTTCAGCCCAATTCGTCCCTTACTCTTCAATTTCCTCGTTCTCGTTGATTTCACTGTAATGAGCATCGGCGAATATCTTCTGAACCATCAGAATACAATAGACGAGAATCCAGACGGCTGCGGCTACGAGCAAAACGGGAAACACGTCGGAGAGGCCCATTCTAGAATTTCATCTGAAATTTTTGATTTGATTTGGAGCCTAATTTGCGGTTCATTTTATAAAAGTTAATTTGCGCTCAAATAGGAGTAGAAACCTCGAATATAAAATGTCCCAAATTGAGACCCGCTGCAGTTCTACGCTCTTACCTAATAAGGTAATTAGAGAAAAAAAAAACAACAACAACAATCATCAACAATTGAACATAATTAAGCTCTTGTCTCGATTGAAAATGCTTAGGGCAAAAAAGCAAACCGTCTAAATATTATATGTAGAAAGAATTGAAGTCTATAATTTCAAGTTTTTATTCTTAGCCGCAACATTATTTGTGAAAAAAAAAAAAACATTTGACCATGTTTCAAAAAAAAAAAACCAAAACAAAATTAGAATTCATTTGTTTTCGAAGAACCTTCACATTTGTTTCATTAAATATGAATTGGTCTGGTTATTCTGCAACAAAAAAATGACAATAACTAACGTCTATACGGTGAGTATTTGTTTTGTTTTCAAAAAATGAGCCACCATTTTGAAAGCGGAAATATTCAGTTGGTTCGAAATTGATGTCAAATTCAACTATCTGGCAAACGCGATATTACTCCGATGCACCTTTAAACGAGGTCTCGCACCGATCTCATTTTCCTTGTTTTTACAAGAAACACAACTATAGAAACAACTTTTTTGAAATAAAAAAATGGTGTACACCATGAAAAAAACTATTCAAACCCACTTGAAAACTTTCAGAATTTTCGATTTTATCTGTTGAATCAGTATTAGATTTTTTGATTTAAAGTGGCTACTAAACAAATATCATCCAGTATATTTCAGATGTATTTTATGATATCCCTTATTTAATAATTTGAAAAAAATAAATTTAAAATATTGAAATTTGCTAAGAACATTTGCGAAAAATTGCAGGTTACACAAATTGACATGACAACCAAAGATTTTTGGAGATTTCATGAGTTTGCATGTTTCAATTTTTTTTTTGGCAGATTTGCTTGTTTTGTTTCAATAAATTTATATAGGAAGAACGATGCTAATTAATTATAACCAAATTGTATTTTAATAAGCAATTTGTAGATTTTATAAAAATCGTTATGACCAAAAAGATATAGAAAATTTCAATTAAAATTGAGTACAAAAAGAGCAATTTTGTCGAAGAAATTGAAAAAAAAATGAAAGTGGAACGTCGAAATGGCCATAAAATTTTCAACATATGACTTGGAAATTTATATCCATGCGTCGTCCATAAAATAGTGCTAATAGGCAATGGATTATCCAAGAAGCCAATATTTTTTTAGCATGAGTGTGTTTTTTCTTACTTTTTGAGAAAATACGAAGCAACTAAAGAAACAGCGAAAATGGATTGCGACTGACTAAAAAAAAACCTAATGAAGCATATGCTCACGATTTGCACTAATTATCAAACCAAATGAATAAAACGCAGAAAAAAAAACGATGGAAAGTGAAGAAAAGAGGAGAAAAACGCAGCGATTATCCAATTAGAATACACTCTGAATTTTTGAATAAAAACTAAAGAAAATTGTGTACAATTGAATAGTAAATATTCATTGTTTTATTCATTACTTAAATATTTGTTCTTTCATAATTCACTTTGAAAATAATTCTTCTAATATATTGAGGACTAAAATTGAATTCACATATGAGTTGTTATATGTTCTAGATCGAATTCAATGTAGAACCTTTTAAGAGAAATTTTCGATTCTCATTTATTAGAATTTCATCAATTTTCTTTTCTAAAAAGAAATGAGCCTACAGTTTTATTAAATTGATTTCTTCATTTGCATAATATTTACATATCAAATGATTTTGACATTCTTAAATTATTTTGATAACAAATTATTCTAATTTTTTAATGACGTATTGTCGTTCGGATTTCATCAAGATTATTCTATATTATTCGAATGATTTGACTAATATGAATCCTATAAAGAAACACAATTTTTAAAGTTTCAAAAAGCAAAATTGGCAAAAAATGAGAAGAATTAAAAAAATAATAATAAAATGAGCTCACCAAATGCAATTACACTACAGATGATTAGCCGATAAGTTCTTGAAATTGTCTAATCCGATAGGATTATTTTACATCATCATCATTTCGGTCGTCGGTTTGTTTTCTTAATATTATCATCATTGATATTAGATTTTTTTATTAGAAATACGCTGGAATAACAATTAAACGTATTTATTGAGCGAATTCAATGAAAAATGATGAACGATTCGATGGTTTTAATCCCGCGAAATGGCACGATTCAATTTGTACACTGGCATTGGTTTTTCAATATTTTCTTCAATCTGCAATTTGTGTGAATATTGATCAAAATATTATTTATATGTATGTATGTAAGAAGATAGAAAATTTTGAGAAGTTTTCTTTTTCGGGTGGGAAAATTGCCGGTTTAAAGTGTGAGAGAGCAAATGGATAAAGCTTTGAAAATTCGACATGTGACAATTAAAAATGGAATTTTTCAAATATAAAATAATGAGAAAAAATGAATGAGTAAAAATGTTGAAATTGGAAAGAAAAAAGGGAATAACAAGCCAAGGATTTTCCCTTTTCTTTAAGGGAACAAATATCACAATAAAACTCGATTAAATTGAAATACATAATTATGTACATTGAATTGTTTAAGAAGCATGAACATGAGGTCGGACGATTCTCTTGGGCATCTCGAGCACCGCCCCCTCCTCTTTCTTGCGCATCACCGTACGCCGAATGATAGTTGTTGGTCGTTTTTCTTCGATTCCATCGCCCACAATTTTCTGCTCCTCAACCAGCGAATTTCGCTTCGTCGCCACTATTTTCTGTTTGTGCGGTGTCTCTTTTTCACCGTTTTCGAATGGTGTCACATCCAATTTTTTCGGAATCGCTTTCTCGAGAATATCGGGGTTCTCGTTCGCCGCCGACTTCTCCATTTCGCGAATCTTCTGAATCGACAGCAATGGCTTCGCCTTCTTCTTCTCGGTCTTCTTTTCGAGTTTCGCCATTCGTTGCTCCCATAATGATTTTGCTGTCATCTTTTGTGGAATTCGCTGATTCTCAACATCCTCGTTTTTCTTTGATTCAAAGTTCGGCTCTCGTGGACCAGTCTCCTGCTTCATCGGTCCTTCCTCAGGATCATCGATCGGTTTCGGTTCCCATTGTCTGATTATTCTACGCGGTGGTGGTCCCTTCGGCCCTTCAACTTTTTTCGCATCATCCTTCTCCATCATACATCCGTTTTGAATTTCAAACTGCTTCATTCTACGAGGCGGTGCCTTCTGTGATATCGGACCCTCTTCAACGCGTTCCTCGGCAGGTTTGGGTTCCCACTTCTTGGTAATCCTTTTCGGTGGTGCTGCTTGCTTCAGATCATCTTTTTTGGCAATCGGAGCACCTTCAAAATCATCGACAGCTCGTTTAGGTTCCCATTTCTTGATAAGTCTTTTCGGTGGTGGCGGTGCTTGTTTCGGACCATCTTTCTCGGCAATCGGAGCATCTTCTTCATCGCCAATCGTTTGTTTAGGTTCCCATTTTTTGATAATCTTTCGTGGAGGTGGTGGGACCTTTGTCACTTGCTTGTGAGCTTCTTCCATCGGACCATCATCTAGTTCGTCGATCGTTTTCGGCTTCCACTGTTTGAATTGTCTCTTTGGCGGAGCCGCTTTCGGCGGTGTAAGCTGCTTCTCAGGCTCATTGGAGAGTTCAACGAACTTCCTTGGAATCGAAATCTTCCTTGGAATTTCACTCTTCTCAGGAGCTACAAGCTCCGTATCTTCTTCGGACTCCCTCGAAGCTCGTTGAAACGACAACTGCTTGGCGAGAATCGTCGGCTTTGGTGGTGCATTGGCGACAACCATCGCCAACGGTTTTGGTGCAACATTCGGCTTTGGTGAAACCATATACTTTGGTGCAATCTGTGTTGGCTCCTAAACGGAAGATCTGGATTAACAATAATTTGGGAATCGAATCACTCCAAATCAACATTTATATTTTACATATTTACATGGACGAAAAAAAACGAACAATTGAATACAAAATTCGACTAGAATAAAACATACATGTTAAAAAATGAATCACACACACAGCAATCTTTATTATTTACATAAGGCATGCCGTTTAGAAGACAGTTAAACGAACCTTTGGAGGTGCCTTGACCGGGGTTGGAGCCTTGACCGGCTCATTCTTTTCTGGCACCTTTTTGGGCTCCGGTGCGAGGTGCGGCTAGAAATTCGTTTTTTTTTTTGGATTTTCAAAAATTGCAAATAAATTACCACGGGATTTTTCGCGAGCTCTTCGGCTTCTTGTTTCGCCTTCAACGCGGCTTCTCGTCGTTTTATTCTCTCTGAAATCCCATTTTTTACTCGAATTCAGATTCAATTTGCTTACTAATTTCTCCATTTCTCAGCGTCGCATTTTCGACTTTATGCCGTCCTTCGGGCAATCGGAAATTGATCGAAATCTTTGTCAATCCATGGTTCTTCACAATCGCATCAATGATTTCTTTTTCAGATTGCGTCGAAAATGAGACGCCTTGGTTAACTGCTTTGATCTCCTCGACAGTCTCATTCACCAATGCAGCTTTAAACAATTTGGCGAAGAATTCACCTAAAAATTCGTATTCCGCTTTATGGTCATTATTGCAAACAATTTACCGCTGAGATAATTAGTCTCCAAATTGACTTTTTTGATTGCTTGATTCATTTCAATCACAGTCACCAAAACCTTCAAATAATTTCCATCTCAAACAACAATCGTTCTTTGATGCGAATTACCATAATATCATGATCATACAATCCCATATTTGCCAATGAAATTCTCTCGCAATGCTCATTGTATGCCAATGCTTCGAGCAACCTCTTGATCGCTGGAACCGGGGTTCTCTGAATAAATTTCGGGAATCGTTGACTGCATTATTTCTTGCCCAAAAAAGAACCTTCATATTATTCAGATTGACTTCCTTCAAACTCGGATCGTTATCAAGAAGTTTACGAATGCAAACGTCGACGTCCACTTCATTGTCAGGCTCCGTAGGGCGCGTTTGCTCCGGTAGACTGCATTTGACCTACAAATATTTATTGTCAGGGTCAAACGACTTGATATAATTTAAAAAATTATTGGCTATGTGCCAATGCGTCTCAAAGCTGCGAGAAGTACGCGAGACTTCGTACCTTGCATTATACATATTTTACGCGCATTTAATACTCAGTCAACGATAAATTTAAATCTAAACTGATTTCGCGAATTTGAAGGCCCGAATCCCATCAGTCGTTTGACGCCGACAATAGAAATCAATAATAGTCACACGAGCAATTAAACAAGACAACTCACGGGTGTTTTGTCGGTTTCCTGAAGGATTCGCTCGGCTTCATCCCACGACACAATACGGTTTTCGTGCATCGCCTCTGCAATTCGAAATGAGAATTCTCGTCGAGACAAATTTACTTTTCGACGGCGAAATGTCAAAAACGGGGTCGAAACGAAAAACACCTCGGAAAAAAACCATTTGAGACGCCAAACAATTCCAAAAAAATCTTTTGCGCAAACAGTTCGGTTTAGTATTTCAGATGAATGCTGAGAAAACGGTCGACTTACTCAACAATGAATTGATCTCCTGCTCCTGAGCCTCGACACTCATCGACTCGATGGTTTTGATAAAATCCTGAAAGATGCGCGAGTTGTGAAGGGACCCGTTTGTAGGAGGAGTACCTCATCGGACATGAGCTCACCCGAAGCATTTGTTCGCAATTGATGGAGCTCTTCCTCCATTTCGTGCGACATTTCTGAAAAAAATCGAAAGCTGGAAGCAATTTCAATGCTCCAATGAGCTAAATGACGCAAAGAGAAACATAGGGCAGCAAAAAAAAATAGTTTGAGAGGATAGAAAAATTTGAAGTGCAAAGAATGTCTCAGTCTTGTGAAAAATCAAGGAAACAAATCCACAATTCAAAAAATATTAGTTCCGAAGTTCGAATTTTGCCTCATTATTTCATATCAGTAGTATTTAAATGTTTAAAAAACACACACACACTAACAAATCGAGAAATTTACATAATCTGAAACGGCGAATCGGATTACACACATACAAATACGCGCGCCACAACATATTGTACACATTTCAACGAAAGTATGTGTATATTAATTAGTTGCGGTCGGAAATTGAATGAGAAGAACACATGGTGGCGAACAAGGCGAATTCGAATGCCATAATTGGTTTTCGACGCCCACAATACCCAAAATGTGAACTTATGAAGACGAAGGTTTTCGATTGGAGGAATTGAAATTACCGGGGACAGGAAGGAAACACTTGAGGTTTCTAATTCGGGAAACTCAAACAACAGTTGAGGTTAAGAAAAAACTAGTTACTATCGATTTGTATGATAATTGAGCAGGATTCGAACCATCTTATCTCCTGCTACTGGATCCACGATTTTCAGAACATTTTGAATTAGTCTGATTAAATTTTTTTATTCTTTGAAATAGAAAAATCGATGTGATATGGGATTTGATGAGGAGGAAAACCTTTATTTTTTGCACCGTTATAACGTTGAGTTCAAAATTATTGAATGTTTTAAACCTTTCGATATGGTGATAAATTAATGGATTCATATAATAATGAATGATATTTAAAAATTAACGAGTAGAAACCGCTCGAGTCTGCAAAGGAATTGCTTAAAATTTCAGCCAACGTGAAATTCAAAAAGACAACAAAAATTCACATTTTTTTAAATTTTAATTCTCGAAAGCAATTCGATTTCTAAAATATAAATCTGGCAATTCACCTAATTTTGTATATATCCATCATGCTCCTTTAAACTAGATCTTGAATTGAATTTTTATGAGCTATCTAATTTCTAACGTTCAATTCCCTTTTGTGCAAAATTAGAAGAAAGAAATTGAGGGTTTCAATCGCAATTGAAATCAGTTGAAGACCTTGCGTGGTTCAAGACTGTAAATATTTTTCCTGTTTGAATTCGATGTGCTTCCGACAAATAGAAAAGCATGAATGTGAAACGTTGTCCTTGAATTGCCAGTATTAGTGGAAAATCCTCGATGGTATTTGACACTCTCGACCCGTCTTACGGCGGCGGCGCCGCCGACCCCCCCATCTCACGTGTAAACAAATGCGTCTGGCGCACTCCTAATTGTTCACGTTATCCACGTAAATTTACACACACACACACACACACAGAGTTTCTTGGATGTGCGCGAGACGACGAAAAATCCGCACAAGATTTGAATACACTTGAACGAGAAAATGGTAGATCAAAAGTTGAAATATTTTGAGGAAACCCCCCCCCCCCGATCGCCGCGGTGATTGGATTTCGAAATGATTTTCGAATTATATGAAAAACATTCGGCTGAAAAACAATGAATGCGTCACTCATGCTTTTCGTATTATTAAAGAAATTTTGAGACAAATAAATGATGGGAATGAGAGGTTGCCAAAATTTTTAGCCGGCATCAAGTGTTTTATTTATTTATCTTTCAAAATCTTTTTTTGTGGTATTTGCACTTGATTGTTACAATGTTTCGTAACTTGGTGAAATTTATCCGGAAAACCGAAAAAAGACTAAAAATCAACTGTAATTTTGGGGCCATCGACAATCATATTACATGGATTTTTTCATTAAAAAAAAGATCTTGAAATTAAAATATATTGATTGATTGGTTGAAAGATTGATTTTAATTTTAAAAATTGTTTTTTTTTGTCGATTGAAAAGAACAAAAAATTTTGTCTTTAAAATTTTTTTGATTCAACGAGAAGGACACGAGATTCTCATATTGAGCACATCAAACGAGCCGAAATTCATAAAATTTTTAATAATGATCGGATCGCAAAACGATTTTTCGTATAAACTTCAAAGCAAACAAATAAGAAAAAAAATGATGAATTGAAAATGAAATGTCGAAGAATGTAATCAAATGACCAAAAAAAGAAAAGATGAAAACGATAGTGAAAACGGGTGAATTGAACGTTTTATTACTATTATGATGATAGCCTCAACAGCATTATCGTCATCAACTAACTGGATATCGGCCAAACTGATGGCAATACGAGTACGAGACGAATGTCGAACGAAGACGAAGCCGAGACATTGGCACTGAGCGGAGTGATCCGACGAAATAGTGCGCCGATGGTGGAATGCTCGGGCACGATGCCTGTCAAGTATTACAGCGGATCAGGCGACGGCTGACACTATCGAATGCACTGGGGCCTTCGGTTGCAAATGCTGGAATATTTCGAAAGCCATTTAGCTCTTGATAATCGAAGAGTGCAACTATTTCGCGCCAAATATTTGGCATTACTCTTCATTCAATTTTCATCGGTGGCAATTCAAAGAACAATATTTGATTTATGATCATTTGAGCAAAAACAGATAGGAGTAACCAATATTTTTATAGCCGTCGTTATTTTTTATTTGTTGACACTTCTGAATCACACAAAATAGTCTCATAGAATATATCAAAAATTGGGTGTTTGAATATATTCAGAAATTCAATTTTCACCGAAAAAAAATTTAATTTTTAGCCGATGTATGCAATGAGGTTTTTTTTGTGGGAATTCTCCTTTAAGCATGGTCTCAACAAGAAGAACAGTTTCTGGCCAGTAAAAAAAACATATTAATTAAAGAGGAAAACCTAATTGGTGATAATTCCTTACATAAACAGAAAATACAGCACCTAATTATCAATAATTGTCATTCTACTCCGATTCGCCTTGACAATTCGAATTATGAAGTCGCTTGCGGCACCTTGATGACTGACATTTTTTGTTGACATATCACTTGTCGAACCGTATCTCGATATATCGACGACATTCCGAAATAGACGAGCATTCCGACGGACATTGCTAGGTAAATGAAACAATCCTCTTGGATGTAAAGGAAATTATCAAGAATTCTGAAAAATAATCTCAAAACAAACCTATTTGGAAATCAAAAAATTATACTTGAAATCTGAAAACGATATCATTCCAATTCCGTAAATAAACGCGAGAAGAGATTCAGAAAGGAGGAAAAATATCAAATAAACGACTAATGAGATGTTGCTGCGCCTTCGTTTGTTCGCTTGGCCGTGGTTCAATGAGTTGCGAAATATTTTCTGATTATTTTTGATTATCAAGAATATTGTGGAAGCTAAAAGTATTAAGCAAGGAATTATCTAAATAGTGAGATTAGAAAAAGAAGGCCAGAAAAAATCAAGTAAAAACCTCTCCTTGAAAACAATGGTACATATATGGAATAGTTCCCTCACAGGCAGCAGAAGTTGAAACAAATTTATAAACTTCAATATTTGGATCGAAAATGCATCTGAATGGTGTTTGTTTTTTAATATTCCATTAATGGCAGCAAAAATACAACCTCGAATTCATCGCATTCATTATTTCTTGATAATCAGTGATTCTCACAATTCTTCGCGGCAATGTTCGAAACATTTGATTTCCGAAAACGGTAACAACCGAGAATACACAAAATATAATAATTAATTTGCGATTAATAATGTATTTGCTGAAAAAAAATCAATTAGTGATCATTCTCATCCAATTTTTTTCTACCCTCCATAGCGGGCATCAATTATAATATTAACTCTCTCAAGAGTAATAAAAACCATTGTCCAGATGTAGGTTTGATGGAAGAATGTGAAAACGAAAACATCAAAGTTCTATAAGAATGGTGATTTTTTTTTGAAGAAGCTGTAACTAACCGCTAAAGCCAGTTGAATATAATCAGCGTGTCCTTCACAAGTCGATTTTGCGCAAGCATTCGCAATGTATTTGATAAGGGCGTTCAGCTGCATGACGATCTCGCACACAAGGATGACTTTCGTTTGTCTAACCAAATTGAACTCCTTCATTCTTTTGTTGAACAAAATTATCATATGGAATATATTGAAAAAAAGGCTGAAGATCAATAGCAAAATAATGACGTTGAGGCTCATATCATGACTCCAACTGAAATAAAACTTAAAATTGAAATGCTGAAACAATCTACCTGCTATACTGGCCCAATGCATTTGTAATCCAAGCATCCGATTTGAAGAAAAGAGGTTTATTTTGGCAGCCTTCGGCACTCATTGTTATCGTGACAAGTGTGTGTTTTGACTGCGAATTTCTTATTGAATATGACCTAATAAATAAATAAATATTAACCGAACTGATTTTTCAGCGATTTGTGGTTTTGATGAAGTTCGAACTGCTCGAATTCATCAGTTTATTCATAGAAATATTTTTGCAAACAATCTTGTTCAACATACATATATTTTGACGGAACATGCATTTATTTCTAGCGAAAAAAAGCATAGCTCACAAATTAGATTCATATCCAAATTACGGTTCAACGAATAACATAAAAGCTTCAAAAATTATTGAACAAAAGTAAACTTTTAAATTTTGTTTTCGAATTCTTTAGTTTCAACAGGCTTTCCATGAAAATATTTTCCATTTTTTTGCAACACCACTCTAATGGACAAAAATTCTAAGCAATAATGGGTGCCATTACCTATTATGGTAAGCTATTACAAAAAGGACATTTAATCGATTGCACTATTCATGTTATATTAGTTTAATTTGTCATTTATTTTTCTCGGATATTTTGAGACATTGTGGTCTTTTTCAATCAATAATAAATGCTTAAAAATTTAATTTTTTGTAATGCAGAAATCTAAAAAAAAATGTTGCACATTTAATATAAGTTTTTCATTTTTCGTAGTTGTTGAAATAATAAATTAATGCATTTTATGAATTTGTCCATTAATAGGGCTTGAACGCTACAATGTCACTGAAATTTCAAAAATATGATAATGATAAAAAAATTTTTTTTAATCGTCACGTAATAAAATGTTCCTCAGCCTCACACGTTTTTCGAACAAAAAATAATAAAATGAATTTTTCTATTTCTCTATTTTTTAAATAAATCAACCCGTCGTAACAATGTTATTGATATGGCTATTCTATTCGTTTACATCGTTTGTCGTCAGCGAGCCGGCAGTCTTCTATGTCCGATTATTTGATACGTAAGTCGAATTCATCAATAAGCAAAAAATATAAATATATATTGAGAAAAATCTTAGGAACACGAGAACCAGTACAACCGGAAAACAAATGATATTCCCAGATGTTTGAATCAGCTTGACTGATTGTTTATGATTGTTTTCTTTTTTTTCTAGGAGCAGTCTCCATTTCACGTATGCTCTACCATATTTGCAACTCCATATATTATAGTGTATTTTTTTCTCATTTTTTTCAATTCTAACATGCAATATTTAGGTATACCGCGTACAATGATACCTGGTCAAATACTTATTACAAATATTGTTGTTTGGTATTCGAGACACCAATGTACCGAAATCGAATTTGAAATCCAATTACAGACCCCAGGATGTGAAAATAGTACATCAATAAACCCACTAGCCTGGTATGATGTGAAAACGCAATTAATTGTTGATAGAGTAATTAACTAATTTGACGAAATTTTCCAAAAAAAGTTCAATTAAATTAGGAGAGTTATGAACTAAAACGATTGGATTTGGCGATTCGTTATATTTTTCTGTCGTTATCGCTTATTTTCACTCTATTTCCGGCCGTGTTCGTCTTCATTTTAGAATCCAATTTGGAATTTTTTTTTACAATTTTCAGATATTTAATATTTTATCGTCCAAGGCAGCTACATAAATTAACAATAAAACAAGAAGAGCGTATGGAGCCGGCTCTGATAATGCTCGAAGACAAGATTAAAAGGGTCGAGCTGAGTTCAAGTATGATTTTGTGAAGTAATGATCTTTCATTGTTGTTTTTTCTTTCACAGCTCATACCTACAATGGACAGCACTCGTTTCTCGATTTTTGCCGTCTAATTGTTGCCCGCGAGATGTACACCGAGAAAATGGAAGAGATTGCTCGCGGTGTTCGCGACAACAGCGATTTGCGGGCAGCAACCGGAGGCGACGAGGTGAATGTCGATCGGACGCAGCCGTCGGATAAGCAGATGTCATATCGGAAAGTGACGTTTGCAAATGAGCGCATGGCTGCGGTGATCTCGCAGTCTTTTGTGGATAATAATGCGAACGGCAACACGAAAGATTCGCAGGAAGAAGTGTTCTTTCAATGTGATGTCGAATCAACAGGAATGGGTCACGTCGCATTCAAGGTAGATCAATCATACATATTCGTTGACATCATTCACTTTGCTTCACTTTTATAGGTCGATCGCGTTTCTCAGATTGTGGTTCACGACACGATGTTTGAGAATATCTATGAGCATGGCCCCTATATTTATCCATATAAGCCTCGCGCGTTGGTCGAAATTTTTGAGCAAGCCCGAACATTGTTCGAGAATGATTCGATTTGCATTCGAATTCCAATGCCTGTCGTGATAATCAGCGATATTCGCGGACGCTATATCGATCTTCATCGATGGCTTCAAGTATCGGGACTGCCATATCGACGGCGGATTCTGTTCATGGGTGGTCTGATGGACGACAACATGCCGACGTCGATTGAATGTCTTGCGCTGGTGGCTGCGATGAAGGTGGCATATCCGAAGCACGTGTTTCTCATCCGCGGAGCATCGGAAACATTCTTCAAGTTCCAACCAAGATTTGGATATCGAGCTGACATGGCGATTCTTGAGTAGCGAGACCCCAGTGTGTGTGTTTTGTTCTCGATTATTTCAGTTCTGCTCGTCGAATGTGCTCATATCTACCGCTGGCCGCATTCATTGGCAAACGCTATTTGTGTGTTCACAGCGGAATATCTCATCAACTCAATTCGTTCGAATGCTTCGACGCCATTCATCGACCGCTTCGTCATGAGAATCTTCCGCTTCTCGCCAAATTTTTGATTTTTGGACAGCCAACGGCTAATGTGAAAATGTTCACACATGACGAGGGTGATTGATCATTTGAAAAACTAAAAAAAAAATCAAAATTTTTATAAATTTTAGCCAAATTTTATTTCAAGTTCGGAATGAATGCCGTTGAAAATTTGTGCCGAAATCTTGGGGTAAAATCGATCAATAATAATAATAATAGCAAAAATATTAAATTTAAAATATAAATCAATTGTTTTCAGCTAACTCGAATTATTCGAGGAAGGAGTGTTATCGAAAATGGAAGTTTGCTGATTTGCAATAGAAAATTACTAACATTGTTTAGTGTTCCACTTGAAAATCACAAAGTATATTAAATATCGTTTTTTTTTTGAGAAATTCTTTTTCTTTCTTCAGGGCTCTATAATGTATCTTGACCGCAAATATGGAACCATTCTGTTCAATCTGAAGTATCAATCAACTCCAATTGTCAAACCCGTACGTTTCTCGATTCTCGTTATACTATTCGAATATGTTTAGAAACGTTACATTCCAAAACAACGAAAGAAGAAGCATCACGCTCCAAGTCTTGTTATTGACGGTGTTTAGACGAACAATCGAAAGACATTTAAATACAATAAATAAATAAATAAGATTGAAACAAATGTTTCACGAGGACATACAAATTTCGCGCAATCTCATTTCGTTCTATTCACTCGCCTGATTTCATTATTTGATGTCATATAATCATACCTTGCACTCTTATTGCACTTCATTATGTCGTTCTTCCCTGAAGTATCTCTACTTGACAGAAGTGTTGATGATTGGCTAGAATTGTTATATGATGATCGGCCGATGTGTGCGATTTCTCCGCCATTCGTCTACGATGTCGGAATCACATTTGCTCATTTCATCTCACTTCCTGTCTATTTCACCGCAATGTGGTGCTTGTTAGCTCAAAAAAGTCCGCATTTCAAACAGTACCGAAAATATTTGATGTTTCATGCTATTTGGTTTGTTGTTATTTGTTTTCTTGTACTCCAATAACTTTTTTTCCATTTCTTACAGTAACCTTGCATTTGAATCTCATATGTCTATTATAATGAAACCGGTTATATACCTTCCTTATCCGGTTGTCCGTTTCTGTGGGGCTTGGAAATTTCGATTCGTTAATGGAGGCTTAATTCTTTTTGTATTCATCGGAATCGTTGGTGCCACCGGCTTCTCGATATTCGAAATGTACTTTTATCGATTTCAACTGCTTGCTCGCAGCAATTTGTGTCAATGGCTATCGAAAATCTCCAATTATTGTGTCATTTCAAGATATTTAATTATTATTATTTTATTCATTTCTGCAATTTGTTTGTGTTTCTGCGTCAACGGAGTCTTCCTACAAAAAGATTTCAAAAAGAATTTGAAAGTAAGCCAGTCATAATTTGATAATCGATGGACTATGAATGATTGAATGAGAAGTTCATAAAATTGAATGATGAATTTATATTTCAGCTAGTGGAAACCCACAAAGAGATATTATGTACATCTGCAATGACACTTCCCTCACTTTCGGTTAACGGCATCAAACCAATTCATGTCTTTAATTTTTTTGCATTGCTCGCTATCTTATTTGGAGCAGCTGTATGTTTTTTAGCCGGTTTATCGTCGTTGTTGGCAATTCAAGAAATGATCTTCAAAACTAAAATATCGCCAAAAACATTGGAGATGCATCGAATGTTTCTATACAGTTTATTTGCTCAAGTATTCCCATTTTGTCAATTTTAATTCAACCGACATTATAGGTGATCGTTCATGGAATTATGCTAGGATTTCCAGTATTCATTTATGTGATTGTATTGACATTCTATTCAGAAGCTAATAGTGAATTCAAACGGTTAGCAGATAATGATAGATTCTATTTATTTCAGCCGTTGGATATTTTGCAATAATAATTGCAAGCACGCATGGATGTATTTCGACAATCGTTTTGATGATATTCACGAAACCTCTTCGAATAATGTTTCGCAGATTCTTGCAATTATGTAGGTTTTTGAATTCATCAAGCTTCACATATTGTTTTATTATTTTAGTGTTTGAAACAAAAAATTTGCTGTCTGCAGCTTCGCAATCGCAAGTCGTCGCTTTGCAAGACAATTGAAATCGAATTTTCAAATTAAATTATTTAATTATATATTAATAATAATAAGGAATAAAATGTTACACGCAATAATTTTCGGTCGTGCATGCAGCAACCTCGCATATCGAACGACGAGAAGAAATCAGATTGCCACCTATTGCAATCCCGAAGTTCGCTGGGAATCTGTCAGAATGGACGAATTTCTACACAATTTTTGAATAGACCATCGACAAAAGAAACATTTCCGACCTTGAAAAGCTCAACTATCTACAACAAAGCTTAAAAGACAAGCGAAGAAAGTCATTCAGAAATTTGAATTCCGATAGTAGGAAAACTACAAAACGGCAATAAGTGCGCTAAAAAGGAGGTACTACAACACAGATGCCGCCTCAGCGAACGACTGACCACTGAAAAGGCAGAAGGAACAAAGCTGAATCATCAACGCGACCTTTTCGTCAAAGTGTTTGCGATAACTCAGCAATTGCGCAAACATGGCGAGGAAAGAAATGATAATCAGAAAATTTTCGGGTGACATCCAACGAAAAATTTTAAAGGATCGTGCCGAGAAGTACGACAACGACGACAGATCATGGGATCTGGACGCAACCATGGACAAGATTGAGAAGACAATCAACAAAGAAGAAGAACTTCAATCATGCCAGAAATAAGCAGCGAAGCTGAAAAAGGTTATAGTCATCGCCATCAGGAAAAGCAAGAACAACATTACCACGGAAAACCTATACATTTTCTATACGAACAAAAAAATTCTTATCAAAATGAACCCAAACCAGACAGAAGCATGGATAATCGAAATCGAAGAAAACCGTTTCTGGAAATGCTTCAAACAATACAAATCGAAAGAATGCCCAACTTCAATACATAAAATGCTTGAAATACAATGGAGATCACATTCAATACTTGTGCCTGAAGTCTACGGAAGTCGGCAATCAGAAGCCTGGACACCAACGAAACCAAAATAACAATGGACGATCATAACATTCGTCCAATCGCGGCACGAATACAACGCATGCCAACGTTCAATGCAAGAAAGAATGGCAATGCGCATAGGAAAACTTATCCGAGATCACATTCGTCCTAAAGCCAGAATCTGGAATTCTAAAAACCAGCAAAGATATAGCATTTAATCCACATAGTGACCAATGGGAAACAATAACTGTGATGTTCGATTCAGGACAAAAAATAGGTTTTGAACGAAAAAGCTGGCGGACAGCTGGAACTTGACGAAGTTCGGAACATCGAAAATCATTCTCCAAACGTTTGGCGAACAAACACTTACTCAAAATACGAGTGAAGTTGTGGAATTAAAAATTCTCATTCGAAATAGAACCGAATCCATTACGACAATGATAACACAACATCTCGTCGGAACAATACGGAAAGCGCACATAATTCAAGAAGACAGACAGTTCATCGACACGTTAAAAATGAAATTTAATGACGAAGGACATCATCGTGACGCAGTAGAACTAGACAGACATAATTATTGGCATGGACCACTTGACAATGTTCTGGAACGGATGAATGATAAAACTGCCATCCGGACTACACCTCATTCAAATGGAATTTGGGATGACAGTGATCGGCAATCAAATCAACGAAGAAGAAACCGGAATTAGCTGCAACAACATCATAATTTCTGGAGACGACACCATCGAATGGGACAAATACTGACAACGAATCAGTCGTATTCACGTTCCACAAAAGAAGAAAAGGCGACAGATGTTGAAGAAGTATGGAGAAAAAGAAGAAATGAACAACAAACTGTGGTGGAGCGGTCCTGACTTCATGACAGAACCAGAAGACACCTGGCCGGAAGATACCCAGCTGTTTCAGATCAATGGACCAAATGGAGAAGAAAAAATCCACGTCAATACAGTCAAGCCCGGATCCCGACGAAGTCATTTACAATTGCGTCAGAACAAATTGTTTCGAAAAAATGATATGGATCACCAACTACACACATAAAAAAGTGCATATCGAAAATGAAGTCAAAATAACGAATACAGGACGCAATCCACGGAATTACATTTGATTTCCGAAAATTTCACAACCAACACAATGACGTCAGATGAATTGGAGCCGCTTGAAAATTACTCATCCGAGATCAACAAAAATTAATCATGAATAAACATATCGAGAAATTGAAGAACCTTCGATTGGTACAAGATAGTGAAGGAATTATCAGATGCCACGGAAGAATGCAAAAGATGAATGGAAGTCGAGGTGAAAAAAGCGCAATTTTGCTTCCGCCCGATTCGAATTTGACAAATATGGTCATTTGGAAATACCACGAGTGACTTCATCGACCAACGGGAACTACGATATCGGAGCAATAGGATGAACATATGCACGAAATACGTAAATGGATCAGCAAGTTGCCATATAAGAGCATCGGAAATGATACAAATGAATCCACTCAAACGTGAAGCGTGCATACGAATCAATCATGATGAGCAAGCCATCCGTGAGATTCGAATCAACTGGAAATCAATCGAATTAAAATACCAAAAAAACATACGATACTTCTCACGTGAAGTAGAACAGCGCAAAACGATGCCCACGGGCTCATGCACTGGAAACAAGTGCATGAATATCAACAGGAGCTCACTCATTCCCGAACTACAAGAAGCCAACACCTACGTAGGAACGATAGGATGCGTCGCCAGTTGCGGATCGTTAGGATGCGATTGTTTTTACCCCAGCAGTGCATGTCTCTTTTATAGGAACCTACGAGCAACGAAATTCTCGAAAGCATGGATTGCCAATCATGGGATGAACGACTGAAAGTAGAAGTGGCCATCGCCAACCTACATACATCTGAGGATAAATTTAATCCCACCTCCAGTGGGGCCCCTTCGGGGAAGCTTCGGACGCGAGAGCGTCCCATAAAAGAGTATTTGGAATTGGCTGAGTGCCATAAAACTACAGAAATCAAGAAGATACCCCCGCCTGCGGCGGGGTGTGAGTGCCATAAAACAACAGAAATCAAAGGGGTCCCCCCCGCCTTCGGCGGGGGTGTGAGCGCCGAATTCCAAATCGGCCTTTTATGCTCCAACACGATTTTAGTCTCGTTAACATGACCGAGAGTTTTAGTTGATTATCGATTGATTATCGATTGATTATTGATTGGTTATTTATCAAATATCGATTGATTTGTGAGTAAATTGTTAATTTGTTTTTGATTTTGTGATTAATTTGTATTTGAATATCGATTTAATTGTGATTAATTTGTGATTGATTATCGATAAATTTAGTTGTATTCATCAATTTTGTAGTATCGATTAATTTCGTTGTGTTCATTAATTCTATTGTATTGTGAAAAATTTATGTCGAAAATAGAATTTGCATGTTTTGTATCATTTACAGCTGTCTGAAAAATTCATTGAGTAAAAAATGTGCGGAATGATTGTAAATTATGAGGGTCGTGTAATAAAATGTGCGAAACGTCGTAAAATGTGCCAACCGATTGTAAACTCTACCGAAATAGTCGATTTTCAATCAATTTACAATTTACAATTTCATCAGTTTTCCAAGGCTTAGGTAACCCCTTTCATTCAACTTTTGAATTGAAACAGAAAAGGCCGATTTGGAATTCGGCGCTCACACCCCCGCCGAAGGCGGGGACCCCTTGATTTCTGTTGTTTTATGGCACTCACACCCCGCCGCAGGCGGGGGTATCTTCTTGATTTCTGTAGTTTTATGGCACTCAGCCAATTCCAAATACTCTTTTATGGGACGCTCTCGCGTCCGAAGCTTCCCCGAAGGGGCCCCACTGGAGGTGGGATTTCTGGAGTTTTATGGCTGTTCGTTAGAACAGAAATAATTGCTTTGAAAAATAAATGATTTTTACTCCATCCTGGACCATAAAACATTATAAAGTGGGTGATTTTTGAAAATTTTGGATTACGGTAGTTACAGTAATCGGGTTACGGTAATGAAAATATTCTTAAAAGATTCAGCATATTTCATTTAGTCAACTGACGAAGTTTCAGATCGATTGGATCAATATTCACGATATTGGGTTACTGTACCTGCAGAATTCCTGGACTTGGAATTTTTCACCAAACTTGGTCAATATGCGTTTCCTGATAACCCCTCATGAAATGTACATCATCTGACGCAGAATTAAATGCTGATCACGAATATAGTAGTCATTTTGCATATAAATCAAAATTCACTTGAAAATTCGTGAAAAACCGCATATTTTCATGTTTTTTCCATTTTTGGACATGAAGCTTTTGGAAATCTTAAATTACATCATGATTTTTGAATTCAGCATATTTGATTTAATATGTATGTAAGTTTTCAGATCGATTGTAGCCATATTGCCAATTTTGGGTTACGGTAGCTCTAAAACTACAGTATCCCAAAACGGTACATTTTTAATCGTAACGCCTCAGGGGTTTTTCGGACCCCCCATAAAGTATATATGTTTAGATGCGGAATTTTATGCTGAATCCGAATATCACCATGCCAGTTCATGAAATTCTCGTTGAACGGTGCTATGACGTCATTTATACGATTTTTGCGAATAATGGTCCGATTGAAAAAATTTTCAAAGTGAACCTAGACAGTAACTGTATAGGAACACTGTAAAAATTTCATAACGATTCATTTGATTTTGACCATGTAGGAGCAAATGTTCGGCGAAAAAAAAGTTTTCGTGAATAACTGCTACAGTAATCGAGATACGGTAACAAAAATGACAGATTCGTAATCAGCACATCAAACTTAGTCTATGTGCCAAGTTTCATTTCAATCGAACCAGTATTCATGATTTTCAAATTTTACCCTTTCCTGGACTTTGTGAAAATTCGCCAAAAAAATGTAAAAATTTTGCTCCTGATAACCTTGGGTGTTATCGATATAGATCGACGCAGAATTTTATGCTGATTCCGAATATGCTACTCCCCCTGCATTTAAACCCACTTTTTAGGCCGTTATTCCCAAAAAACCATATTTGGGATTACTGTAGCTACAGTAATCAAATGATCGTAACG